CTATATAGTAGATTCTGAGATACGCTACATGGCATCACTGTGTGGTAGATTTGAGACACGCAAAGCGGGAGATCGAGATTTTCCTCGCGTTTTTTGCCGCGGGCATGCTCAATCCGAAGTGGCAGCCGCAGCGTCATCTCCCGCTTCTTCTCCTCACCCTGTCCAAATCAATCTCGGCTAGCCGCAAGCATCAAGTCGTCATCGTCGCGACGACGTCTGCTTCAAAGTCAAGGTCAGTCCCGAAACGATCGTCAAGCCCCGTCCGCAACGTCTCCGTCCGACACGATCAGAAAGAGCAGAAAAAACCGAGGAGGCTGACGTACTCTTGCGGCAATTTCGCAACCTCTCCATTACAGAAACCATCCAAAAAGAACAACAAGCCAAAAAACCTGTTCTCGAACACAAATCATCACGCAAACGACATGCGGATATTGTTCGACTGCTTTTGGCTCGTGTTAGCGAAAAGTTGCGGACTGTTGATAAGGGCCGTGGACATAAAGTGGGTATTCAGAGGGGTGTCAAGGTTGCGTAATTTTTGCAATCGTTTCCTGTGGTTTTGAATTTTTTTTTCTTATCTGTTTTATGGATTGTTATATATTGCTTTGTTTTGCATCTGTTATGCATTTTTATTTGTTGGTAGAGGTGGCATATCGCTGCATGGATGGCTTTGTCTTTTGTCTCTCTAATGAAGAAGACAGATGTCACCATGCCAAACAGACATTAGTCGTAGAAATAACTTGTTGTCAGCCCACACCAAGATTCAATTCAACCAACATCAGAAAATAAATCAATTGTTAAACTTGTAGTATTGGAGTCTCCTGCGCATCTCATCCAAGGCCAAATTTGGATCTACTCCTGGATTGAAGACTTCTGATTTCTTTGATTGATCCAACCAGAAATCTGTCCACACGTGAGACCTGTGTAGCAACCTGCAGAAGAGACCGTTCAAAATTCTCTATTCTTGCTTGGACGTTTGATGTTACCCAGATCTCGACAGAGTTCCTGTCATAAATATGAGTATATTTTGATCAAGCTTTGTAAATATGGTTCCACACTGGTGCATTATTGCTGTTGTTTGCGTGTGACGCCTGTTGCGCTTGCCCTATGACTAATGGACAAGTTTGTCAAATCCGCTGGAAATTTGGATGTATTCCCGATACACTTTCCTTACGGCGATCAGTACTGCGAGTGTCGTCGTCAGTTCCATCCCGCTCCCCCGTGATAACCGCTGAGGTCCACGCGTGGCGCAGCAGCCAATCAACTGCGACTAGCATTTCTTTGAATTTTGTTGTCCTATAAAAGCGTCCGTTCTTCTCCACCTCTTTCTGTCATTCCCATGGTCTTTTCATCGTTCCAAGTTCTGATTCATTGGCAAACAGGTTGGTTTTACTGCCGTCGCAAAGGGAGCTGCACACAGTCATGATGACCCATGACAAAATCATTTCAAACTAGAGTCTCAGAACAATAGTGACGATACTTGCGTCTCTGAACTTGTGTGTAGCTTCCTCCCGGTTTTCTATTCTTGGTCTTTCTGGTGCTGAATGTGCTTGCGTTTAGTGTATTGCTGTTGTCGATGATGGTCAAGTGATTTGAATGGTATGTAGTCATTGGAATTGTCGCACGATTGGCAAAGATGAGTTATCCTGGCACAACAACAACTACGCTGGAATTACCGGCTGAATCATGTCTGTTGAGAAAAAGGATGATACTGAGCCAATTGTGTTGTAACGTTGATCTGAAAATCATGATCTGATGGTTTTATTCTTCGGTTAGGTAGATGATCGGTTTTTGGTAAAATTGCGCGGACATTACGGCGATTGGTGCAAGGTGAGCATTGGTGAGAGATGAAAGTTGGGACTGAAGAATCAGAGGATGGCGTCGCGGAACTGACATTCTCTTGCGGTCGCAAAAAAGCACTGGGCACTGAAACTCTTGTGTTGATTAGTGCATTGCTGATGGTTTTGCTTGGGGTTGCTCGACTTCATGGATTGTCGCTTGCACATACTCAAGTAGCTTTCCTTGTTTAGATTTCTCGGTGATAACCTGGGCCAAGATGCCGTAGCGAGAGTGGCATTCGTCCATTGCGCATGCGACGCAGACTGGTTTCTTGCACTGATCGCCGCCGCTGCATGTGTCGGGAAAGCGTTCTGGTGAGTATTGGTTGTGGCGTAATTAGAGTAGGAAAGAAAAATGAGATGAGGATACCGATGACGAGTCAGATTCGAGTTATTCGATGTTGACACATCTTTATAATACATTCATGCCTAAACTGATCATATGCGAGAAGTGCTTGTTTTGACATGGTTGGCATGACCTGACGCTAACTCTGTTTGCGCTATAGGCTATTCCACGGCACAGCTTACCGACTGGATGATTGAATGTCGTAGGTGGGTAACTGGTATCATTGCGTATGCGATGATGATATCAACAAAACAAAGAGACAAGCATATGTCGGAATATATACTGTCGACATGTTTTGATCTGAGCATACATGTTGTGGTTTATTTGAAGTTTCTCATCGTGCCGCTTTTCATGTTTTAGGTTTGTTCCTTCTGTTTTTGTATTGTTTTATCTTTGATGTGTTTTGTTTGTGAATATATTCATTGGGAAATGTACATTTGTTGCACTGGGCGATCTGCATTCTTTCTGTGGTCTGTCCATAACCTGACCTAATGGACGTGCCCCACGCATGTTTACGCTCTTGCATTTGCGCTCAATGTCCTTTGTATCTTTCAACGTAATGATCATATCTCTATCTCTTATGCTTAGGCATGTACATCGTTCAATAAGTTGATCAACGGAAGGGATTCCAGCGGTTGTGAAAAAAAACGAAGTCGCTGGCTGTTATCGCTGTCGGTTTGACTATCGCGATTGTGGCACAGCACTGATGACTCATCTCATCATCCCAAAGATCAACAGCATCCAACGCCCATTACCTCTAAACAAGACTGAGGGCACACCATGCGCCTCCTTCCCCGCGAAGTCGACAAGCTCGCCCTCCACCAAGCCGGCTTCCTCGCTCAAAAGCGTCTCGCACGAGGTCTGCGTCTCAACCATCCCGAAGCAATCGCGCTCATCGCCTCCCAAATCCTCGAATACATTCGGGATGGCACACATACCGTCTCAGAACTTATGGCCCTAGGCCGTCGCATGCTCGGTACGCGACAAGTTCTACCGGGAGTTGAAAGCATGCTGCACGAGGTTCAAGTGGAAGGAACGTTTCCAGATGGGACGAAATTGGTTACGGTGCATAATCCCATTGCGAGCGAAGACGGGGACTTGGCAGTTGCGCTCTATGGGAGTTTTTTGCCTGTTCCAGAGTTGAGTGTCTTTGAGACGCGGGGCTTGAAGAGAAAGGAAGGGGATGATGGGATGCGATATGAGCCTGGTAAGAAGAAAATCTTCTAAAAATCCGCAATGTAATGGTGTTGATGAATATTGTTTATAGGTGCCATTGTGGTCAAGCCCGGTAAAATTATTTTGAATGACGGGAGGAATCGGTATGGGATCAGGGTGACGAATGATGGAGATCGACCGGTTCAGGTATCATTCCTTTACTATCACCTGGTATTCGACGAGAACCTGACTGGATGAGGTGGTAGGTTGGATCGCATTACCATTTTATCGAAGTGAATCCGAAATTGAGATTCGATCGGGAATTGGCGTACGGAAAGCGACTTGATATCCCTGCTGGAACAGCTGTGAGGTTTGAGCCTGGTAGGATCCGTATAGTTTGACATACGTTAAAAAACACTTATCTAATACACATCAAGGTGAAAGTAAAATCGTCTCGCTCACTGATCTTGCTGGGAAAATGATTATATCCGGCGGAAACGCCCTTGCAAGCGGTCCTGTCGATGCGTCCCGTATCCCCTCGATTCTCGCCAATCTCATCTCTAAAGGATTCGCACACGACCCTACAAATGCCTCTGTGCTCCCCATTCCTGCCCCATACACAATGGATCGACACCGCTACGCCGAAGCGTACGGTCCGACTGTAGGCGATCGCGTCCGATTGGGAGATACCGACCTTTTGATCGAAATTGAGAGAGATTTCACTGTTTATGGAGATGAATGTGTCTTTGGGGGTGGCAAAGTCATTCGAGAGGGAATGGGACAGGCGAATGGTGTGGGTGATGCTGATGCGTTGGACCTTGTCATCACCAATGCCGTGATTGTGGATTGGAGTGGGATATATAAGGTCGGTGTTATCTTATTTGGACGCTTACTACGCTTTGATTCTCATGTGTACATTTACGTAGGCCGATATTGGGATTAAGAAGGGGGTGATTGTTGGTATTGGGAAAGCTGGGAACCCGGATGTCATGAACGGGGTGACGGAGGGGATGATCGTTGGTGTCACAACCGAAGTGTTGGCTGGGGAGGGAACGATATTTACAGCTGGAGCTGTGGACACTCATATTCATTTTATTTGTCCACAACTCTGTGTGGAGGCACTCGCAAGTGGGATTACAACCCTCATTGGCGGGGGTACTGGTCCCAACACCGGTACAAATGCCACGACATGCACGTCCGGAATCAAGCACATTCGCATGATGCTTCAAGCAACGGATGACCTCCCTATCAATATTGGGCTGACCGGAAAAGGAAATGCATCCAGTCCGGTTGGACTTGAAGAGCAAATCCTTGCTGGGGCTGTGGGGCTAAAGCTGCATGAGGACTGGGGCACGACACCCGCCGCGATTGATAACTGTCTGGACGTCTGTGAACGGTACGATGTTCAGGCGACGATTCATACAGACACTCTGAATGAATCTGGGTTTGTCGAGTCTACCTTGGCAGCCTTCAAGGGCCGAACGATTCATGCGTATCATAGTGAGGGGGCCGGAGGCGGACATGGTAAGTCATGTCTCGGCGATTCTCTTTGCAAATTTGCTAACCCCGTAGTGTAGCACCGGATATTATCCGGGTATGCGGCGAGCTGAACGTCATCCCTTCTTCCACCAACCCCACTCGGCCATTTACCGTCAACACGCTAGATGAACATTTAGACATGCTCATGGTGAGTGCCCACTCGTTCAAACAAATCCCAACCACCGCTAACGCCATTTCAGGTCTGTCACCACCTATCCAAAAACATACCAGAAGATATTGCATTTGCCGAATCCCGCATTCGAGGCGAAACGATTGGTGCTGAAGATTATTTACACGATATTGGTGCCATTTCCATTATTTCTTCTGATTCACAAGCAATGGGACGGGTGGGCGAAGTCGTATCCCGGACGTGGCAAACTGCGGATAAGATGAAGGGGGTGAGAGGGGTGTTGGAAGGGGAAGGCGGAGCGGACAATTGGAGGGTGAGGAGATATGTTGCAAAGTATACGATTAATCCGTGAGTATACGCTATTGGCGCTTTGAGAGTGTATATACTGAGGAATTTCCGTGTATGACAGAGCGACGGCGCATGGTATCTCCCATATTGTCGGATCTATTCAAGTGGGCAAGCTAGCCGATCTCGTCCAATACCGGCCAGAATTCTTTGGTACCAAACCTGAACGGATTATCAAAGGAGGCGTAATTGTCTGGGCACAAATGGGGGACGCAAATGCATCGTATGTTGCTTTTATATCTTTCTCGTTTCAACTGGCATCACACTTACGACATTTATATAGCATTCCGACACCGGAACCCATCATCTCTCGTCCCATGTTTGGCTTCTCACCTTCCTCCATCTCTTATACATCCCATGCATTCGTCTCTTCCGCCTCTATCCCCAACGTTGCGGCGCTGCAACTAAAGAAAACAGTTACACCCGTGATAGGGTGCCGGACGGTGACCAAAAAGGACATGAAATTGAATGATCTTTGTCCAAAGGTTGAAGTCGATCCCGAGACCTATCAAGTCAAAGTGGATGGACTTTTGGTCAAAGTGGATCCGGTACGGGAGGTTGCTTTAGGGAAGAGTGTATTTTTGTTTTAAGAATTTTACGCAAATATCCTTTGTATCTGGCTTGGCTTGTGATGCCAAAATACCTAATCACTAAGCCACTCATGATCGCCGGCCTAAGCCACCCATAGGCGGAGGGACCCGCATAATGGGTCAACGTTAACGCCGATGACATTCCCAGCATTTTCGCATCTAGGATGTCTGACATTTACGCACGATGGAGGGCACAGTACGTACGTGCTGCCGGAAACATATATTATGTCGACTATAATCAGAAGCAGGAAGCTGACCCAAAGAACGCTGTTACGTGCTCAGAGGTATATATATTTCTGGTTGCTACCATCCCGTACTGCCACTGATGGGAGGCTTGTTGATTTGTAGGCACATGGGTATGGTATGTTGTAAGATAATGCAGGAAAAGCGTGAGATTAGAGATTGAATGCGCCTTTGAAAAGGAATGTTGTTGTCGGTGTATAACAATAACCAACAGGATTTCGATGGTGAGTTTTTCACTGAACTGTGTTATATCCCAGGACGTTGAGCCTGACGTCATAAAGGTTTCGTCCGGTACTTTGACGTCTTTCGAAACCAGAAAGGTCTCCTATCGTGGCAACAAATCCGGGACCACTCTGGGCGTCTAGTCAATACTCCCGATGGGGGCTGCAATTCCGCCACGGATGGTGACATTGATATTGCGCATGCCTTGTTCCTTGCTGCGGACAAGTGGCCTATGATGGGTGATGTTAATGGACGAGCGGTTCCGAGTGATTATGCGAGGAGGGCTGTGGATCTTTGCAAGGCGATCTGGGAACATACTGTCAATCAAGAGTTGTGGTGTTTTTTACTTGGGGATTGGGTGACAAGGGACGACAAAAAGGTATCTTTGGTTTAGAATGTTTGGTAAGATGGATGTGTACTGATATGTTCCCAGTTTTGGCACATTACTCGAACCTCGGATTTCATCCTTAGCGCCGTGGCCGTCTTTGCCCGCCGTGACACGGAACGCGCAAGTGGATGGCAACGCCTCCTAGACAACACCATCACCATCATCCAACACCTCCATACAGCACACCCCATTGGTCTCCTCCCCGATTTTGCCACGATACACCATGGACATTGGATACCCGTCAAATCTCAAGTCCTCGAAAGCAAACACGATAAGGATTTTCATTATAATGCGTGTCGGACGCCGTGGAGGCTAGCTGCGTATTTAAGAGAAACGGGAGACCAGCGTGTGGTCCCTGTGTTGCAAGCCATGGCACGATTTTTTGATGGACAGGAGGAAATCCGTGCTGGGTGTACGTGTCCTGTCTGTTTTCCACTTCTTTTTTTTTGCTAAATTGATGTTCTAGATCACCTTGATGGTCGTCCCTATGCTGATTATGGCGACAAGGCCTTTACGGCACCAGCGTGGAGCTGTCTCCATGTCATGGGTTCACCCCATGCCCAAAAGGTTTGGAAAGCAATCTCGGATGAGGAGCCGTCGTATTTTGGGGATTCTATTGAGGCGTTGTGTGTTGCGCAGTGTCGGTGAGAGGATGTACATGTTTGGGCAAATGGTTTTCTGATGTCGATGTTTTTTTCTTGGTCATGGCTTATTGGGGATGTATGGCGTAATTGTGGATATTTTGCATTGGGTGGATTATCTGGCGACTGGGTGGAACTTTTTATGTTTCATGAACGGTGCACACAAATACATATTATGTGAATTCCATTTAATGTAAGGTTTCATGCCATGTTTTTCTCTATAATTTTCAACTATATCCATCAAACGTGGGTGACAGGTGTCTTTAACAACTAGAATTCTCAAAACCACGTGATCGCATCGGAGTTTTAATGGACAGTCGCTTTGTAGTAGTTTCTGTTTTTCCAGGTGTGATCAACGAAAACTGCGGAATGGTTTCCACAAGGGTGGGCAAAGATATGATTTCCCACAGCAATTCAAGCGTTCGATCCACAGAACGGGTGCGAATATCACCTCGATCTCATGGTATGTGTACAAGCACATTCACCAAAGAATACCTTTTTTGGAACTCGTCAGTTAACCATATCTCAAAAAAGTCCTCCAATACGAAGTTCAGCTCAAAGAGCTATTTGAAAAGTATCCCACCCAACCCAGTCGAGAACGAGCTTCTGGATGTTTTGCCATTCTCAGCGAGATTATTCCTTTCTTGGGCACTCTGGGTCCCATTGTCCGGTTAATCAAGGATGAGCTGTATAGTTCAGTGTACTCAGAGGACCTCACATCGTCGTCAGAGGAACCCTTTGTGGAAAGATTACCCTATTTTAGTGCTGTGAATCGGATCTGTGAGGCGAGGTTGGTGACGGATGTAACCACCACTGCTAGAACTTGATGCTGATAACTCTACTCCTTCCTCAAAAATAAAACAAATAAAGAACAACCGAAGGCGTGAAAACCACTGAAACCCTCACGGAACTCCAACAAAAGCTCAAATTCCGCGAATACGACCTCCAAATCCTCCAACGCAAAAATCTCGCTCTAAAGTACGTAACCCCAGCTCCTGTGCATCCCATATGCCGTTAAATTGATGACGATCTACAACACCAGTTTTTTGTTGGGTGGCCTTTTCTTTGTAGGCAAGAAATTAGCGATCGTGAAGCGAGCGAACGAAAATTGAGAGAGGAGATCTCGGGATTGGAGGAAGTTATTCGAAAGCAGGAGGGTGAGAAGGGGAGTCTGAAGACTGTGCATACCAAGGCTGAGGAAGGGTTGAAGCGTGTTATTGAGGATTTGCAGGTTAGCTGGATGCTTGGTTCACATTGAAAATATTCGCGTGCGTTTGTTTATATGCTCCCCATCCCTTTCATGTAGACGTCACTTGCTCAGTCAAACCATATTATCGAGAAATTGACCGTTTTCAAGTCCGCTTATGATGAACCTACGGAAGGTGAGTTGTGATGCCTAGTGGGGTTCGCGCCAGTAGAAAAGCTGACAATTCATGCACATAGAGGGAACATATGAGGAAGAAAAAGACAAAAGCAAGCAACAATTAGTCATTGATTCCCAGGTAAGTTAATTCAAAAGCACTACACCACCAGATAACCTTTCTCAGCTCTGACATTTTATGAAATAACAGGGCATGGTCGAATACGATATTTACCAAGCGGAGCGCCTGGAAGAGCAGTTTGCTGATATTCTAAACTGGCAGTTGGACGACTACGAATCTGCGCTGGCGCAGCTTCGTAAAAAGCGGGAAATTCTAGCAGGTGTTACGACGAACGAAGAGGAGAGGGAGGAGTCCTACAGGATTGAGGTAATGCGTCATAATTTGGTTACGCCAGTGAGTGAAATGTGGTCATTTACGCCTTTATCTCTACTTGGGTAGCTCAACGATATTGTCAATGGGTTTAAAAAACGTGTCGCGGATTTATTGGAGGAGCAGCAACTATTGAAGAAGCACATCCAGGCACTCAAGATTGTATTGGCCAATTATGCTGGGGACAAATTAATGGCTGCCGTCCAAAGAACTGCTGATGAAGCGTTGCGAAAATACGCATTCGCACTTCATTACTCGGAAGATGACGGACAAACGTTTTATCCCTGCAAAACGATGCAATACTGTAACAAATGTGGTGACAGGGTACGTCCAATGCTTCATCACTCAGAATGATCATTACCATCTAAAATGTATTTCTGCTCCTTCCAGACAGTTGTTTGTCCCCACAGGACATTGTACAGCGAAACTGTTCGAATACCCTTAGGCATCACACATCTGAAATTTACACACCCTTCCTTGCGCCTCCGGACGAATTTCAACCGCCTGACTTTTGAAGCCAATCTCGCCAACAGACTGGTAGAGCCATCGGAGGAAACTTGGGTGACAGAGGATGAAAGCATGGAGGTACGCTTTTAAAAGCATCTATATCGCGCAGCGAGACCCGAACTGATTTGGTTGTTCCAAAGGTATCCAAATCGTTTAAAAAGATATGGCAAGGATTTTACGAGAGTCGAGGAGGAACAAGACCTCGCATCAGCCGCCCCATACCCCTCAACAAGTTGCTTGGGTTTATCCAAGAGATTTACGATACCCGATGGGCGTTTGAGGAAGATATCGAAAAGGATTTGCAGCGTGATCGGGCGTTGACCAAATTTGTGGTATGAAATGTGTCGTGCTGTATCATGCCGGGTGAGTGAATACAGGCATGTTAACTTGTTTCCAACAGGACTTTTTCTATGAACTGATGGAAAATCGATACCAAATCAAGGAGATTGCGCGAAAAGCCATCCACGACATATTCACCGCTCTGCAGCACAACGAGGAGACTTCTTCAGTGAGTAATACTACCTCGTTTTGGGCGCTATGGTTTATTGTTGCCTTTTTTATAACCTACGTACACTAGGCTGTTGCTATTTTTGTTCGTCATCTCAGTGAAGAAGAAGATGCCATGTGGAAATATATTACACTTGCACGCAAACTGTTTGCCACGTACGAGGTGCTCGACGCTGCAGCGTACCGGAAAATCATTCAAATCATCTATCCGAGTAGAACGGTAAAGTCCAATGCAAAACCAATCGATAGAATGTTGGCCTGATATTAATGCAATTTCCTTAGAAAGAGATATATGATCAAATGGAGTTAGAGTTTGTCGCATTCAGCAAGAATCGATTTTCGAAGGAGATGGTGGAAGAGCACTTGATGCACATGCTGCGAACAAATATTGAGCCCAATCAAAAGTTTGTGAGTACGGCTATGAGTAAGGGTATTCATGTCTATGGTCCACCGCTGAAGCCTCTACCTTTCACCATAGTTCTTCCGCACATTAAAACGCTTCGATTACCAAGAACAAGGTTTCCTCAGCTATGATGACTTTGACGAAGCGTTGGGGCAGATTCTCCCTGGTGCTCCAACCCGCATGAAGCGCATGCGATACCGTCTCTCTGAGCTGGACGTGGGTAAAGACATCGTTCCCCTAGAGCGACTGGCCCTTATTGGATCGTACATTTCCCTCTATTGCTGCTACTTGAGTCATTGGGTCCCACAAGCGCTTGTCGCCACAGATTTTATGAATGACGCCTATTTTAGCTCGCCTGGAACTGCAGGCGAGATGGGTGGACCGCGGAGCGGGCGAGAAACCTCGACACTGGGCGATTCGCCAGAGGCTAACGCAGGGATGCAAGAGGAGATTGAGGACATTTTACATGGACATGTGGAGAATGACGTGCTGGACGAACAAGCCATAGAGGAAGAGGTCAGTGTGTGCAGTTGCGGGTCCGCGCGACAGCAAAAGTTACTAATAATTGATGCCTTCCCGTTGACTAGGCCATGCGCATGGCAAAGCGGGTTGCAATCATGCAAAGGATGGAAAAGGATACTGGAGATGACGAAGAAGATGAAGATCAATTAAGTGACCTCCCAAGCATGCGTCTATCAATGGCATATCCGTGATGTGTCACAAAAACAGTTTTGTCGTGCTCCAGTAGAACAAAAGTAAGATGTAATACATTATACAACGAAAACGTAAGCCCTTCCCCCAACTCTCCTACTTTCATTGCGCTTTTACTTCGTCTCGCGCTCGGGCCATGGCTTTTTCTCTAGCTGTTCCGCTGCCATCATCTATAAACGAAAAGAAATCGTCCTCGGCCTGCTTAATGAGATCATCTAAGGCTGCTCCAGTCAATTTGACAGCAGCAGAATTGGGCCGCTTTTGTGCCGCCTTTAATCGCTTTTCTCTAGCGCTACTTTCAAGTGTTTTCTCTCTTTTGGCTTCTCGTTCCAGCATCTGTCTCAAGAGTGTTAGCTTGAACATTCAATGCAAACAGACGCTACTTCAGCAGTACCTGAGAAAAGATTGATTTTTCATTGTTTTGGAGACGAGTTAGACCATCAGACAGCTCGAGAATGGTCGTCGACCCGTCCCGAGCTGTGGTGGCAATGTGCCTGCCGTGCTCCTGAATCTTGATTGAATGGATAGGGGAGTTGCAGACCTTGCAGAATACATCAAAATCAGTTACTTGGTTCGATAAACGATTGCTAGTCCCGATTTTTTATACCTGAACGGTCAATGTCGGATCGTTCTGCTTGAAGAGGTAGTCCCACACATCAACAGTTCCGTCCAGTTTGGAAGTGAAGAAGACTGATGGACGAGTCGGACTCCAGCATGCATCTGTAAGGTAGGATGGTGCGTATCTAGTAGACATTATAGGAGATCGTATATCTTCCGCCCAGATCTACGAAAAGTATAGATTGTTAAATGTTTGGGAATTCTGTCGGGATTTATGATTATAAATGGTATACCTGTGCTTTCCAATCTCCAACCGTTAGGAAATTTTTGAGGAAGAACGGGTTACGCTACAGTTCGTAACAATTTAGCGCATGTACGGTGGATGCAACGACAACGATACCACCGCGCTGACCTGTAACGCTAAAACGGGTCCGTGATGGCCGGGGTAGATGTGGGTGATCTTCTCTGATGGGTTTTTGGCTTTTTTGTTGCACATGAAAACGGATCCATTCTCGCCGCCCACCATGAACTTTGTTGGCTGCAAACGCAAGGTTTCGTTCAATGCACGGTTATGTGGGTTGCGGCCCTATCATGAATTCCACATGCGTACCATGGTTGTTTCGTAGTCTACGACCGTGCCTCCAACAATCTGACCGTTCTTCTCCGGGTCCAGCAAGAGGCTTTCTGTCGGCTCTGCCAATTTCCTAATGTCCCACCAAAGAACTTGTCCATCGGAGGATACTGAAAAGAATTCGGAGCCTTATTCAAGCACAGACGTCAGTCGGTCTACATATCTTAGATGCTAACTTTCTTCCAACGGCGGTCAACTTACCAGATTTCGACTGTACCCACGACAAGTTATATACAGGGTCCCGATGGCTTTTGTCGACCGCTGATGTATCTACTGGAAACGAGCCTTTCCTGGTATCCCAGAATGCTAAATCGTAGCAAATACTTTAGCATGGCATATGCGGGTAAGTGTGATTGACTGTACTGACATATAAGCCCATTGTAGCATCCACCGACGAGCACGTGCGGGTCCTTGGGATTGTACTTGATGCTCACCAAAGGTGATGGCGGCGTGAGGGTCTGATCGGGGGTATTTGGGTTCTCTACGTCCCAAATATAGGAATCGTAGGACATGTTTGCCGGCATGGATTGAAACTGAAGCATGGAGTACGCTACAGCGATTTTATGGCCGTCGTCCGGGTACCAAGATACGTATGTCGCAGCCCGCTTCAGTGGATTGGGGTCTCTGTTGAGAATTAATTTGTTTTGTGAGTTATTGGGGTGCAATTGAGTGCTTCAAGTTTTTTGACCTGTAGACATTGAGGGATTTGGCAGACGGTGTCTCAACCGATATTGCGTCGGGTCCGTCTGCGAAATATTCTTCGTAAATGTCGATTGCGTTATTTTGCTTTATGCAATGTTCCATAGCCTTTAATGAGTTGCAAGTAAGATTCTGTTCCATTTGGGGAAAACTCCGCACAATGGACGATAATCCAACGAAAGACATACATTTCCCATGCTTTGCACCGCCCGAATGTACTCATCATCCTTCTCAACCTTTTTCCGGTATCTAATTGTGTGCTCCACATCTGTCGCGTCAACATCCTTCGGCCATCCACCTTGTGTATGGAGAATTCCTCTGTTGGACAGCACGAAACTCTCGGTGTTAACCTTCCCATCGGAGCAATGCCAACGGTTAGATCGACCAGTTTTGTACATGAAGACTGCAATCCATTGAAAAAATAGCCAACCTCATGCTCGGACTTTTCTGGAACGCTCTGAACCTCTGCTTGGCATGGATTTCGCTCCACATAATTTCGCATCAAAGTTGGATCGGATAGTATGTTCAGCCCAAGGACAGCCGTCCGATCCCCGAATGTCGGCTGCCGACCAAAGTCCTTGCGCTTCTTCTGATAGACGTAGACTATCTCCATTCTCTACGAGGGTGTTCCGTAAGGTATTCGTGGTAGAGAAGGTGATCTGTCTAGCGGGATGTTCAGGTCATGTCGCGAACAGTCTGAGTCGCCGAATAGCCAATGCTGACAAATCAGGATATAGGGTGTCAGTGCGACCTGACGCGTGAGTCCGACAGGTAATGCAATAGGACACCATTTGGACCGACCAGTGTCATTTCCCCCATCATTTTTCCTTTGGACGACACATTGCTGGAAGCATGGACATCACCATAGTCAGCTTTAATGTTCGCTTTGGTTCTGCAAATGATGGCCCCAATAGCTGGGAATTTCGCCGCAGCCTGGCTTACAAGGTATCCTTATCAGTACGGGTTCTGGTGCCCTGACCTAGTATTAACCTAGAAGGCATTAGACAATCGATATGCTTGATCCAGACATACTCTGTTTACAGGAAGCCGAGTTGTGGCAAATTCGAGAAACCTTGGATGGCGTATCGAAAAAGAGCTACGAGTTAGTTGGTGGGTTGGATATCCTTGACTTTTGACTTCGCAGAGGGTTAATAGGGGATTCACTGCAGGGGTGGGGCGGGAGGATGGCCGAGAGGCAGGCGAGTTCAGCTGCATTCTATACGATCGTGCAAAGTTTCAGCTTATTCGGAGCGGTACCTTCTGGTTGAGCGAGACCCCTGATCATCCTGGCCCAAAAGGATGGGGGGCGAGCTGTCAGCGTATTTGCACCTTTGCTGAATTGGAAAGGTCAGGCAAGCGGATGGCTGTTTTCAATACCCATCTTGACAATATAAGCCGCATGGCTCGCGCCAAGGGCATTGCTCTTGTCCTTGACCGCGTGAAGGGCTTTGGTGTTCCAGATGTGTTTGTCACGGGGGATTTCAACAATTTTGAGGAGGACGCTGACGAAGTGGTGCAAATGCGCCGTGCAGGCTTTATGGACACATATGAATTGTTACATCCTAATATCTGGGGTAAGGATAGGGCCACTTTTCACGATTTTACGGGCTCTGCGATCCCACCAAAGATAGATTTCATCTGGATGAGATCCCCAGAGAATAGGCTAAAAGTGGTTGATGCAGATATTGTTAGGCATCATGGCGAAAATGGGAGGTACCCTTCCGATCATTTTCCTGTAATGGCCAAAATAACTGGTTGAAATGATCCTAATTCTTGTGCAAAGTATCCTTTTGACGCACTGTGTCGGTGGACTTTCACGCATCGCTGAAGATGTCGTAAGCCACAACGTGCTTGTTGCCATATCAACACGATTGCTGCGCTCCAAAAGCTCTGGCTTGCAGTTCATGTCAAATTGGAGCTGGGAAAGGTGCTTCTACTCGCTAGCAGCCGTGTTGCTTGTGCGCAGAGGCGTCGAGAAGCCTGGTGTTCCGTCTTGGCTCGGCTGCTGATTTCTCTCCGCTTGATCCATGATGGATGGTTACGACAATGATGATTCGGAACGACGCTTGTACGAAGACGAACTTTACAAGGACCCTCTAGAAAGTGTGGACGCAGAGCACACTGACAGGTACTTTTAGTTGCTGGCGTTCTATGGCACGCGCTGCTCTGGTCACCATACTACTGCAGTGCTAAGTTGAGTACTGGACCTTTTTCACCAGTACGATATACGAGCCCCAGCTCACAGTATCACTACGTTTATCCTTTTCAACAGTGCAGAGAGTGATCTCGAGGACAATCTGCTGGCACATGTAAATTATAATCACAGTTTCACCTTGGAGGCGGAAGGTACGGTTTTATGCTTTTTTGTAGTATCTTTTTCCAAAATTTAATCGACTTGACCTACTCTAGGTGATGATGATGCAGAGGATCTGTCAAAGGGTGATATTCTACCAGAAGACCTCACGAATGCCAAGCTGAATGATGATGAGGATGACAAACGTTCCTCAGACATGGATATATCTGAGGATGAGCAAATTTCGCCTTTACCGAAGGCCCCTCAACCGGACGTCGATGAACCCGATACTGTCGACGTCCAAGCACCGCTACCCGTCATGAAAATCAAGAGCGCTGCTCCTACGGATGTCGTGGAGCTGGAGGATTTCTTAACAAAATCAAGCTTCAACCATGTATGGGCAGTTAAACACATTATATAAACACAACATTCGAAGCGTAGTCTTTACTAATAATCCGCAGCCTAGATATTTCGGGTCTGAAATCATGTGTCTCTTTTGCAGAAAGACGGGCCACACGGCCAAGTCGTGTCCTGAAAAGGTGAGTCTCGGCATGCAGCTGCGATCAGGACTGCTACTGGTTCGAAGGTTCACACCCTTGCTCATTTTATCAGGAAACTGCATGTTTCTTATGTAAAGCTGATCACGAGCCATTGAAATGCCCGCTTGCCGATGTATGTTACCGCTGCTGGCGACGGGGCCATCAATATAAAGTGGGTGTGTGGAAATAGGCAGTGAGAAAGTTGAGCTTATTGTCCATTAACGTTCATCCATTAGGATTGTGATGCATCTAGAGACGATAGAGACTGTGCCTTTTGCAAAGAGCATCATCGGGTTATGGTATGACTGATTGGCATTAAGGTTGAAGAATATAGGTGGTGAACTAAAGTCTTGCACAGGAGTGTCCAGGTGTCTGGCGACAGTATATTTATACTGCCTTGGTAAGGATGTCGTGAAGGCTGACTTACTATGTATCTCTCAATCTAATATTATCTTTAGTCAAGCTCTAAATCAGTACCGCATGAGAAAGACGCGCACATTTTCTGCTACGAATGCGGGTTGGAGGTACGTCCATTTGTGAGATAGATCTCAGGCGATTGAACTCATTTTTCTTCTTCTTATGTGCATTTTAGGGACATTTTGGTGACGTAGGTTGAATAATTCATATATAGCTATTCTTCATGCATTTTAACGGGTACATTCTTCTATAGGACTGCCCTCATCAAGGACGGTCGCGAAGGCGAGGACCAGCACGAGACGGTGCCTTCAGTACGAAATCGCTTAGACAAGAGTACAAATTCGAGCGTTATCGAGCTCAAGAAGTTTTCATCCCACCAAGGCGACGGAGTCGGAGCAGATCTGATTCTCGCGAAAGACCACCATATCGTGATTCTCGCGAGAGACCTCCACATCGTGAATCTCGCGCTCCATCTCGTGAGCGACCTAGAAAACCAGTGCACACACGATTTACATCGATTTCCCCATCATCTACCTCGCGTTCATCTAGGTCATCCCTCTCACCGCCACGGTCACGACGAGATACCCCAATGAAGCGATCAAACTCTGTTCGTGATGGTCGTGGGCGCACCGACAGACCCAAAAGTAGCAGGGAGGATGACCGCGAAAGAAAACGACACAGTTATACCAGCCACACCGAGAAGAAATCTGACCTTCGAGATCGAATACGAAACCCTGTGGATCGAAATGGACGTGGAAGTTCTAGGACGGACTCAAAATTGCAGGACAAGTTCAAGCCGCGATATCGTGGGACATATGATGGATCTCGATTGAGCCCAGGTTCTGGAAAGCGACGGTGATATGCACTAGCGTAGGAAAACTCACAGTTAGAAAAGGCCGTTATTTATAATTTTTATCGAATTGCGTTTGCTTTGGAGTCCTTTGTGGAATCTTGAACCATCCTCTAATGAAACTGTGCCATATTTTCAGTCACCGTGCCTCTCTTGTAACGTGACAACGAACATTTGGGGTTAATGACAAAAAAACCCTCCAAAGGGCAATCGACGCGTTTTTTCCTACATTTACATTTCTCTTCTTCTTCTTGAACTGCGCTTTGCACCCTATCAACTGGCATCTCACAGCAATTTAGCGCTCACATCCTGCACTTTCTACGCCCCGCACGTTCCGCTCCTTCCCCCTCCCTCTGCGTACGGCGTCCTCTTCTCCTTCGTCTCCCGACAACGCCTGCCCCCATTTCCCACCTGCCGCTAACGTTGCGACCATTCTAACCGATCTAAGGTTCTCACCCGATCACCTTCCCGCGGTTCTCCCTCACACTATCTCTTCAATGGCATCACTCAAGGCACGCCGCTCAAGCCCCTATGACGACGATCCCATGGTTCGTCTCACTGGGCTTTCCCTGGACCCCGACTTTCCACCGCACCATCACGCCGTCCCACCTTCAAGCTCTCCTATTCCCCACGCTCCAGCCGACGAGCAGGACCACGTGCAGAAGCGTGTTAGAGACGCGGAAGAGGCAGGTCCCACTTCCCCAGGTGCTGAAGAAGATTTTGACCAGGAACGCGATCGTTACCGTGAGGAGGACACCCGACCTTCACAGGATGATCAGGAGCCGTATTTGACTCTCCGTGCGTTGGTCTCTACCCGCGAGGCGGGTGTCATCATTGGCAAAGGAGGAAAGAATGTAGCCGAGGTCCGTGAGGTTACCGGCGTGAAGGCTGGTGTTTCCAAAGTTGTCCACGGCGTTCATGAGCGGATTTTGACCGTGTCTGGACCGTTGGAATCTGTCGCCAAGGTAAGAATATAAATTGTGAAGATAATGGGTGTTGGATCTTTGGATGTATATTGATTGTCCGTGATTTGCCTTTTACTGTAGGCTTACTATCTCGTTGCCAAACACCTCCTCGAGAACCCCATTGAAAACACCCGTCAGCGCGAACCCGCCCATCCCGACTATACTACCATCCGTCTTCTCGTTGCCCACCAACTCATGGGATCCATCATCGGTAAGGGTGGATCCAGAATCCGTGATATCCAAGAAGAGTCTGGGGCGAGAATCGTAGTCTCGAAAGAAATGCTGCCACAATCCACCGAGCGCGTCATTGAGATTTACGGTCTTGTTGATTCCATGTATGTACTTTGGCCTTTTCTGAAGTTCTTCATCTGAACTGTGGCTAAACCCATTGTTTATTTCCTAGTCAAATTGCCGTATACCAAATCAGCGAGTGTATCCTCAATGACATCGAGCGTGCTACAGGCACTATCCTCTATTCTCCCGAGAACCGATCTGGCCGCAGCCGGGGCCCTGGCCGCTACGTTGACGACGAACTCTCACCGAGGGGCGACCGTCGTGGTGGACGTCGCGGTAGCATAGGCGAAGGAACAGGCCCAACAGCAAGGCGGACTCACACCCGTGGTGATTCTCAAGGAAACGGTGTCCAGCTCATCTCCAACGGTAGTGCAGGCGGAGACCAACGCACCCAGACTCTCGGTATTCCGGCTGACATGGTTGGCTGCATCATTGGCAAAGGCGGTTCCTTCATCAACCAGATTCGTCGTTCTTCTGGTGCGAAGCTTCGCATCGACGAACTGCAAGATGGACAGACCTCTCGCATGGTCACCATTACTGGTACTGACGCTGCTACCAAGAAAGCTCTCGGCATGATTTACAATCAGCTTGAAGCCGAGAAACAGCGCCGACTGGGGCTGGAGAATGGTGACGACGAAGATCACCAAGACTACGAGTAAACCATCTCGCCTGGACGATGGAACTTTTCGCCCTTTTGCGGTACAAACGAACATATCAACAAGCACTTTGATCAATTTTACCATCGTCCGTGATGGCTCGACCTCCCGTATCCGTTTCTGTCAGCAAGCTCCCGTACGTCCTTTTTTCTCCTCCTCTTAAAGTTCCGTTCCAATTAGCTTTCCTTTCCTATACCTCAAACCAAAAAAAACCTCGACTTTGCTAGTCCTGCTGTCTTTTTTCTTTGTTTGGTGTAAACTTGTGTGTATTGTATCTTTCTCTGATGGCTTGACTCTCAGAAAGGATGAATATATTTTTGCTGGTGTACCAGCTTGCTGCCCAATGTAAATAAGCCCGACAGTTTAATTGCTATTGATGATGTTATTATGAGTTCCAACAAGCAGGTGTAAAACCCAAAGACTGCAGTTGGTTGGAACCAGTCTGTTGCTAAGGTCGCTAAATGATGTTGCTAGGTCGTGTACCATCGCCCTTGAGATTTGATCTAACATTGCTGGCCTGGATCCTCAACGCAAACAGGATCGAAAACAGCACACAGTACCATGAGCATTCTAAAATTGCTACATCCTCGCGTCTTGGCCGCCATCAAGGCAGCCTCACCTGCGGCCGCAGAGATCCCTTACGTAGCATCATGCGAATTTACTACAGGGAAATCCGGTTTCGGTGACATTCAAGTCAAGGGAATCCTCTCAGCCGCCAAACGTTTGAAGCTCAATCCCCAAGAACTCGCAGCTCAAGTCACAGAGAACCTTGACCTAGAAGGAATTGGTCGGGCGACGGTTGATGGACCTGGGTTTATAAATATTCATTTGACTGGAACGTGGGTAGGCGAGCGTATTGGACGAGTGTTCTTTGGCGAGGAGAAGACGCGGTTGGGTGCTGATGAAGTAAAGAGTCGAGTAGTGGTTGATTATTCAAGTCCCAATTTGGCCAAGGAGATGGTGAGCGGTTTTGTTAGCAGATTGTGGTTATGACAGGGGCTAAGATTTTCGTAATGCCAGCACGTCGGACATTTGCGCTCAACGATCATTGGTGATGCTCTTGTGCGTGCGTTGGAATTTGTGGGTGCCGATGTAGTGCGTCAGAACCATGTTGGAGACTGGGGGACGCAGTTTGGCATGTTGATCGCCCATGTATCCGATCAGACGGATGTGAACTTGGAGGAATTGACTGATTTGGAGCAGTTGTATGTTCAAGCCAAGGTGGGTGGTGCGCGATGGATAGAAAAAATGTAGGTTTCCGTATTCTGATTCTTTGTTTTTTAGGTTCGGTTTGATGAAGATAAGGAGTTTGCTGATCGGGCGAGAGAGTATGTTGTGCGGCTGCAAAGTGGGGAACCAGAGATTATACAAAAATGGAAGCAGATTCTAGATGTCTCTCTTCGGCACGCACAGGTATGTCTCACGAAGACTCGATTTGCCAAAGCAAAATCTGCAAGATGCTCACGTTTTCTGCAATAGCGTATCTACGACACCCTGGGAGTGCTTTTGACACCAGAGGATGTCTGCGGGGAATCATTCTATAATGACGATCTTCCCAATGTGGTTACAGAGCTCGAAAAGGCCGGTATCCTCGTAGTCGACCAGGGTGCCAAAGTCGTGTACACGCCTGCATTCCAGAAAGATTTCGGCAAGGGCAAACCCATTTTCATGGTTCAAAAGGATGGTGATGGGTTTGGATACGCTGCAACGGATTTGGCTGCTATTCGACACCGAATTGGAACGTTGAAGGCACAACGTATCCTGTATGTCGTGGACAAGCGACAGTCCCTCCACTTTCGCCAATTGTTTGATGTCGCAAAGCGTGGCCACTTTTTTGGCGATCAAGACTTGTTCCACGTTGCATTCGGTACAATGCAGGGCAAGGACAAGAAGCCATTCAAGACTCGCTCAGGAGGAACGGTCAAATTAGCGGAACTCATCCAATCGGCTCAACAGCGTGCTTTTGAACTCGCAAAAGAAAAGAACGACAAGCGAAAACCAGAGGATCGCTTCACGGATGCACAACTGAAGGAGATTGGTGATGCCGTTGGGGTGGGTGCCATAAAGTACGCGGATTTGAGCAAACACCGCGATAAGGACTACGTCTTTGATTTGGAAAGCATGTTGCAATTCGAAGGCAACACTGCGCCTTACCTAATGTATGCCTACACCCGTGCCCGTAGCGTTGCCCGCAATGCCGAAATTCTTGGTGGAGAACAAAATGGACTAGACGGCATCAAACTAGACTTTGATCACACGGCGGAACATGCTCTTGGTGTAACACTTCTTCAATTCCCTGATGAACTGGCGACTGTCATTGCCACGGCCTGCCCGCATCACCTATGTGGTTACCTTTACAAGGTAGCCCAAGCCTACACTCGATTCTACGAGGCTTGCCCTATTTTGAAGAGTGAAGAGGAAGTGAAGCGGAAGCGATTGAAGCTGTGCGCTGCCACTGCGCATATGCTCAAAACAGGGTTGGGTCTATTGGGAATTCGTGTCTTGGAGGTCATGTGAGGGGAGGAAATGGGGTAGAGACCGATAGAATGGCTGGTTGAATGGTGGAGTTTTGTTTTCTTTTTCTTTTGTAACTACGTAGATGTGACACATATACAAGCAGCATTTCCAGTGATTCTTCAAATGGTATACCAAAAAACGTGGCTGTCGTACAGCAAATCTTTCGGGAGCTGCTGTCAGATGACGGACGGTATAATATATTTTAAGATACGAGAAAGAATGTAATCGTGGCCGACGGGCCACAACCCCACAAGCCAGCAACCCATGCTAATACAATCTACAGCTCACTTTACACGAAATACTTGCTCTCATCTCCGAATGCTCTCCAAACATCCAGGAGCGCAACCAATAGACACCCAACCCTACATAAACCAAAATCTACAGAGGAAAAAAAAAAGGTATGGGGCAGACCCAAAAAGAAAGAAATACCACATCTTGAAAAAGTTTTACCCATTAAAGCCCCCTATCTTTTTCTTTTCTTTTGCAGAAGAGCTGTATGCAGAGAAAATAGCCGGGTACTTAGATAAAGTCCGAGACATGGTCTACACCATGTGTGAAATCCCAAACAACGATTTTACGATCCTAATAATTTGCGAATGAGCATTGTTTGCAAATATGGAAAAGAAAAAAAAAATCCACAAACCTGACTAGCCGATATAATCTTTGTAGCATCAAACTGGACATGGAAGACCCAACTCGAATGCGCATCCTTTAAATCCCAGAGCAATTCCCCCGTTTTGAAATCCCATACTTTGATAGTCTGATCATATGATCCCGAGACGATATGCTTTTTATCAAAGCAAAGTGTTCGAACGAGGTCATTGTGACCTTCCAATGTTCGGAGTAATTCTCCGGTATGCGCGTTCCACACCCGGATGGATCGATCGTTGGAACCAGATACGATGGTGTCTCCATCGAATTGGACGCAAGCGAGGCCCCGACTGTGGCCAACGAAATCGCGGATGCATTTCCCAGTTTCAATGTCCCAGAGTTTGATAAAACAGTCCCCAGAGGCGGATGCGACAAGGTTACCGTGTAAATGGACGGCGTTGACGGCTGCGTGGTGGCCCTCAAGTGTTCGCACAAGTCTACCTGTGGAGAGACACCATATCTTTATTGTGCAATCTTTGGAGCAGCTGACAATGATGGTGTCGTTGAAACGAACGTCGAGAACGGGGGAATTGTGGCCGCGTAGGGTATGGAGTTCTTCTCCTGATGTGTAGTCCCAGATAATAATGCTTGCGTCTGAGGACCCTGTTACAATGTATCGCTCATCGTATTGGAGGCAGAGGACAGATCCGCAATGGCCGCGGAGAGTTCGAGTGCATTTTTGAGTTTCCAGATCCCAAAACTTGATGGTGCGATCCCGGGACCCAGATATTATTCTCTCAGTGTCAAATTGGATGCAGTAAACGGAATCGTGATGGCCGTTGATGTAGCGGGCCGTCACGTTCCCTTCTGCCCAGTTCTTTTCCAGGAGGATACGGTTTGAATAGAGGCTTTTCCAGTCGCGTTGTTGTTTTCGGAGTTTTTGGAGTTTTTTCAGAGGTGTCAGCGGTCCCCATCGGTTTAGATAGAGACTCTTCCACACTTCCTTGTCGCGGGAAAGTTGCGCCCAGCGCTTTGAGACGAGCCCGAGCATCTGGACAGTGGCAATGTCGCCGACTGCGCACACAATCTGCACAGCAAGCTCATATGGGAGGTGCGCCAGGAAATCTGTAAGACGATGAAAGGGCTTTAGTCAAAAAGTAACATGTAAAGAGTATATGTTTGACGAAAAACGGACCAATTCTCAATAGCTCTTCCACACCGCAAGCCGAATCCGTTGCGCTCACACACCGTTCCTTTTCCACCTTTTCCAAAACCTCGTCTGGAAAGTCTGTTTCAATTCGTGCGGGAGGAGCATTTCCTTTACGGAAATTCCATTTTCCCTTAAAGAACATCTTGCCACTCAAGTTGGAAGTCCTCTTCACGAAAGACGCAGCGTGAGTAGGAGCGAGCACGCCCGTCACCGGCAGACTTGGCAGACTTGCAGTCGTGCCACGAGGTATTGTCTTTGTCCCTGTGACTGTCTTTGAATTATTTCTTCTTGTTGACCTTGTCTCAGCAGAGACGTTCAAGGGAATCACCATGCGGCAGCGAGGTGTTTACGTGAGAGCCAAGAGGTAATCACAAGTTGCAGAGGTGCGCGTTCCAGGTCATGCAAAAAGAATGTCGCCACGGCCGAATTAAAAGGTATCTTTAAATACTAGTGCGTGTGTTGTGCCGTGGGAAAGAAACGGTTGCTGCGGAACTCCTTGTCCCTTCTATTGTGGATGAGCGAAACAAAAAGGCGGATATATGTTTAGTGTTCTCGGAGGTTTGTGCCTGGCGAATCGCAGTTGCGTGTGGGAGTGCTGAGCAGTTTTTGGGAACAAAAAGGAGGAGGAAATCGACGACCACACACACAAGTCAACAAACGTAAGGTTGCATCATCCAAAAAAAAAAATAAAAATAAAAAACCCACAGCCAAATGGCAAGCGGATGGCAAGACGAGCTATCGCAAGCAGCCTCCAAATCCACAAGAGCTAAAAGCAAAAGAACAATAATCCTACAAATTGCCACACAAAAACCTCCTTTTGCCAATCGTCCCTCAAATTACGGCAAAGGAGGCAAGTGGCAAAAGCAAGTTGTGGATATAAATCTGAAACGTTGCGTCAATCAGGAGTGATTGTCATGTGACATTTAACAAGGATCTTTCAAGGGTTGCTTTGATCAATAAACAAGATTCAAATGCAACTGCTACGCTTGGCATCTCGTACGCTTGAACTCGTTGAACCTGCCAACCAAACACGGATCATGTTGCGGCATCTACGCAGCCACTGGACAGCCATTCCAGGCAGCCCATCCCCCAGCAGCCATCAGCGGTCCTTTTTGGCGGGTTCTTACTGCAATCGAGGCGAGTAGGAAACCCACGCGAGTAGCACCAAAAAACAAATCTCAAATTATCCGTTTCGTCTAATGAGACGTAAAAGGGCAGAACGCGCGGGCGAATTTCAAAACATTTGGCGACTGTGTGGCCCTACAAACAAAAATAATTGGTATTATCCCTTGCAAGGCCAGTTATTATCCGTATCTGTATGCCCGTAACAGATTATTGCAACGTTGTCATCTTCCGTCCTTGTTGGAATGCGATTATACGACATGGGAAAGCCAACCAGCATTAGCAAAGATGGTCATTACCAGACACCAACTCCTTCTGGTACATTGCGCATGGGTCTGGGATCTGATACACCGACTTCAGATCAAGAACCCACAAGGATGTGGAACAGAGTGAGATCCTGGTGAAATAACTCATTGGAAGTAGTGCAGGACATACCGGCCAATGTCCTACAAAATGATAATAACCGAATCTGAGGTAATGTAGCCGAGTACAAGTTTGATCAGCGCTTCGCTACACATTACCATGCTGCGGAGAATCTCTTAACGCTGTCCAATCAATACTCCTGTGCAAAGTCAACGCTTAATGCCACAGAAATAATGCCCTTTCCTACTGACCCAAACGGGCAAGGTACAGCAGAAATTGCAGCAGCAGACAAGTGGGGATGCTTGCAGAGTTGCTAGGGATGGAGGACACATCTATTGCAAGTTTTACAAGCAGTGGCAGATATGTCATTCATAATTGGGAGTGCGTTGATGGCAAGGAAGAATCATACATCACCTAAAAGAGATACTGCACATGAGCCAAAACCAAAATGCCCCATCAAGGATTTCAACGCACAGCGTCTATGTTTTAATGAGCAGCGATGACTTAAGGTTCCTGGGGGTTTTCGTTCATTAGCACCGGATTTGGACGTTGTGCTCCAAAGGCCTTCGCGCGTCCTGACGAGAGCGTCCAGCCGAGGATCGCAGATCTTCACAATGACATTGAATGCTCACTCTGACAAATTACGCCAGCGCATCTGCGTCTCCAATCACTTTGGGACGATTCGGTATCATGGACCCGTTCCCCTTGGTTCCAACACTCTTTGGTACGGCATTGAGTGGGACGATCCCTCAAGAGGAAAACATTCGGGTGCACATGACGGGACGCAGTACTTTCATACTCGGGTGCCAAACAGCGGCTCCTTCCTAAGAGTATCAAAAGTACCTACTGACGCCTTTGCACGCTCATTTCTGGAGGCATTCCAAGAGAAATATCTTTCATTACAGCCACAGGACGGAATAGTACGATTTGGAGGAAATGGAGTGGATGTGGAAACCGTCGGATGGGACAAGATATCCCGCAAACTTGCGCAAGCAGGAAATATACGGGAGGTCGGGTTGGCGGGAATGCGTGTGGGATTTAGAGGAGGAAAGGATGGACAAGTTCGAGAGTTGTGTCCTGCGATAGTTGATCTGGACCTCTCTCGTAGTTTATTTCAAACATGGAAAGACGTCGCGGACATTTGTCGAGAATTGGCAGACCTTCAATCTCTGCGATTGGCTTTCAATCGAATGCAACCTTTGGAGGATACCGCGCACGGTGAACTGAAGGATGTATTCAATAACCTTCGTGCATTGACTCTGATTGAAACGCTTCTCCCATGGGAAGAGCTACAGAAACTAGAGACATATCTACCACAACTGAAGGAACTGCATCTCGGCTTCAACCATCTGGCATCTTTTCCCCTCATCAATGGCTTTCAAAACATCCAGTTCTTGAATCTTGAGCACAACGATTTCACATCTTGGGCGGAGATTCGCAAACTCGCCCTCCTCCCATCTCTCCGTACCCTCATGATCAACAACAATTATTTGGCCAGCATAGAAGCACCTGCTGCGGGGGAATTTGCGGAGCTGACGACTCTCAATATCAGTAACAACAAGATAAAATCCTGGACTTCCATTCATGCATTGAACTCGTTCCCCGCCCTCGTCGAGTTGAGGTTGCGACGAAATCCGGTCCTCGATGACGTTCCTTCAAGCGATCTTCATCCATTTCTGATTGCACGCCTGGCCAAGCTGACAACCCTGAATGGGTCCACACTCACCCCTCGTGAACGATCGGATTCAGAACTTTATTATCTCGGACGGTGCGCCAAAGAGCTTTCCGCATCGTCCGATCCAACCTCTTTTCATCTTTTACATCCCCGATATGAGGAACTAGCACGAATACACGGTGCGCCAACACCTGCCCCAGTTACAGCAACGTCATCGATACTGAAGGATCGATTGTCGACCATCACACTTTGCTACGAAAGCAAGAAAATAAGAAAGAAAATTCCAAACACAATGAACATACGAGCGCTAAAGGTTCTTGCGAGTAGAATACTTGGAGTGAAAGGCTCTGTACACTTGCGGAAGGTGGGAAAGCTGGGGGCACCGAATATAGAGATGGAGGATGATTTGCGGGATGTACATTTTTACGATGTAGAGAACGACGATGAGATTGTGGTGTATGTAGATTAGGAATAATGTATATAATCCATTATTTGGCTATAGCTGCTTTATTTACGATGAGGGTATCCGGATATCCGTATGAAGGCTTTACAAAGTGTGAAAGGATGCCTTGATAGATCGCTTACGTGAATATTACCGCGCCACGTCTTCTGATTGGTTAACGTTGGTCCAAAAGTTTGAAATGTTTTTCTCCAGAATCAAAACCAGCGCGATCGCATTATTTCCCCATTGACTCTACTTGACAATATGGGTCGCCTACCCACGGATGCGATGGCCGTTGATAAACCAGCAACTCCAGCATCTGCAAACAAGAACAACAAGAAAAAGACTAAGAAGAAGAAGAACAGCGCACAGTCCCCCACAAGCACAACTCCCACAACCGCCGCATCCGAACCCTCACAAGAAAGCCCTGCACCAAATCCAGAATCCACACCTGTTGACGCTATGGAAACCGAGCAGCCAACACCTACCGACGCAATGCAAGTAGATAAGACTAAGAAACCAAAATTCAAAAAGCTGAGACCAGAGGCATTGGTAAGCATCTAGGGATTTTCTGTACTTTCTGCGGTGGGCCTGGAGTGATGAACCCATATAGAGTCAAGCCCTGATTTTGGGTGCTCTGGGAATGCCGGAACATATACGGATTCCATTGAGCATCATTGATGCCAACACTTTATATCTGACCATTTGGCCGTACAAAAAATGCCACCTTTTCAGGGAGCAACTGTGTGAATATGTTCGGTATATCTAACTCTTTCCATGATCTCGTATAGTCTGGCAACCGTGAATTTCGCAAAATCCCCGTCCCGCCACATCGCCTAACTCCACTCCAAAAGGAGTGGATCAAGATCTACTCCCCTCTTGTGGAGCACATGAAACTCCAAGTTCGTATGAACATCAAGTCCAAAGCAGTCGAACTCAGGACATGTCCCCAGACAGTAGACGCTGGAGCACTGCAAAAGGGTGCAGATTTTGTGAAGGCGTTTTGTCTTGGGTTTGAAATCAACGTACGTGCCTAGCGTTGGTCATTCAGATGATTATGCCGTTTCACTTACCATGGGCATCTCTATTCAATGCAGGATGCCATTGCCTTACTTCGTTTGGACGATCTCTATATTGATACGTTCGAGATCAAGGATGTCAAGACGCTTGCGGGCGATAACCTTTCGCGTGCCATCGGTCGCATAGTAGGAAAAGACGGCAAGACAAGATTCGCTATTGAGAACACGTCCCGTACACGAGTGGTCATTGCAGACACCAAGATTCATATCCTAGGGTCATTTGCAAACATCCGAGTGGCAAGGGATGCAATTGTGTCGTTGATTCTGGGAAGTACTCCTGGCAAAGTATATTCACAATTGAGAACGATCAGTGCGCGGATGAAAGAGCGATTCTAAGCATTTCGTCTTTGGATATCGCTTCATACCCGACCCTCGTGTACTATAGTTTATTTTGTAGCATAACAGTTTATTTAGGGGTTGGAGAGGGGCCTCTGCTTTGTGATTTTGCGTCTTGCGCCTTGCACACTTTAAAGTTTTTTAATAATAACGGTTTAAAGATAATTATGTATTTATGTGATTTTGGGTATGAATCACTTTTCGCTATGCAATATTATATTCGAATTCAGATAGTAGCACACTGCGCTCTCGAAAAGGTTACCATCTGGTCGAACCGATTTGCGAACGCCGACTCTGCCGAACCGTTCATTCCCCACGTGAATCCACTCTCCAACAGCACTCCCACTACCTCAACATTGCCTCTGTCAACCGCCTTGCGCAACAGATGCTCCTCCAACTTCACCATGGACTGATCCACACCCTGCAATTTCTTCCTTGCCCAAACCTGCACCAATATTCTGACAACCTCTACATGTCCACAGACAGCGGCCAACTCCAGCCCATTAGGTCTTTCCAGGAAGGGATCGCACGACGTCTCGAAACACAGAAAGCGAACCACATCTGCTCGTCCGTGCCTAGAAGCTAGCACCCCGGCCAAATGCAATCTCCTCGATACGTCCTCAAAGCGGTGGGTAACCAAACACTTTAGGATAGCAGTGTATCCCGCCACAGCAGAACTAAGAAACAGAGCCTCAACCGTCTGCGAGGGTATATGCAGTCTAGGCGTTCTGGAAAGGAGCTTTTCAACAATTCGTGCGTGGTTCCCAGGTACACTCCACTGAAGAATCCTGTTGCAAATGATATCATTCGCATCTTTTCCGCGCATGTCCAAAAAGGTTTCGACGAAATCAGGGTTGGCCAGCATGCGGTAAGGAACTCCCCGTAGTTTACTCTTTGAATAGACATGTCCATCCAAACTTCGTGGACCCACGCATCGTGTCCATTCTTCCTCTAGCCACTCGGCATTGTACCAAAGCCAGAGCCGTCGGACTGACTTGATGGTTGAGAGGGTATATATGTGCTTGCATGTCGCGGCAAACGCTGCGGGATACTTTATGTGAGCAAAGACTTGACTTTGAAGTTCCACTGGAAGTTGAATCAGGTCTGGCATTGTGCTACGTGGAAGGGATGGGGCCCCGAGACTGGATCGTCCTTCCTATATATCCTGGAACAACGGGCCGTTTCGAACACAAAAACAACGCCAAGTGGGGGAGTGAGAATCTGCGTCTCTGCGTGGGGACCACACGATCCGAGCAAAAAGTGTGTTTTGAAAAGGGTTCTATCACTGCAGTTTTGCAAGGGCTCGTCAGAAACATTTTTGAAACTGCATTGCATGACTGTGCCCCATACTTTGTGACTGTGGCAGGCAGCCAGATTCGATCGATTGAAGTTGACGAGGTTTCGAGTTTTTATATTTCCAATAGCATTATTAACAGGGTGCATATAACGACTACTTTAACCAATGCCACAAATTCTCATGTCTTTTGAATTGGTGATTTCACAAACTCTACTACGAGGGCTCTTAACCGATCCATATCGCCCATATCAGAACCCTCTATTTGAAAATCGTCAGCGTGAGCACTCAGGCGAAGAGTATCCCACTCAATGACATAACCATTGGGGATCCAATGAATTGTATGTGATCCAAACTGAAAACCCAGTAATTTTTTTTTAGCAAGGGTCGGAATCTTCAAAATATGTCATGGGAAATATTTACCTCTCCTCCACATCGGGCTGCAATTTCCTCAGCTGTAGGCCGTACACGCCCAGCTGATGCGTCAAAAGGTGCGATTATCTTGCGTATTTGACAGGTAAGCTTATCCTGATGCAATAGATTGCCGCTGACGACAACAGAACGGTGCTCTGATTGGGCCTCCAGTAAGATTGGTGCAAAATCTTTCAAATCCTACGTCCAATGGTAAGGTAAGTATGCAAAAGTGTGAACAGTCACTAATGTAGACCAAACAAAACCGTACCTGATCCATAACGCTACATCTCACAAAATCTCTGTCAAAAGGTATGTGTGTAGATTGAAAGGGTGATAGCGGAGTAAACATAGTTCCCTTTTGCAAGGTGGGAGGAACCTCCGGAATAGTCACTCCAGCGCGGAGGGGAATGACCAGATTTTTTGCATTCGTGCGTGTCGCTATTTCATTCAAATCAAGCCTTGTTTCCATCGGACATTTGCATATCTGCATCTTCATTATCTCTGCAGATCCCCGTTTGACAGGTGGAACGTTCAACAATTCTGTTTGCAATCAAGGGCTGTTAGTACACCGTCACCAATCCGCTCACACAGCGGGCTGACCTGTGACAACCATCAAATTCCTTGGATCATTCTTCCAGACGTTTAGAAAATCGCGTACTTGTCCCGCCTGTAAAGAGGGATGTCCAACAAAAACAATGTATGGCCCTCGATATTGGTACACGGATGCGGAAAAGTCATGATGAAACAGCAGCTTGTCCTCAAGTAATCGTCCATGTATCAAAGGTTGCCGAGCCTCATATAGATTCGCTTGTTTTTCCAAGCTCATCCTGCAATCGATATGATCAAGCTGCAACGGTACTTGATTGCGAGGCAGCTGCTCTTACCATTCACCTTGGATATTCGCAAGGTGGAGAGACCGTTTCGCTATTGATGACACAATATGAATCGGCGTCGTCACCAGTCCACATGATCGTAGGTATTCTGAGATAATGGCGATGAGCTCGAACATGGTGCCGCACGGATTGACTGGAAGTAGCACATTGCCCCCCTGTTCAAGCGTTTTCACTGTCGAGAATATTTGTAAAAAGTACAAAACTGACGACACTGCAGACTACAATTCGTACCAAGTATGTTGAGCATGTTCGTTATCATATCTCCAAGAGGACGACTTGGGGCCGTCCCCAACTGTGCCACAATCGTGGCATCGGTTTTGGAGAACGGAACTACGTCAATCACGGTTGAATGCCCAATTCTACTATTCGATGAAGCAGCCATATACGTGACCTGCCAAACCGAAAATTACATGACTGATTAACTTCTTGCTGGTGATATTCTTTACTCTCACCGTTGCATTAGGAGATTTAATCATCCAGTTTGCACCACCAAGACAAAAACCAGAACTTCGAGCTACAATCTCCACATCTCCGCCTAGGTCCTATCTCGCATCGTCAGTACCTGAAACGTTACTTGTTGCTAGCTGCAACAAGGGACTCTTACCAAGTACTCAGAGTAATGCACTCTTTCAATTTTGGAGATACAGCTCTCGATATCATGCAGGGAGTAAAGCGGATGCACCTCCTTCTCAAAGTGCACTAGATAGTTGGCCACGCCGGTATACGGATCTCTGCGACCGAGGAGCTCATTAGAGCTTCCACTTTATCGCGCGTAACGGACACGTTCAGTGCTGACAATAAAGTACCTCGAAAGGTTTCCAACCATTTCTTCCATCAGAAGCCTAGAATCGATCTATTTAGCGACTCTCCAAAATGAGAGATCTCCCACCAGCGCCGTCAACCAACCGTCCAAACTCGACCGTGGGCTCGGTTGCAAATATTCTGCCCTTGAAAGCCGTGTACTCGGTGATGAAGGGTAGAGCGAGAATATTGTAGGAGTTGGTGATGAGGATAAAGTCGACTTGCTCTATCGATATTTCCGATACGCGTGGCACAATGAGCTTGACACTTGCGTCGGCGATGGGGGCATTGTGAACGCTGGTGGGAGGTCTGAGGAATTCAAGCGCACAATCCAAAAGAAAGGGAACATGCTGGAATTCCAAGTATAGGCATGGGAACTGAGGATTTTTGGATAGTGAGATCTATAATTGACAATTGCTCATGGTCAAATTCTGAATTCTGAAAGAGCAAGTTATTGGGTTCTAGTTTTTTGGGGACTCCTTACAATTTCTGCACATTGCCTCCTCTCAGTTGCCGACATGACCACCCTGCCATGCACCTTAACCGACCGCAGCTACTGGCATCCACCCATTCACATGCGTTCACTGTCTAGATCACCATAGCGAGTTGAAGGTCGCATCGCCCAAGCCCACTTCAGCAACGTGATATCACATGATATTGTGGGGTAGCAAAGCCTTGCTTAGCTAATTATCCGCTTAAAGGGCACCGAGCGGGGACACTACTCGTCAGCCGAATTCGGATTCCCGAAAGCCGACCGCTTGGGTCATTGGTTGAGCAGTATAAAAGCGTTGGTCTGGTTGTTGAAGCATTTGCAACTTTTGTGCTCCACATTGCTGATTATTAAGTGTCTTGTATACACCTTGTGTATTGACGAGACTTTCGGACGCGTTACTCTCTACACCATCTGGTTATTCTGCTTGGGATACTTGGATTTGCAGCAGTCCCCCTTTTTCGCCATGCTCGAACTGATAGCAAGCCACCCAATTTTGACAGCCGTATTGGCTATAGTTATTGGTCTAGTTCTCTTGTCCCAGCGCACCACAAAGTCGACTTTACCTGGCCCGAAACCATGGCCTATCATAGGAAGCCTCCCACTTGTATACCCGTAAGCAGCAAAAGCGCAAGTCATAAGTTCACACAACTATTATCTAAAGTCTCCATCATCCCAAAAGTTATATGCGCCATGAACAAGGCTGGCGTATGGGCGAGATACTGAATGCAACATATGGAAACATTTTTGAGATCAGAATATTCTCGCGGCGGGAAGTAGTGGTCTGCGATGCCGATCAGGCCAAAAGGATACTGGCTGGCACAGCAGCCGGAGATCTTAGCAAAGCAGAGTTTTGCAGAGGTTCTCTGTTACAACGGATGCACAAGTATGACACCACCCATTTGGGTAACACAGCATAAACTTGGAATTTATGTTCTCCTGGTCACGGCAGGGATTTTGCCCACTATGGTCTCTTTGTAATTCCTTCCGGTCCTGACTGGAAGAAACATCGAAAGTTTCTGCAGCCTGCGTTTGGCCCGCATCACTTGCGTCTTTCTACGGAAGTTGCCGTTGAAGTCACGCGGTCTCTAACTGATCTCTGGGATGGGCTCCTCAAAAACGCTTTGGCAAACGGAAAGAAAAGCATCACTGTCAACATCCACGAAGCATTCTCGAACCTGACTTTGGATGTCATGTGCGTGTCCATGTTGGTTCGCAATTTCGACAAAGAACTGACTAACTGGCATAACTTGTCAACATAGTGGCAAGGTTGCATTCTCGTACAATTTCAAGTCGATTGAGTTGATGAACGATGCAGTCGCCCACAAGGACATGTTTCTGATTAATGAGGTATTTGCTACGGTTATAAAGGTGAGGCAACAAGCAACATGGAGTCCGATGGTGACGTTTCCACTAATCTTGAGCGCGATCGAACCTAGCGTTTCGCTGTTCCACCCTTTTTGTGGTCCTACTTTGGTCTTGGGGAAAAGGACGCTCAAAAATCCATCAAGTACATCAACACTATCCTTCGCGATGTTATTGAAAAGAAACGCGCGCGCATGGCATCACCGGATGCAGAGGAAAAGAGTAAATGGAATCTGGATTTACTGGATAGGCTGCTGGATGCTTCCAAGGGTGGTGGAGAGGTATGTGCATGGGAGTCGTTTCACGGTACTAGATGTATTCCTAATGTAGCTCTTTATGTCGTGCGCAGGATTTCACAGACCAGGAGATTATGGACGAGGTCTTTGCGTTTTTCCTAGCCGGGCACGAGTGAGTTGGTGACCTTGCAGAAACATAGTACGATACGCTTTACTAGACTGACTCTTTTTACGATTATCTAGAACAACTGCCAACGCTCTCACCAATGTCTTTTGGGAACTATCACGTCATCCTGATATTATGGCCAACATCGAACAAGAAATCAATGATGTGCTTGGACCCGATGGGGAGCCTAATCATGAAAACCTTGCATCTCTAAAGTGCGTTCGCATTTGACACAAATTCCTGAGGCCCTATCTAATTGAATGTTGTATCTCACTTTCCAGATACGTTGAACAAGTCGTGAAAGAGACTCTTCGTCTTCACCCAGTCGTTAGCGGCATTCCCCGTGAAGCCAATAAAAACGTTGAGATCATGGGCCACCATGTTCCTGCAGGAGCCACCGTGTTTGTGGCTATCCGCCAGATCCATAGGGACACAAGATATTGGGATCGGCCACTCGAGTTTGATCCATCGAGATGGGACAATGGGTTCAATCCACGCGCTGGGACGTATTTGCCGTTTGGTGATGGACCAATGAACTGTGAGTAATCCTTTGGTGTTGGGAATCGTTCACCTGGAAAGAAATGGTTAGGACTGACAAAGAAACTAGGTATCGGCCAAAAGATTGCCATGATTGAATCCAAAGTCGCGGTGATCCAGCTTGTTCGAAAGTACAAGTTTACCCTTGTACAAGAACAGTCTTTTAGGATTCGTTCCAGTATTACGACTGGTTTTAAGGATGGGTTGTTTCTGGAAGTGTCCCATAAGTAGACGCCTTGGTAGGTGGCAGAAACTGACATTTTATTAGGCACACATGTTTGACATTGTAGTATTTTGCATAACGGAGGGGTAGGATTTCATTGGTCTATAGTCGTTTCTTGTGCTGAATATATTTTGATGTACTTTGTGACCATGGAACGAACAAAGCAGCCATGCCTTTTTAACAGAACACGGAGCAAAGTTTGTTGTTTCCCATCGTAATTTGCCATAGATATATTGATGGATTCTATCAAACTGACTTTCTAGTGTTTCTAGATTATGCCTCAGTCCTTTTTGCCAGACTTGCTCGGAGCAACCTTGGATTTCACAACCACTTTTGGAGGAAGCTGGGTTTTCGAGTTTGAGACGGGGACCATCTCACCCAAAAGAAATCCAACAGCCATAACCAGCCCACAGATAATCCGCATATCTCCGCTCCCCAGAACCTCCGGAACGCCAACCTTCTTCCCGTAGACGCTCAAAGGCCTAATGTGCTCTACTGCAGCGGCCTTCAGCTCTTCGTTTACAAATGCAACATAGAAGGTCGTCGCAAGAATCACTACCGAGAAATTCCATCCAGGATAGTGATATCTCTTGATGCCTGTAAACCACTTGAACATAATTCCCCCAGCGGTCACACTCACCACACCTAATGCTAACTGTCCTATAATCGCTTCCCTGGCGACAGCCCCGTATGTTGGGTGCGCGCGGAATCCATCTAATCCGTAGCATAATGCCCAGGAGCGAGCGAAAGCATCGGTGACAATCCAAAGAGGCTCGAACGTGAAGTAGATTGCTCGTAGGATAGTGTAGACGAAAGGCGTGTAAAAGACGGCAATGTGACCGAGTGTGTATAGTGGTAACAAACTATTGGACAACAAGATCGGAACCGGCCGAGCAGTCAAGATGGCTAAAGAATCACTGCATTAGATCATTTGCCATATACACGCCTCGTAGATTGAGTAGCCCTTGGAGCGAGGATCTACATACCTGCCAAAGTTCCACCGCCCAGTGCAACAAGTATATGGCGGACTGCAGCCAAAATGACATTTCAGCAACCTGACAGTAAGCATATCACTAACAAACAACATACGGAATCCTTGTAAGAACGGCTCGTCCTTTTGCGGCGGGAAGGCTTTCCTCAGATGATACTGATGGGTATGAGCTGACATCGCTTTGGCAAAAATCACCTTGATTGACCCTCTTACCGCAACTCCCACAGCATGAATCAAAGGAAGGAGAGGCGACGACGCAAACTGGTGCACAGCGTCGTGGACGACTGGCCAAAGATAGGTGAGATCCGTCGACATGATACTGTTGATCTGAGTGGAACTCCCGTCAAACAACGACAATCAATGGCTTGCACGTGCCCGATCGGTGCTGACTAAGCTGCTTGCATCCCAGATTTCCAGTAAACGTATAAACTATAGAGACAAAGTCATCGAGAGGCACTACTACATCTTTTGCAACCCCCCGAATCTAATCACAACCAAAAACGCGCAAAGTCCTAGAGTCCCGAGAACCTGAGCTCTTTGTTAGGATGTCCCGGCGAATGGTGCGGCCCTCGTTCCAGAGCCTGTAGGAGTGTGCTTCGATCCGAAGTCGCGGCCGTAACGCAAGTCCAAAGGGTTGATATATATAACCACGCTGTGAGCTGGCAGCGCGCCATTCAGGTGGCAGTAAGCTGGTTGCGATCTATGATGATTACTGGTCTTTTCATTGCGGAGCATATGACTCTATTGTTCAAACTTGCCATCAAAGCTCTAGTATCACGGTATAATTAGACTTTTTGAGATTTCACCACCTTATTATTATCTGCTTGGAATCGATGGTATGGCGCATGTCACTGATCCCGCCGAACACCAGCTTTTAGCGGCACTTAACGTAACACCCGAGGGTGAATGGTATCGACCACCTTGGTTGGCCTCATTCCAACAGACTTGCTGACTTTCAATTCAGTGTAGGCAGCGGGAACTTTGATGCGGAACTTGATGAATGAGTGTCGGATATCATCGATCCAAAGGTATGGTGCATCCTTACAAAGTATCCACGACATCAAGAGTAGGCTATCCTTGCTACAGAACGTGTCAACGACCATGAGGAGATCGCGTATGAACGAGCACATGGGTACTAGTTTGATGAGCAGATAGATAGGTTGGGCCGTAGAGAGGGCATATGATGTCAGTAAGATTGGAGGATGGGACAGCGGTTCCTTGAGAGGACTATGTAAGCGCCAGTAAATCACTAGCGCAACAATCTATATGATAGGCTACTGTAACATGTTCACACATCAAAAGAGCCAGAATTTACGGAGATATATGATATTAACGCATCACAGGAATTCCAATATATGACAACATTTCTACATATCCTAATCAGATAATATACGAGTATATCCATTAGCCCGTCCTTCGTCCCAGCACATTGCTCAGCAAATCTTGAGGATCCTTCCCCTCAACCGCATTTCCTAACGCATTAAGAGCACCGCCCAGCACGTTTTGACCAAACTTCTTTGCCAATTCGCCCGCGACATTGCTGGGACACTCAAAGTCCACATCCTTCTTGCTTGTAATCTTTTGTCCCGTCCAGGAAATGATTTTCAAGTCGACGATGGCGACGATCTGCATGCGAATCCTTCCTGCTGAGCCCCCATTCGCAAAAATGCCGCAGGCTTGAAGGAGTACTCCGAGAACCGGATCGCTCGGAATTTGAACGGGCTCCGTGATGGTGTAGTTGATAGCGATTGGTAGTTGCACCACCGTAGTTTGCCTTCCTGGGAAGTCGATATCATTGACAACAGAGCTAGTGGACAGCTTATTAGCTGAATTTGTAGTGTCTACAAGCTGCCCGTTGTTATTCTTCAACGTGCCCTACATTACAGGAGACTGATGAGTATGTATGTTCTGGTGTGTGGGGCAGATATGCTAGACAATGACTTACCGATATTGTAAGTGTCTTCACGTTGAAAGACACATAGTTTTCTGAAGCCACAGAAATATTGACACCAATGCCAATAGAGAATGTGTAAGGACTGGCCTTTGTAGCGCTGACAAGGGAACCATCATCACTGAAGCCAGGCCTCCAGCTGGACCCAGGACCTTTGGCGGGGACCTTAAATCCCGCCGGTGATGACGGAAAATAGACATCCGAAACTACAATGTCGGGAATTCTCGGGAACAGAAAGAAAACAGCGACACCCACACCGGCCAAGACGAATAGAAGGAGGAAACAACAGCATCCCACGCAGTTACGGCGAGTTTTGAAGCACCCGCAGCAGTATCGCGTACCACCAATTCCGTGGTCGTCGTCTTTATCATAAAGTGGATTATAGGGGAGAGGAGAATCTTTGCGAAGAAGGGACGGGGGTCGACTGGTGCCATGGTATGCGCCAGTTGCTTGGTCTGTAGAGGGACGATAACCGAGTGTCGAACCCGGAGGAGGAGGATAGCTGTATTCCGATTGGGTTGGCATTGAGTGCAGCTGTTTTATCAAAATACCACCGAAACACGTCAGTTGACTACACGACTGAAAATATTTCCATCAGCATTCGTCGTTACCGTAGTTGCACTGTCCTGATGAACCATGTGTCCGCTCTCCGACGGCGGGGCGTATGGGTAGGAAGGATTCATTCCGTACTGAGGAGGCGGCCCGTACATTTCGGGATTGTACTCTGGGTTTGTAGGGTACGGATGGGCAGGGTAGCCGTGTTTCTCGTCCGGATTCATGATGTCCGAGGTCTTTCAGGGGAGAGCAGTGTTGTACGAGCCGAACGAGGTTAGCGGCTAACGGATAAAGGCCGTCCACCTGGCTCTGTTCAGTGCGTCGTCGCTTTTACGTAGGCGGCAAAGATGAGAATGCAAAATGCGCAAGACAAGTCCTGGCCATGTAAGAGGTCGCTAAATGGCGGAGCGCAGTAAATAGACTGTTTTTTGTTGGAGTTTCTAATCTTCTCCAATCTTGAAACATCAGCCATTTTAACAAAAACGCGGCCGAGCGGAGCGCAAAACTCAGCGCTGGTTCGCACCAGTAATGACACGTGTTTGACATTCCAATGTCATTTGTCTGTTTTGACATTCACAAGAGGAATAGATGCTAATGAAGTCTTTTGTCAAAATCAATAAATACACCATCTATCTGCCTAATCATTTGTGTGAGAGTATACCCACTCAATCCAGAGAAAGAGTCGTCGCTTCACCAAAAGCCAAGACGCCAAAAACAATGAAAAGAAGGCCTCCGATCAGCGTTACTGTAAAAAGTGACAGGTGTCAACTCTAGGCGGTAGATAAGACAGTATAGTGGACCACATACCAGTCTTGACACTAATTCGGGCGGCGAGCTATTTGACAAGGAACAGGGGGTCAGGTTATATCATAAAAAAGTAATAACCAGTCCGAGGAAACAACATACCATGCGACCGCCCATGACAGCGACAGAGGAACAAATAGCATGTCCGGCCAAACTGCCAACCGTCACCCACCAAAAATCTTCCGCACCGGCTAAGGCTACAGCTGCAGTCCCGACAATGGCGCTTAGTTGGCTGTTAATGGGGTAACAATCGAAATCAAAACTTACTCGCGATTTGACTTCTATCTCCCCATTCTGCCAAAAATGTCAGAACAAACCCCTCCACCCAAATTGGAGATAATATTCTTTTCGTGCATCCCCCAATTCTATCCTGCCATCTTCCAAAAAATCCAGTGTCCGTAGTCCTTCCTCCCCCTTCCATTTCATCAGCCTTCTCGGCCCCTTCCTTCTCATCCAACTCTGCTGCCACTTCTCTTAATTCCTCCTGTCCTTCTTTCCCGCTCATCCGCCATCCATCCCTTAACATACGTACACCAAACACCAAAAATAACACGGCGGCGCCTAATTGGGTATATCTTTTTGATATTAATAGTGGAGCAATGTGACCCAGAAACGCGGAAAGGACTGTCATAACGGTAAGGGCGGACATGGCGGCGGAGAAGATGAGGAAGCGTGAGTTTTTCATAGCGAGAATGGCAGCGATGAAGAAGGTTTTGTCGCCGATTTCGGATAGTAGGATAACGCTGAAACTCATGAGAAGGGCCTATACGATATGAACGTGTGTGAGTACACCCAAGTCACAACTTTGAATCCTTGAACTATTGCCTAGTATAGTGTCCAACGGCCGGCTACACATGTCATGTCAAAGTACATTTCCATTTTCACTACTGTCCACCAACTACCTACACCACTGGCCTAACCCATACCTGTAAATTGGTCTTACTCCCATCCGCCTGCGCAGCCAATAGCGAGTCTTTCCAGTCCGACCATCCCTGCGAAACAGCATATAAACACAATAAGAGACTAGAAGCACATGCTTTCACTTCACATAGCAGACATATAAGAGCACTCACCCCGACCGCAGACTGAACAGCGTCCATAACGCTTCACTCCAGAGTATACGTTGATTAAAGAGTTTGACTACCCAAAATGTTCAACAGAGCAGCGTAGTCTTGTTCGTCCAAGGTAGAGTAATAAGGGGCCGTTGAAAAAGATGCTGTTGAACTGAAGATGCCGGTCAAAAATCGTAGCCAACTATAAAGTCGGTACGCGAAACAGGCAGGTCAACAAGCCCATGCCATGATACATTCGAATGTCATTCAATCGGCGCAGCTCACCACTTCAATCACCTTCCCTCCGTTACTCATCCCAATCCCAGATCCAACATCAAAACTTCAACGACAAAATGGTATCATCCCTCTTTGTAGTATCCTTATATTGCTCTTAGGATCCTGACAACTGTCATATACATTCATAGGCCGACGCGAGTCAAGCTTGGGAGGTGCGCCTGTCAAGCGATAGTTATGTGGTCAGATTTCTGGAACCTGACCAGCGTGAACTATCCCACAGGAACGGTGGTCAAAAAGCCGTAACAGGGCTTACTATTTCAACAGAACAACGGGCGAAAGTCTTTGGGATAAGCCGGCCGGAGTGGAAGTGAAGGGAAGTGCGAATGGTCCTCAATCGGTTCGCGCGTCTCACTTGTTGGTCAAACACCGAGAAAGTCGAAGACCTTCTAGCTGGCGAGAGGTGGGTGTGGATTAAAGTATGCACAAGTTTCTTGTGTTTGAAAATTCAGCTTTGTTGCAGGAGAATATCACGCGAACCAAGGAAGAAGCTCACAAGAAGATTGCAGGTTAGTGGGCGTTGTTGGTTCAGATATGAGATGAATCGATGATAATTCCCCCTGCAGCCTTTCGTGAGCGCATTGTTAGCGGAGAAACCGACCTAGCTACCCTAGCACAAACAGAGAGTGACTGTAGCTCAGCCAAGAGAGGTGGAGATCTGGGCCAATTTGGCCGAGGTCAAATGCAGCGTAAGTTGGACACTTGTTGACTCATTAGTTTTGACCTCCCTTTTAAGTCGGATGGAACGTGATAAACAGCACCGTTTGAAAACGCCGCTTTTGCCCTGCAAGTGGGTGAGCTCAGTCAACCTGTCGAGTCAGATAGCGGGGTGCACCTGATTTTACGCACGGCGTAGTCCGGGAACGTACTCGTAACTCATGTATATTTGCTCGTAACTGAATATTGTGCCTATCTGATTTTATTCCTCCTTAAAGGATAGTTCGCTTCAGTGGTGGCCCCATTAACCGGAATGCTTCACAGTACTTGATATTTATGAATCAATTACCCAATCTAAGCGAAATATGTACAAAAGGAAATAGAGATCTATAGTAAACCGACTAGTACTAACATCCGCTAGGACGTGGACGACATGATAGCTGCTGTGCTTGGTACGGCATAGAGCTGGGTATACATTCGCACCAGCGAGTTATACCCCCTCATGTCACCACACCTCAATAGGTTCGCGGCATCGCAATTTAGTGGACTATCCGGCTCTGGGCTCTGTAGAAGACATCAGACACGGGATACGAATACTCGGAGGGGATGTATACTGACCGTCAACAGCACCCCGATAGCTACGCAGGCCGACTGCAACGTCCACGCAGGACTCCAGGCAGATTTCAATAAATCAAGACATATCTCACCAGTCTACCACAGGTTGTCAGATAAGAAAATACGTGACTGCATCAAAATAAGGTCAACGTTTACTGTACCTTAAAGTGCACGTTCGGATGACAAACCCTTCCTATGAACTTGATAGTAGGTGGTTGCATCGGATACGAGTTGGGTACAACTATATCAAGATCAAAGCGTCCTCCTAGTATTTCACATTATTTAATTAGTAACAGTATCTTGTAGTTTAGTGCCACGTTTGGCATGCACCTTCATATATCGTCCCCTCTTGGCCAGCAATGACGGCTCGCCATGCCAATAAATTGTCGTCAGATGTAGGCGACAACTCGACAACTTGCGGGTTTGGATCCCGTTGATAGTCCCGCAATTCCTTTATGAGACGGCGAGTGACTGCATCCATGAAGGGCCAATCTCCAAGTCAATTGTGCAGAACACATGCAGTCGACCAGCAAAAAGTCTCTTGCAGAGTAATGGAATGCCGTCTCAAGGTAAAACACGTGTTCGCAGCCCACAGCCCAACGCGCAGGGGCAGGCAAATGCAACTCTCACGACTTTTTGGACGAGTTCCTACAACGATATACACATCATGTCGTCAAACTATGACGCTATAGTGGATTTGGATCCGCCAGTATGTGGTGAACGTTACAATTTTGGATTTGGATTGGCTTTCGCGTACTGATTGGTTTTATCTGGATTGTGTAGATTGATACGCCCGAGGCACAGTTGGAATTTCAAAGTATGTATCAACATTGCTTGCATTGGAGAAGGGTGTGGGAAAGTTTGGATACGTCAATGTACCGGGAGTCGCTGCGTACTCGGACGATTTCCGGCGTGGTTGGAGGTCACGGTGGCCAGGCGACGCTCCGAAGCGATTCTGTCGAGAGTACCTCCCTGGCTCCATATTCAATGGCGGTGGCAGGAACGGATATGTGCCCAAGATGCGTCCATGTCCAAAAGCCAAATTCTGATGAAATCGTTTCTTCTTCTTTTGCCTAGATTTCATTCTCTCGGAAGATCAGAAGAACGTGTCGGGAAAGGTGAATCCACAACGAGCAGGACCTTCCTCCGGTGCAGGTGAGGAATTTAATCGTTATTAAAGTATCCCGTGGACCTTGAGTACCAGCATTGCGTGGTTTATCTGCAGATTTCGGGTTCACGGCTCCTCCACCTCAGCAGCAGCAAACACAGGCCGCACCACAAGCACGCGGTGGTTTTTGGACGGTTGAATATTACTCTCAGTACTTTAATGTTGATACAACAGATGTGAGTGGGGCGTGACTGACGCGCCAAGTGGATTTTGGTATTCACTGGGATAGCACAGGTCGGGCAGCGCATAGTCGCAACGGTTATACCCAAACAGAAATTTGCAGATGTGCTTGGTACAAATCCGGATCTCTACGGTGAGCTTTGTGTGTTTTATTTTCAGTTCAAAGAGGATTACCCGCTAAACAATGGCCCATCTTACGCAGGACCATTTTGGATCGCAACGACCGTCATTTTCGCACTCTTTGCCACTTCAACGGTGGCTGGATGGATCAACCACAAAGAGTATACGTATGATATGACGCTGCTGTCCTTGGCCGTAAGCACCGTATATGTCTACACGAGCGTGGTCCCGCTCGTCCTATGGGGGGTTTTGAAATACTTTAAAGGGCCGGCAAATCTGCTAGAGTTGATTGACATGTACGGATATGCTTTGGCTGCCTGGATACCTGTTTCGGTAATGAAGTTCACCGCGGTGTGTTTGGAGTTCTGAGGAGATATTGACACCCCTGCTTATAGCTTTTATGCATTATCCCTTCTGAGATTGTCCGATGGGTTCTAGTTGCTGTCGCTTTTGCCAGTTCAGGTGACAATTTGTGACTTTACAACTATACGCATCCCGCTGCTCATCTTTTATGTGTTTTTACAGTGTTATTCAAGATTCGTACAGTCCGACCGATCATAACTCAAACAAACGATAAAAGAGCCTCGACACTTGTTTTATCCATCATCGTGCTGTGTCATGGGGCATTGGTTCTGTTGTTTAAATTTGTCTTTTTCCGATTTGTAATTTCGGTGTAAATAAAAAGTAATACCGAAATGGGAAATACCATGGTCGTTTGGCACAAGTCTACGGCAAGTGTTCTTCCCCTCAGCTTAAACCTTAATTCCACCCCGTACCCGGCTGTCGGATTTAAAGCGGGCTTAGGCTGGCGTCGCCGCAGCGGTGGTAACACAAAGAGTTTAATGTCATATCACGTGACGGTTTGAAGAACTTGAAGCGAACCTTCTTTTTTGACTGTTCCTTTTGCGTTTTTTGTTTCTTTGGGTGGAAATGGGTACCTTTTTTGTGTGCTAATAAGGGGATGGCCCATCACACATGGTTGCAGGGGACATCCCGTCGTTGCAAGCTGATAGTATAAACGCTTATCCATCTTGATTGGACTTTCCTCGTCATTTGGCAACACGATTTGTCTTTGGAGCGAACGTTTTGCCCCTTATTGCGTTGGAATCCCAACGTGACGACATGGCTACCCATCCACCATCATCACCAGCACCTGGTTTTCGGGAAGCCGTCTTTTGGCTTCTGGTCTACTTTGCCTTGAATCTCACCCTAACGATATACAATAAAGTTGTCATGCAATTCTTCCACTTTCCGTTTCCGTGGACACTTACTGCGGTGCATACGGCGTGCGGGACGATTGGGTGTTATTTGTGTGCGGGGACGGGGTATTTTCTGCCTGCCAAACTGGGGCAGAGGGAAAAATGGGTTATGGTGCTTTTTTCGGTTCTTTATACGTTGAATATTGCGGTTTCTAATGTTTCGTTGAATATGGTTACTGTGCCGGTAAGTTTTGTGAGGATGTATAGTGTTGTGTGGGGGTTTTGTGGGGGGATTACGGTGCTGTATGCTGCGCATGATAGTCTTTTTACAAAATGGACAAAAGTTGGTGCGTTGCAGAGTGCGCAGTAATATCTCACACGTTTTTTTTTCTTTTTTTTGTGAATATAGTTTCATCAAGTCGTACGATCGACAGTTCCCCTATTTACGATCCTCATCTCAATAATCTTTCTCAAAAAATCGTACTCTGGTGCCATTTATTTCACGCTACTTCCAGTAAGGCACGCAGTAAAGGTTTGTTTGCATTGTGGAATTTGACTGACTAGTCCGTCTTTTTTGTAGACAATTCTTGGCGTTTGCCTCGCAACGGTTGGAGACTACTACTTTACCTCGATAGGATTTATTCTCACTCTACTGGGAACCGTTCTTGCGGCGCTTAAAACGATTGTTACCAACCGCGTGCAGGTTGGGTCCCTCAAACTTCATCCCCTCGATCTCCTCATGCGCATGTCACCGTTGGCCCTACTCCAAACTATGATGTATTCATTTGTTACTGGGGAGATGTCCCGCACCTTTGAATTTTTCAATCAGGGTGGAATGACACCAGCGTTGATGGTAGCATTATTTTTTAATGGTGCCATCGCGTTTGCGTTAAACTTTGCTAGCCTCACTGCGAATAAAAAGACGAATGCCTTGACCATGGGTGTCGCTGGTGAGTTACCTGCTGTAGTGATGCTGCCACTCTAAACGGTAATGGTGCAAAAGACTCACTGCTTGCTGAAATTAACCGCCAGGTAACGTCAAGCAAGTCTTATCAATCATATTATCGGTTACTATCTTCAATCTTGAGATTACTTCTATGAACGCACTGGGCATTCTAATGACGCTATTCGGTGGTAAGGCATCCACTGATTTTGTACAATGACCGTTTTTGGTGGTAACAAGTGTGATGTCAGGTGCCTGGTACACATATACGGACTACCAATTGAAGCGAAAAAAGGATGTATCAAATGAGGCCGAATCAACCGCAATGCTATTAGAGGAGGGAAATCGGCGCACCAGTTAGCATTGCGGTTGCAGAACGGACACACTCTGCGGGACAGCCGTGTGTCCGTCACCTTCCTTATGCCACACTCTTGTAAACTCTGCGTGTTCAATAATGAACAGCATTTCGGAAGGACCGCATGAGTTTTGGTTGAGTTATTTATGAAAATGGACCGACTCGTTATGTGATGGCGACAACATCCTTGCAATGAGTCAAGGACCGTGCACTGGAATGTCTACCGAAATCTTTCAAACTCGGTAATTTACGTGAGGGAACGAGTGAAAGTACCGATTGGATGTATATAGCATACCATATACCGCGGTGCGGAATGAAAGAGGGTCAAACCGCTAGGTCGTGAATACTAGTAAGATATAGTCGTCGGTAGACGTGATGATTGTAAATAACGGCCGGTCGGCCCCCTATACAGTTTATAGTACTTAAAAGTTCAGATATTTAATATATTATCGATACTGCTTTTTAGGAGATACACATAGTCAGTCTATGAAATTAGTCGCTTTTTTCTAATACCGGTTAGCCCATTTGTTTACACGCTTTTCACTTACAAGCCAATGTCCACGCCCAACGTAATCAAACCTCAGCGCGTTCCAACACTGCAATCCTGCAAGACCTGCCGGGATGACTTGTCATTCTTGTCAGGCTTTCACCGTCAACGGGCAAGGTGCGAGGCGTTTCTCGTCTTACATGTTCTCGCCCATCAAGCTAAACGACAGAAAATGCAGGTATTTTGGATGCCTTACAAGAATGGGGCGATAACGGACCTCTCTTTGCGCTTGGCTTTGTGCTATTCCTGGGTGTCGTGGGCACAGCTTGTACAGCCAGTGTCATTTTCCGAGTGAACAGAGAGACTAAAAAATATAAATTCAAACGCACAGAAATGATCAAGACAAGATAATCTTGTTATCAATATATATAAAATCTGTGTTGAGTGTCTGGGTTGATTTCCACCAAAAAAAAAAAAAAAAAAAAAAAAAAGTACGATACAAAGAGTAGAATATGTTTTTGCCCTTCTACATATTTGCTTTTTCCTATGCTTGTCTCTCTCTGAATCCGCCCATTGATCTCTGTATACCACTACTTGGCTAGTCATATACACTTTGATTGACACACTACCAAATTCTAATATACAGGAGATCTAACCACATATGAATCCAAAAAGTCTTCAGCATCGAAATCACTCTCCGCCGATCCAGCACCTCTTGAACACCGGTTTTGTTGTGAAATACTCAATGTAGAATGGAGGTGAGTGGAGAGGTTTTCGACTGTGCTGACAGGTTTGTCCTTTGCTGGAACCGGGGGCGGAACTTGTTGTTGTTGTTGTTGTTGTTTTTGTTGTTGGTGAGGATTTTTGCCATTGCCTTCAGCAGAAAACCCAGAGTCCCGTCGTACGACGGATTCAATAGCGGCGGCTTCTTCTGCTGTTCGCGGGGTAAAGAACTTTGCCACGATACCAGACTCGAGCATGGACGGGGGAAGGTGGTCGCAAAGGGATGAGAGATATTCTTCCATGGCGAGTTGTTGGGCGTGAATTCGTTCGTCCACGGATTTACGGGACTGGGATGCTGCTGAGGACAAGGTGATGCGAGCGGGGAGAGTAGGAATCAAATGCTTAAGATTGTTGTATGCGCCAAAGAATTGTACAAGTGAGTTGTGGAGTACGACAAAGTCGTCAAAAGAGCGAGTGATAATATGACTAGAGTATTGTCGGACGACACGAACAGAATAGGAAAGATTTTGATGCGGTGGTTGTAATGCGACATGCGTGGAAGAATATGGTGCTTGGCGAATGGTAGAAATGATTTCGGCGTATATGAAACGATCTCGCGAGACATTGGGTGCTTGCTTCTGAGGAGGTGGAGGACAAGTTGGTTTTGTTGTCGAGGTTTTCTGATGGTGTTGTTTGTGTTGTTGATGTTGCGAGGACCGAGTAGCCGTATTGGTGGTTGTTGTACGAGATCTATAGGCATTTCTAGGAACGGTTCCGGCTCGTCTTTGCAATTCTGCATCGTCGGGGTGAAGGGGAGGTGGAGCCAAAAGGGCTCCTTCCGAGTAGCGCCGCGTATTTGCCTGCAAAAAGGCCCTTAACTGTCGACCAGCGACCGTCTTTTCGGCAGCGTTTGCAGGTACCGTGGTTCCAGCCACGGCGGCGGCAACATGCTGTTGCTGTGATGGTTGTGATTGCTGTTTGGGCGGGGCGGGGTCCTTGCTCAACAAGTCGACCACCTCAAAATGGGACACAGGGACCAGCCCTGATACTGCGGTCCGCGAAAAAGGGGTTGCATACTGCGTACTCACAAAATAGAGACCTCTCACAGTGTCTGTCGACAAGACGTAGAAAGCCTGGCTCTTGCGAAACGAGAGAAGGCAATCTTCACCAGCGTCCTTTGGTGCCAAGAAATCTGAGATGGCTCGTATTTTGAATATGGAAGTCGCTGTTGCGGCCATTTGCTAAAGTCTCTTCTTCTTCTTCTAGCTTCTCACTCGTTGGAATGATGATGGGGGTTGGCCTCTCTTTTTGATTTCGTTATATGGTATTGGAAAACGGATAAAGGGGAAATGCCTAAAGGGCAGAAAGAAGGGGGAGGCCAACAATTAAACGGCACCAGTCCGTTTAATAAAAGGAAAAGTCTAAAGAAAAGAGAGTTGGGAGGAGGAGGAGGAGGACTGCAGTATAAAGGGTGGAAGAACAAAAGAAAAAGAAAACCCCTCCGACAATACAAAAAAAGTCAAAGTAGTCGACATGACCAATACAGCAAGTTGATTTCTATAACGCTGTTATAAAACCCCCCCATTTTCTTTATTCATTCGCCACTCTCAACATATTCGACTACTACTACGAGTCCCAAACGAGAGAAAAGACCTTTAGAAGACGTCTAGTCAAAAGAAAGTTGAAACTGCTGAACGCGTATCAGAAACTTTCTTTATAAAGACAAAGTGGATTTGAACGAATCAATTGACATTAAAAGTATTTAGTTTTGGAGTTTTGTTTTTTTGGTTAAAAGTTTTAGACTTATCTCAACAGCAAAAGAAAAGAGAGAGAGAGAGAGAGAGAGAGAGACAGAGAGAGAGAGAGAATAAACACGTGTTCATTGGCAAGGGTTTGTTTTCTTTTGAAACACACAAGAGAGAAATCTTTTTTTACTCTTTAACAAAGGAAAACATTCGCAAGGAGACTGTTATTGCAAGATTAACAATGTGTTGTGATTTCTCTCTCATGTCCCCCTTGTTCTGTACAATCTATCGAGTTCCGCTACTTCTAACGATACTTGACAATACATTTGATAACGGGGGAGAGTAGCATTATGCAAAACACAAAAAGTACGTGAACTCGTCCCGAATGTGTTCCAAAACACATGGTACACTTTTCAACTGACTTGCGCGCACAAATCGGTGAGGTTACCTGATCTTTTTGTTTGGATTGTCATTGTGTGTATAGCAACATTATCAATATCGTTTGTGCCTTTCCCTTCTAGCGAGGTCTTGGCTCAAAGAAGCCCTTCTACGGACAATGTGGGGCTCATTAAAAACAAAAAAAAAGCATGCAGGGTTTATCCAAAAAAAAAAAAGTTGCAGTTGCCTACAAATGATTGCCAGTTGCATTTGAGAATGGCTTTTGTTTTTTTGACACTCCCAATCAAGCAAACGCTTGGTGACTCTCTCAAAAAGCCACCATTGGTGGATGTGCAAGTAATGTGGAGTCGTATTGACAAATGTTGGCTCATGCAAAAGTGGGTGTCATAGTGTCCCTCCTTTGCTTGCAGTTTCTGCTGCAGTTCCCGTGGCCACCACACAACAAGAACCCTGAACCGCAAAGCTTTGACATCTATGGAAAAACCAGACCTTGACAAGTCGGGGCATTTATCCCATCCTAGACAGTGTTTGATCCATCGTCAAACGTTTGGTCGGTGGGAAATGGGCGGCTGAGACTCGCTGATCTTGAGTAATCAGAGCAAAGCCTACATTTTGTGTAAACACTTTCTACCTGCTGACAAAGTGTGGCTTGTTCATCTACCGCGTCCTTGTCCTGTTCTTCGCGTCTGACGTGTGCTGGATGCTGCATACTCCAAAATGGAAGAAAACACTGGCAAACTCATCTTTATGACAGACCTAAGGACAACCAGTTATCATCGGACATTAGATCCTGTAGAAAATCTGAAAATAAAAGTTCGACTGGCCAAGATCGCCGATAAGAATGTTCCCTTGATTGAGGGTAGTTTGCCAATCGAATGTTTTAGACCATGGATATTTCCTCAATACAATGCTACTACTAGAAACGCTTTATATAACCGAAGAAAATAGAAATAGAAGATCGCTGTTGCCAAAGCCTGAAGTAGCCATCGTAGAATGGCAGCAAAAGATTTTCAGCCCTAGGTAAGTCTTTTTGTTTACTTGACATCATTACCCTCTACTCAACGTGAGAAAGCGAGGTGCTGCAGTTCAAGACATTGTCTGGAAATCCGTCACCATTAGAAAGACGCTATCATGAACAAGTTCACAAGTTGGCTGCGAAAGCTAAATCCCGAGAAGCGCGAGTCATGAGTGCGGGACGAACACGAGGAGGTATGAACCATCGACAATGTATAAAAGGCAAAAGGGTATCAATGTTTCCTTACTATTCATACAGCACGCAAGCACATCTTCACCTATGTGCAAGAAGACGACTTTCTGCCCAAGGATCTCCATTCACCCACAGTCACAACATCACCTTGGGAACATCCATCTCGACTCGTCGACGGCGTCCTGGGATTTGAGCCTATCGAGAACAATGAAAACAATCCAGAGATACTCGTATACCGACGAAAAACTCCCTCCCGCCATGCACAGCCGGCAAAACATCGACTGGTCGAGAGTGGCATACACCCCAAAACGCATCGCGAAACAAGTGACTTTGTTTCCAAAGATCCGGTGCATGTCCAGCGACCATTGCTGGATGCAGCATTCACTGAAATGCATATCATGGCGTATTTGCATGTTGAGGGTAAGGTTTCATACCTTTGGCAAACTTTCAAAGTTCCACAAATCCCAATTTTTGTTTATCAGCACAGACAGTGCACCATCTTTGGAAATTGGACGAACAGGGCCGCTTTACGAAGGCGTTGAGAAGCGACTGTGTACCATTAAAGCATATGATAATGGCTTGATATCGTTCACAGTAGGTAGAGGCACTGTGCTACCGAATATTACCACATGTTCACGAGTCTTCCATCCAATGTCGCAGCCAGCATTACAATCACGACGAGCCCCAAAAAGCGCGTATCGATTTACGCTTGGCGACGATACCTATGAGTTTACGATAAAAAATGCGTCAGAGGCAATAACGGAAGCCGACGAAGAGCATGAATGGAAGATTTTCCAAGAGTTTTACAAACAGTGGGTATTATTTCCGTTCTTCATCCCATTGATCCCTACTAAAAAATCCTGTCACCTACATCACTGTCAGACAAGCGAGGCGAAGGGCAGATCTTGTAGGCACCGAATTTACCGCGGTCCCAAAATTGTTTGGTCATCGAGTTAATGTAATGGGTGAAATTGTCTCTGCCCGAGGATTTCATGGAAACGGTTTATACGTCCGTTATATGATCGATATACCAGAAGGTTGGAAAGATGAGACACCTCTCCAAATCTTGTCGTCCTACACCCAAGTTGCAAGATCAACGTATGACGAGGAGACGGTATCATATGAAGCACGGTTTGGCTATCCAATAGACATTCAACTCATGGCAAATCGATATGGTTTGTTCTAGTTTATTGGCATCTTTTTACGTATCCAGTGTACCAACTTGTTCATTATCCTTGCCAGATCGGATTGCCCAATGGCCTCGCATATATTTTCATATTGCCAATGTCGATTGGTGGGGTCGGCATACGACTCAGGGATATGGTTACGCCATTCTTCCAAAAACGCCTGGTATGCAACACCAAATTTAGTATTATCCTGCTTGAACAGGAAAGGGTTAACGAGGCTGAGGTATACTTAGGATGCCATGACTTGGAAATCCCAACCTGGCGGCCATTTGGTTCGTATTTGACGCGAATGCGAAGCTTTTTCATTGGTGGATCTGCCGATCTGGAAGATCTTTCGTATATGGCCATTCCAAATGGAACGAGCGTATGTTGAATCGAATTCGTTATAGGTTTTCCGCAGGCATGTTTACACGAGATTTGATATTAGGGCAACCGCCTGAACAAGTACGGATTCCAAACCGAATCATCGGGTGTTTTGCGTGTGAGACTAAACATTGTTCATCAGGCCGAAGTATGAATTCGTTTTTTGTCTTTGTACCTTTCAGCTAATGCGTCCCCGCGCCTAATTGTCCTTGACTAGGAATGTACGAACCGCAAAACCTTCCGACGTTAAGGAAGACCTTGCAAAGACGTTTTCCCTTGAATGGGCCTTGCGTGGGTCTTAATAGTTGGTCCTCACCAGCGACATGTGTCTGCAGAATTTGTCCATGGGGACATGTGTCTCAGATTTGTCCATGGGAACATCCAAGCTATATCCGGTACGTCTAATCCAAACACGTATGAGAGAACCAGAATATCACATTTCTCATCTCAAATGGTCTAATAGATGCACTATTACGCGCACGAGCTCGGGTCCAAGCATTGCAAGAAAACAAAAAGCTGGATTGATGGTATTAGATATATGTACAAAAGGTATAGGTTAATCTAAGGGCGAGGGAATGCTAGCGAGGAAATTCGTCCTATCCGACGCGCATGGCATTAAAACATTGTCGCGCTCGGGGGGGCAGACGAGCGGTTAAGCACAGTTCGTTCGTATCAAGGTTAGGCGGCCGCCTTCCCTTTTCCGCTTCCGCCTTCCTCAACCCCTTCTTCGTCATTCAATGGCTCAAAGTCCGGCACCTCTACCGGCTCCCATTTCCCATCCGAAGGATTGGCTTCAATAGAAAATAAATAAAAAGAATATCAATAAGAAAACATCCAATCTAACGCATACACTAGACACTTTTCGCAATCACTCACATTGACCAGCGATCCAAAAACTCAAGTACACAACAGCATCATCCACCAACCCAATTTGCTCCAGCACCGCAGTGTCATCAAGTGGAGAGTACGTCCCAGGTTGCTTCCCTGGTACTTGTAATCGCAAATCTTTTGCATCCTTTTCACGATTTAGCGTGGTGGCTAGTTTTGTCTTTAGTTGTTGGACAGTGTCTTGAGGTTGGGCCTCGACGAACCATGTGGTCTTTTGGCGTTTAACGCGTAGATACATGGAGGCCTGTAATCACATTATGGTAAGAGAGAGGGTATGAGCTGTAGACCAGTTAAAGTAAATGTTGCAATCCAATACGTACCATGGTTGATGGTGTTGATCATAAAAGCGTATTCAAACGATGCTTCTTCGCACGTCGCGCATGGATCAATCCGGCAACAATGGATCCAACTAAAGCCTACTCATCAGTGCAACACATGCTCTCTGCCCCTTGACACATTCCAGGTCTGATTTGTATTTGACTGAGGTGGATCGCTACTTGTTCTGCGCCCTGTGATGGGGAGTAAGGTGGATGTCTTTGATGGTAATCATGCATTCCAAAGGCAAAAAAACTGATGCAAGTTGTAAGATGATGGTAATCATCACAGGGTAACAGTATTAATCAACAGAGTTACAAATAACTACGTGAACATGATAATAATAAAAAGTGTATACAGTGTAATGTGCGCCCCCCGTGAGGGGACAGTTTTCCCTTCATCGATCCACTCCCATTTGTCCTGCATTGGCGGTTAGCGCATCCGTTGAATACCGAGGAGGTGAATCCGTGTAAACCGTTGCCAAACTCTCTGTTGTGGTGTGTCTGGGGATTACTCTCGGGGGTAGCCGACCTGGTCTGCGATCACTCTCAACTTGCAATACTTCATGCTGTATCAGGCCCCCAGGGCCTGAGTACACGATTTCGACTGGCTTGCTGTGCGTCACGATAGGTCGATTGAAAATACTGAGCCATCTCCAGGATAGGCGGACAGCCACAACTGTTATGATGATTCCAAAGAAGATACTGATCGGTATCAGAATCAAGGCGGCTGAGAGGCGTGGAGTGCTGTTCTGATTCGGGTTGTTGTTGTTGGGGGGACCGGAGGGCGAAGGGGTAGAAGGAGGTATAGCAGCAGGCAAGACAACAGTAGGTGTTTCCAGTGACCCGTTTCCACCGAATTGTCGTCTCGTCAAGGGCAGGGTTACGGAAGGGTTGATAAACCCAGCGCGGGGATTCGCGGGTGCTATAGGTATCGCTGTCGCCGTGGCATGGTGTGACGCGGGTATGGCGGACAGCACGAGCAGAATGATCATAGCAAGAAACGGGAGACGACCCTCGAGGGACAGCATTTCGATGCGCTGGGTCCTCCTGCGAAAGACATGCAAACAAAAAAGAAAACCTAAAAGAGAGCGTTCCCGAGGGTTGTGAAATCTTGTTGACAAGGTTTGGTCAGCAGTAAAAACAAATTACGCGTTAAAAATCGGCAGAGTTTTTTGTGAGCAAAAGGCCTGCATTTGGAAGAGTTAGAAACGTATTGAAATCGGCATATGCACATTAAATCACATTCCAATGGGATCGGAGATATCGGAGGGCTGAACGTGCGCGTGGTCATTGCACGGGGGGCACGGGCGAGAGGGATCCGCCAACCATGTCTTGGGTCGTAAACGATACCGGTGCGCAACTCTTGTCCCAAGACTACTTCAAACGCATAGGATAACCATTGTGCGTGGCTCGCCTTATAGTTTGTATTTTATTTTACAGGAGGTATCCTAGCAGGGCCATTCTTAACGCCAACTCACTGATACCCATAATCTAGTTGAGCATTTCCTTTGGCAAACGTCGGTCCGCTCACACCCTCCATTGCTGATTATACACAAGGCCAGCCAAACAGTATAGCTGCGATTGGAGGTTGGTTGAATGCGAGTCAACGAGAGAACACTTGGAAAGTGGGGCCATTTCATACGGTCATGTGACGAGAACCATCATTAAGCCATTTGGGACATGCTGACTCACCCATCTCCCATCTATCTCCTCCACGCTGGACATTGTTTTACTTGCTTCCCATCCACACTTGATATCCCATAGATTCAGAAATGGCTTCCCTTCGCCGGCTCCAGTCTCTTGCGTCCACCCTACACGGTCCCGCGGGACGCTCCATGTCGACATCGGCTGGCAAGTCCAAACTTACCATTGGTCTTATTCCGGCTGACGGTATTGGAAAGGAAGTCATTCCGGTATGTGCTGACCCATTTCGTTAACGGTTCAGTGACGCTCGGCAATTAACCTCATAATTGTTTCTCTCGTCCTTTCTTGTAGGCTGCTCAACAAGTCCTCGAAGCCGTTTCTCCCAACAAGTTTGCTTTCCTCCACCTCGATGCTGGCTTCGAACTCTTCCAAAAGACTGGAGTCGCCCTTCCGGAGGAGACTGTGGAAAAGCTAAAGTCTGAATGCGCGGGAGCACTGTTTGGTGCTGTAAGGTAATCAAATTGATAACAAGCATGAGTGTGCCGCTTTGGTTGACTGTAGTTCCTGATTGTCTAGCTCGCCTTCGCACAAAGTAGCTGGATACTCTTCTCCTATCGTTGCATTGAGAAAACGTATGGATCTCTATGCCAACGTTCGACCAGTGGCTAGCCCTGTTGGAGCCGCCGGAAAGCCGATTGATATGCTCATTATCCGTGAAAACACAGAGTGTCTGGTAAATGAGCGTGTGTTTTGCTTTGAAAATGGTATAGAACTTCATCCCAGTCTTTTTGACAGTATATCAAAAGTGAGCGCTTGGAAACACTTCCTGATGGAACAAAGGTTGCATGGGCGGATCGTAAGATCACTGAATACGCATCCAAGAGAATCGCACGGATGGCGTTCAAGATGGCCCTGCAACGAGGGAAATTGCGCGAGGCTAAGAGACAACAGGGTGGATCTGTCGCGTGGCAGGGTCAACCCAAGGTCACTGTTGTCCACAAGTCTAACGTTTTGAGTGTTTCGGATGGTCTGTTCCGGGAGTCGTGTCTGGCTGTCCACAAGGAAGATCCATCGTTCGCCGGAGTAAAGCTGGAAGAGCAGCTCGTAGACTCGATGGTGTATGTATGAAGCGTGAGGCGTCTTTAAACAATCATGAGAGCTCATTTGCTCCCCGTTCAGCTACCGCATGTTCCGCGAGCCTGATGTTTTTGATGTTGCGGTAGCGCCCAACTTGTACGGAGACATTATTAGGTGGGTAACCTTATCCGGCTTTTATCATGTTGGAGAACCGGCTAATTTCAGGTCTATAACAATGTTCAGTGATGGTGCTGCCGCCTTGGTCGGAAGTTTGGGTGTTGTAGCTGGCGCCAATGTTGGTGACAATTTTGTTCTCGGAGAGCCAGGTAACGGGAGGAAAGTGCATTTTCAGTTTTCTAGCCTCAAATGTTGATCTATCCTTTATTCAGTACACGGCTCTGCGCCAGACATTGCGGGCAAGGGTATTGCTAACCCGATTGCCGCAATCCGCTCCGCTGCCTTGCTTCTGGAGCACCTTGGACTTGCTTCCGAGGCATCCCGCATTCACTCGGCAGTAGATAAGGTGTTGAACGAACAAGCACAGGCCATGACCCCTGACCTTGGTGGACGAGGAACAACCAAGGGCGTTACGGACGCAGTGATCAAACTGTTGTAAATATCCTACATCTAGATAGCCCGCAATGGGCTTCAACTCTTATCTATACTACATAGTTTCTGTATCTGCTATTCAACGTTTTCATAACTTGGGAAGAGCAACCTGACTCCTGCCAATCACTTCCTCAACTGCCCATCTTATCGCCGCTGCAAGGGCGAGAACTTGTTGACGCGTATTGTGTGCATGCAAGCAGACGCGAAGACGTTCTGAACCCTTTGGCACCGTCGGCGAGCGGATTGGACGCACGTCGAAACCCTTTGCTTGAACCTTTGTCGCTAGTGCCACCACCCGTGCGTTGCCTTGATATCATTCGTAGATGAGAACTTTGTTGAATATCACCCTTGACAGTCAACAAGACCTTTTTCACTTACCTGCTAGGACTACACCTTGGATCATAGAATCAGATGGCAGCAAAGCCGCTCCAGATGGCAGTGTACCGACAGACTGTCTGAAAACCTGTACCAGTTCAGTCATCCTCGTTTGAAGGCCCGCAGCCTCTTCCATTAGATACTCGTATGAGCAGCGAATGGCAACAAGACCATGGTAAGGTATCATGGTTGAATACACCAAAGGCCGTGCATAATTCACCAAGTACTCTCGCAGTGTAGGAGATCCGAGGACGACGGCACCATGACTTCCAATGGCCTTTCCAAAGGTATGTAGTCGGGCATACACTCTTGATTCAAGCCCGAGTGCACAGACCAGGCCCCGTCCTTGCGGACCAAACACCCCTGTTGAGTGAGCTTCATCGACCACCAAACAAGCCCGTCCATCAAACTCCTCTACAACTTGCACAATCTCCTCTAAAGGCGCAATATCCCCGTCCATAGAATACAAGCTCTCCACAGCGACAACAGCCGTTTTACACAATGTCCGTTCGTGTTGTCCCTCCTTACCCACCAACAACTCTGTCAACAAGTCTCGGAGCGCATCCACATTATTGTGTTTAAACTTTTTCGCACACTTTGCACGACCAAGTTTGATTCCGTCGTGCATAGATGCATGTACGAGTTCATCGTAAATTACAGCACCGTCAGGTTGTGGCAGAGTACTCAATAAACTGAGATTGGCATCATAGCCACTATTGAACAGTAGCGCATCAGGTGCATTATGAAAATCGGCAAGGAACGTTTCTAGTGATAGTGCTTCCCGTGAATTTCCATTCAAAAGCCTAGAACCCGTAGACCCAAGTGCATGTGGAGATTTTTGCAAGGCGGACAGAAAACGGTCGTGAAGGTGCGCATCATGTGCAAGTCCTAGGTAATCATTTGAAGAAAAGTCAATCAAGGGGGGTGAGGGAGGTAGTGGTGTCGTGCGAAGAAGACTTTGTTGTCGTCGACGTGCAACGATTCCTGAAAGTTGCTCTTCAAATGTTTTTTGTTGCATTTCGACCTTGTGTTTTTAGCGATTTCTACGTGCCATCAACATTCTCCGACGTTGAGGGTATTCCGATTCCAGAGTCAGAAAGACAGAGCGAGGCTGCTAACTCCGTTACTTGTACAGACTGTTGCAGTGCTGCAGGAAATGGCAGTCACTGGAGAAATCAGTGATCTACAGCCGTGTGATCTACACAGTCAGACAACAACCCACAACACTGATCGATCCGTGATTACCCAAGCGTAGTGATCCGGCAGAACTGAACATTTCCAATTACCACTGGAACAAAAAGTGTGGCAAATAGACTTGGATAGAAAGAATGGACTGAGATATTTGCAAGGTTGCAGACAACTGCACTGTCCTAATACGGCAGCTGGTTGGTTGGATATGCACTTTTGGTCGGGCGACAGAGGTTTAGCAAATCTTATTCCACTCTCTAATGGATATATCTTTCTGCATGAACATCCTTGATCTACGAAAACCATTGTCGTAGTACATCACGCAGACTCTCCACCGAGGCTGTGACGTAGTAACGAGTTGGTCGTTGCGTATTGCCATACGAGATATACTATTATGCTAACGATGCATGTCTATTTACGATGCCCAGCCTGCTGCCCCAACGAGTTTAAAAGGAGAATGGTCGAGTCGAGAAACCGTTCCACACAGTTTGTCAGGCAGACTACGGAGAAGAGGGAATAAACATCCATCGGTACTTATTGCACACTGTAAGGACACCAACGAACCTTCATCCGATTTGTCCATCGCCGGTCGTATCTTTGTGATGCACTTATCCCTACAGTTAAAATCATAAATTTAACATTTTGAAAACATCAAGAAGCCAGAGGGTTAGCCTAACTTTGGTTTTACTTACCAGCAGACGTCTGTTAATGTCCAGCAAAGGTTCAAGGTTATGTTGGGTCAACAAGCTACCTAACGTGTACGAGGTACCACTCCAAAAACAGACTCACCAGTGTATTGATGTACTACCGAAAACAAGTGGGTTAGTTAAATGAACAAAAGGCCAGATAGATTGCAAGGTGCTTACCTGTTGATTGGAAGTTCGCTCGCCGCTAAGTTAAACAAAGCGTTATCAGCATTGATGTGTTATCGGAAAAGAGAAGGCGAATAGTACGGAACCAACCTGTTCGTTCTCAACGAACTGCACCAGTTCTGCCTTGCTCTTTTCGTCTAGGTCTTGGGTCGGAAGAGAAGCCATTTTGAGGATTCGGTGTTTGCTGGACGAACCAATGTCACCAAGGCTCTGCTTGGTTACGATGTTCAGAGATCATCACGTGATTCAGTGCTTACGCGACCATCGCCTGGTGTGTCGCGCTGTGTGATATCGTTTTGGTTGGTATTGGGGCATTTTTCATTGTACCAGCTGCGATCTGGCCTTGACCTCTCGTTCGATGCTCGAGAAATGGGTGCTAACGCGTCTTCGCATGCTGTAAATAATAGGCAATGTACGTGTTTGGCGAATATTTTCCGACTTTCATGGCAATCGTCGCTCATGACCTGCAGTCTCCATTGAGCTGGTAACGTTAAAGCAAGGCTCCGATTCGGTCACCATTCGAATCGATCGCGACGATGTGTACATAAAGCTTTTGGGAGGATCAGAATCAGCATTCAAGCTCAGTTCATTGCTGGAAGATCCCGACCCTTCAACGCCCACGCATTGGAAATCTGTCCAATCAATCGCTCGTTTAAGCACGGCCGCCTATCAACGACTACGTGGACGGAATCCAACTCTGACGGTAGATTACAGTGAGGATCTGTTGGTCACATTTTCTTTCAGAGTGACGGGAGAATGCCCAAGGGGATTATTGTTCATCGTTGCGGGGAGTTCAGGTGACGTTAAATGAGAAGCTTGGCTTGATATCTCGCATAACAGCTAAGATCAGAGCTACTTACAGCCGAGCTGCAACGTGTTCTGTCAAAGGGGAACGACATCTCTACGTCTGTATGTATAAGGCTTGGAATGCGGCGCTCTACGGCACCCAGCACTGACGTTGGCCCGCAATAGAACGCGCACGTAGTAAACCCGGATCCAACCTTAATCGTGAACGGCGATGGGTTTAAGATCTACGAATGGACATGGGCATACGTGGCTCCTCCTGCCACCGGACAAACGGAATTGAAGAGTATTGCGCTGCCTCCAACTGGCGGATGGAAAACTTCCTGTTATGTACGTAAAAGGTCGAATGTTTATGGTCAAATACCCTGCGCACTTTCTTGTGTAAACCAGTCAATTCAATAGTTTGGAGTTTATGACGCTGAGGAAAAGCAATCTCAGGCATTGGCTACCTTTGATTTCTTTGTTTCATGTAAGTATTTTCGTTTGTTTACTGTGAACCAAATTGCTCACTTGAAGACAATAGCCCCTATGCCACCTCCTCCCACTCGTGCACACAGCCAAACCTCGTCCGTTGCGCTCTCAGGTTTCAGCTCACGGAGAGAATCAGTTGTCGGATCAGTAGAACCAGCAGCAATTTCACCCCTATCTCCACACAGCGAAGGAAACGAGTCAGCCACCTCACCACGATCGTCCGTCTCTTCACCCATTTCACCTGCTGCAATATCTCCAGCGGGTGTAGGGGGCCATCGCAGAGAACTTTCCAGCGGGACTGGAAGCTCTATGCTCAATCTTGATGAAGTGGATGATGAGCCTGCCTTCCGTGCTACGATTGAGAGTTTGGAAAAAAAGACCGCCAACCTCAAACACGCAGTAAAGAAGACATCAAAGCAGGTGGATGAGTATGTTAATACCGCCCGATCTTTCATGCATGCTGGAAGAAGCCTTGCTGCAGCCATTTCAGCAATCCCCAATGTAGATGTTGCGGTAATTAATCTTCTAAACGAAGTGCAGAAGGAGGTGGACAAGGCAACAGAGATCCTTTTGAATCAAGTTCAAGGGACATTTATCGAGCAACTTGATCTTCTGTACCGTACTCAGATTAAAGCGGCTGAAGGTCAAAAGAAAGGCTTTGATCAAGAAGCCAAGGTTGTAGCTCTGAAATCGTTAGCAGGTCTCGCTATGAGGAAACCAACGTCGATATTCATTGAAAATTGCAGGATTTTAACGCTTCCGAGCAAAAATACCTCTCCATTAAAAGTCACGACAAAAAGCTGCTTGAGGCAGATTCGAAATGGCAAGAAAAGAAGAAAAATTACGAGCTGAAAAGGTACGTAGGAAATCTTTCTCGCAGATATCATAATATAGCCTAATACCCCATCGCAGGCTGGATTATTACTGTCATTTGAAAGATCTGCACGGAGCGCATATGGAGCGAGACTTGAATTTCACCTTCACAGTGCTGGCGGAGAAACAGGTAGCCAAGAGAAACAACGCGTATTGTTGAGTTGTCTCCTGAACTTAAAATCTGCTATCTAGATGTCCTTTTTCAAGTCCATTGCCGATAAGTTGATCAAAAAGAAAGATGACCTCGACACCCTATCGAATAAATGGAAGGAGTCAAATGAAAAATATAACGAGGAAAAGAGGGAACGAGAGGAGAGGCGCAAGCTGATTGAATCGAAGGCTCAGCTACTTATCGATAGCACTGGGACGGGGGAAGTCTTGAGTGATGAGGAAAACGGTCGACCATTATCCGCGGACGCGGCAGGAAATAAGTTCCGTGGTATCCGGGATTTGGTTCAAACACATGACTCGGAGTCGGCCTCGTTAGGGCGAAGAAAGAAGGTATGGCGTTTTTTACATCTGTAATGACGGTGGTTTGGAGTGGAAAAGGATATAGACGCTTCTCCTCAGGGTTACCTCTTCGTTGCGGTAGCTCCGACAACAGGTGGTGGACATCAAAAGGCCACTGCTGGGTTACTTAGCTGGAGAAAACTTTGGTGCGTTCTGTCAGGTGGCCAGTTACAAGGTAGGTTAAAGGGCAGGTGCAGCTAGCTTGTACGGTTTGAAGGTATCAGAATGTGTGAATTCTGATTTCACTACGACGTTTGTCGCGCAGAATGTCTATTAAAGAAGAATCAAGCAGAGTTGATCCACACCGTCAATCTACGGTTCTGCACTGTGCGTGAGGCCCGCAATATCGACCGACGCTTCGCGTTCGAGTTAATAGGGCCGCATATTGGTCGCCGCTTATATCAAGCATCTGATGCTGAAGATATGAAATCATGGATAGTGGTAATCCAAAACTCCATCGAAGGGATGCTCAGTGGAACCAGTACGATATTCGAGAACGTAGGCCCCGACTACGTTGTGCCTTTAGGGAGAGCAAGTCGTGCCATGACCCCATCAACAGAGAACTTGCCTGGCGGGGAACTCGATACGCAAATTCCAGGAAGAGTTCTAGAAATCATTAGAGAATCAGATCCAGCAAATTCAGGTATGACTTAACGGTCAGTTGACTTAAAAAAAAATAGGATAATTCTCAATTAATTTGTATTGTGACTTTTGCAGTTTGTGCAGAATGCGGTGCGAAGGGACCAGACTGGATAAGCATTAACTTGGGGTGCATTTTATGTATTGGTGAGTTGTCACTGATATCTTTAGCGTAGGCGGACGGCTGATTTAACATCATATTTTAGATTGCTCTGGAATTCATCGTAGTCTTGGAACCCACATTACCAAGGTACGTTTTTTGTCTTGTTCATGAGCCTCTCGCATGTTACCCAATGACGCTTTTGACAGATTCGCTCTCTCACCCTTGATACGGTGAGTTGGACTCCAGAATTGATGGCAGTGTTGAAGAATATCGGAAACGCGAAATCCAATTCCATATGGGAAGCGACAGCAACACCCGAAACAAAGCCCACTGCAACGGACCGGCGAGATCTTAAGGCCCAATACATTCGTGACAAGGTAAATTTGTGAAGAATATTTGTCATATGTTCTACGCGCTCACTCAGACGGTTCACATCGTGTTGACTAGTACGTGAGTCGTACGTTCCTCGACAAAGCATCACTCCAATCTGAGGACAGCGATCCGCAGAAGCTATTGCAGAAAGCAGCACATGATAAAGACATACTTGCCGCTTTGAAGGCAATGGCCTTCGGTGCAGACATCAATTTTTCCAATTCCTCAACACATAGTGCTCTCATAACTGCCCTCGGCTATCCCTCGCCACCGCCACCACGACGAAACAGTTCTATCATACAGCCTCTACCATTATCATCTCCTTCACCCACTTCATCCCCACATCCAATCAGTTCCTCTGTTAAGACATCAACGTCACCGTCTCCCCGAATGGTCGTGGCAGAATTCCTCCTTCAAAATGGCGCAAAAATTGATGCTGTCGACGAAGTACCGACCACCGCCGGCCCAAATGTGCTTTGTTTTGATGGTGAACAAACTCTTCCTGGCGTGGAAGGCTCCGTAACTAGGCGAATGAACGCACTGCATTTTGCTGCCTTATATCACGATGTGGAGGCGGTTGGGTTTTTACTGGGTAAAGGTGCAGATCCAAATATTCGGGTATGTATGGTCGTCTATTACATGGACCAAATATCCGCAGTCTGATGACCTTGATATTCAGGACGGATTAGGGAAGACGCCACTAGAATTGGTGGAGATTGGGAGAAGGTGGAGATCAAAATCAGCCGCTGCTTCATATCCAGAGCCAGAAGAACCTAGTTCAACATCGGATGCTGGCATATCGTGCGAAGGAAGGTTAAGAGATGCTTTGGCAAAGTGGCAAAATAGATAGGGTTTCAAATCGTGCTCATTTATAAATATTGTACAAACCATGGTCGATAGTATTAATAAAGCATAAACAGTATGGGAGATCCGTGACGATATCCTCGAGCAGGATAGCAGATATCTTACAGCCACAGAGGATGATTGATGGGAACACGAACCAAGTCGGTATCAAACAGCTCAATAAACTGTTCGTTAAGTACGCGGACCTTTGGCCCTGCATACCGGCGATACTCTTCAAATATCGATGTCAAGTTCCATCGTTGCAGCTTTCGAAGGCAGCCAATCACTGTCCCTAGAGTAGGATTGTAAGCCACACACAATCCTGTTGGAGGTGATACGTTCTGATTCCCACCGGTACGATGTCGCCCCAAGTTGCACATTACAATCATTGGATAAGATTTTGGATCAAGTATTAACTCCAAGGCCTCCAGTACCACCTCCTCAGATATTGGATCCCATGCATTTGCAGAAACGTTAATCCCCAGGTGGTGAAACTGTATCTCTTGGTCCTCAATAAAGTTCAAACTGACAAATCGAAAAAACTTGGACTGAGTGATTTTGAGCAAATAGTAAACGTGCCAGCCTAAATGAGGAAATGCTCACAATCTTTGGTTTGGCTCTTCCGGAGCCAGGAAGATGACCGTTTTAAGACCGAGCTTCTCGAGAAATGGAAAATTCAATTCATTGGGTTGCCCCGACCGGTAGAGGTCTTCCTCCACCATTCCAAAATTCTACACATAGGTAAAGAAGGGCCGCCACATGAGAGATATATTTCCAAAGCTGCCATCTCTGACAGCTTACCAGAGGAGGTATATAGTGCTGCGAATGCGTCATCGTCGAGATAGATCTTGTGAACAAGTGCTGCCATTTGGCAATTAGGTTAGCCATTGGTGATATTCGAATGCATAATAATGCATCATAATGCATCAAGCCAAACACAATTAGGAGCAGTTCATTGTGCAAACGCTTGGATTTTCCCTATCCGCAAGGTAGAGGGCATCATGCCACCGCCAGGACTGCAACAACGAGCGATAATACCTATTGAAACCAGTGTGCCTTCAGAGCCATTAGAGCCTTCCTTCCTTCCTGCATCGCCAATACCTGTTCCTCCAAATTTTGTCGGCAGCGCTCCGCCTTCCTCTCCCCACGGTACCCAACCACCTGCTATTGGGTGGACCGTCGTCAAATTCCTGGTTTTACTCCATTTGGTACCGTTACTGTACTGGCTGTACGCGGTCGTGAAAAGTTGGAGATTGTCACGCGCTCGGTCAGTTTCAAAACCTCAACATATACTGCTTCTTTTTTGATATGAACTGGATCTCACAATTCGTTTTCTATGTTATGACATGATAGACCTCCCTCACCAAAGATACGGCTGCAGGACGTTCGTAATCTTCGCCAATTAAGAAGGATGATGTAACATACTCACCATCGAACTCGGCTGTCTGCGCAATTTCTTACCGTACCTTATACCCCAACCTGCCTCGAAAATGCGGTGTCGATGTGGTCTAATATCTGCTTTCTGTATATACTGTAAATGTAATCTCTTGCGAAATTTCACCCTTGGGCGCTAGGAAGTTCGCACTGGAGAGATCTATTAATGTAAATCGCTGTATGACAGTTGACATAAAATGGATGCCAGGGATGGATGCGTAGTAAAATACAGACATCCTGTGGTGTATCCTTCTTTCTGTACATGAAATATATTACGATAAAATGAAGTATCTACCAAAACCCCGCCCACGCAGTGTCTGACGCGGCTCCTCTGCAGAGTCTTTACATGGAATTATTGCTGCTGTCTTTCACCTATGGGTGCATCTTGTGAATGCGCAACCGCCGAATGGTGTCCCGTCATCAACAGTGGACCATTTGAAACCGACGTGAGATGCGTACTATCTGGGCCTGACTGTATGTGGTTCTGCAAGCGCGACGGTTGGACCATATGGAAGACTGACTTGACTTGTTCTTGTTCTTGTTGCTGTTGCTGTTGAAGATGTTTCTGCATAGCAGCGAGAGCAACCGCCATCTGATCGGAAGATCCAACCAGTAGTTGTGTCTTGGTTTTCCGTTCTTTCACGGCTGCGTTATGCTTGATCGTCTTGAGATGCGTGCCCACATTGGAGAGCTGAGGTTGGCGTCCACCATTTCGGAGTGATATAGTTACTGGTCGAGAATTACACACTAAGCACTTCCAGACGCCCTCCACACTACGCCGGTCCGGAGTCTGCTGAACGCTGATCTGATAATCGATGTCTTTGCGAATATGTCGCGTGACCGGAGATTCCGCCAGGTGTCGCTCCAGGAAAGACTGCAGGGCTGGAAGGGACAAAGTGGGTTGTGGCGAGGTTTCTTCTACCATTCTTCGGCGTTTCCCCATTGGGCTGCCCTCAAATGTGTACATTAAGTGGCGGTTCGTCAGATCGTCACCATTTTCGTCGTACGGTCGACTTTGAACGTACTAAGTTCCGACGCACTGACGTATTAGAATCATACCGCACTCCACGTTCACGTTTGCTTTTAGTCGTACCTGCATTATAAGCTTCTTGTGACCGGGTTTCAACACCTTCTTAGTGTAGGTTTCGGCGTCGTTCAGGTCGTTCACGGTCAAAGTCCTGACAGCGTGCAGAGACTCGAAGCCAGCTTCATACAAAAGCTCTATGGCTTCTGCAGGGATGTAGTCTTGGAGCTGGTCGATAAGACGTTGACATTCTTCGTTGAGGTCCAGAGACCCCTCCAGTGAAGATGACGGCGACGGGCCGTCCGGCAGCGGAGTAACGGGAAGAAGATTATCGGGATGGTGCTCCGATCCCGACGGATCTTGGTGCAAACCCGGAGACTGTGAGAGAGACATCAGGGCGTCGGCCCCACTATCATGCTCCATACGTCCTAACGACGATCTTGTGATTTTCCTCCTGAAGGGCAACCAGGCGAGTTGGGGCCGAGCTCTGACGCGTTAGAATCTGACCAATCGGTTAAATCCGGAAATGGGGGCATTTAATGCTCATGTGACTTTAGATAATCAAGGAGCGTCGCGTGAACACCTCCCCTCTACTATTTTGGAACACGAATTGCTGTTCAGGAGTCGAAGCCGATCTCCCTCCATTATCCCCATTCCTGCTGTTAACCTCCCCATTGGGTGGATATTTATTCTACGGGGATTGTTACTGTCGTAAATAGAGAGGAATCGCTTATAGAGGACCCAGCATTCGATTCATTTTTTCGCACTCACATGGGACAAGACACTTCCAGTTTTGAAGGTGGGATGAACATTGCAAATGCAAGTGTAGGCAATACATCTAACCAAAGTGATGTGTGTCAAGATACCGAGTCTTCTGCCCATCTACCGGCAGATTTGGATTTTAGCATGAATACTCAAATTTCAAAGCCCGCTGAACCCCTGGTTCTTCGTCGTCACAACAAAGCTCCGTCAGTTTCGTCCTGTTCATACTCATCCTCGTCTTCATGGATATCAGATACGACAACACTTGTGGACAGCACAGATATTATGGTCTCTCTTTACAGCCCGATTCAAGACCTGCCGACAGATCTTCTTCTCCACCTTCTCCGCTACCTTCCCCCACTTTCCCTCCATACGCTGTCGCGTACTTGCAAACCATTGCATAAACTAATAGCCGCAAACCTAGATGCATTGTATAGATACCACACTATAGCGCGCTTTGGTCTGTCGTCGCCGCATCTCAAGCACTACCATGCTCTTAGGCTTGCTCACGAAGGCATTCAAGAACAGACGTGGGCAGACATGTATTGGAGGCTCACTGTCTGCAAAACTCGATGGGTTGGCTGGGCTTTAGATAGAGCTACGAATGGTTTCGAAGCATATCCAATGGAATTTGTTATCAGGGATGTAGGGCTGCTGTCAAAGCGAAAGGGAGACATGAGCATCGATGCAGTTTGCAGATGGAGGTCGGTTGGTGATGCGCTTACCGGCGTTTCGGGGACACTGTCCATTCCGTCGCATCATAGCACACAGCCAACGTCTATATCATTTGTTGAACATACACTCCTTCGTGGCCCAAACACAATTGCGCTGCCAAACCGGTATGTCGGCTCCATTTGGGGATCTGTGATGATCGGGTGGTACGATCCCGGTGGAACGAGAGACATGCGGGGTGTGTTCGGGGTTGTCATGGAAGAATGCTTTGGCGAGGACTGCATCGCTCCAACTTCAAATCTCGATGATCAACCTCTATTCGACACGCTCTCGGATGGACGACAAGTGATTTTCAACTACTCAGGCATGCTTACGAATGTTGTGGAAGGTACAAACTACTCCGTCGCTCTGCGCGTCGACTTGCGAAGCAATACGGGCTCTCTCGCAATTGCAAATGGCAATTCCAGCCGACCCTTTACCTTATGTGCGTCCGGACGCGCCTTACGTGTACAGCTCCCGTCACCCCCAAGTACCAACAGCGAAGCACTGTCATGGTGGGAGATACCCCGATTTAATGGACCAGAAGGTGAAGTAGACCTAAGGAAAGTAGGAAATGGAATCCTGGGATTATTTAGAGAACCCGCTCTTGGCGTCTTTTATGTCAGACCGTGTGGCGAAGACCAGAATTACCGCTAATTGGGAAAGGACTTTAAAGGCTGTATCAAGATTGTACAAGAAACGCTCAAATGCCGTAAACTCTACACGTAAATAAATGTATATACATCATTTCGTTCTTCTTTTCTTCTTTTTACCTTCTTCCATATCTACATTTCGCAGCCCTCCCTTTTGATGTACTTGCTTCACAGCCTATACATCGAAAGGTTGTCCAATATTAGCCAAGTCTTCCACATGCCCATATATTCTGTCGTGCATACCTTCGTAATGTTGAGTACTTTTCCATCCTCGCCTTTCAATACCTTCTTGGCCACTTTCATCGCCCCCTCCTTCTCAATTGAAGCGTCCACCGTTGCAGGTTCGAATTTGCGTTTTCCCCGCTTAATCTTGATCTTATCCTCATTTCTTAGTTGTGCGTCGAATCTACCCAGACTAGCAGTCGATCCTTTGGACTCCACAATCTTCTTCTGTATTTCTGCCTTCCGAGCTTCGCGCGGATTCCGACCCGCAGCGGTGGCGCTGGCCTCTTCAGCGTTGCGACGTTGTTGCTTCTTGTTCTTCTCGACCCTCTCCTTCTTTTCCTCTCGGCGCTTTTCATACTGGTCCTCCATTGGGTCTACAGTTCAATTACATGGCGTTAGGCGTTACCCTTCTGGAACTTCCTGCAGGTCTGAAAGTATGAAGTGCACCTACCGGCATTATCCGGCACCTCCAGTAACCAATCATCAGTTGTCTGATTAGCCCCTTTGTATCCCCATCGTGGCTTGTAGTCGCCGACGCCCTCATCATACACCATTCGAGATGTTTTACGCTTTTGAATTCCTTTGGTTTTGGCAAAGTTCTCCCATCGGGTCAGGGCTTTTTCTTTGGGAATCTGATGAAAATCAACATCGTGAGTCTCTCGTAGTCGAAAATGCTTAGTGAATGGTAACAGTCATCCCATCATACCGGTTTTGCTCGAGGTATTTGGGTGGTTGCATCTGGTAGCTTTGCAAACACGCCCTCCTGGGCTGTCTCTGTTGGTAGACCAAAAATCTGGTTCACGAGCAGTTGGGCCCCTTCCCGTGCGAGGTTTTTGAGGTAAGTATCTGGGCTAGAGCGGAGTAGGGCATGGTCCACAGGATTTGTGTCAAATGCGACGAGGTTGCGCAGGTCAAAGTCTACAGGAATAGCCTTTTCCACCTCTGTCGATTTACTAATATGCCGGGTCAATAGCTGAGGAATGGCATAGTATATCCCTTGCGAGCAGCAAATAAAATACATACTATTTGTCCTTGAGCGTCTGAAGCTGTGCAACGACGTCCATGGTTGACCTCTTGTGTCGTTTGCAATTGCAGAAACTTTGGTGAGTGTTGGATTGCAAACGCAGCTCCGAAAATCCAAAAAGAATTATGGAACCACATTTGATGGTTCGAGCCGGCACGTCGTGGCTTCTCTGATGAGTAATCATCAATCGAGCGTCATCTCATCATGGAATGATTGATTGTCAAACGGCGGCATAAAAGACGACCACTTCTCATCTAACCCTCGGCCGTACCTTCCTCACCATGTCTGTCGTACCTGCTGGCTCAAAGATCCTCGTCACTGGCATTACTGGCTTCATAGCCGCACACGTAGCAGAGCAACTACTTGCGGCTGGCTTTCGTGTGAGAGGAACAGTGCGATCTCTTGCAAAAGCGGAGCATCTGAAGCAGCGCTTCGCGTCGTACGGTGACAAGGTTGAGTTTACCGTCGTGGAAGATCTCGAAAAGGATGGTGGATTTGATGAAGCTGTGAAAGGTATCTCTGAATTGCAGCTACTGTAACGCAGCAGATGATAACTTTGATAATTCAGGTGTGGCGGGAATCGCGCACGTTGCAAGTCCATTCCATTACAAAGTCGAAGATCCCTGGAAGGATCTGATTAATCCCGCAGTTCGAGGCACTCTTTCCCTTTTGGAAGCTGCGGCTGCCACCGAAGGAATCCATCGGGTGGTCATCACGTCATCTTTCGCAGCCATTGCTCATCCTGCGGCTCCTGGTTACAAGTTTACTGAGGAGGACTGGAATAACTGGGCATTGAAAGAGGTTGAGGAGAAAGGAAAAGATGTAGCCCCTGCTGTTGCTTATCGAGCCTCCAAAGCCGAGGCTGAACGAAAAACCTGGACATTCGTCAAGGAGAGAAAGGTAATTGCTTTGATTCGCCTTTGGTTGGGTTAGGTATCGTATTAACATAGTTACGCCTGCTGACAGCCGAAATTTGACGTGGTGACTATCAATCCAGTCTTTGTCTTTGGGCCAATCATCACGGATGTACCGTCGCCGGACGCTATCCCCACTTCAGTCGGATTGCTGTACAAGTACCTGGCGGGAGAGCATAAGTCTATTGACGCCGGTTCTCCTAGTAATGCGTTTGTCGATGTCCGAGATGTGGCTAAAGCTCACGTTGAGGCGTTGGTACGCCCCGAGGCTGGTGGACAACGTTTTCTCACCTCCGCGGGCACACTCTCATGGCAAGAAGTCGCTGACATTTTGCGAGAGTTGTACCCTGACCGACCGATACCTAAAGGTAACCCGGGGAAGATCCGTAATGGTGACGAGACTATTGTCTATGGGGAGCGTGCCAATAAGGTGCTCGGAATTGATTTCATTCAGCTAAAGCAGTCCGTCAAGGATACAGCTGAAATTCTGGTGCAATTGGAGAAGAAGTGGGCAGCACGCTAGATTTAGTTGCAGATGTTTAGTTTTTGAGTCAACACATTTACATATTGCGAATTACATGACAATGGATAGGCGACTTGTAACCATATCTTTTATATAAACACATCGTTGATTGTGATATTTGATCAAACTTACAGGATCTATGATTTAGCCGCGTGACGCATGGCAATCTGTCCCGATTTGGGCAGCGTATGTCACGCTGGCGATCCTTCGCATCACATCCCAAAGTCTTCCAAAGACCTTTAGCAAGCCCGACCACGACCTCTTTAAGACTATCTGAAGTTCCGGCTGCAAGTGGGAGTATTACCGTAGCGAGCGCGCTCTGGAGTATCATGGAGGAACGTTTTCTGAGGGCCGTCACCCTCATTTCTGCCGCCCCGAAAGAACAGCTCCCACATGTCGCTCCAATTAGCAATGCCAAGAAGCTGGAGCTCTATGCCTTCTATAAACAGGTCAATAGTCTGGCCTTGCTTTGAGACTGGCAGCTGGCATTGTTGCCCTATATGTGTCCTTTCCCCTGACGTTCGTCTGTCTGATTGCAGGCGACGTTAGGAAAATGCAATATCCCCACAAGACCCGGGTGGTTCGATATTGCTGGGAGATACAAATGGTAAGTCTCTTTGGAGTATAAGACCTACGGACGTGTATGAACACTTTGTTGTGTCTTCTTTTTTTTTGCTACGTGCTGTAGGGATGCGTGGAATCGTTTAGGTACCTGCATAGTTCGCTCTTATGATGCATATCATATTTTCTTGACATGCTAATGTATTGGCTGTTGGCAAAGGGGACATGCCCAAGGAAGAGGCTATGCAACATTATCTTGAAGAAGCTCTTCCCATCTTGCAGCAATTTGCCGATTTACCCGAAGCTCAAGTTGATGCATATATCAAGCGTCACGTTCAACCCGGAGACAGGTAAGGGTTCTATATCCTTGCTCATTGGCTACTGGGTTCTGAATTGCATGGTTGCCCAGGCAGGAAGTGGAAACATTGTTTCAGGAAACTAGAAGATTTGTCCAGGAAATGAGGTAACGCCGCAGATGAGTTGGACCTCGCCTTCGCTAACGCGGAAATGCAGTTACAGCGACGAGGAGGACCGATTCTCCTTCGAAGATGTGCAAGGGCACTCACATCGCTCGAAGAGAGCGACCCCAAAAGATTCACCATCTTCTCCAACCCTCATTCCACGCGATGTCCCTTCAATTCCAGAGCCTGATACACCTCCACTGCTGGCGGAAGTCTTGCCATCACCATCGACACCACCAATACCTCCACCACCGGATATTGCCGTCGCTCTAGCTGAGGAAGTGTTAACGAACGCAGGCGAGCTACGAGACCATTTTGCCCTCCAGCAGCAACGCATGTCACCGGAAGCAACCCAGCGTCTTAACGAGGATGTCGTTGCGCTATTAGATGCTGTGATGCAAAGGCTGGATAGGGTGGAGCGAAGGTTGATGGTGCTAGAGCAACAGGACGGGAAAGGAGATACAAAGAGTAAGCGATCTAATAACGGGCGGGGCACATCAACCCTCGTCATGGTAAGGACCTTAACTTGCACATGAACATGTCCGTATGCTAAAGCTGCCCAATTTGTAATATTAGTACACCTTGGTAGCGGCACCTATTTTTGCTTTCGGAATCTGGCATGGCGTGAAAACCCGGCGAAAGTAGAAAAAATCTGTATATTCTATAAACATGTTTTTCCCGTCATGAACGAGCTGTATCCCAGGACGTAAGACGCGATCAACCCATTTGAACCATAAAATTCCATGCAACCGCACAAGTGAAATGGCTGGATGGCTACTTGTATTTCTTTTTGCTTTGCTCATCATCGTTCAAGGACCACATTTTAAACTGAAATTCGTCGGATCTCCGGGTTTTCAATTGCCGGTCTTTCTCAGTCCCCCACCACCTATCGGCGATGAACAGTATTGCCAAACCCCCAGCTCCTCCGAAAGTCGCAAAGGAGAAATCCACAGCTAAACGCTTGATTGTGGTTCTCCAGCAAGCGTCACTGGAAACAGTCAAGTTGGGCAAAGGAAAGGAAGGCCACTATGCTCTTCTAAACTGTGACGATCACCACCACCTCCTCAAGAAGCACGGCAAAGATGTGTCGGAGTCGCGGCCTGACATTACCCACCAGTGTCTCCTAACATTACTCGACAGTCCTCTGAACAAGGCGGGATTGCTGCAAGTATACATCCATACAACGAAAAACGTTTTGATAGAAGTGAACCCACATGTGCGAATACCGAGGACATTCAAGCGCTTTTGTGGATTGATGGGTACGTAATGTTCTGTCGGTTTTTTATGTGTAGAGGACTCTATTCATTGTCAACTACCTTTTTGTCTTGCCGCAGTGCAACTTCTTCACAAACTGAGCATCAGATCGGTGAACGGGCCTGAGAAGCTTCTCAAAGTTATCAAAAATCCTATTACAGACCATTTACCACCCAATTGCAGAAAAATAAGTAAGTTTTTCTCATTTCCATGGTGCCTGGCTCCATCATTGTATACGACGATTGACCACCTTCCCATGTCAGCCATGTCGTCCGAAGTTCAAGCTGTCCGACTAAATTCATACGTGGCAACCTTACCATCCGATGAACCCGTCGTCTACTTCATTGGCGCAATGGCTCATGGTCCGGATAACTGGGTGGATGACATCGTGGACGATAAGATATCAATATCCGAGTATCCTCTTTCTGCGTCGGTCACATGCGGAAAACTTACATGTGCATACGAGGAAATGTGGAATGTATTGTAGAATGGTCAAGCTTGATAGTGGGGCTAGATTTGGATTTATATTTAAATAAGCGAAATGCGCATTATGTACATAGTGTGGGAGCCATTGTTTGGGCACTGGTTGCTACCATCTGCAGCCATAATAGCAATAATAAACGACAAGGCAATTGAAAAAGAAGAAAGTTGCTGGTTGAATGGCTTAGCTAAGACTCTGGTCATGTGCTGAAACACAACAGTTGGAGGTGGCGTTGTCCTTCTGGGGTTCGTCCGCTTTTCGCCCAACCAACGGCCTTTCACTTACCCAAGCAGACGCGGAGTTGGTTCGCCAGACCCTCTGACCACGACCAACACCACGATATAAAGCTGGACCGGAGCATGTCCGACACAGGATCGAATACGGGAGGAGGGAATGGAGCGTACGACGATATAGATCGTGAACAGGACCGGTTCCTTCCCATTGCCAATGTCGCCAGACTCATGAAAAGAGGCCTCCCAAATAACGCTAAAATTGCAAAAGATGCCAAAGAGTGTGTTCAAGAGTGTGTGTCAGAGTTCATTTCGTTTATCACCTCTGAAGGTTTGTACCCTGCTAGCTGTGAAGCTTTGCTGTCCATTCAGCATCGAGCATGATACTCTTTTTTGGCTTCACCTGTAGCGAGTGATCGGTGTCAACAAGAGAAACGGAAAACTATAAACGGCGAAGATATTTTGTGGGCGATGCAATCACTGGGATTTGAAAACTACTGTGAAACATTAAAAGTTTATCTGCACAAATATCGGGAAGCAACAAAACTCGAGCGCGCTGCGTCAATACCGAAAGAGGATTTGGGGATCAACGGTTTGTCGGACTCTCCCACTGATGAGGCTGCAGCAAACCAGGCAGCGATGAACCAGGCAGCGCTCAACTCTGCAGCGGTTGCTTACGCCTTGGCACTGCAACATCATCAGCAAACAGCACAGCAACTACGGCAGCAGCAACAAGCAAGTCATGCAGCGGTTCAACAGCAAGCTACACTACAACAGCTCCAACAGCAGCTACAACATCAGCAAGCGACGGCAGGTCAGCAAGGGCAGCAAGGCACACTACCTTCCATCACACCACAGCAATTGCAAGCGCTCGCTGCCCATTACGCCGCACAGCAAGCCCAATTTACTACATAGTTGGAATTTAACGATAGTTCTAGTCACTTTTTGGCCATTTTAGAGCATGAGCATTTTATTTTTGTTACCGGCTGTATCCGCACTTGGTTGTATGGAGGGTACTTTTCTTGTATGTATGTTTTTATGTTATGGGTTGGAATGAAGAATAGCACGGAAATGGCGGCGATGAGGGGAATCGTAGGTGCCGAAGTCCCAGTTAAATGCTACATGTTAATTGGTCTTTGAGTGCACAAGGTAATTGCTGGTTGCTTATGCACCAAAACCAGTATGAAGAGGATCCAGAATACGAATATGAAAAAAATGTTCATTCTTACAAAACTATGAATACAAGAATCCTATAAACCATGACCATATGGGCACATTTAAGGCTCCACTGCCTTAAGTTCCTCCTGGGTGGGGAATTTACTAAACATATCACGAAGCTTGTCCAATGGGGCGGTGAGAAGGCCAACCACAGTTTCGAATGGTGGCTTGTCGGGGGCCGAGGGGTGAGAGCTGGAAGGATGAATGGATGACCAAATTAGATGAACATGCCAAAACGCTTAAGAACGTGCACTTTTGAAACAACTTACCGAGTAGGAACAAACTTTTTTGTCATCTGGAACTCTCGTCCTAGCTTCGTGCCTTCCTCATTTTGCAATGCACTTCTCAGTTTTGGCAAGTCTTCAGTCTCCTCTTCCTGGATATGTTGACGCAATTCCCTCATCATTTTGGCCAAGAGTGCATCGAAATCAGCGTCCTTGCCAGCCGTCTTCTTCTGGAGTTCGTAAATGTCGTTCTTGACTTGCTGGTGCTCTTGGCGATCCTTATCGGCAATGGCCTTGCCGTTGGTTACATGTTTTTCAAGAGCAGGGTACACGATCAACTCCTCAGCAATTGAGTGTCTGGCGATTTCCCAGAACAATTGGTTGACCCATTTCTGTTGCTCTGTCGGCTTCCCATCATTAGCAAGGTATTGCTAGCAAAGATGAAGAGAGAGGGATCAGCATGCTTGATTTATCGGTGTCGGACCTGTCAGCGTTCAATGTAGCTTCCAGGGTGGCCTTATACGACCATTAGACCGTCTGCAATTGCTACTCACTTCGTAGTAAGTTTGAATTTCCTTGTGGTCATAGATGACGGCATCAACTACGTGAACATTCTTGTTGCTGGACATGTTTTAGAAAAGTAGATAATCGGAAAGAATTGGCGTATCGGAAATTGAGTAGCTCGGTGATTGGAGAATAGAGGCCTTGCAACCCGACTGGAGGGCTCTTCTTTTATACTCAACCGGATGATTAAGGGGAGGGTACGCAGCCATTACGTCACAATATAGCAACGCGGAAAGTTAAAACAAAGTGCACGCGTCAATGAGCTTAACACGCATTTGGTTGTGAAGGTTGAGACGGGTGACGACTGCAAAAAGGCGGAGAAACCCTTTTGTTGTCCATTTGATTGGCCCACGAGGAAATTAGACCTTCTTGGGCAGAACTCTCCACGCTGGAAAACCTGAAAATGGATCGATTGCTCGCGGTGTGGTCATCGTCAATCCTTTTGCCTTTAAGAGTTACAAAGGGGTCATTGGTGTTGAGAGCAGGGAAGACGATTCGGCTACCCAAGGTGGACAAATGTACTGTCTCATGGGTCTGTACATTTACGGTGATTGCTCGTCAATTCTGCTCAATGCAGCAATCGTCAGGGAGGTTCTTTGGACTAGCCGCTGTGTATTAAAATATCAATGGGGTTTCTCTAAGATCAGTTCTGGTTATGGTATATCAACAGGCTAGTCTCCATGCGGTTCCATGCGGCGGGCATCGCGACACACAGACCTCTCCGGGGAGACTACTGTTGTTATCTCACTTGGTTTTGATCATGCGAAGCTTGCCGGGAACATACTGCTCGATATGAATGAGTACAGCTCAGCGAAAAGGAAGAAAAGATCACCATAAATCTATTACCTTGAAATTGTCTGCGTAAGTCTTCACCCGGAATTTTTCTGGCTTTGGTTCCTCCACCCAATACTCGTAACCCTGGCGCTCAGCAAACAATATGGCATCCTCCTTGGATGCAAAGTTCATTCGTACACCTTGAACCGCATCGTGGCTGAAAGAGTGGTCAGTTGCATGCGGGGACCCGGTAACTTGGTGTCAACAAGAAATTCCAATTGTGTGAATAGTACCTACTAGCCCAACCCATTAGTGGGTTTTCCCACCGCTCCTGTACGTCGAAATCAATTCTCCAATTCTCACTGTTTGCAGTTCCTTGTTGCATGGCATTGCGCGCTGGTTTAAAAATCTTCACAGAACGTCTTGAGATTTCCGGAGGGACACCTACACATACAAAGGGGAGCATTTAACAATAGTTCCAATAATGCCAATCCTCCTACATCGCACGCCTACCGCTGCAGGCGTCGGCTTCAAACACATCGCGCTGTCCCTTTGGTGAGGGAATGACAAGGTTTTCGTGCTCCTTGTCTGCTAGCGGTTCGCCCGAGAGCTTTTGCAGTTTCTCCGAGGAAACAAGTCGGATTTGCTGTGCATATACAAGGGTTGGACGAGGCAAGCCTGTGAATCGGCGAGCAGGTAAGCGGAGGAGGGACATTGTGATGATCGTTGGGTGGTTGGGCTGAAGCGATAGCGCTTTGGAGGGCACTCGATGGGTAGTCGTTGCTATGGGCAACAGTTGATTACGCGCGGCGCTGGGGTCCCGTTTCAAACGCGCCATAGCTTACGAACAGAAAGGAAAGCATAAAAACGGTCGCCCATCGCTTCGCCCCCCCGCCAGTTGCTTTGAGCGCATTCCTCCTCACTATGACCGCTTATAGAACGGTACGGTTCACATTCTGGTTGGCCATCGCATTCCTGGTGCTTGCAGTGCTAGTGCAAGGCCAGGCTCCTCCTCCAGGAAACGGCGGCGCAAATGGCGGAAACAACACAAATCAAACAAACACCACCCAACCGATGCCGCCTTGCGGTACCCGTCCAGGCAGTATAATCGTAGATTCCCCGCGCTCCACTACGGTAGTTGCCGTGGGCGGAACCCTCAACATTTCCTGGCATTACAGCGATTTTGTCGACACCGGCCGCTTCCCAGCTAGGAAGGTTGCGCTCTACTATCAGCGTGCAGACCAGGCCATCACTAACAACGGCTGGAAAGCCATTGAGGAGAACCTTCCGCGTGACACTAGAAACTACACCTGGACTATTCCATCGCTCCAGGATGCTTTTTACCTTATCCGCTACGTCATGGACGACCTTGACCCCCAGAGGGTTCCTGCGAACGGAAACTGCGTGCCTGACACTTTCCCTGGTCCGACGAATAGTCAACAGTTTAAGATTATGAACTCGCTCCCTCTTGTAACAACTCCGGACACTATGGGCCCTAATAGTGGGGCCTTCAAGTCTGCTTCGGGCATCTTCACGTTCGTCGCCGTTCTCGTTGCGTCAACGCTAGCGCTGCGTTAGCAAAATACGAACTTAAATGTAATTGTAGTTATGCATCCAACTATCAGTGGCGATTTGTACTTAGGGAGATAGTTAAAGCGCTTTTATGTATGTATTCAATAATTCATAATCAAGAAAGTAGATGGGGAACGACAAGATGCTCAGCCTGCTTGGCAAAGATTTCTCTCTCGTTAATAACTCGCAACCAAGTTTAATGGCCCTTCCAAATATTCTTTCAGTGTTCTTGTCTAAGCCGATAGATCGCATCAGTATGAAATCTTGGGGTGGGAATGTGTATGGAATTACCTTTGCCTTTAGCAAACCCCATTCCACCCTTTCATCAGCCACTAGACATAAGAGCATCCTGCTTGTCCTTGTTATCGATAGCTTCCCTTGCTTATACAATGACACATATTGGATTTAAAACCAATATTCCAGCACCAGTATAGCACTAACAATACCGCACCTCGCAATCCAGTATCAAATTTCGCAAACCTTCTTTTCCCTCCCCACCCTCCACTGAATTCGCAGCAGGAGGTTTACCGTACCGCTCATATCCAAACCACACATTACTGGCCACTGCTGCCAAGACCTTGGCATCCTTCTCCGTCCCCCCTGCAAAGGACACCAGTGATCCGTCGGGGTTTAAGAGACTAGAGTAAGGTGAAGCGCACATAATGCATATCATTAAAAGTCAGAGTATGAGGTGATGCTCTCGTCAATGTAAACAGCGTATCCTTACAGTGCGGCGTGAACGCCTGCGGTGTTGGCTTGCTGAAGGACTTGGGTAATAACTTTTGGCTTCAACATGCTTTTCACCCGTGGCGGTCAAGGGCGGGATTCTGAAAGTCGCCTTCACGATCGAGCGTGTTCACGTGGTAAATGCCTGACGTGTCTTTGACATTCCATCGGATTGCAAATTGCTTTTTCGAACAAAATCTTGTCAAATCCGTCGCGATCGCACATCCTACCCTAGTCCATACCACCTGACAACACAAGATGGCAGAGGATTATCTTATGGGTAACGGTGCTTATGGTGGTATGCATTTGTTTGGACAGCTTTACCGCACAGGTGCTCTCGTAATAATGCGCATTATAGACCACATTGATGGGGCCAACGGAAGGGACATGCAAAAGTACGACGGGGATGCAGCAAAAGACCCTAACGCGGATGAGGTTCCACAGCAATCGGACTGGGAGCGGCTGTGGGACGCAGTCAGCAAGGTACATTAACTCACTGCTACCGGACGGAAATGCCCTACTAACCAACCATGTGAAAGAATCCTGATGATTTTGAATCTTGGGAATACCTGATTGCAGCTGCAGAGGGTGCCAACGGTGACGTTACGAAGAACTCATCTGCAGAAGACCAGCAAAATCTTCGGACAGTGTATGATCATTTCCTGCTGAAATTTCCTCTATGCTTTGGGTATTGGAAAAAGTACGCGGATCGGGAGAATGCGCTGGAGGGACCTGAGAAGGCACAGGAGGTCAGCGGAGGCTGTAAAGTCCTTCATATTGAATGTTGTGCAGTGTTCTCACATTGTTACGACATGACAGATCTTTGAACGTGGGGTTGTGTCCATTCATAATAGTGTCGACTTGTGGACTCAATATTGCACTTTCAAAATTGAAAACTTTGCTATTGACGAAACTGGCATTAGAAGGTGGGTAGGAGTGTATTACTGTACAGGTGTGTCCATTAGGGGTGGATAAGACGTTGTGTTCGGTGTCGATCTAATGGTCGCATCGAATGCACGGCTGACTGTTCCCGTAGGCAAGGCAAAGGGGGCAACGCGAAGTGGGCGGGACCAGACTCATGGCTGGGATAGCTGGTATTACCTTGTTTTGTTTTGTTCGCTTTGCGATGTTGTGGGGATTTTTGCCCATGGATTGTCATTGCCCGTTGATGAATGTTGCGGCGACGCGAGCAATGGGCCAGAAGGTATAGCTTGAAGCCACCAATTAGGTGTGGTCTTCTGACTATGTTTTGCCAGCTTTTATGCAGTTGTGGGTGGGATGAGGGTTGTAACATTACGGTCTTTGGCCGCAATGCTGACTCGGGTCGAGATTCTGACGTAGTATCCCGGTTTTTCTTTTCTTTTAGTCTGTTCGAAAGAGGAGCTGACGCGGTCGGTTATGACTTCATGAGTCACGTTTTCTGGGACAAATACATCGCATATGAGGAATCAAAGGGGAACTCGGCCGGGATTATGGCGATCTTGGAGCGCATTATCCACATACCACTGCACCAGTATGCACGTTATTTCGAAAGGTTCGTAGCAACTGCCCTACCCAAAATGGGATTGACTATATAAAAAAATTTTATTGCATGCAGTTATTCGACGTTGTCCATTACGCGACCCGTCCGAGAACTCGTGTCTGCCGAGGAATACGCGAACCTAGAAGATGAGATCCGTAATCCTCCGAAGCAAGAGGATGATGACAGAGCCCCACCTGAACACAAGGTTGACTTACTGATCCATGCGTTTAGATCTGCGCGCATGGTATTAACAAGGCTTATTTTGCCGACAGACCGACGACCAGGTTCAAGCAGAAATGCGACAACGTATCCATGCCATCAAATCTGAATTATACATGAAAACACAAGATGCTGTGCATAAGCGATGGATCTATGAGTCCGAAATCAAACGCCCATATTTTCATGTCAAGCCGCTCGATGAAGCGCAGCTGGCTAACTGGCGCCGATACCTGGAGTTCGAAGAATCAGAGGGAGATCAGATGCGAATCTATGTGCTCTATGAGAGATGTCTGGTAGCATGTGTACGTATCACAAGGCGAGGACACGCCCGCTCAGTGTTGTGTTGCACGGTTTTTATATGGTTTCCTGATCAAAAACATCCTTTTATCTTTCCTCTAGGCTCTGTATGAAGAGTTCTGGAAACGGTATATCCAATTTCTCCTTGCAAGAGAAGACTTTGAAGGAGCGCGAAATGTCTATATCAGGGCTACCAACATTTTCATACCTTCAAGGTGAGAATTCGCATTATGGGTCAATCTAAACAAATCCTAACAAACCGATAATCAGCCGACCTTCTGTACGCCTATCGTACGCCGCCTTTGAAGAAGAGCGGGGGCGTATTGAGGAAGCACGACAGATTTACACGCAAGTGCTGACACAGCGTACGTTATGCATTGTACCTGAATAACGTACTGGTAATTCCTAACCATGGTTGCAACGTCAGTCCCAGGGCATTTGGAAACCCTCACAAAGTTTGCGCACTTTGAACGTCGTCAGGGCAGTCAAGAGAAGGCGATAGAGGTTTTGGACAATGGAATCCAGTCCGCAAGGGACACAAAGTCAAAAGGTTTCTTGGAGGCAAAGAAGTTGAAGTGCAAGTACAATGTAAGCTTAGAAGTAACATCTGTTTCATGCTTGTCACAAATTAAACGTCCCTTTATTATTTAAGGCGGACGGCGACATAGAAGCGGCACGAGCAGCCTATCAAGACGCAACACAAAAGTACTCAGATAGCAGATTCCTATGGCTTAGTTACCTGCTTCTCGAGGTAGCTCAACCAGGTGAGAAAGATAGATATGCAGTGCCCATATTACCCCATGTATTTATCCTTATCATATTGTAAAGGACCAAAGGCGCTGAACCTCGTAGCACAAATATGGGAGGGGGTAAAAGCCTCCTCCTTACCTGCTGAAGACAAGCGGGACCTTGGTCTGCGGTATCTCGACTTCCTCTTGGAAAGAAGTACAGATATAGCGCTCATAAACAAGGTTGAGCTGACTGTGCACAGGGACTATGCTTCGCATGGCGAAACGTCGAGAAAGCGGGGCTTTGAAGACGACTCTGAGTATCGACCAATCAAGCAAGCGCGAGCCAGTGTCGATGTGAGTGGGGTCGCGCCTGTTGATGTTGGTACTCCAACAACGCCATATTACGCTCCTCAGGCGCAAGCTGCCTACAATCCTTACGCGGCATATGGTGCACAACAGGTCAGTCAAAAGTATACTTCCCTTGCAGACCGTCTACATAATATTCATCAGCTGATATGTCAACAGGGATACGCTGGGGGCTACTATGGTGCAGCTCCCGCAGCTGGTGCTCCACAGCAAGGTTGGGATTACTCACAACAACCCGCTGCTGCTTACTAGATTGGATGGCTTGCTACCGATAGCAGTAAATGCTTGGATTTGGCTGGGTTTGCTTTTGTGTCTTTTGTATAGTTCTTATTATTGTACGTATGGTTGCAATCGATACGCTGCTTACGAATAACAGAGTAACAATGTGGATTTTTTGTAAACAGCTTCGAGGTTCGGAGCATTCATTCTTTTGATATTTACTATAACGGATTGCCAATTGAACCGTACTCACTCATCCAAAAAGGAAAAGATTTTCACAACACCGACCGGATTGTCAAATTCATTGCCGCCCATTTTGAGTCCCTCTCTTGATCTTCCCTCAAATTTATCTATCCACCAGCCCCCACTTACACTCACAATCTTCCCTTCATCAAACCCAAGCCACCTTGGACCACGCCCGCAAGCCGTTATTCCTGTTTCCCATTCCTTTGCCCAGTCATCATCCATAAGAGTGACGACCGGATCTGGCGCCATGTCACCGTATAAGCACTCTGCGCTGGTAGCGAGTTTCCAGATTTTCAATCCATCAACTCCACCAGTAATCAATTTGCCGCTCACTGCATCCAGTTCCAGAGCCATTACCGCAGCGGCATGAGCGTAAAGTGTTGACGCATGAATGAGGTATGCGCGCGGCAGAGATTTACGAGTGCCGGCTTCGGCAGTGACAAGTCTGTAGACTTCCACTCTGTTATCTGCGTGGGCGGTGACAAGATATGGTGGCCGGAAGCGAATACATGTCAACGGTGAGGTTCCTCTCGGCATGGAAAAACCGACAGGAGCAGGTGTGTAGTGCCGCGTTGTTACCAACGTCATGGTATCGGTAAATCGAAATTCTTGAACACCCACGTCCCATTCACCGTGAAGGGTGGGTGCAGCATATGAAACATATAAAAGATATTGTCCGTCGTGCTGATTTTGCTCGAAATGAAGGTCTACTGGAGCCCAGCAAGAGCTTCCTCGCAAGTGGTGGATTGGTATACAAGTTTGGCGCTCGTTCGATGAGGTGCCCTGCACCTTGTAAACGACCAAATCAAAGTCTGACGAGCAAGTTACAACATAATTGTTGAGAATCGCTACAGATAGTAAAGAGCGACCCTGAGCGTTGCGATGGATGGTGCATAACTCCTCGGCTTTCCAACCAGACGTGCCATTGTCGTTCTTTGTCGAGAAGGACCATAATGTAAATCCTCCGGTGCTATAGCCCGCTATGACCCGCTTTGGATTCGCACCATGATTTCCGGTACCTTCGTCAATCCGTAACGTAGTAATAATAACCGATGCTGGCAAGTTTGACGAGCTGACCAATGTACCAACATGGGATTGATCCTCGATTCGCCAAACATTGATTTCGGGAGAATGGCAAGAGGTTTCCAGGAAGGTGGATGAGAAAATAAGGTCTTTCGTAAAGGTAACAACTGGATTGCTCTTGCGATCAACTGTGGCGTTAACAGCGTACCCAGCTGTCTTGGTGGTGGGGTATGTAGAAATACTTGTATTGTCGTCCTGCCCAGCCCGGATCTTCCCGGATACGTCCAAGCTCGTGATACGGCAGTTACCTACATGCCAATTATGTTGAAGTATGTACATTGAATGCCAATCCTCGCGCTCCTGCATAATTCTTCCCGCCATACTACTCTTTCTCGTTCGCGACGAGGAACATAGCTCCCGCCCTGAAGTTGGAGAATCAGCGCGCGATGGTTTACATTGCTGAGTAAGGGATTGTCGCGGTGGTGGAGGAAGGAGCGAGAAACGGTCCATAAACAAACGCTTCCACAACTGCAAAAAGCCGGCATGGTTACTACAGACTACTCTCGCTCGCCGTGTGCATTGTTAACCGTAAGCGATTGTTAAACTTACGTATTGGTCTGATGCCAAACGCTTCCAGCTTCGAGAGGCCGACGCTATGCACGCCAAGTCTTGGTGCGAGAGGTATGCAAATATATACAAGATAATCTCGTCAGACAGAAACTCGGTAAAGTCTCGCAGCCGAGCATTGTCGCCACGCAGCCAGAACCTCTCTCCACAAGGTCGCTTCTGGGGCCGCGTGTGGGATGCCATTGTTGCTGTCGTTTCCAGACTGCTATCTGTCGGTTGGGACGCTGGCGTTATCCGGTCACGCTTGAACAAAGCCCGATCGCAGTTCCAAATGGTGATTCGAATGGAAAGAACCACATTGATCGGTTAATCATCCACCCGGTCTCACACGTGAAATCATAGTCAGGCGGCCGTCGACATCCCGGGTTGTCCTGCCTTGAACTTTTTACCACATCAGGGCTCTTTTTGCTTGGAGATTTAGTGTATCTAGCTATTTTCATAGGAATATCCAAAGCAACCAGTTTATCATGTCTGACAATGTTGCTCACGCTTTGGCCGGTAAGTTGACCCAAGATTACGCGCACGATGGTAGATCAGAGCTGTCCCTGACCTTGTACTTATCTCAAAATAAGGTGCCGGCGGCGGTATGGTCAGGTATTCATTTGGCTGCAAGTGGGGCATTCTGACAGACCAGACCACTCGCTAACGCGCACATACTTGCTACAGTATGGCTCTGACTTACCCGTTGACGACCTTGTCGACCCGCTCGCAAGTCAGTAAAAGTGGCGGCCGTATTAGCCAAGTTGAGGCTTTCAAGAGGATCATGAAGGAGGAGGGACCGAAAGGATTCTACTCGTATGTGTTATGCTTGATTTTTCTTGGCTGCCGGCAACTCACTGATATAATGCATTTCTCCAGCGGGATCAACTCTGCTATGTTTGGGATTGCCGTTACCCAGTATGTGTATTACTACTGGTACGAGCTGGTGAAAGCGGGGATTGAAAAGGGCGTTGCTGCTGGACGCGCGCTGACCATTGGGGAAAACATGTTGACGGGTGCCATTGCAGGTAAAGACCGTTTTCCGGAAGCTACAGAGGTGGAATCGTGGACTCATTGAACAATAGGTGCTGCCACCGCGACAATTACTAACCCCATCTGGGTTATCAACGTGAGGCTTGGCTCTTGTGTGGTGATGATTTACCAATCTGTCTGACGTCATTACGCAAACCTGTAGACACGACAAGTTGTCAAGAAGGAATCTACTGGTGATGATGGCAAGCCAACCTTCAAGAAGCAAAGCACTTGGCAAACCGCATTGAAGATTCTCCGAGAAGAGGGCCCTGCTGGGTAAGCCGGGGTTGAGTTATCACTGATCCACTCGGAAGAAGTTGGTACGCTAACACAATGCCTCAGATTTTTCCAGGGTATCCTACCAGCGTTGATCTTGGTCATCAACCCTGTTATCCAGTTTACTGTTTTCGAACGTCTCAAGGCATGGCTGCAAACTCGCAAGGGAAACCTTAGCGGCTTGGACTTTTTCTTGCTTGGTGCCATCAGCAAGTTGGCCGCTACCTCAATCACTTACCCGTACATGTAAGTAACGGCCAATGATGTCTACTTGAGAAGACTCTCGAGTAACTCTTGCGATGCCTGTAGTGTCGTAAAATCCCGCATGCAGCTCAAACAGACGGGTGATGAGAACAGCCGATACAGATCTGTTTTGGACGGGTTCCAAAAGATCATCAAGACCGAGGGCGTGAAGGGTCTTTACAAGGGCATTGAAGCTAAGCTCGTGCAGAGTGTTTTGGCTTCCGCCTTTACCTTTGCATTCAAGGAGGAACTCTTCTCCTCCGCTGTATGGTTGCTTGTACTCCTCAGGTTGCGGGAGCCAAAGGTTTCCGCTTGAAAATTATTACCATAGACCTCAGTTCAGAGTAAATCAGAGTGCCGGATGCGCATCAGTCCGTTGTTCATAGTCGTAGAATCATAAGCCACTGGAACCTTAATAACGATACCGGTGCCTTCAAGCCAATTCATAAACCGCTCCACCAGATAATTGGGGAGCGTGCACGATCGCATTCGACTGCATATTACACATCAGCCTAGTTGTGGGGTTTCATTATGGTGGTTATGTCCAATATCAATTGAAAGTATTCAGATATATACACCTTGTGATGCTCAAGGTAAGAACCTTTCCACCTTGTTCTTGAAATAGGATGTGTGCTTGTTATGGTTGTTACTGGTAGGTGGAATTCATGTTGACATAACATTAAAAAATCGAATACAGGGCGATGGTACATTCGAGTTTTAGTAATCTAATAAAATTGGCGTAATCCATTCATCGGCGGAGACGTCACATCTGCCTCGCGGCAGTAAATTTGGATTCATTGTAGTGAGATCAGAAGCTCGCAACGCTGGCTGATGGGTACGCAGGACTAGAGTTGGAAGCCTCTGATCGTAAATACGCAGAACCCAAACTTGTTCCATGATGAATGGATTACGCCAATCCACTTGTTTATGTACCTGCCGCTGAGTGTCCTTATCATTCCAGTGAATGTTTTGTGTTTCTGTTTGAACAAAGAGTGAGTCCTCATCGCCATGTCATTCAAAGAAAACATGAGAGACACCACACACAAACAATCCAGTCAGTCGGAATTTGTGCACATCGCCGAGCCATGACTCTCGACTTATACAAGAGGTTGTCAGAATATATTTTCACAGCATCATTCCGGATTGCAGGTGTGCGTGTCTCTCTCATGTTGGGCAAGTTGAGACATACCTCTTGTTTGTAAATGAACAGGTCGAGCGTAGCGTCCCCGGGCCGACAGAATTGAAACAAGTGCTTCAATGGCATCTCAACCGGCACACTCTGCAAGGCACCCAACCACGACTGTCACATCCATCAACGACTTTCTTGAAGCACGGGCGTGAGAGTCAGATGGTCTGAGCATTCTACAGAGTGCATGACCCCACTTGGACGCCCATCAAGGAGAGTACCACTCATATAAAAATTAGAGTGTTGTAGGGTTTTTGAATCGTCATTCCGAAAAAACGGTTACGATACCAATATAATCACTGTGATACTCTCCAGACATGCACATGTAATATGCCCGGTCTCAAGTTAAGCTGAAGAAGCGGTCGGGCATTTCTCGTTCGCTTGTTCAGGCTCTCCTTGTCCGGTTACAGTGTGTGTACCTAGAGGAAAACAAAAAGACAGGTCAGTTGAGAGGCTACGACTCTGAATGGAATTCAAGTCGAGTACACGATGCGATATTCAGAGGAAGTTATGGTCGCTCATGGAGGAAGGACGTTCTGTCCCCCCTCGTCCGAGATTTTCAGTGTTGTGAGGTTTTGCTCATCAAACCGAGTCACCCCCCTTCACGAAGGGGGCTCAAGCTATAGAGTTGAAAGTGCAACGTACCTTTTAGATTGTGTGCGATGGCCCTGGAATAATACAAGGAAAAGAAAAAGAGAATCTCATTTTATGCAAAATAGCTGCCATGGCAACACAGGTCACGCGATAGGAAGGATGGCTTAGTAATAAATCCCCTTCAACAATTGTGTAAATGTAAAACGAGGTCTATGAAACAAAACGACGACAAGGCAAACAAAAAGCCTGACCCCAGGTTCCATCGACCGGAAGCAAGTTGAAGGGAAGGACGACAAAACGATAACGAGCGTTTTACCAGCAGGAAATAAAACGACGTCAAAAAGGTATTGGTAATAAAATGTGTTCTTGTTGCTATTTCAAGCCTTTTGGTTCTCATTTTTACCTTTTAGGGAACACTTTTGGTTCAACCCGAGGGCGTGACCGTTTTGCTACAAGTTTCATACTTGGCTTGTTCCGCCGCTTGCTCCGGACTCAAAGCACAGCATCTTTGTCATTTTTTTTGACTTTTTGCACCCCCAACCCGTCTTTCTTCATACGGCTGGATAATAGAACAAACACTCAGAACCTCTTTTGCGAGTCGGCTTGCCACTCGCATCGTACGCGGGCCGTCAACGTCTAGCAAGTTTTCCTCTTTGATACCCAACATAACAGCGAATGGAAGGTGATGGGAATATCACCAGAAAATAAAGAAAATCAGCGTCACGTTAACGGGACTGGCGCCATGGACGGGTCGCGAAATGACCCCGGGGCGGGTGGCGGAAGTGGAGGCAAGGGTGAAAAGAGTGGCAGGAGCAAGAGCCCCGACGTTCCTGGGTTGGAGGTTTTGCTGCAGAATGTGATTGCCGAGCGAAACGCTCTGCGATTGCAAAACGATCAACTTTGGAAGATCATAGAAAAGCAGAGGATCATCATCGCCCAACTTCAGTCCCAGGTTGTCAACGGTACCGCTGCTGGCAGCGATACTGCGTTGGGTGGAGAAGGCATGTCGTTTTCGGATGCAACTGCTGCATTCACGGGCATATCAAATCAACCATCAGCTCCATCACATCCACCGCCACAAGGAGCATCTGCGTCGCCACGCAAGGGCTCTGGCGCTCCTCGCGACAGATCCACTTCCGAGCGACCTCCAGTCAACTCTCGCGAAGAGGCAGAGCACGTGAATCGGAAACGAACGGTTTCTGAAGGACGAGAGACCACTTCAAGACGGCGTTCAACAGCAGAGCGGGAAAATATAAATCTTCCTGCGATCACTGTTCAAACTCCCAGCAGGAAACACGCACCAGGCTCCGCTTCTTCACATTCGCACCCACAGCCATCCGCTGGCGGCCGCCAGCGAAGCGCGTCCACGTCCTCTCAGAAAGGACCAACCATTTTACCTCCAGTACAAGGCGCGGCACCTGGCGGCTTACAACGCAAACCATCAGGATCGTCCATCACCGCTCCTGGCTCAGGTGTCATCGGATCTAGCTCAAATGTGGGAATTCATGAACACAACGCGGAGGAATCTGGATCATCGCGATCAACATTACAGAGCAGCATTACCAGTGATCCTGGCTCGACGGCACTTGGCGAAGGTGGTGCTCGAAATAGATCCAATGGCAGTGCGCGCAACGATAGACGCAGCAGAATTCCACAGCAGCGCTCCTCTACTGATCTGGAGGAAGTTCTAGGTGAAGATCAAGGAAGACTCAGTACAAAGTCGACAGATGGACGGCGCAAGGCTATGCGACCAGTATCAGGGCGTGGGCGACTAGAAGATTTAAATGAACGAGAAGATTCAGCGGGACGGGACCACGGAGGTGTGCGCTCTTATCCCGGTCTTACTCCCGCAGAAGATATACCCGCCCAAGGCGCATTAGGCCATGGCCTTAGCACTGACGCAAGTCGAACCAATCTGGAATCGTTACCAAGCGCTGGTACCGTGTATAATAGCAACGGGCTGCCACCAGAGGTTCTCAGCCATATCGCAGATCGGGAAGACAGTCTAGAAAGACCCAATAAAAAGTCACCCGCAGCTCCACGCCCTGTGGCCCCTCGCGTGAGGGCTCTTCAACAAAACGAAACCTCTGGTCCTACTCTGAGCACCATCCCCGACAGTCCATCGGGAACCTTGCTAACTCCTCCGGCATCTAACCGAAAGGACAATCACCATCTCCAGGACCAGCTCTCCGCGAAGCGCGGGCAGCTTGGCTCAGATATGTCAATTTCTATGAATTCCAATGATGACGACTCTTCACACGCGATGAGAAGAGGATCTAAAGACGGAGCGATCGATTCCTTCCTCAAATCCGCTGATCAAGTGAACGTGCAGGTAACGGGATCTCAAATCAAGGTCAACGACAAAGGACGGGAGGTCATTAGTTTTCTAATATCCGTCCGGGATGCGGCAACTGGGGGCGAGTTGTGGCGTGTGGAGAAAGTTTATTCCGACTTCCTCGCTCTCGATGCAAAGCTTAAAGTCAATCAGGGCAAGGCCTTGGTAGCAAAGATCGGCAAATTACCAGAGAAGGCCATGTTTACCACACACGCACCATCAAAGAGCGATCAGCGCAAAGTCGCATTGGAATTGTATCTGCAGAACGTAAAGACTATCTGCCGCGATAATCGGGATATTCTTCAATTCCTTTCGACTGACGTTGACTCTGGCAAGAAGAGTTCCAAAACAGCTAATTCAAAGGAAGGGTACCTATTCAAGAAGGGGAAGAATTTTGGTGCCTGGAAATCGCGTTACTTTGTTCTCAAAGAGGGAGGCATGTTGGAATACTACGAATCTCCGAAGGATCGAAGTCTGCTAGGTACCATAAAATTAAAATATGTCTTTGTTTCCCGCCAATCGTCCGCCCATCCCTTTGACAACCCATCAAATGATGGTGGCGAAGGCACGACGAGCGACACAGACTACCGCCACGCATTCATGTTGACCGAGTACAAAAAGTCAAGTTTCTCTTCTGAGAATCGTGACAAGCCGGACGCGTTCAGTGAGAGTAAAGTCACTGCTAGACATATTCTCTGCGCGGAGAATGATGAAGAGCGAGATGATTGGGTACGGTGTATCGCGGCACAGATAAAGTCTATTAGACCCGAGGAAGGATTTGCCAGAAGCAATACAGTTCAATCAATAAAGAAGACGAATGGAACAGATCATGTAGAGAGTGAAAGAGATCCCCGAAGCGAGAAGGAGAGTCGAAGTAAATCGGACGAGCGTGCTGGCAGCCCTGCAAAAGAGGAAGCTCTCGACGATGCTCCGATGGAGGTGGAGGAACCCCAGTCCCAAGCACAAGCGGCCTTGTCAAATTCTCCGGCCAACGTCGGCCGGCCCGCCCCGGAAATCCCTGATCAAAGTGTACCTGAAGTGGAAGGTTCGCCTGTTGCACCTGCACGAACGGCATCAATATCTATGGTCATGGGTGGGAATAACCCGCTCATGCAATCCGCCCAAAATTCGCCGTCTTCTACAATGAAACCACGCGGTCGGTCCTATGTGGACGATAACGAACGTGTCATGATGCAACCTGAACCACCACCGCTAGTTGGAGTAGAGGAGCAGGAGCGACGATTGAGAGAAGCTGCCGGAGCGGGGCCAGGGTCAGGAGGGAAGGACAAGAGAGACGACAGAAAGAACCGGCGGATAACGACTTTTAACTGGGGAAAGAAAAAACAAAGCGAAGGCCTCTCAAGAGCTGCAGATCCGTCTCGAAGAGTCTTTGGTGTGCCCTTGGAGCAGGCAGTGGCCGTCTCGAGGGTGCGGGATGATTTGTCCTTGCCTGCGGTGGTCTATAGATGCATTGAGTATTTGGACGCAAAGAGGGCGAATGAAGAAGAGGGTATCTATAGATTGAGCGGGAGCTCTTCGGTTATTCAGAGCTTGAAGCAGGCCTTTGACTCTGGTAAGTGCATGCATTTTCTCCAATGGCATGGGCTGAGCCTAATAGTGACCCTTGATTGTAGAAGGAGATATCGACCTTCTTGGGAGTTCATCTTACTACGATGTTCATGCCATTTCTGGCCTGCTGAAGCTGTACCTTCGTGAACTACCTTCCCCAATCCTAACAAAACAATTACAACGAGATTTCTTGCATGTCATGGACTTGGCAGATCGTGATGAACGCATTACCGAACTTGCGCGGCTAGTGTCCCTCTTACCATTATCAAACTATACGCTCTTGAGAACCCTGATGGCTCATCTAGTTCGAGTGGTGCAGAAATGCGAGGTGAATAAGATGACGGTCCGGAACGTGGGTATTGTTTTCAGTCCTACTGTCGGTGTACCGGCCGGGGTGTTCACGCTGATGATGGCCGAATTTGCGAGCGTTTTCTGGTGGGACGGTCGGGAAGAGACGAGAGGAAGTATGGATGCCGAAGATCCATCACCAGGCGTTACAGGCGAGGAGTCACCTCAAGATGTCAATTCTAACATGGTCGAGGTCGAACAAAACTCTCCGCCGGCTGTTAGTGAGCCTGTCGTGGAAGCAGATCTACCCATCCCAAAGCGCCGGCAACCCAATTCTGCAAAGCGAAGAGCCAGACAGAATGCAGGCATGGGGCTGGCTAGTGGTTTATCCTTTGGGGGATTACCCGATACAGGGGCACCCCCCACCATTGATTCAAGTGGGTTCATAACGACCGCTGAAAATGCACCCCTACCGTCAGCGACTGTGTCACCTGGAAGCCCGCGCTCTCCAACGCGCCCAGTTAGTGGCTCAAAGCGTACTCGCGAGGAGGAGGATGATCATGAAGATAGAGGGCAAGGTCGCGGTGAAAGAAAGGCTGTAGATAGAGCATCGTTCGGGGAAGTTGTGATCGACGGGGAAATGGAGGTAGAGGGTGATTTTGACGGTGATGGAGTAGAGGCGAACGGTGGGGAGGAGGAAGAAGAGACGGCAAGTGTTGCAGAGGAAGTGGTAGAAGAAGGGGATGATGAAAAGCGCGGCGTGCGAGAGTTTGAAGCATACTTCAGCGATGGAGGTGCGGAAGATGGGATGTGGAGTGCACGATGATATTAGACCCTTTTGTAGCAAGTTTTTGTATTTTCCGGGTTCGAGCGAGGCTTCTGATACGATTATTTTTTTGATGCTCTATGTAATATCCATCATTTGACGCTACGGTTCACTTATCTGTTGCATTTAGACCTTAAGACGAAATTGGGCGTGGCTGCCATGGCCTAATTTCCATGGTGACATTAATGAACTACACGGCCTCCTCGGCCTTGACACGGTCTGCTAATGAGATCTATTTTATCGAGCCTTTCTTTTAAGCAATTTCCTTATAACCACGCACGTCATCACTGGGTCCGAAGCATGTCTCGTCCACTTTTCCAGTTAGAATCCACCGTTCCATTCCCCCTCCCAGCATCGCCGACAACGATCACAACATATAAGCATATAAACTCAGCATTTCGACTGGTATTCTGTTCCATTCCTGGCCCGCTATGTTCCGCCGCCATTGTGGTTCCAACATTAGGAGAGGGCGACGAAGGACTGGCACATACTTTGGAGCATTTAGTCTTTTGCGGGTCTCGAGGAATTCCTCACCGAGGTTATTTGGACTCTCTGGCGACGAGGTGTTTGAGTACAGGAACCAACGCTTATACTTCCGAAGACCACACGGCATACACTATCACCACAGCGGGGTCAGAAGGAATGTTGGAAGTTTTGCCAGTGTTTCTAGAACACATTCTTTACCCAACGTTGAGAGACGCACAGTTTGTCACTGAAGTCTATCATTTGGATGGGGAGGCAAAGCATCAAGGAGTCGTGTACTGCGAAATGGCTGGTCGGGAGAACACAGAGTCTGATATGCTAGATCTTGCTCTACGGCGTTTATTGTTTCAGAATCAGACTACCTATTCGCGGGAATGCGGGGGGTTAACCAAGGATATTAAGCTACTGAACAATGACCAGATCATTGATTACCATAGACGTTACTACCATATTGACAATTTGACTGCTATTATCTGTGGACAAGTGCAACCTGAGGCAGTGTTTGATAAGATCGCTAGTATGCCTGGATTGCTGGATAGTATGACGGGTGTTCCAAAGGGAACCGCGCAAATGCCCGTCATTGTCGTCCCTCCTCTGCCAGGCAAACCAGGAGATCTGATTACGGAGACGGTCAGATTTCCTTCTTCAGATGAGGAAGTGGGATCCATTGCTTACGGTAAGTCTGGTATGGGTTCTGTAAACCTATGATCTTTATGAATGACCCGCTGCGATTGCAACCTTTCCAGGATGGAGAGGTCCACCATCAGAGGACATATTCACAATTGTAGCCTTGGATGTCCTCTTCCGGTTTCTGCAAGAGACCTCAGCATCGCCGTTCGCGCAGGCGTTTGTGGAGCGAAGTGATCCATTTGCCTCTCAGGTTGATTTTGAGCTGAGAGGGTATGTCAACACGGCGATTGAACTGGTGTTTAGTGGAGTGCCTTGCAAAACGGATGGGGATAACGAAGCACATGCGATGGACATTGACGAATCTGAGGAAGATGATTCTGACTATAGCGAGGAGGACTCGGAGGAAAACTCTGTTGTCGAGGATGAGGAGCATGCCCCACGGACGGACCTTTTCGAATCTGGAGTATATCATGGACTCGTTATGAACGTGCTGAAAGACGTTGTTGAGACAAAGTTGTCAGTTCCCGACGCTATGTGTTCCAGTCTAGAACGACATCGTCGGAAGATCCTGGAAGCACTGGAGGAAGAGCCGCATGACTCTGTCGCAATGTATCTTGTATCTGATGTGGTCAGACATTTCCTTGCATCAGGATCAACTTTAAACGACACTAGAGCAGAAGGTGGTGTCCCTGTCATCGGTACGCGCGCGAAGATTTTGTCTATTGTGAATGAACTTGGTGCTATGCCTATGAGTTTTTGGTCGGACCTGGCACGTCGATGGTTGATCGATGCTCCGATGGTTGAAGTGAAAATGATACCCGATCGTGAGTTGGCTGAAGAGCACTCTCGCAGGGAGGCAGAGGAGCAGAGGGAACGGGTGGAGGCAATTGGACCAGCAGGACTGGAGATATTAAAGGCAAAGGTGGAAGCAGCTGTGAACGAGAACAAAGTGAACCTTCCGGAGGAATTGGTTGTCAAAATGCCCCCGGTTCCAGACGTTACCAAAGCCGCCCGGTTGAAAGGCGAGATGGAAATCCTCCTGTTTCCGAATTCACCGGGTGGGACATCAAGACCATTTGAGACTTGCCAGGTGGTCCAAACCGAAACTGTGTTTGTTCACCTGAGGTTGGCATTTAATACAAATGACCTGCCAGATGACTTGCGCCCATATTTGGTCCTGTTTCAAGAGCTTATTTTCCAGACGCCGTTGGTTCTTCCAGGACCTAAAGGAGAAAGCATTACGATGGATTATAGAGAAGTGGTCCGCAAATCGGCCGATCTTTTCGTTTCTTACGAGGCTGCCCTTGGATTCGGGAATGACCTCTGGAGCGCTAGCTGGCTGAGCGAGGTGTTTATGATTTCCGCAAGTGCCGAAAATTCGAAATGGGAGCATATGATCAGGTTCTTATGCCAGGCGCTAATTTTTGCGACGTTCACCGAGGAGCGAGTTTTGACGACCGCTAAGAATTTGCTCAGTGAGATTGTTGAAGTCAAACGCGATGGACCAGACATGTTGGCGGCCGTATCGGGAAGAATTACAATGCCCGTTGGATCAAAGGCTAAGAATGCGCAAAGGAACGACGGTGCCATTAGTATTTTTAGGCAGGAAGGGTTTTTAAAGGACGTGGTCCGAAACTGCAAGGAAGGCAAGGTGGACGTTGTTTTGGAAGGGCTGGGCAAAGTAAAAGAGTGCCTGCTCAAGGCGGGCGTCGCCAAAGGCCCAGGGTTTACGCAAATTGCGGTTCCCGTCGCCAACGCACGAGGTGCTGATGCCCTTGTCAGGGAAGTCGCACAGATCTGGGACGAGGAGGTGCAAAAGCACTCAGCACTGGTGTCTAGCAAGGCTTCAAAGCGGGAGAATGGGGTATCCACTGCTCCGGAGACCCAATCTGCTTTTCCCTTTCCTCGCAAAGCATATGACGCTGCGTTGGCAGACCGAACGTTTGGAAACGCTGTGCTTGTTCCAATACCTGGCGTCAATACTACCTTCTTCTCGCAGATCGTACCTTGCGACGTACTGCAACCTCATCCTCATCCTGACTACTTTGCTGGTATGTGTGATATCAGTATCCTTCTATTTTATGCACGCATTTGATTGTGTTAATTTTATGGGACTGTCTCAGTGACACTGTTGGCTGAGCTTTTGACCCGGTTGGAAGGACCATTATACACTGCCATCCGTGGAAAAGGGTAAAACGGCGCCCGTAACTCTTTTATACGACGGCCACTAATCACCGCCACCTCGTTTAGATACGCATATGACGCATCTGTTCACATTTCACTTTGGACGGGTCAACTGTCTTTTGAGCTCTACGAATCCTCAGAGCCACGGCGTGCACTCCTTGCATTCTATAGTATTTTGACGAAACTGGGAACACCGGTTGGATTTGATGACATTTGTAGCCAGTTTCACCTCGAGACTGCAAGGGCCTCAGTTGCGTACAAGGCAGCTTCATCAAGAGCTACGAGTGGAGGTGTAGTTGTCTCCGCTTTACGGGCGGTCCTTAGGGTATGCATTCCCTTGTCTTTTGATTCCATTGTTGGTACAAGTACAAGTACTAACTAGATCTGTGGATAGGGTTTCAAAACGCTTGAGGAAGAGGAAGCCTTCCATCAAAGACTCTATGCTGTTACCCGGGATGACTTGCGTAGGGTTTACGCAGACTATTTCATGCGATTTTTTGACGTAGACCGGTGAGTATAATGGGTTTGCATGACAGTATATGAGGCAAATATCTAATTTCACCGTATAGTCGCATCACTGTTGCGACCACTGCACCCGGAGCATCAGCGCAAGCGATGCGAGAATCCTTGGGTATGGTGCCGAATATGGATGAAACTGAAGCAATTAACAGGGAGAATATAGATAAATGGGTCATAGACTTTAAGGAAACATCTTTGGACGAGCTTGTGATGGGTTGATTCAATACTGTATATTTAAGCATATAGAACATTCTCAATTTATCTGCACTCAAAAACTAGATCTATACCCAATGTTCTTGTTCGTCAATGGCCATTCAAAGGAGTAGCCCACAGATTCAAAGCGGCGCGAAAAACGTAAAAAACCTAAAAGATCAACCCAAAAGGATTTACTCATTTTTTTATTTAATGGATTGTTTGGGCAATTGTCAATTGTTCCATCAAGAATGCACCAGCGTGCAGTAGTCCGAACCCACAATCTTGAGCTGCCTGCTTGGTGGAAGAATCCAAAGGACGAACGCACAAACTGACGTGCTAGTGGCCCCCCCTCTGTGCACTCACTATCTGTCAACTATCTTTCTTTTGACACTCCTCCTTCACCACGGCCGATCAGCAATTTTCCGTGACGTGGACAACGCTTTTTGCTTAACGTTGTTCAACAGTTTTTCTTGCACTTTATGATCAGATTGCACAAAATGAAAAGGAACACTTTCTGCACCTTAATTTTCGTGACCTTTTTCCCAGTTTCATGGCCAGTCAGCTTCAATAATAGACGCGCGGAAGCGGACAACTTATGAAAATTATGGCAACTTTGTTAGACAACCATGGGCCAGCAAGACAAAGTGACCTCTCCACCTCCCCACGACCTTTTATTTAGATGACCTGGCGAACATGGGGTTTCTTAAGCTCCTTTTTAAAAGACCGCCTTGGACAACAATCCTGGTGGATATTTCAATAGGCGGCCACGTATTATCATGGCAGGCTACAATGAGCAAACGCATCCGGTGGAGAAGGGTTTCAAGGTGGAAGAAGTTAATGTTGATGATAATACACAGAAAGAAATTGTAGGATATAATGTTATTTACAAAAAGACGTTCGGTTAATGTATTGACGGACATCCATAGAATCCGTCCAATATTTTTGATAAAGCTTTTATGACATGGCTTACTCCTTTAATGAAGCTGGGGTACCGTAAGGCTCTCCAACCAGAGGTGAGTTGCACTGTAATATTTTGTTCTCGGTTAACGTAAATTGCTAACAATGCGAGCATTGACAGGATCTTTACAATGTCAACAAAAAGAACCAAGCGAGCGTTGTATCTCATGTTTTGGAACCATTTTGGCATGCCTTGGCTACATATTTGGACGACAAAACCAAACCAAGTCCACATCCATTCAGGTTTATGCTAAAGGCCTTCTTCCTCCCTTGGTATGTGCGACTCGCAGTTATGATGAAAAGATTGTCCATTCCTCTCAAACTTTACAACTTTCCACTTAGGTTCATATCCGTCACTTTTGCTGTCCTCTCAGTGTGCAGTGAGCTTGCAATCCCCATTTTTATCCAACAGCTCCTTCTTTACGTACAGCCGGTTGAATCTTCTCGGCGCGAAGATCTATGGATCCATAGTGGAATAGGCATTGCCTTCTGCGTTCTGGGGCTTCAAGTATCCACAACTCTATGTCGTGTCGTATCTGAACAACTCGTGAGAACAGTAATGATGGACGTAAGAACCGTCTTAATCGGCGCTATCTATGAGAAGAGCCTGCGGTTGAGTGGGCAGTCTGCACAGGTACGTTCTGGGACCTCAAAACCTGTGGACCTGTGCTCACATTTGCTGGGATGTATGCTAACTTTTGGTTCCCTTGATTGTTACAGAAATTTTCGCAGGGAAAGATTATGAATATGATCAACGTGGATGCTGAAACCATCAGCTTTAACTTGTTTTTCATGAACATGCTCATTACATCACCAATCCAAATCGCTGTGGCCATCATTCTTCTCGTTCGTCTATTGGGGGCAACAGTGTGGGCTGGGGTCGGAGCCATGATAGGCCTGTTCCTGTTGCAGATACCCGCTATGATCTTTTCCAAAAAGTATCAAGTTAAAATTTTGGCAGCAGGCGATGCTCGCCTAAAGGGTGTTAGGGAGTCTTTATATGGTATGTCTCTGCCTAACCTGCTTATTGAACGCTGGTACATACGTGGATTGCTAAAGTGTTTAACAGCTATCAAGATTATCAAGCTCCGAGCCTGGGAGGACTTCTTTTTGAAAAAGGTTTCTGCATTGCGCGAGAGACAGGTCGCTGCTCTGAAGGGCAATTACGTTTCGTTCCTCGGATTCATATCCATTGGACAGCTGACGCCCATCATCATGCCCATCGTGGCCTTTGTGGTGTACAGCTCTGTGAACGGCTTTTTGGATCCCACAGTGGTCTTTCCTGCCCTCATTCTGTTCAATATACTATTTGCACCGATGTTGGACCTTCCGCAGAGTGCGACGTGAGTTCTGTGCTATAAAGTTTTGGCTCCATATGGTGTGTTTCCTAACATCAACATACCTGTAGCAATCTTATAATGGCAATAGTTTCTTGGGGCCGTGTCGCAGAGTACCTTGTCACTTCGGAAACACAACCTTTAGCGATTGCGCCTATCAGCTCTAATGGTGGTGATCACCCGGAAGCCGTCACGATATCTGATGCGACGTTCAAGTGGGAAACTGTAAAGGTAGATGAGGCAAAGAAGAAAGGGTCAAAGAGGAGCAAAAAGAGGCAGGACACAAAAGAAAGAGATGCTTCACCAAATCATGGCGACCTCGAACCAGCCGACAGTTCAATGACCTTGGTGCCCCCAGAGTCGAAGTCATCAACGGACGATCAGCCCACAGAAACCCTACCACTCTTCCGGAACCTGAACCTCACGATCGAACGAGGATCTTTGACGGCTGTCGTCGGTTCGGTAGGCTCAGGAAAGAGTTCTTTGCTGTCAGCGATTATAGGAGAAATGTCAAAGCTCGATGGCAAGGTAAATTGACGCAGTCTACAACCCGCTGTATTTGTAAACAACCGATTCCTTATTTTTTCGTGTCTTCCTGTAGGTACATGTCCGAGGAACAGTCGCATATTGTACCCAGCAGCCGTGGATCCAAACCGAAACCCTGAAAGCCAACATTCTATTTGGTCAGCCATATGACGAAAAGCGCCTGCAAAATGTAGTCCAGGTATGCGGGCTTGAAGCCGACCTTCATCAACTCCCTACCGGAATCGATACCGAAATTGGAGAGAAAGGAGTCAACTTGAGTGGCGGACAAAAGGCCCGAGTGGCTTTAGGTAAGTACTAGTGCCACAGGGTCTAGCGGTTCCCCGATATCTTCGATACTCATGTTAAATCAAAATAGCTCGCGCTGTCTACGAAAATTGCGATATCTATCTCCTCGACGATCCCATCAGCGCCTTGGACGCTCAGGTCGGTCAAGCCGTGTATATTGATTGCATAAAAGGCGCACTTGCCGGTAAAACCCGCGTGCTGGTCACGCATCATTTGCATCTTCTCCAAAACGTCGATAAGATCATCGTTCTGGAAGACGGAGTCGTAGTGGAGCAGGGCACGTTCGAAGGGCTAGTTGCATCCGGTGGTCACTTTACGGAGATGATGAAAGATTACCAGTTGGATGACACGTCCGAAGAAGAGGAAGAGTCAAATAAAGTAACTGAGGTGAAGGACGCCAGCAGCGAGAGCAGAAAAGAAGCAGGCGGCTTGATTGTAGCGGAAGATCGCGTCATTGGTGCGATCCGGTGGAAAACGTACAAGGCATATATCGTGGCGGCCGGCGGCGGGTGGTGGGCTGGCGCAACCATTGCGATGCTCGCTCTGCTGCAGCTCTCATCCATTATGACCAACTATTGGTTGACATGGTGGGCAGAAAGGAAGTTTGCGTGGGAATCCGATGGGTATCTGCTGGGATATGGACTTCTCGGTGCGGCATTGGCAATAATGACAGGTATGTCTCGTTTCTTCTTTACATTGTGATTTTTAGCTACAATCATAACTTCTGGTCCCCTTCCAGTCAGCGTGAACGCTATTTTGTTTTACGGAAATTACAAGGTAGCGAAGAAGATTCACCGAGCCGCTTTCAAGCGCTTGCTTCAGGCACCGATGGGCTTCTTCGATAGTCAGCCTGTGGGGCGAATATTGAACCGCTTTTCAAAAGATGTGGATGCTATTGACCGGCGATTGTGGGCGGATGTTCTCTTGACACTCATCAGCATTGCCCACATTTTGGGAACCATCGTCTTGCTTAGCGTTGTCTCACCATATATGCTCCGTACGTCGCAGTCAGTCATCCTTCCTGCCATACACACCATTCCTAATGTTTGCTCTACTTTTTAGTTTTCTTCACCCCTATTTCTGCCCTCTATTACTACATTCTCCGTTTTTACCGATCTTCCTTCCGTGAACTGAAGCGCCTTGACAGCAACCAGCGATCGCCGCTATTCTCACAAATAAGCGAATCGCTCACTGGTATTCCAACCATTCGAGCGTATAAAGCCGAGGAACGCTTCGTCAAGCGTCAACGAATGCTCATGGACTTGAGTAATGCGCCATATTTCCTAATGATGATCGCCCAGCTATGGATTACTATACGCCTAGAATTATTCACCTCCTTGATTGTTTTCATTCTCGCTATGCTCGGTGTGACAAAAGTAGTTGCAGGCACTTTAATCGGCTTGGCCTTTACCTATGCAGTTCCATTAACCCAGTATATCAACATGATCCTTCGTTCTTTTGCATTGCTGGAATCCAATGTACGTTTAATGCGTGCAAGCTGTATTTTTTGGCACATTCTCACACCATTTTTATCAGCTTAACTCTGTCGAGCGTCTGCAAGAATACGCGACGGAGCTTCCGGAAGAAGCGCCCGCAATCAAGGACAGCGATCCACCATGCGAGGCTTGGCCAAAAGGCGGCGAGATAGCCATTCGCGACATTGAGCTTCGATACCCTTCGCGACCCGAGCATCCAGTCATCCGCGACCTTTCGCTAGAGATTTCGCCAGGAGAGAAGATTGGAATTGTGGGTCGAACGGGCTCTGGAAAATCAACCTTGTTGACCGCCCTGTTCAGAGTTGTGGAGCTATCGAAAGGGTCAATTTCAATAGATGGACAAGGTATGATGATAATACTGCCTGGTTCTTCGCTGAACCCGCTTGACTGATCAATTGCTCCAGATATCGCCAAACTCGGGCTCAAAACCCTCCGTAGCCGCATGCAAATAATTCCCCAAGAACCCGTCTTGTTCACGGGCACCATCCGCAGCAACCTAGATGTTGAAAATCAATTCTCTGACGCTGAGATCTGGGAGACGCTGGAACGTATCAACCTAAAAACTTACGTATCCTCGTTGCCAGATAAACTCGAGTCTCCTGTAACAGAAAACGGCGAGAATTTATCGGTCGGGCAACGACAGTTGATATGCCTCGGTCGTGCAATTCTCATGAAGCCGATCATTTTGGTCATGGTAAGATTGAAAAGAATGCTAGAACTACTTTATTGCGTGTATCTAACTTTTCGAATAGGATGAAGCGACTGCTTCTGTTGACGCCCAAGCCGACCAACTGATTCAACGCTCCATTAAAACCCACTTTGCCAACGCTACAGTACTGAGCATTGCACATCGGCTCAATACCATCGCCGACTTTGATCGCGTGTTGGTCCTGGACAATGGATGTAGAGCTGAATTTGATAGCCCACACAACTTGCTGGCACGACCAGAATCCCTGTTTTCACAATTGGTGGATGCAACGGGTGCGGCGAATGCCCAACTGTTGCGGGAAATTGCGGCGCAGCATGACCAGAGGCGGTTAGATGTAGAATAGACGTATTAGTAAATAAAGTATTCGTGTTGTCTCAATTTCTGTATCAAAAGGTTCTCCTTCGCGCTTGAGGACAGACCTATGAGCATATACATGCTGGAAAGGAACGTCGCCGTCATTGCAGCGACTAGCTTTGCTTCTAGTTTACTCTTTGCAAAAGTAACATGAGAACGTAATTTTATAGCGACGTGCCTGATCACTCAAGGAAAGTTTTTCGATTGAGGCTGACTGGACTCTAGTCCTTGTAAATATCCAAGTATGCTCGGTAGTAGACTACAGGTTTCTTCTGTGTAAGAAATGTGGAAGAGAAAGTTCCTGTCAGCGACCATAAGAAAAGCTGTCACCGGAACTGCTACGTCACCAAAAAATCGACGGTTCTACGATGCAAAGGAAAATGACCTCGCCAAACAAATAATGTCACCCCCGCTTCTGCCCAGACGACCATAAGGAAGCTTCATCCTGGTAAGATATTCGCAGCTTGTTTTCCCATTGGAATCTTTGCAGACGGACTTGGACTTTGTAATGGTTGTCTTTAGGCAACGAACGGATTGGGGCACATTTGTGACAAAAGCATTCTAATATCTTCTTGACAACCGTGATGAATTCAATGTGATACTTAGGTCCATGTAACCCGGTACGTGGAGGTCAATGTGTGTGTGTCCTTCTGGATAGTTATCAAATATCTTTACAGATGTTTATATTCAGACGTTCCATTAGGATCCGTAAGGGTGTATATGTCCTATAATTATAACTGCGATATGATTTGTACATCTTTGGGTGATTGCGTTTGCTTGAGTTACATATTTCATGATGCGAGCTAGTTGCTAATCGGTATCGAATGTACAAAAATCTGTCGCATAGGGGTCATGTCAGAATCATGCATAAGGCAGTAGATAACAGTTTGATTGTATTTATCCTTGCTTGTTCAACGAAGTCATCGTTATTTCTACCCTCATTTCATCGCACTCCGCGACGGACATTGCGTCCAGATAACTATAATCGAGTGTATACATTTATATAGGCTACTGTTCCTTTGATGTAAAAACATGGCTTTTTTGATGTAACATGTATGTACTGATTCTGCCTACGCATTTAGAAATGGATGGACTTGCTCATGTCTACTGTATTCCGAGATGCCTCTGTTTTTCTTTTCAAGATATTCTTCCTCTGTTAAGGAAGCATATTGCAAATTGTAACCATTGTATCTCTTGTCTGCTGCATGCGTTTCTCCTTGACATCTCGACCCTTGAAATTCCAATAACGAGCTTAGGGGTTCATTGTGATTAAACGATGCATGTGAGGCTTTGATCCTTGGAAAATGACGACATCCAAAACCTCGAACTTGCCAAAGCGCGTCATGTAATCAGAAACTCCGCGATAAAAAGATATATAAGACGGTCTCGCTCGAATTCAGAACACATACGACTTTGAAATATTCATTCAGAATGGTGGCCATTTCGATTCACCCACTCGTCCCATCACCCTCCCTTGTGACGGGGTACAATAACGTTGGCTCGTGGGCCATCGAAGGCGTTGTGCGTCTTGTTGCTGGATCCCATCCCGACCACATCCCCGACTCCAAAGCGGAAGGAAAGCATAAGGCGTCTTTCACTGCTACCAGCATTAAAATTACTCTGAATGTCGCTGTCGGCACGTTCGTCGGAACGAGGAGCGAGAGCGATTTGCTGGCTGCTTTAGGTAGTTCGGGAAGTCGAGATGCAAAGTGGAATGGAATTGTGCATTTGGTAAGACGGAACCGATCATTTATCTTGGATTGTAAAAGCATTTAGTTATTGAATACCATTGTCTATCGTTTACTCAGAACAAAGATCTGGAAATAATTCCTCAGACTACGCATGGAGCTAATGGCGTTGTCATCAAAGAAGGTGAACCCGTCGATTTACCTTTCCGTTTTGAATTTGGTTCAGCGTTGCCTCCTACCTGTGAAGTCGAACGCGGAAGGTAAAGTAAAAGTATAGTTAATTTCGCGATTTTCCGATGGATTTTAATATCAATCCAATTATAGATACAATGCATTTTCCCGCTACCGTTTGCGTGTCGATGTACAAGGCCGTCCGCATGGATTTAAAAACGTCTTGGATGCCAGAAATGTGAAAATGGAGTACGATGTGCCTGTGCCTTTCTACGATGTCGGCCAGGTTAAAAAGGTAATGATTGACAGCTATCCATTCCCCTTGCATTTGCTTGTTCCAGTATTTTAACCTTGTAACGATGGGTTTCCAGCTTCTAAACCCTCAACCGCAAACCTGGAGTGGATCTACAGAAGAGCTCGACTGGTCCATCAGCCTCGGGTCTCAGATTTTTTCTCCTAATGAATTCACTACGGTCTTTTTGAAAGCTGCACTTCACCCACGCAACGATGGTGGGGCAAACCCTACTGCATCTGAGCCTACTACTCAAGCTGCAGCTATGCGGACTTCCAACAAACGCTTAGCCCCAGCGCCTTTTATCCGACGGGCCACCTTTAAACTTTTTGAAGAAGCTTCAATCCAAACCTATCAAGTGGCACACACGCCGGCAGCCGCCGCAGTAGCTCCTCACCGCGGCGGTTTTGACTTGAAGCTTCGTCGTCGTAGTAAGGATTCGACCTTGATCGATCGTGACGTTGGCGGTGGAATGGTCGAAATTTTCGGCATTGATATTGATGGAGAAAATTTGGAACACGGGCATGAACTGAAGATTCAGCTTCCGACAATGAGTCCAGCTTTGCCTACACCGGGGAGCAAAATGAACGGAAAAGCGCAGATTGATCGAAAAATGTCTACGGGAGATACCACTGGGATTGTCCAAAGCAGTGTGCAGGTGAACCCATCCGGCACCTGGGGTGAGTTCTTCGTCATGATTTTGGTTGTCATTTCCTGACTGTCCTGACCCACAAAACTATCAAAAGGCACATTCCAAGTGTCTCACATGGCTCGCGTTACCATTGAGGTTGCTGATGGACATACGGTTCTGTGGGAAACCCCAGTAACAGTTGCTCCCTGTACGGCCGCGCAAGCACGCAGCCTTGTCGTTGCTTATCCAGATTACCTTAACCTGGCAGAGACTAGCAACCCGTCTTCAGCCACTGCTTCCACTGCAGAGTTGGAGGAGGTGTCCCGTGAAATATTGGTCAAAGCTGCACAAATGGTGAATGCCGTTGTGCGTCCAGATGTGCCGTGCGTTAGGGTTGACAGTGATGCAGCTGTAGCTGCTGTACAGTAAATTGAAATACCAATAAATGAGTACCAAATGTTCATTGATTAATGCGTGCAATGTTTGATGCATCAATTCTATTGGAGTACAATGTATAGTCACGTACAGGGCAAATCCTTATACTTTCATAGATAGTTTTCTGACCTGTGATTATAGGGCTGTTCCCAGTCAGATCTCACAGTATGTTCCCAGCGGTATTGCATAGCTGTATTCAAAAAGAGGGGGATATCTGATATATACACATGTGGCATACTACTGAGCCGTCTCTTTTGTTTGTACACAATACTTTTTTCAGAGTTAGTCATGCTATATTTGCCCCAATGAGTTCTTCACTTCAGCCAACAGCAATGATACTCTTTTCACACCAAGTTCCGAATCCTTTTCTTCTCCAGCAAGACTAGCATGATATGGAATGGATCGACCTGCTGCAGCGGAAATACCAGACTTGGCAAGATGTCGGAAGATGTGCGGAAGGTAGGTTTCCTTAAAGCCAAGATATTCAGCCAGATAGGCAAAGTCTACCTCCCTACCAATGGTGCTGCAAACATTTAAGGCAATGTCCGCGCATGGTGGCCTATTTTGCGATCACCCTTTGCAATGTTAACAAGAGCTGAATGTTGTCGGAATTGCGCTAAAGACCACGATACTCAAGAGCTGACGTATCGGCTCTATGTATAAAATCATTAATAGTTTGCAATACTTGAAGTATTCATGTTTACTCACTGATAGGGGATAACCTTCGTCTGTAACGCTTCAATAAAGCATCACGCACATACATCACGAATGCAATGGAGAGTGCGTCTACGATGTTTAACAATGGTCTTGCATCTCCTTTTTTTGAAGATTGGCAATCAAAACGTTTTCGAGGGCTGATATACTAGTATATCAAAAACGGGAGCCAAGTCGCGCCCATACACGACAGAGTTGATGTTTTTGGCGAACCCCATAGAAAGGATCTGCGAGGATAGCCTGCCTAGATTGTTGCCATCATCATGTCTGCCGACTGATATATCATTCCTACAGGTTCCATAGGTGCCAACCTTTACGAGTTACCTATAGGCCCACACTTGATTGGCGACATTCTTCGCACTTGGCGGTCCTATTGAGAATTTCTTCACCAGGATTCAGAGCTACTGAAGCAAGTAGTCGGATCAAGCCGCGACAAGCTAGGTCGAATACTACCCAGCGGTATTACAACTGATGCCCGATTTACCGCCTTATTATTGAAAACGTTTTATTCCGGCATACGTCTTTCCTTCAAAGTTCATGATTTTAACATGTACTGCAACATCAAAGCGAGGTATGCCTTTGCCCGTGTCCACCTGGGTTTGTTCTAAAGCAATGTAGACGTATTTTTTATCATGGTTGTACTTGTAGCCTCGGTTGAATCTGGAATAACTTCAATACCCAAATTTCTGTATTCCCAACCAGAACGAGTCTGTCAAATACGGATCCTTACCCTTTCGAATAGAATCATCGATCAAAGTTTTCACTAGGTTCAGTAATGAAGCCTTTTCCACTGATCTTCGGAAGTCATCCCTTGCGATCACCAGTGTTCGATAAGTGTGAACAAACTCTGATGGCAAGGATGAACTTGGCGTACATCGGAAGTCGTAAAACAGCCCTTGCCTTTAACTTCAACCCAGAAGGCTGCATCTCATAGCAGCTTTCTGAGCATGTGAATCCCCATGGACCACCAGGGTGTATATGCGAGTTCAGCGGCGCAAGATTGTGTTCCCCACTACACTGTCCTCGACCACTTCAAACTACATTTGAGGCTTAAACTACGCTGGTGCTATAAACCTAGCCCTGACCTAAAATAACATGAAATTGGCGGCCACACATATCAGATGCGACGGATATCAAGGCGCTATTTTGTGGTCTTGCTGCCATCGCCATTATTCCCCATCTACGAAAACTATTGGCCACAGGTATCGGGTTCACACGGCAAGCACCTGAGACCGAGATTCAAAGTCATAGGAACAACAGGGAAGTCCTACGTATGCCTACATTAATATCTGAAATTCGGTGCATACATAGTGTCAAACATCCACGAAGACTAACACTGCGTGGGAGCTAGTTGATCAGTGATTGCATGAAGCCGCGCGGGTTGGCCTTGATCAGGAACGTCAAAGAAAAAACCGATACCTGCAAGAAGTGAGTACTGCATCGTGGGTTGGCCACATACAGAATGAGAGATAATGTATTCCAGCTTGATTTGACGCTTTTCACCAGGTCCATATGGTTTGGCCCAAGCAAGACCCACTTCTTCCACTCACGAGAAAATGCCATTCCCGGCGACCACCAAATGTAGAGTCCAATACCATTGAGAGTGACAGAAGAAAGAACTCCGAATTTGACTTAAATACGTTTGCAAACGTCTGGACCAATGTAGGTGTTACATGTTTAACGTTGTGACTGAGGCACTAGCCTACGAGCGCTGCTCCTGCCCGCTAACACCGACTTCGGCGATGCTTTGACTATGAGCGCAACAAGCGTGGGACTCGGTATCGTGCATCCCCCACAATGCTCTTTACTATCTAAACCTACGGAACAAAGCTGGAAAATGTGCCAAGAGACTTGCATCTCCCCAAAAGCGTCAGAAAGGCATCCACGAACCGGCTCGAATGAGTGCGCAGTAATGAGTCAGCGATGCCCCCGATGGCCTCAGTTCATCGATTGCTTGGAGGTGAAGAATTCCTTAAACTTTCCAAACATCATGGCATCTATACCAACTTTTTCACGCACGGACCTCGCTATTCTTTCAGAACTCTCTCCTGATGAGTATGAAGCAAGGCTGCATAAAATACAAGAAAAGAAGGTGCCCGGACTGTTGGCGTAGTGTTCCTGCGAATATTTGCTAATTTTCTATCTCGTGCATTAGGGGTTCATATGCGATATGGATGGTGTTATATACCATGGGAATTTGCTGCTACCTGGTAAGTAATGCCATCTGTGGAAAATCCGTTTGGCCAGTGCACTCTTAACCTAGCCCGTATCCAGGAGTCAAGGAATTTATTTCCTGGCTATTGAAGGAAAACAAAAAATTCCTCTTCTTGGTGAGTTTACTCTCGTGTACGAAGGTTTATGTATGTTTGCTGATGCGCCGCATGTGCGTTGTTTGATAGACCAACAATTCTGCACCTACTCCGCGCGAACTTTCCCAAAAGCTCGCTCGCCTGGGGCTCGCCGTATCAGAAGAGCATTTCTACACGTCCGCCATCGCCACTGCCAAATTCCTACAATCCCAAAAACCACATGGAGGAACTGTGTATGTCATTGGCGAACCAGGGCTCACGTATGCTTTGTACGAAGCTGGGTTTACAATGAATGATTCGGTGCGTTCAACTTGTTCAAAACGTTCAAAATGTTTTGCACTGACACATTTGTAGAACCCAGATTACGTGGTGATTGGGGAAGGAAACAGTCACAATTTTGAAAAGGTGAGTGTTGGGCAAATTTGTTTGAGAAAAAGAAATTTTAAATAAGCAATTCCAACAAGATCACCCGCGCAGTGAATCTCGTCGCCCGTGGTGCCAAATTGATTGGGACGAATCCCGATGTTAATGGCCCAAGTGATGCGGGCATTGTGCCTGCAACGGGTGCCTTTTGCGCGGCCGTGGAACTGGCATCTGGTCGAAAGGCTTTCTATTGTGGAAAGCCAAGTGCATTGATGATGCGGTAATTATGCATGAGCGCAAACGGTTATGGTACATCAAATTGTTGATGCTTTTGACATCAAGATATGCTGCAAGCATTCTGGGCACCAACAAAGACGAAACCTGCATTATTGGGGATCGCATGGACACTGACATTTTGGCGGGCGTCTATGCTCAGATCGATCCAGGTATAATAACTAGGCTATCATACGATCTCTTGTATTTTTATTATGGTTTTTGATGCTAGTTTTTCTCTCTCTTTTCAACAGTTCTTGTGCTGAGCGGCGTTACCAACCGATCCAATCTTTTTGAGCAAGCATATAGACCTTTTATAGTGTTGAATGGTGTTGGGGACATGGTGGTAGAAAGCAAGCGCGAGGATGAATGAAACCGTTGCATAAGAGATGTTCGTTGCATAAGTTTCGCAGTCTTTTGAAATGCTTCTTCATTGGAAATCCCTCCCTAAAAAAAAGTTTTGTTTCGGATCCGCCCACGCGTTTTCTGCGCGATCAAAAAGTTTTTCTCGTTTTCAACTTGCCGAGTTCTTTTGAACTTTTTTGCTAACAGCAAGTTCAAAAGGTTTTTGGTGGCTGCAGACAACTCCCATCTCTCTCCGTTCTCGATCATCGCTTCCGCCCCATCATCCCTTCAGGTCATTTCCCACCCACCTGGAATCAGCCACTTGTCGGCTTTTGTCAGTGGCGTAGGTTGCAGCCTCGTTCGCTCATTGCGAAATCATTTGGATCTGTTCCAAAGGGAGCATCCTTGTAAATACAGAGACAATTCCCACGCACCTACTTGCATTCCTCCATCTCTTAGGAGGGTCTTGTACATTGGTGCCAACAAGACGTTTTCTTGACGAGATTCGTTTCCTCCGCTCTCCAAACTGCGAACAGTTGACGATCCCGCGCATCCATCGAACACACGCAACTGGACCCAGCGAGAGCCTGTACTCTTTTGTTAGCGCTTGGGATCTCACTCTTGTGGCTCTTTTGTTTTTCAACGTGCCCCAACCCGTCCTTTTGGCGAGCAAAGGGACGGTGAAGGGGGCAAGGGATTTCTCTCGCTGTTTTGTGTCAACAAACCGTTTGTCGTCCGGGTTGGTGGAGGGATATAACGCATGGTGATTCGGCCAGAACAGAGTCTTGCCGTCACCGCCGAATGTCTTCAGTAAAGGAACAAACAATATTGACCTTGCCGCTGCAGGAGTCGCCGTCACCATCTCCACGACGTCTTCGAGACAGCGGCAACTCCCTCCCCTTCCCGGCGTCTGCTTCTGCTCCGGACGCATACCGCTTCCCACCATTACCTGTCGTATCCAGCCGACGCTCCTCAGTTGTGAGCTTACCGTCCCGTGCTAGTCATAGGAATTCCAGACGAGCATCGTATAACAGCGTAAATGACATTGCTGCTGCCAGAGATCTCGCTACCCGTCGACTGTCAGTCATGTCCGACAAAGACAGTCGCACAGATGTCGATGGACGGGGATCAGTAGAACCGCTCCATTCTCATCCGTCAAGCCCAATACGGACGTCTGGACGGGCCGCTGCTGGTGCTCTGAGTTCCATGAAAATATGGGATGTTGTACTACGACGACTGCGAAATAAACATTTTGCAGACGATCACACGGGGGATCGTGCACCAACGGATTACTTTAATGTAAAACCACGCTCACAATCGACGACTTCGGGACAGTTGGATGTGACGGCAGGGCTGATGACACCTGGGCTTGGGGGACCAGTGATGTCGCCAACTCTAGAATCTTTTCCATTTGGAGAGGCCACCCTATTAAATGTCATGGACGCACATCTCAGCGCTGTGTCAAATTCCTTTTCGCGACTTACCCTCACGTTCCATGATCCGGATGTGGAAAGCACCTACAAGCGATACTTTCTGGATCGAACACTGCATATGTGGAGAAAATTTACCATGGTCGCCGTTGCTGTCACTTTTATTCTTCAAATCATCCTCATAACACGATATTCACAACCCCGAGGCTTCAGCACTCCATTGTCTGATTTCATCTTGGTTGGCCTACTCGGGATAATTCCTATGGTCCTTCTCACACTGGTATCGTGTACGGTGAGGAAGGACACTCTTTCGAAGCACATACATTCGGTATCCCTTCTCTTCTTGTGGCTCATGGGCCCCATTATTATCTGTGGGCGCTTCTTCATTTGGCCCGAAAGCCGATATACTAGCTCCCTCACCGCCCCTCTGTACATATTCGTACTAGTTGCTAACGTTTTCTTTTGTCGGTTGCGATTTGTGCATACGTTGGTTGGAGTGTGCTTGGTGGCCGTACCGTTGTGGCTCGTAATATTTGGCATCGGCAGTGCGCGGAACAAAGACGAGGGGACTGCAAGTCCTATTTCCGACACTGAATTCCCCTTTGCAAGCGTAGCAGTGTGTCTAGCGGCTACTGTCATCTGCTTCATCGCATATGACGTGGAGAGAAATCTGCGCCTGCAATATTTGAGCGACCAGCGATTTTTGAGTATCAACGTGAAGCTCCGGAAGCAGCTGAAGGGGCTGCAAAAAGGGTTCGAGTCGAGAATTGCGGATTTAGATTCCCCACTGGAGAAGGCAATCTATGGACTTCGGTGCTTGATGGCAAGTCCCTCAGTTGGAGCAGAAGATCTTAAGACCTTGAACATGATTATGGCCTGCCTGAATGCGCCAAATTTGCTTGCACCTGACTTGGATCAGCAAGTGAAGCGAGGGCAAGTGGAAGTGGATGCGGAGCAAGAGGTATGTGTCTGTTATCGTCTGCAGTATTTGGACTGAATATTAAAATTTGCCGGTATCTGTTGATGTAGAAATGGCTATTCACCCAGCTGGCACAACGAAAGAACTTTTCTGGCGACAATACTTCCGAGTCGTCTGGCTCGGTGCCAAAGCGACCCCCCCATTGGGTTTTTGACAACACAGAGTCCGGCGGAGCTCCAGGAAGCAGTCCTCCTTCTCCTTCTTTCGTTCCAGTCAACGTCGAAGACTTTTATACCGACCGTACCGTTTCTCTCCTTGTCCGTGCCAACGAGTATAACTTTCCCATCTTCGATTTCGTTGAAGCCACAAGCCAGCATCCGTTGTTGGTCTTATCGCATCATTTGGTGGTGCAAAGCGGACTATTACCGAGACTGGGCCTCCCTGTGGATAAGTTTCTAAATTTCATGCATGCAGTCGAAGCTGGTTACAATCCGCAATTGACATGTAAGTTGCGTGCTAAGCTTTCTATTCGGTCACATGTACTGATATGTTTCATACAAAAGTCCATAATTCTATACACGCTACCGATGTGCTTCACTGCATCCATTACTTGATCTCCCTTCCCCGAATCAAAAGCTGCTTCTCTGATCTCGAGATCCTCTCCTTTTACATTGCCGCCGCGATCCACGATTACGACCATCCAGGGGTGAATAATCACTTTCTCATTGCTACTTCAGATCCACGAGCGCTTCTGTACAATGACAAGAGTGTTTTGGAAAATCATCATTGTGCATCAGCATTCGGGGTCATGCGGAGAAAGGACTGCGATTTTGTACGGGGATTGGGAAAGAAGGAATGGAGAGCCCTTCGAGAGAGCATAGTAGAAATGGTCCTGGCAACAGATTTGGCGCAACATTTCTCGCTGTTGGCAATGTTTAAGAAGAAAGTCCTCACCAGTGGTGGATTTGACCCGTTCACGACGAGAGAGGATCGGACATTGTTGATGCAAATGTAAGTCATTCCTGTTTGGGTTATTAATAGATGATGTATTTCGGACCAATGAATATCATCTTTCCTCTGCAGGCTCATGAAATGTTCCGACGTGTCTAACCCCACTAAATCATGGCCAATATATGCCACCTGGATACAACGGATTACCGAGGAATTTTTCTGTCAAGGGGATAAAGAAAAGGAGCTTGGGCTCCCCATTTCTCCCTTCTGTAATCGTGACGGCGAACGAGCTAATGATCCTCGTAGCAGTCAAAAGAGTTTTATCGAATTCATCGTTGCGCCACTAGTAGAGGCGATTGGGGAGTGGGTCGAATTAGGAGAGCTGAGGGAAGGGTTGGAGGCAAGTCGAGAGAGATTTGGAGGCGGACAGCAGCCACAGCAATCCAAAACGCCTCAAGCCACGCCAGCTCCGCAATCACCAGGAGGAGATGCGTCTAGTGGAGTCTTACGTCGTAATCGATCTGTACCAGGCAGCTTGGCACACATTGATCCCATTATCATTGACTCTCAAGACAGCGTTCCTCCTCTCCCACCGCTTCCTGAGAGCATCATGAACAAACAGAGACGACGGGAGAGTTGGGCGGGCAGCATTATTGGAGCTGGAGAGTCGCTGGCTGCCAAGATCGGGGTGGGGACCGGAAAACGGCGAGGGAGTGCTGGAGGTATTAGTGTAAGCGTTGTTGAGACGGTTGATGAAGAAGCTGGCGGAGGGAGAGGGGCTTTGGCAACTATGGTTGCGGCAGGAAGCTATAGGTAGAGCGGGCTTGTTTTTTGGAAATTCATAGATATAGACGGTGACGGGATTGTGGTTGTTTGCATAGACATTTCGATGAGGAACACGGGCGTAGACATTTTGGAGGCACTTTTTTCTTTCTCGCTCACTGAATCTATGAAGTATTCCGCGGAGGCTACTGGAAGAGGTTGAGAGGATGACCGAACGGATGGGGATGTTGGCTGGGGATGGAAAGGCTATAGCGCTCCAGTAATTTGGTCGTGACGCTTGTTGGGTGACTTCTGTTTCTATTTCTTCGTGTTTCGTTTGCACCTTCCCTGTGTACAGATTTGGTTAGTTGTTTAGTTTTCGTTGTTTCTTTGTTTCGATTTATTTTGTAAAAGAGTAAGAGATGAGGAAAGGAGCGAGAAGCCGAGGCTTATAGAAATATAATAGGTGTTCTGGTGGCCGTCGCTTGCGATGGCTTGTCATTTAATGAAGTTGCGCAATTTCCGAACTGTTGGGTTAACCATATAAGCCTCATCTACCAATGTATTTATTGTCTCGTAGCGCTATCCTATTTACCATTCTAATATCTATTTCTCAGAGTAGTTTCGTGCGACTATCAAACAGGGTATACCACACTGCAACGGATTCAAAGCAAGTCATCTCAGCAGCGCACCAGCATCGACTTTCTCCCCATCAACCCAAACATTGGCAATATCCCTTTTCCGAACAATCACAACTCTCCTCATCTTAATTTCATCAGTCTTCTTCTTTTCTTCTCCGTCGTAAAACTCATCAATTAAGGCAAAAGGATCGAAATCATCCATCTCGACACTGTCGAGATCGTCCCGTGTATCAGGTATGTCGGCAATGTGAATAGTAGTTTCTCGTGCTGCAGTTAGGTGCATTGTGGCGGTCGGTGTGATAGAAACAAGCGTGCCTGCTAAAATTGCCCGGGCATTGTTCGTTCCACGAACATGGAGGGCCACCATGGGGGGATATGTTGTAGCAGAAGTGAGATGGTTTACGAGATGAAGCGGATCGGTTGGGTCTTGGTAAGGGGCCAGAATTAATATGAGCAATTTTAACCAATGATTTCCGGATTGTCAGAATATATACCTCTTGGCACCAGCCCATTCATACTCGATCCCAAGGCTTCCTCTACTCCGCCCAACACAGGTACATACCCTACCTCTTCAACAACATCCAAACCTCGGTAATCGTCTTCCACCAGCCCGCCATCACTTGATGACCACTCTTCCGTGCCTTCAGGTATGTCCAGGGTCTCTGAAACGAGCGATGGTACTTGCGTGGTTGGATGTGTCTCTGCCGGCATCACGACTTCCGCCACAGGATCATCCGCCCGGACGCAACTCAGTGCTGACCCGTCAGATTCTGAACAAGCTTGTCCTTCAACGTCCGTTTCCAGTTCACTCTCCACTGGTGTAATTACATCCGGCAGCAGTACTGGGCATACTTGTTCGGGTGTAAGAGATCCGCTGGCCCCCAGAAACATCTCTTCGGTTCCTTGATCTACCTGCCCTTCCATTGCAGAAGGATCTTCATCATAACTCTCGCTGTTGCCCAACTCGTGAGGTTCACCCTCCACGACATCCATCGATTCACTACTCGCTTTAGACCATCTCCTCTCGGTCGTTCTTGGTGATCGTCGCCGTTTGTTAGATGTATGTCGTCTCTTTTCATCATCGCCTCGGCCTATCTTGAGCTTTCGTGGTTTAACGGGATCCGCTGGGGCTATCGGCGTCCAGCCTTCCTTAACGTCGCGCTCCACCGTTCGTTCTTTAATTAATACTTTTCCTGCCTGAAGCGATATTGATCTTGGCTTTTTAGATCTTGATGCATTGGCGCTCTCATTAGATCTTGGCGGGCTCCTATGATGTCGCATAGTCCTATGGCGATCGGGTACATAGTACTGCCCACTACGTCTACGCCTTCGACTTCGACTATCACTCCGATCTCGTACGCGGTCCCAATGTCGATGCTTTTGACCATCTGAAGACCGACTCCTCGTTCGTTTTCTGGACTGAGACCGAGACTTTGATCGTGAGCGCGCACGTAGCTGCTCCAGCTGCCGTGGTTCGCTTTTCGTTCTAGACGCCGATCGCGACCTCGACAGTGTCGGTGACCTAGACCTGCTTGAGTGAGACCTACCCTGTTGCGAATGCCCAGTGGCGGATGAACAAGAACTTGAATTCCGCCGCCCAATAGCGGGTTTCTCATGAATAATAATACGACTTTTAGGCTGCGGATGATCGTCGTTTTGGGGGCAAGACTCAGCGGCATCCTCCCGCAATCCAATCCCGGAATCTCGCTTGCCATCACTGTCGATAAAGACTTCAGACGCTTCCTCTTGGTCTGCAGCGCGCTCCCGCACCTCTCGCGCCCCGTTACTATCAAACACGTTGTTGAAGCCGGACGGGCGAGGCTTCATCTCAAACCTGAGTGGGGGAGGTTTTGACTTCACTTTGCCAAGAGTCATTGAGACACGAGTATGCATATGTGATTGGGTGATGGGTCGGGATGCTACTTTCCCGGATCGCCCGTATAGCGATGCACGGACGTCCGGGTCGGTCAAGATAGATATCGGTCCTCCCACTTGTTCCGCGGCTGGCGGTGTTTCCAAAACACTAGGGTCGCCATCATATTTGAATACGTCAGATAGGTCTGGAGTCGCTCTTCCTTTTTTCGTCTTCAAACTACTCTCGCTCGCTGATCGATCTAGTGGCCCACAGGGTTGTGAGAGTGATGCACGTGGCAGGCGGTTGTTCAGGGTGCTATCAGTTCCTCTTCGACCTGCATCATAAGCGAATGCGGGTGCTGGGCCAGGTGGAGGTGGAGGCGGGGACAGAGATGCCGCTCTACCCCGCACAACTGGGCTCTTCTGACGACGTCGTTCCGTTGGCGAGGTGGAAGCGTTTGATGAAAAATAAGACCTTCCAACTGCAGAGAGCCGTTCCTTTTGCGGTGAATTTGGTTTTCGCTTTTTAGTCCAGTCTTTGCTGTCACAATTTGATCCTGGAATTCTTCTCTCCGAAGGATTTTGCTGAACTCTCCTCTCCGCTGTCTTGTGGGGTTGACTTGCTGAATCATTGTGGGAAGCGTAGCAAGTCCCCATTGACTGTAGCATCTGCATAGGTATAATTGAAGGTTTACTATTGTGCTTTTATACTATTGGAGTTGCTGGGCGTATGACCATGCAAAAACGCGAAGTACACCACACACGCTCATAAAACCCCTAGATCTGGGGATTAAAAAAGCACATTTATCCTTCCTTCATCAACATTTGAAGTGAGGCCAACTCAATTCCTTACACCGCCAAACTATCATGGGCAGGTTCGTTGTCCTGATATACCCAAACGTTACTTGTTGCCATTCCTCCCAAAGCCTACCTTCCTGTCAAGCAGAATTTACAAGACAGCTGCCTTCCTCCCGAGTGAGATATATGCGTCGTCGGAAAGCTCCGTACCCACGGAGACGACGAAGCTTTTGAGGGAATTAATGCTCTTGCATTAGCCTTCGTCCTGGCTCAAGAAGAATCGGGGCACCAGGTCGTCCACGCGGAAAGTGTATCAGCCCTAACGCCAGTTACTTGATGCGGCGGATATTGTTCCGGGATTGGCACTAGCCTCTACGGTCGAATAGCTAGCGAGGGAAGGTTTTTTCTCAATCGGGATACGCTGCTGCAAAAGCGAACTATAAAAATGATCAAAAGGGGGCAGTCATCGCGTAAGCGTCGGGCAGGTGGAGACATTTAATGGGCAAAGGACGACGGGAACAAATGGCGGCGACACAAGTATTTTGCATAATCGTTGCTGGTATGTAAGGAACGTATGTCGACATACTGCAGCTACTTATGCCGTGAACTTTAGCTTAAGTCGGATACCCCGCCGTCGTCCTGGTTCTCATTCGCCGTGGGGTTTGGTCAAAGGACGATCCAAGCAAGTGGCTTAGGATAGTGTAAAGGTCCGGACGCGTTCGAGTCCACCCGCTGGGAGAGATCCTCGTTTTGCGATCAGATTCCTTCGAAATGCACTATCGTATCAATACATGACCTCCATATACAATGGAGTATACCGTAAAGCTTGGTAAAATGCTTCATATTGACTGTTTATGCGTACTTGGAGGCGATTGCCCACACGTTGGTATGTTATAGATCATGCAATTCCCGAGGTTCGGAAGCGGGCATTTGAACACCTAAAAGTAAGGGGCTGCTTCATAGAAGAATGAGCTCGGTCGATAGTAACTTCAGTGCCGTCTCTTTGTTAGTTCAAACTTCGTACTGGCATTGTATCTGTTGGTTGGTGGTATTTCTGGTACTAAGTTCGTGAAATGAACAATGCACTCATACATTCGACTCGATAGATGAGATAGCACATGAACGGGGTGCTCTCGAGAAGATCCTTAAATATATTGGTATTGGGAATTCCGAGCATGAAGAGATCCACACTTCTTTAGAGCTCTTGCAAGATCTTTGCAAAGTGCGTGGAGCAGATCACTTTTGGAAACCTGGAATGCTAAAACATGATCTTGTAGAATTCCACTACTCGGACAAATCTCGTGGAGCTTGGGGTTCGAGACGTTCTGGAACGACTGCGGGAAAATATTCATGAGAGCGGTAGCGTTGCACTACTCGATGACATTCGAGAACGTCTTCGGCACCTTCCTGGGCAAGTCGAAAGCCCATTGATCTACCAACGAGCTCAGTATAGTGGTGAATATGAAAAAGCAGTCAGCTCTCGGCAACCTTCCCTCGGGCATTATAGTCCTGACCGAAGACCGACTACCGCTAGCCCAGTGAATAGGAGAATTGGATCCCCGGACCACTGGGAGCAAGGAGGTAAAGATCACAAAGGGAGCAGATGGTTATTAATGAATGTTTGGGTTACTTACCAGCTGTCGGATGCTAGGTGCTCCGCATCCTCTGCCATACTTGCCTTATGCGATCCCGACATACGAAGTCATCCAGCTAACAGCAGCGGACGAAAGAATTATTGATGAGTTTTGTACCATTCATACAATGTCGGGTGGATGGGACAGAGAGCGTGGGCGCGAGCTTTTTGATATTTTGTTGTTGGACTTTGGAGCGGGCATCTTTTTGCAAAAGTCACAGCTATTTCGGGTAATCACCGCTTTTTTCAAGAGGATGGGACTACCGTGAATAACTCAGTCTCCACAGACCATTTTGAGCAATGCCACTGCGGATGTGACATCCCCGTCATGTATGTACCTCGAAGAGTTACTCCTGCAGTGGCAGAACCACTTTCGAAAATGTGCAGATGTGACAAGTAAACACTGCACATTGACCCCATCAACGGTCGTACCTGTCTCCATCGGCCCAAGTCTATTTGCAGAGCACGGTTCATCAGTTACAGATTACATGATAAGCATCCCATTTGCCTGCCACGAGGTGTTCGTCACGATGATACCCTTAATGCGTCACCTAAAATGGATGCCTGAAGTGTTAAGGATCTTGTACAATGCTCTACCTTTTTTCAAATTACACTTGAGCATGGCAAGTGCTCAAACTTCACAGCACATTTCGCACAAGGTGATCGTATCCTACGTTCAATCGGTTACGGCGATTGTTGACTATCATGGTGCGATGGTGGAGAGGAGTCATGGGGAAACTATATGCGCCGAATATCTTTACGCCAGAGAAAGATGCGCTCTATTTGCCTTCGACTTGCTCGATGCACTCATATCGCTGGAAGAGGTATCGCTCGCTTGCAGCTGCATTTTCCAACCATTGCATGGTAATTCTTGCTTATTACAGGATTGGAACTTTTCCGAATTGTTGTGGGAAGTGGTTGAACTCTTTTCTAGCATGCCAAACTCAAATGCAGTCCCGGGTAGCCTTATTACCTACCTCTTGACCAAGCCATCCCCTCTTCCGAATGCAATCCTTTTGTATCTGTTACGCCACGAAAATTCCTGGGTTCGCCTGCAGGCCGTTGAGCGATTAAAAGACGCCTGGAATGACACAGAACAGAAGAGCGCACTATTTTGTTCTGCACCTTTGGTCATTGCGTTGATAGAGACTGCCTGTGAAAGCGCGGATGGCCAGGTGAGTCTGAAGCGATGCCATCTCTTGCCCGTAAACTGACCGTCCAACGCCTTGGTCATTAGACACTACAAGTCGTCTACCCTATGTTGCAGAAATCAATCCTTTCCTGTATCGATCCCTCTCTCATCTGGAGCATCTTACCATGGCTTCAACTTATGTACGACGCAGACGAAGGAAAGCTAATGAAATCCGCCATGAATATTGCGGAACACAAAGGACATGAGCATGATGAGATTTCATTCTGGACAAGAGCTCTGTTACATAAAGACAAACGGTACCTTCTCACGACATCTTGGCATGTCTGTTTTTGGCTCACATTAACAGACTTGATGTGCAGATTACGGCAGGAGGCCGTGTCACACCTGATGGCTTGTGTTCCTGACTTAACAGCTGCAGCGGGGAATCTGGAGGACTGTGCGAACACGCTGCTTATTCCTTCATCTCTTTTGGCTATAATACAAGCTGACAGATCAAGTGCAGCAATGGTAGACAAGGTAAGCCATCGTCGCGCGCTCCTTTTCAGTCACGTTGTGAATGGTCGCGATAACGATCCAGTTGTTAAGTCCGCCAGCGTAGAACGGTTCTGCAATTCCTTAGAATCCTCGTTGCCCAGTGATGGTGACCTTAAGGATGATCTGCGTGACATTGCCGACGGTATTTTTGGTAAGTGTGATCACTACGAGCAACTGGGGACGATGGGTCTTGCTGACCGTGCCCAATCTTGAGTAAGGGCAACCAAACAGCGCGCCAAAGATCTGGGCCTCCATCTGAGGTTACTGAAGCTATTGAATCAATCTGGCGCGTCGTGGCTCATGCACCCTGGCGTGTTGCTGCGGGCTTTCATCATTCTTCGGGTATTAGTTGAAACGGACGTCGGAGTGCGTTCTGATTTGATTCAGGATCGGACCTTTGTCCGTACCCTTGCCCGATGTGAGTACACTTGTGTGGGGTTTGTCCCATCCCGCATTCTTTCAAGCACGTGCTGAGGAGTATTGTTGGTAGATATTTTCCACTTCGAAGCGCAATTACGATACGAACTAGCGCGGATCTTTTCCAGCCTGTTCTTTATGGATGATCAATTATGTACCAATGTCCACCGGGTCGTTGCGAGCAAATTCTACCTGTACATGCCTAGTAATGCAACGGTTGATGCCAGTGGTCCGGAGCGCATCGCAGAAGATCCGGCTATGGTCCGCACGATACTAGACTTTCTTTCATGTAAGCTGTGTTCTCGCTGGGACAATCTGATCGTATTATTAGTTCTTAAGCAAGGACTGCAGCATACAGGGGCAATGTGCGCTTGTCCCAGTCAGAAACACATATGCTTGAGAACTGGAACAATCCCTTTTTCTGGAAGATTGAGCAAAGTGCATCCGACCTGCGACAGGCACAAAGTCATGCAGCATTTGAAGCTGCTGTTCTCAATCTACGAACCGCTTTCATTTCCGAGAATGACTGCAATCTATTGTGGGAGACTGATGTGCCGCTAACCCTTCAAAGGTACGCTGTGCACGTTTTGTAAAGCGTACTTAAAAATGTTGTTTCATGAGCGTTTTGGAGTAGGATTCTTCTTTTACCGCCTGCAAACGTGGACGATGCCTTGCTGCTTACTCAACTCTTGCATTTTCTGGCCGATATTTTGATCTACCCCGGCATCTTCTCTCATTTTGAAAAAGTGTTGCTGTCATCATTCGAGAAGGTTCTTCTCCCAATTCTTTGTAGTGGGTCACAAGATGGGACCTATCATGAAGCTGACGCTTCAGTTGAATATTTGGGGTCGTCGGCCTTCATGTCGGAAATCCTTGCATTTTCTCGAAAGATTCTTCATGACGCATCCGATGAGGATGTAATGGCAAGCATTTCTAGAACTGATGCCCTCAGTTCTTTGTACATTCTTGGACAACGGCTATTGGACGCCAAGGGGATAGCAAGTCCCCGAAACTGCATGAACTGGCTGATGATACTTCTTCGCTGCGTAAGCTTGTGTGGCATCATGAGCGCGGTCAGCGGCGAGGTCATGAGTGGCATCATCAGTATACTTGTTCACACACTTCGGTCATGCCAGCAATACCCTACACAACCTGCCAATCCTCATCACTCGTGTCACGAAAGCCGGGGCTTGTACAGGTTGGCAGCTTTGTGCTTACGTAGTATCAGTCGAACAACCTTCATTGAAGCGACCGGTGAAGTTGCATGCGCATGGGGCGAGCATTGGATGGTGGAGGGCTCGATAGATTGGATGGTGGTTCTTCTTAACGACCATGAAGAACTTTTGCAAAAAGTTGGAATGGGGATTTTGAGTAATCTCACCATGGTCGACGACGCTCGGCCACTTTTGGAAAACCAGCTTCCGCATTTCCTGGACGTGGCCTTTGAGCATGTGATGACGGTCAATACGAGTCCTTCAATTCGGAAAGAGTCTGTGCTTTTGGTAAAGAATTACGTGGTGAGGTCTTGCCATGACATGGACGGCAGGTTCAGTAGTGATACACAGCAAAGTAATGGCTTTGAAGATGCTGTTCGAAAACTGGGTACCGCTCGGCGAGACGATGTACTGGCAATGTTTGAGAGATATGGTTTTTTTGCACGTCTTAAAGATGTTGTTGATTGCGATGACATTCTTGTGCGATGTGCCGTCTCGGAGCTTCTAGTCAGCCTGTCCATTCTTTCCCCGGCATTAATGCGACATGCCCTTTGCGAGGCCAATGCGTTGCCGTTCTTGCTCACATACTTGGAGGACAAGGACATCAAGGAGTGTCCGCCCGAGGAAGACACTTACGCACTTTATGAAATATTCCGAAGGCAGCTTGTACAAGATGCTGATTACGAGATTCTCAATAGCACTAAATGCAATGTTCTCCGAATCCTATGGCTCGTGTCATTTGGATCGCCTGAGATTCAAGCTTATCTGGTGGATGAGACCTTTGTTCTCAAGCAGTTGGTTCGTGTGCTACGAGACCTGTGGGACCATTGGAAAGATGGGCATCTGAGGCAGGAGTTGCTCCAAATTCCTACTATTGCACTCGCATTACACGTCTTAAAGGAATTGCTATTCGTGTCCGCCACGCGAAGGCCGAAGGAGCTCGAGACGACGTTTAAGACAGAACAGAACGGGTTGACGATCTGTCAGCTGCTGGTGGTCAGCATGCGGCAGACCTTAAGTACTTCGTTAGCCCGAGTTGCCTGCCAAACACTAGCGAGGATCCTGTCTTTGCATTATAGCGTTACCGTCGACCTGGGCTTGGCGGATATTCTAGATCATGAGATGCGCATCTTTGAGGGTGGTAATGGTCCTATTGGGACGGTGCTCTTCGAACAGCTTGTTCATGTCCTGTTCAGACGGTATGAACTCGAAGACGCTGCATACATGGAGTCAGTGCGGATCTGTTTACAGTGTTTATTGGGGTGCTGTAACTCCGTGAAAACTCATGCTGTGCAAGGTATGGACTTTCCATAGATCTCATTCCTGAACATTTCACTGATCGTAGTGGGCAGGAGGATTTTTGTCAAATCTTCTAGAACGCGCGCGGCTTGCATTAGATTGCACAGTAAGTTCTCATGCCAGAACAATTTGGGTCCCAAAATTGTGCATTTGCTCAAAGTTTATAAATTCTCAGTCTAGACTGGATGGCCCACAGGAGCAAGAGATGTTTGTCATTGTTACTCTTTTGCGGCACATCCTGGCTGGTTCTACAGAAGCGAAGGTTGGTAGATCGGCTTATATCGCAGTGTGTGCATAACTTGCTAATCGCGTTCACTGCTCGATGTTAGTTATCTGCAACCAAAGAGCGGACGCATGTACTCCTTCACCATATCCTCTCGAGTAAAGAATCCAGCGATGTGTTGGCACAGGAGGCGCTTCACTGCTTGCGTAACTTGATTGCCAATTGCAACAATACAAAGAGAGTCATGTTTGAGCAAATGCGGATAAAAGGACGAGATGCAAGCTTGACTGATATTCTGGTCAGCATGGTTCGTAAGAAGACGATTGAGCTGAATACATACAATGGTTGTCTCGATGTTCTGAAGATCCTTGCGCTGCATGGGGAATCTCGTGCTGCTATGTGGAAGGTACAGCGACGTGATTGATGCTCATGTGAGCATTAAATTGACTAAAACCTCTGCTCGCATTACAGACAAATATACTGGTGGATCTGAAAAACGTTCTATCTTGGTTGACCAAGGTGAAAGATTACCCGAGGGTGGAGACTCTCCTGTCATTGTACTTGAACTCGACCTTTGCCTATGACGGGCAAGTAAATGTTATGCGAACGCCAGGTATGTTGGGTTTGCCGTATTGGTGGCAAGTCGTCGTATTTTGTTGATACTTGTGTTTAAGAGCTGTTCGATCAACTCGTACAATTATTGACGGTGCGGTCAATACACGTCAAACGCACTACGGTATTGATTCTACGAAACTTGGCGATTGCCAAGGAAAATAAAGCTCATTTTCTACTCCACGGTTGGAATTTGATACATTATAACGTGACATAACGAAACTTATGGTTCCTTATCATCATCTAGGCGAAGTCCTCTCGATTTTATGCGACCTTTTGGGAGCGAAGTCGCTTGAGATTCTTTCACCAACGACTTCCCTGATTCGAGGATTACTCTGCGACAGTGAAAAGGTAAGCGACGGAACACTCAAAGTCAGTTGAAAAGACTAGTGAATACGGTTGTTTTTTCAGGCCAAGGTTGCACTGAAAAAAGCCGATGTCAAACGACATCTGGACTCTCTCAATCATAGGCTTCATTCAGGTAGAGTCAAACTCTCTCATCTTCTATAACGCTTACTCATTTGTCCACTTCAGTCTACTCTTGGTACCTCAAGCGAAGTGATGGACGACCAGGAACGCATGACTCAAAGGACGACATGTCCGAGCAGGACGAAGAGTATCTCGAACAGACATTGTCAAATCTTGCGATTGTAAATAAGTTATTATTGAACTAGAAAGCAGATAATACTATACACAAAATTGACTTCAACGAATTACACATCAAATTCTCAAGCTGATACATCGACTTCTTTGCCTTTGCCTTTGCCAAGCGGTGGCACTGTCGTTTCGCTGCTACCGCCCGCGGAGCTTCCCTCTCCAGCCTGCTCCTCCTCCCATTCCTCTTCTTCCTCTTCTTCAGATTCCTCAGCATCGGACAATGCATCCCTATTCAAAATAGTAGAATTAGGTTGTGAACCACATTCTTCCAAATGATCAAAGTACTTGCCATTGGGACAGATCTGCGGCCGGTTGAGCCAGTGCTGGTGGGGAAGGCTTTCGTGGGGCAGCCGCCTTGCTAGGTGCCGCTGCTAACGCCTTCGTCACCGCATCCTTCACATCCTCCATCACCTTTTCGTGACTACTCACAAACTCCGGGTCATGATATCTGATTTTCTGCTTCTGGGGCTCCTTTAAACCTTCTTCAATCTTTTTCATCAACTCTTCTTGCCTCTTACGTTTCCGCTCAGGTTCTTTCTCCAGGTAGTCTGCCAACCTGAAACCGGAAAGTCAGAACACTCCGAAAATACAGGTTACAGTAACAGATATCACTTACTTTTTGGCATCGTTCACCGTCTTCAATCTACGCCCAGATAAATCTCTACATGCCTCAAAGTTTGTCGTCTTTTGAGACGCCATTTTCCCACCCTGGGCTCTGAGCATACTACCAAAGCCACCTTTTCCACCCGGAAGGCGAAGAAGGAGGTTGAAGACAGGTGGAAACACATCTCTGGATGTATTTTCTGTAGGGAACAGGATGTCATTGTTGTCTAGGGAGCGGCCTCCTTCAGTCGTAAGACGTTGGACGTCAGCAGGAATATTTAGGATGGAGGTAAGGCGGAATTTGAGATCTTCAACCAGCAACGGGCTCTCGCTTGGGGAATCATCTGGAAACTGAAGACAGAGAGGCTTGAGGCCTGCAAAGGTGTTTATAATGACCTGAGATGGCATGCTTCAAACAGATTAGGAATGACAGCGTCAATCGAGTTACTGTACAAACCCAGGGGCCTGCGCTCCATTGATGCGTGTGCACGTGCCGCGGCGATTGCTTACGGCAAACAAACAGCCACGCCAACTGGCGACGGGACGCTTTGCATTAGTTTCTCGGCCTGCACAAGGACAAAACCATTGAATATGGAGGTGAGTTTATTGGATAGGGGTCAAGAAGTGAAAGGATGATAATATTTACTTTCTTACCTCTTGTAGCAATTGCGTGCAATCTTTCCTGACACCGACGCAGATGTATGCGAGGCTGTCCTGACTGCAAACGACGGCAATGTCGAAGCTGCTATAAATGCTTTATTGGAAATATCCAATCCCTCTTCTGCTCCGCAATCCAATATAGGCGCTACACAAGCAGATGCGAGCACTGTAAGCTGTTTTGTAATGAATGTGTAGTTGAAGCGCGATGTTGTGGGCCCCGGGATGAGCGTCCTCAACGTTGTGAAATTGTTCTTCTCTATGTTTCCAGACAAATGATGAGGCGTTGGCTCGCGCGTTAGCACAGCAAGAAGAAGATGAAGAACTTGCAAGGCGTTTGGAGGAAGAGGAGCGTCAAGGGGAAGGTACAGAGGGCAGCGTATTTAATTACATGTGCGTAAACAATTCGCGAAATTTACTCTGCCTGGTTACAGCAGCCCAAAGACATCGGCAGCTCGATGAAGGTATCTCTCCAATTCTATTGTAAGCCACACCTATTCTCCAAATTTCTTACCGTCTGAGAACTGCGTAGACCCGTCAAGGCCCCGAAGCCCTTCGCCTTTTCGCGAAACCAAAGAGAAAGTCATAGCTGGCGCCAGCGCCATAGGGGAATCGGCGAAGAAGAAGTTCAAAGAGTTGTATGACAAGGCGTTTACCCCCAAGGACAGCGGATCTTCTTCCCGACAGCAGTACAACAACTTGCCGGAAGACGATTTTGACGCAGTGCTCGTGGACTCAGAGGATACACCTTTGCGTAGGTATCAGCTATGGTTTGTTTGCTGCTGACTGGTGCTGATGACAGTTTTGGGTTCCTTAGAACGAAAGAAGGATGATCGTCCCGAGGATATTAGATATTCTGGGGATAATCGAAGGGAGTCAAACGCGCCTCTGTATCCCAATACACAGTGATCAACTTCAAGACGGAAGGATGCCTCAAAAAACAACGGTACTTTTGAACTGGGTAGACGGGGTCCCGGCGCGCGGCGGCTTCGCCACATGAAACTCCGGACACAACGTAGGGAGATCTATGTATTTGGGTTCAGGACGTGGATTTCCAACACATTTCGCAAATGCATAACACCCCCGCTGTCTCTATCAATCAGCTGTATATCTTCAATAGTGTGAACTAATCCTTTAATAGCGACAAAATGCAGATTGACTGTTTGACACGTGTTCGGATGGAGTGCGCTTCGAATGACCAAGCAGCTTATTAGCACTGATGCGACAGGCTGTTCACGTCGAAAACCGTATCCATGTCCACGTACCTTAGCTGAATACTATGCTCTAAGCATACGAGCGAGGCTTCGCGCTTTTCCATTTCCAGGTAGCGTCTCAAAAACTCTTTGGATGGAACATATCAGTGTCGGTTACGGATATCGGGCATATTTTGCAGCACGCACCTTCCTCTTCCATATGCAGATTGATTCCACTGTCATGACTACTATTGTCGACATTTACAGTTATAAGTTAGCTATTTTAATAATAACTTGTTGAATCATGCTATTCTTTACTAACCGAGTAAGGGACGGGGCGGATGTATCACTAGGAGTCGCTTTCGTCGGTATGATTAGGTTCAAATTTCTCGTCTTTGTGGAGCGGTTGACAAAGAATGCCTGAACGGTGAAGATGTGGCGGAGATATACTTGTGATGCAACTGTTTTCAATCAGAAAAAGAGAGACGGCATTGTTGAGGATACACATAATCGGAAAAAACCCACGTTAAACTCACTGGAAAATGAGAGTTGCAATCCGTCTCCTTCTTTTTCATTCAAAATCCGGATTTCTTTCGGCATAGCATTCTTCCTTCCGTATAAAGGCACCACGTCCAACAGCGTTTTGCTCTCAGAATCACCTCCAAAAAGAAGCTGGGTGAACCATTTAGCTCCGATAACCTGTCCGCGGGAGCCAGCGAGCGAGCTCGTCCCCTTGATTGATATCGAAAGTAGCCGCTTGATTCTTGGCGTTATAACGGCTCCAATGGACTTGACCGTCCCTAATGACGCGAAAGATGCCATTCGAGAGGTCATGGCACTTCCGGGTGGACTTGTGGTGCTCTCTACAGGTGTTTCCTTACAAGCATCCTCAAGTAATGCAACATTGTAGAGAAGGTGGAGCTCATCCTGTGTTTTAAGCTGGAAAGACACAAGTTGAGGCCAGCATTAAGAAAAGAAAAGTCAATGGAATTGCCCATGACGACAAACATACCGGTTCGCTCCTGATTGAAGTCTCATCAACAGGCGAAATGATAGCATTTGTCATATTCACATTCAGAGACTCGATGCAAAATTCACTATCCTCGCCAACATTATTTTCTAGCGCCAGTGACATCAACATACTATCAAGGCCGGCGTCAACGATATTAATCGTTATATCAAGTATTGGTTGAACAGGGATGCATTTTTGTATCACACGTGGGAATGGCGTTGCTGGTGTTAATGAAGGTCGCTTGGGGTGATTCGGTAAACGATGTACCGGTATTCCCTCCGGATTAAAATAAGTGTCTATACGTGGCTTCATTAGGCTGGCCAGAGCCAAATGAAATATGAAATCGGACTCACCATTTGCTAGACCTGCCAGCAAATTTGGCGCATCGAAGTCTTCGGGGTCGCATAGGACAGCGTCTCGCATTCTGGGTGGCGACTGCTGTGTTGATTTGGATATCAAACTAATTCTAACGATTATACTATATCCAATATCTTTTGATCTGGCTTTTAGGATTGCTGGTGCCAAATCGAAACATATTGAACATCAGAACAGCTCTCAAAATGCTAGCCAATAATGTCGCGCGGTACCTATCGGAAGTCGTAGCGGAAAGAGACAACATCGCTGCTCCGGTAAGACAATCGGCTCTTGTTCCCCATTCACCGCGTTATACACGAAAGAGTAAAGAATCTCCTCATCTTTTGCTTCTGTTGTAGGTGTAACTGCTGAGGACAAAGGCGACCTCTTTAAAGGTTGCGATTCCAGCGGCCCTAATGAGATCTGACCAGACTTCAAAGATGTAGTCCTCCTCTTTAGTGCTGGGCTCGCTAAGTAGCCAGCAGAATTAGAAGAATTAGGAGCTGGAGATCCTTTTAATGGGACGGGAGGGCCGGTGGTTGCTGAACGGTTTCTATGTGGAAACGCGCCCAAATGGTGGGCAGCTGGCGGTGGGGCGGGAGGAGCCGCTTTGGGGGTAGCAGGCAAGAAGGCCGAGATCGTAGAGTCTGCTTCATCAATGTCGCCTATACTGACAACTACATGCAGATCCAAACCGCGACTGGCGATGTCTGTGAGCATCGCTGCAGTTACCTTCGAGGCACTAGGCGCCTGAGAAGGTTTGAATAGGACATAGCAGTGGAGAGTCTCGTCTGCATATTTATATTATGAGAGCGCTGAGCCACGTCAGCTGTGCTAAAAGAGGGACAAGCCGGAGGCATGTACTGCAACCATACCGTAAAACACTGTGTCCCTGGCTGGGGCTTTCAAGATGTCCTCTGCATCGGTTGAATCCGTTGCAGGAATCAGGACCTCAACGTGCGCGTCTGCTACTATGGATTCTACCACCGACGCATGCATATCCTCTTCTCAGCCGGCAAACGGTTGCGTGCGTGGTGCAAGGCCAAAGCAACAAGGTCGCGCCGTTCTGGCAACTTACGAAACTGGCTTGTCCACGTGAGCTCGTTTATGAAGAGCTGATTATCAAAGCACGATCGCCATCAACAACAACGTCGTAAATCAGCAAAGCAATTATTGGAAACATTTCGCTTCAGTCTTTCCTTTATTGTAAATACAACCTCTTCACCTAAGGATCATGAGAGAAGATGATTGCTAGAAACTACGTACATTAACGCTCAGGATGCTATCCAAGACTAAAAGCTGCCCGGCAACCACGAGCATTTCCCGGATGACACCATCATGGCAAAGGGCAATATGATGTGTCTATGTAACTATGCAATAGGACGTTAAATACGCAACGAGACATTAGATCAAGAGACGCTCAATTTCGTTCTTAATCGCCTGGATCTGAGGTTTAAGCTCAGATCCCTCGTTTGTAGTGACCGAGCAGGAAACGACTGGTCGAGAAACACCACATGCACGGCCAAGAGCGGTTTTGGATGGAACGAAGACGTATGGGACGTTCTTATCTTCACAGAGCAAGGGGAGGTGGAGAAGAATTTCGAGGGGTTCAGTGTCAGCCGTCATGACAATGAACTCGGAGATACCACGGTTGAGTGTTTTTGTGGCTTCGTTGGCACCCTTTTTCAGCTGCTTGTAGTGGGATGCTTGCTGGACAAGATCGAGAATCTTGTTTGTGAGTTGCGCATCGGCTAGAGGAACAATAACGATAAGTTTCTCTTCGTATACTTTAGTTAAGGTGCATACTTCGGACTCACCAAGAGGAAAGGCTTTGGGGTTCACTGTGGTCGCCATTGTAATTGTCGAAGGTTGATGGGAGGTCAAGAAACAAGGAACCTGTAAGCAGCCAAAAAAAGTGAGAAGTCACGTGTCTAGGTCATATGACCCGTCGTGTTCGTCGTGGCTTTCAAAGCACCTCCGCTGGTTGAATCATCAACAGCCTGCCTTAAGGAACGTGTGCGCATCGTTTCCATGATAGTGTAATAAGGGTTGGTCGAAGTACTTCAGCTGTCCGGGTGAGAGTGAAACATGGACGCACTACTCGAAACCGGGCGGACGGCGATAACGCTCTTGGGCTCTATTTCCCTTCTATGTGCCACCATAAGTTTCGGTAAGAGTAATTACATTGATTGGAAGTTCGGGTTGTATCCTGTAACTCACTTTTTTTTAAAGTCTGGTTTGTTGCTTGGAAGCTCATACTGCACCAAATACCGTTTTTCCGGGAAATAGTAGGGTCGGCAGGATTTACCCAAAAGCCTGAAGGGCAGCCGGCACGCACATCACGGAGACGAAGCCGTACGATAAGAAGAGACGTCGGCGGCCACGATGAAAACTTGAATGGCCCGGATTCTACAACTAGCCATTCCGATGGGAAACCCCGGCAGCAACTGATTGCTGAATTGGCAGCGTCTTCTGTTGATTGCGTAGACAAACCGGACGTCTCGCGGACCAGAAGACGTGTCTCTTTCCGTAGTGAGAGCTAAAACATATTTCAACTTGTGTATATAGAAAGCACATTTATGTATAGAATAAACCTGTGGTTACATCCTACTACGAGCCAATACTGGACACATCATTATTGGAGATCAAGTTGCAGAGATATGTGATGAAGACTCGGCTTCTGCGAGGTTATACTTTTATTAGTGGTCTTGTCCACTTTGTCGATCGTTCCAGCCGATTGCACGTCCTTGTTCGACAAGGGGAATGGTGATGCTTTGGCTCCATGGGTAAGATCCCGCGAAGGGGCAAAGGCTTTACGATCTGTACTGCCAGTTGGACCGCCTTCTTCCACAGAAAGCTTCGGAAGGGAGACAGGTGGAAGGGAGAGGATATGCGATTGACTCTCTGCCACGACCTTCTTTGCATCTAGCTTCTTTTTGCCAGTTGATCCCTCTCCAAATGAGAGATTTCCAGTTGAGTTGGTTACCAAGCTGGATATTGACACCAATAGATCAGGAATACGAATATGCGGTAGCATATTAGGAGCAGCAGTAGGTGGAGGTTGCTGGACAGGTGCCATGATGGATTTTCCTGTAAGGGCGTTACGTGAGGATTGTGCAGTTGCATGAGCGATTTTGAGGCGGCCCTACCGATCAGTCCAGGCTCCTTCGCTGGCTGGTTGGCGTAAGGCACTTGTGCACGACGTGTTCGCTGTGGAGGGAACGGACCTAGATTATCAAGGGGTGGGCCGACCGTAAGTTGGGAGAGCAATGCAGATATTTCGATACTGGACGGATCCAAGCGTAACGCTTCTTCGAGGTCTTCTCGAGCCTCATCTATTTTCTGCGAAAGATGGTATGCTCGTGCCCGCTTGAAGAAAAGTTCGGCGCATGCAGGATCATATTGAATGGCCTATTGAGATGACATCATAAATGGAAACGTAAAAGTAGTGACAAGAGGAGACATAAGGCTTTACCGCAGTCCACATCCGTGCAGATTGAGCCCAATCCCCGGTAGAAAAAATCTTATCAGCAACGGCGGACCATAAAAGGCCACATCGCTGACGGCATGCCACGTCCTGCGGGTCAATCTCCACTGCCTTCATCAGGTCTTCCAAACTTTTTGAGATGTTACCAGTTGCCAAGTAGCAATCTTTGACACCATCAGTTTTCCAATTATAAAACTGAGACTTGACTACAAGTGTCTTACCAGCCCTGTTTTTCCAGAGTACTGGGTCTGAATTGTGGTGATCCAATCCTATGCTGAACTCCGAAAGCGCACGAACAAGATCTCCCTCCCTATAGAGATTTGCCGTCAAACAGAGAACAAATACGTGTGTTGGAGACAAGATATACATACTGATATGCTTGAATACCGGCTTTATTGTATACGCTGGCAATTCGCTCCTTCACTTCCGGATCCCGGGTTGTATCACGATCGGATATCTCCAAAACCTTCTGTAAATCTTGAATGGCGCCATCATACTGCCCAATTTCTGCTAGAAGTATACCTCTAGCACGCTTTCAGCTTTCGTTCCGCATTGCATACCTGCACGGATATACTGACCGTTTGAAGTAGGATGACCAATCGGCTTTGTCGAGTTCGATCACAGTATTAAGGTAATGAATTGCAACCGTAGGCTCTCCCGCCAGAATGCGCTCGGAAGCCTTATTTTTCAGGCCTACCGCGGTAGTCATGGCGTATTCACGGAGCTCGGGCAGTTCAGGGTGATCTCGGTCAATCTCGTCGGCCGCTTGTAAATCAATGTTGGCAAAGTCCACCTATATATCATATTAAAGTTATTAACCCCATCGTCGATTTTAAGGCTGGATATCCACAGCAATTGACCCTACGTTTCCCAGATGTTTGTAAATCTTTGCTCTCAGAATGTAGAGTTCAATGTTTGAGGCATCCAGTTTGGTGAGTTTATAAAGAGTCTCGAGGGCGTCGTCAAATTCTCCTAGGCCAATGTGAACAAAGACGCTAAAGCAAGCTATTAGGTAGTTCTCTGCGAGGTAGGCAACCAATAGTAAGATTACCACCGTAGTAGCACGCTTGAAATTTGGAACTCTAATGAACCAGCGAGCTGAAACATTCTCATAGCCTCCTTAAAACGACGTTGGTCTAATAGACATTGGCCCCATGTATATGCTACCAGACCTAATCGCTTCTTCGACACGTAGATCGACCCTCCCACTGTTGACTGCTCCGGCTTCCTTTCAGCGCTTGGAGGTACCCATCCGCCCACCCGCAATGCATCTGCCCGTAGCTCATTTACAATCAGTGCATGCTGCTTCAGATTTGCAATTGCGGATTCAAAGTCAACGATTGCCAAATATGCTTCCGCTCGATGCCAATAATAGCTAGGCTCGTCTGGATTCAGAAAAATGGCTCGGGTAAAGTCTGCAATTGCGCTTGATGCATCTGAGACCCTATTCCCTCCACCTTCTGCATAAAGATGACCCAAACCTCGAAGATTACTGTAAAGACAGGCGCAGGTTCGGCGCCATTGGTCAGGAAGAAGTATCCGTCGAAAGTCATTCTCAGAACCAACACTCGCGACCGATACGCACTACACCTGAGCTTGTTCCACTTTTAATCGAGTACCAGGAGGTAAGGGCACGCATTTGGGTTGCTGCCGAGGAAACTCTTGTTGGTTTGAAGAAGTCAGCATGTCGTTAATGGGTGCTCAAAGCGCTTTGGAGCGGAGTGGGTTAGCAAACCAGATGACTCATCGAATGTGGCTGGTGGCAGTTGAGCCACTCGAGGCCTCATCAAGGGAGCGCACTTGCGGGTGAGGCACTGCCAGGCTATCGGGAACGTATTCAACGCCCTTCACGGCAACCTTTGCCCAGAGCCTATCGCGGCTTCTCACGCTCATACATCGGACTCAACATCTGCGACGGGACCCGTATATTTTCCGTCACCACGCAACGTTTTGTTGTTGCACGCACGTTGTTGCACGCTTACATCTCATCCTAAATCAAGGCGCGTGCGCCAGTGACCTTTTTCGCGTACGGCGCTACAGTAAGTGTGGCAGCCCTGCTTTGGAAGCCAATAGAGGAGCTGTTTGGAGAACTCTGGGCTAATAATACTACGTACTGCTGTTATTAATATTACCATTTGGTCTCACCTAGACTAGAGCACGATGTCTGGGCAAATGCTACCAATCAAGTTTCAGGAGCATGTTCAGGTTAGTTTGCGGGTTGTCAACAACGGTGATAGCAAACCCTTTGGCATACTATTAGATTGTATATATTGATGGCTGTCAACTTATCCCAATGCCGATGTGTGCAGCTCCAAAATCTTGGCATCAACGCCGCCAATATCGGCTTCAACACGTTGACCATGGAATCGGATAAATTCATCTGCGTCAGAGAAAAGGTTGGGGAGCAGAACCAAGTCGTGATAATTGACATGAACGATCCTACGCAAATCTTGCGAAGGCCTATCACTGCCGATTCCGCCATAATGAATCCTGCTACGAAGATTATTGCACTAAAATGTATGTGGATGAATCTTGCCGTCCTGCACAATATGAATCCATGCATGATAATTTACGACGTTCGCTTCAGCTCAACGGCAGCTCCAAATTTTCAACCTTGAGTTGAAGGCGAAGGTAAAAGCGCATACCATGAATGAAGATGTTGTCTTTTGGAAGTGGATTTCGACAACAACATTGGGAATCGTGACGGAAACCACTGTTTTTCATTGGACGATGGAGGGTGATTCTCAGCCTCAGAAGATGTTTGACCGTAATACAAATCTTGCTGGCTCCCAAATCATAAACTATCGAGTTGGCGCGGACGAAAAATGGCTTTTGTTGATTGGAATTTCAGCTCAGGTTGGTTGCATGCAGAACAAATCGCAATAATCACAGAACTCTAAATTCCAGTATCACCCTTGGTGTAGCAAGGACGGGTTGTGGGCAACATGCAACTCTACTCCAAAGAACGCGGTGTCAGTCAACCTCTCGAAGGCCATGCCGGTGCCTTTGCGGAATTGAAATTGGACGTGACACAGCCTGCTGCAAAACTTTTCACATTTGCAGTCCGAAGCGCAAATGGCGCTAAGGTATGTTCTGTTCACGTACGTGACATTGGATTGAATAGCTTATGCGTCCAATCGGTCAAAGCTACACATTGTAGAAGTCGACCACAAAGAAGGGACACCTGTCTTCCAAAAGCGAGCAGTGGATGTTTTCTTTCCGCCAGATGCTGTCAACGACTTTCCCGTGGCCATGCAAGTCAGCAAGAAGTACGACATCATTTTCCTGGTGACAAAATATGGTTTCATCCACCTATATGATTTGGAAACCGGAACCTGTATTTTCATGAATCGGATCAGTGGTGATACTATTTTTGTGACGGCAGAGTTGGAAGCCACTGGAGGCATCATTGGTGTCAACCGGAAGGGCCAGGTTAGATATCCATATAACGTCGCATTGTGACACTGGGAGAGGATGCAAACTGACGCATGTGTCGTCCGCAACGCTAGGTGCTTTCTGTCAGTGTGGATGAGAACAACCTGATTCCTTACATTTTGAGCACGTTGAACAACCCCGAGTTGGCATTGCGATTGGCGACACGGAACAACCTTCCGGGTGCCGACAACCTGGTGTTGGAGCGTTTTAATTTCTACATGCAGAGCGGCAATTATGCCGAAGCTACGAAGCTAGCTGCTACATCGCCCAGGGTAAGCGCTGATACTAATTGTCGACTAGGACTCAGTGAGACAAGCTTTTTTTTGTGCCTGTTAGGGTATGCTGCGGACACCTGCGACAATCGAACGCTTCAAGCAGGTTCCTGTTGGACAGGGACAAGTCACACCCATTTTGCAGTACTTTGGCGTGCTTTTGGAGAAGGGTGAATTGAACAAGTATGAATCCATCGAGTTAGCGCGACCAGTCTTGCAACAGGGTAGAAAGCAGCTGCTAGAGAAATGGTTGAAAGAGGACAAGCTGGAGTGCAGCGAAGAACTTGGGGACATTGTCAAACAATTCGATCAAACTCTGGCGCTCTCGGTGTACCTACGCGCAAATGTGCCGAACAAGGTATGTGGCATTGTGCATCGGTATTGTCATGCTCAAGAGTGCTTACAATTCTTCGAAACACTAGGTCGTGGCCTGTTTTGCAGAGACCGCTCAGTATAACAAGATCATCCTCTATGCCAAGAAAGTTGGATATCAGCCGGACTATGCTTATCTACTACAGTACATCATGCGAATTGATCCCGATAAAGGGAGCGAATTCGCCTCTCTTCTTGTCAACGATGAGAATGGTCCTTTGGTGCCTCTAGAATCGATTGTCGATGTCTTCTCATCGTTGAATATGGTCCAACAGGCCACCTCGTTCCTGTTGGATGCCTTGAAGGAGAACAGACCTGAGCATGGCCCTCTTCAGACAAAATTGCTGGAAATGAATTTGCTGCATGCTCCTCAAGTTGCTGATGCCATTCTTGGTAATGAGATGTTCACACACTACGACCGTGCATATATTGCGTCTCTTTGTGAAAAGGCGGGACTGTTCCAACGGGTAGGTTGGGAGACAACAAGCAGCAGTGATGGGGGCATGGTACGCTAATGCACTCTATTAGGCGCTCGAGCACTACACCGATATTTACGATATCAAACGTACGATTGTGCATACTCATCTATTGAACCCAGAGGTACGAAAAGTAAAACTGTCCGCCAATTGTTTCTATATGGCTCAACAGCACCTTACTGTCGTTGAAGTGGGTCGTGAACTTCTTCGGTCGTCTCTCAGTGGAACAATCGATTGAATGCCTGAAAGAGATGTTGTCAAACAACATCCGTCAAAACCTGCAGATTGTCGTTCAGATTGCGACCAAGTATTCGGAGCAACTTGGACCGAAGAACCTCATCGATATGTTTGAGTCGTACAAGAGCTTCGAAGGTATGACACCAGAAGCCATCTCAACCATCCCATATTCCATTTTCTGATTGCGTGTCAATTTTTCTTTAGGACTGTACTACTACTTGGGATCAGTAGTGAATTTCAGTCAAGACGGCGAAGTTCACTTCAAGTACATTCAGGCCGCGTGCCGGACTGGGCAGCTCAAGGAAGTGGAGCGGATCTGTCGGGAAAGTAACTGCTACGACCCGGAGCGGGTGAAAAACTTCCTAAAGGTACGAGAACGATGGCTGCCATAACTCAAAGTGAGGTCACTGACAAATGGCACTTGAAATTCCAGGAAGCCAAATTGCCTGACCAACTTCCCCTCATCATCGTCTGCGATCGATTTGGCTACGTGCACGACCTCGTAATGTTCTTGTACCAAAACAATCTCTATAAATTCATCGAGATTTACGTCCAGAAAGTGAACACTACCCGTGCCCCTGAAGTCATCGGTGCTCTGCTTGATGTTGACTGCGACGAAAATATCATCAAAAGTTTGCTAATGTCCATCCGCGGTGCAATTCCCATGGATCAACTCGTGGACGAAGCTGAGAAGAGGAACAGATTGAAGCTGTTGCTGCCTTTCTTGGAAAACAGAATCAGAGAAGGGAACACAGATGTGCACCTTTACAATGCCATTGCCAAGATTTATATTGATACCAACAACAATGCGGAGCATTTCCTAAAGGAGAATACGGTACGTATCTCGCTCCTATAGCTGAGAAGCCGTACTCACGGGAGCCCTTCTCTTTGCAGCTCTACGATGCGCGGGTAGTCGGAAGGTACTGCGAGAAGCGGGATCCTTATCTCGCCTTTATCGCCTATGAGCGAGGACAATGCGATCAGGAGCTTATTCAAATCACTAATGAGAACTCGATGTTCAAACACCAGTCTCGCTATCTGGTGAAACGTCGAGATCCCGAGCTCTGGAACTTTGCGTTACAACCAACCAATGCATATCGACGACAGCTTGTTGACCAGGTTGTCGCCACGGCTTTACCTGAGACTCAAGACCCTGAGGATGTGTCTGTCACCGTCAAAGCCTTCATGGCAGCGGACTTACCTAATGAGTTAATTGAGCTGCTTGAGAAGCTGGTTGTTGAAGGATCTGCTTTTAGCGACAACCGCAACTTGCAGAACTTGTTGATTCTTACGGCAATTAAAGTTGGTACTGATCATATGTTCTAGCCTGTCGTCCAATACTAACCTTAATTACGTTAGGCGGACAAAACTCGCGTGATGGAGTACATTACTCGACTAGACAACTATGATGCACCTGATATTGCGAACATTGCGGTTGGTGCCGAACTGTATGAGGAAGCATTCGCCATCTACAAGAAATACGAGCAGCATGCGAATGGTATTGCTGTGCTTTTAGACAACATCGGCGATCTTGATCGCGCAAATGAGTTTGCCGAAAGGGTGGATTTGCCGGAGGTGTGGAGCAAGTTGGCTAAGGCTCAGCTCGACCACATGCGTGTGAAGGAGGCCATAGGTACGACCACATCCGACCATTGATAGGCTCTGGGCCTGAATGCTGAGTCATTACTTTACGTCAGATTCGTACATCAAGTCTGAAGATGCCACAAATTCTGTGGAGGTGATTCAGATTGCCAGTCGTGCCAACAAATTTGAAGATTTGGTTCGCTATCTACAAATGGCGCGTAAAAAGGTTCGCGAGCCCGTGGTAGAAAGTGAGCTTATTTTCGCATTTGCAAAAACGGGTCGGCTTGCGGATCTTGAGGAGTTCATCGCAAGCCCGAACCTTGCCCAGGTATGCACATGTGCAGGTAAACATACGTAAGGTCAAAATATTAATGAACTCCGCAGATTGCTGTTGTTGGCGAACGTTGTTTTGAGGAGAAGATGTACGAGGCTGCCAAAATTCTGTTCAACAATGTATCCAATTGGGCACGATTGGCTTCTACTTTGGTCTACTTGAATGAGTATCAGGCTGCGGTCGACTGCGCCAGAAAGGCCAACTCTACCAAGTAAGCCCGCACATTTGTGCATGTTGAACGCGACAAGGTATGAGACTAAGTGGCTTTTAGGGTTTGGAAGGAAGTGAATGCTGCATGTGTCGAGAACGGGGAGTTCAGATTAGCGCAGATCTGTGCTCTGCACTTGATCGTTCACGCCGAAGAGCTTCAGGTATGTTTGTACCATTTGAAAGTTCTTCTAGGTGACAGCGATGCGGTGTCTTATATTTGAGCTTAGGATTTAATCAACCTGTACGAGCGTCGCGGCAATTTCGAAGAGCTCATGCAACTACTCGAAGCTGGACTCGGTCTTGAAAGGGCCCACATGGGAATGTTCACGGAGCTGTCCATTCTTTACTCCAAGTACAAGCCTGACCGCTTGATGGAGCACTTGAAGCTTTTCTGGCAGCGAATTAATATACCCAAAGTCATACGAGCAACTGAGACGGCGCACATGTGGCCAGAATTGGTGTTCTTATACACCCATTACGATGAATATGACAATGCTGCGTTGACCATCATGAGCCACTCAGCGGATGCTTGGGAACACGCAAGCTTCAAGGATGTGATTGTAAAGGTGTCTAATTTGGAGATCTACTATAAGGTACTACCTCTCTTTGTTGGATCCCAGCTGTATACGCCAATACTGATAGTGCCTCGATGCTTAGGCTCTCCGCTTTTACTTGGACGAGCAACCACTGCTCCTCAATGATTTGCTGACCGTATTAACCCCACGTATTGATCATACTCGAGTGGTGCAGACATTCCAAAAATCGAACAACCTGCCCTTGATCAAGCCATACCTTATCTCTGTGCAACAGGTCAGTTACTGGAACAGCAGGATGGCTAACAACAGTGGACTAATGCCCTAGTTGCAGGCAAACAATCAAGCCGTCAACACTGCATACAATGATTTGTTAATCGAAGAGGAAGATTACAAATCACTACGCGACTCCATTGACAACTTTGACAACTTTGACAACATCGCTCTCGCGCAACGTTTGGAGAAGCACGAACTCTTGGAGTTCCGTCGTATTGCGGCACACTTGTACAAGGTATGATACCCGGTACGGCTATCAATGTGCGTTTATATCCCTAATTTCTTTCACCCGATTAGAAAAACAAGCGCTGGAAGCAGTCCATCACATTGTCAAAGCAAGATAAATTATATAAGGACGCCATGGAGACAGCCGCAATATCACGGGATACAGAGACCGCCGAAGAGCTGCTGCAATTCTTTATCGACAACGGGAAGAAGGACTGCTTTGCTGCGTGTCTATTTACTTGCTACGATTTGTTGAGGCCGGACGTGATAATGGAACTTGCGTGGAGGAACCGATTGAATGACTTTGCCATGCCATACTTCATCCAGACTGTACGCGAGTACATGGGAAAAGTAGACAAGTTGGAGAAGGCCAATACTGAAAGGACAGCCAAGGAAGAAGAAAAGGAGAAACAAGGTTTGTGTTCTTCATTTAACTACGGCTGTGATCGTCTTCTCTGACTTGTTTTACAACATAGAAACGACCATTATGCCAGCCCTTGGAAATCCATTGATGATCACATATGGCGGAGCCCCAGTCGGAGCCGGTTATGGTGGAGCACCTGGCTACGGTGGTGCACCAGGCGGACCTATTGTACCGCCAGGAGCCTACAGCGGGGTAAATGGCTTTAATGGTTTTTAAAGCTCGGATTTGGTAGTTGGTAATGGAATATATACAGATCATGTGATTTGTGACAAGCCTCAATGACCGCTTGCCTTACGTAATAAACGCCCCTCGACCCACAGCCGCTGTATCCCCTGAAAAGATGATAACAAGTAGAAAGGACAGACAGATCATTTTCTTTTTAGGAACCAGGCGTTGACATTTCACCTCTTGCCATAAATTCCACAATTTCTAAGCTTTCTTGAGCACCAGATTAGATCTTACCATGTCCGCTACGCCCTACCATAACGGATACGATCAACCCATGCCTGAACATTCACACATGCAGTACGGATACGGTCAACCCATGGCAGAACCTTCACACATGCAATACTCTGGTGCACCTCAGCACACATACCCGCAACAGCAGCAGCACTCCAGTATGCCTGAACATGTGTATCGAGATTCTCTCCAGCCAGTGAGTAAACGTGAATGAGCCGCATTCACTGTCATGTGCTGCTAGATCTTGCCTTCCTTACCATTGACACTGACACCTTTACTTTGTCTAACAATAGGCCAACTCGTCAGAAACGTTAGCCGATCCTTGGTACAACCAGAATGCCGAAAGGAGTGCACCCCAACCGTACGACGTGGAAGCATACAGCTCAGCTGACAAGCGCAAACGACGTGTCTGCTGCTGTTTCCCGACCCGCAAATCCTGCTGCCTGACTTTCTGCCTCATTTTTCTTGTCATCCTCATCATCCTGGGTGTATTGGTATGGTACTTTTGGCCAACAATACCGGAATACGGATATGTAGGACCTTACGAACCGACCTCAACCGCGCAATTTGTTCACCTTGCCCCAGGTTCCGAATGGAAACCAGGCCCAGATATACCGTTGGTCAAGTCTGGAATCACTTTGACGAGCTTGGCAGGGAATTTCGCCTTCTCCTACGGCATGGGCGTTGATGTTTGGTTGAATAATAAGAATCGATTTGATATTGCGATGGATCGATTGGATGTTGTGGTAAGTGATCAAGTTCAGATGGTCCGGTGCTATATTGTCTCTAATAGTTGCTTTCTGTAAACAGGGGCGGGTCAAAGGCGAGAACGGCCAGTTTATCGATGCAAAGAACTTTAAATTGCAGATCAATATGGTCAATGTAAATTTCCCGAAAAACGCAAACACGACGGAACATGTGGTATGGAGAACGAATGATGGTTGTAGCCGGAAACGATATAGAAAAGGAAACTGACATTTCCAAATCTTTCATTGTAGCCATTAGATCTCCGCTATAACGCCACCTTTTCCCAAATCATTGGTCAGAAGGATCCCTTTCTCCAACTTCTTGCAACTTCTTGCCAGAGTTCTTTCCTGGGCATCTCGCCGAGTTCACCCAATGCAATACCGCTCACCATGGAATTTGCAGTAAACGTTGCACCGACCGCTGTGAGACGGTTGGGAATAACAATTAACACTACCATCGGGCCGTTTGATATGGCGTGTCCGGCGCAGTTGAAAGATCAGCTGAAACAGGTAGACACGCTCACGAGGGGACTTTTGAATGGGGCGCTCAATTCGATTACGGGATAGACATTACAAGTTTTGGTAACTTAATTTCACAGTAGTATATCATGTACAGTATTGTCGATAGTCAACATCTTAAGTAGTGTTCATATTTTTTTTTGGTAATCATTATGAATTTAGTACATATCTTGCGAAGGCCGATGTAATGATGAAATTATTTGGCTTTCGAACAGTTTAATTTTTACATTATAGACATGAACGATACATGCATTCTCAAGCGGTATAGAAGCCCAGAACGGTCCAGCGACTGGGTCCTTAAGGGGTATCTCCTACTTAGACAACTCCGTCCAGCTCAATCGCAACCCGGGTATCCAACCAACTGTCGTGCGACTTGTCTGAGACACAGCGAATTACCAGTTCCCCTCAAACCGGTCCGCCACTCCTCTGAAAAACCTCCTAAACTTCCTTCCAGCAAGATGCATCTTTGACGGGCTCTCAAGCCTATATACTGGCGACACTGGCGTGAAGTCCTCTTCTGAGAGGGAAGTTCTGTACCTCGCATACCGATCATGAAACGGTTGGTCGGCAGGAGGCGCAATGTCAGGTGTAGAGCGTTTGTAAAAAGGAATGGAGATGCGAGAAAAGAGTTTAGCAAAGCTGTGCTGCTTTTTAGCTACGACTTGATGGGCGTGGGCGTCCGAGGCTACGACGGTGGCAGCACTATTTTCATGTGGAAGAACCACCAACCCTTCACTCCGCCTCCGGAGGGTCGAGACGGTCTGGTTTAGCCATCGCTTGTCAACAGGGATCTCGGTATGCGCTGGGTGGGTTGAAACAATTTCGCGGACGACAGGGTCCAAAAGAGCTGGGCGGTAGGGTTGGATATTGGGTATAGAGGCCAGGCGGACGCCTGTCGGGGATGGTGGGGAATGTAGGAAGGGTCGTAATGAGATGTCATCACTTTATGTCAATTCCTTGGCTTCTTCTATTATTGTAATTTGCCAATGTTGAGCTTCTGATTCCTTTAAACAGTAGATTTGAACCTTCTGATCATCGGTTCATAGCCCTGGTGCATCTTGCGCTCATCATCCTGTCGAAGCTATTTTTAGAAAGCTCAGGTCATCCTACTCTGGCCCGTCGAGGTCGATCACTGCAACGTGACTAATGCGGGCGGGTGAGCAACGATCAGAACAACCAGGAGATGCAATTGAGAGTAAAGGTCCCCAGAAATATGGGAATGTAGGATGAGGTCTATTATGTAAAAGGAGACAGCATGCACCTTGCCATGAAACAACTTAAAAAAATAGCGATATCTGAAGAGTTTTTTTACAAGCGAGCAGCAGTGTTTGATGCATTTTTGAGATTCCGCTCCCATGGGACAACGAGAGCCATTTGTCTAAGAAAGACATGAAGTATTCAAGTTTGAGGGGGCCCAGTTATAACCAAAAGCGATTGATTTATGGAGCTCACCTTGCAAGCGCAACTATATCACCGTTTTCGTCGTATAGCTCCACGTCCACTTCATGGCGGCCGTTGGTGATGAACCTTGAGTTGACAGATTGTCCAATCCACCTTCCAGGGGTAGTTGTGGAAGGTTTAGCGCGGAACTGAATGTTGATCTCCATGGTTGGAAACCAACATTCTCCACCTAGCCATTCTTTCCCGAAATTAGTGAGGAGGGGGCCGGATGCGTCGGCGAAAAAACCCAAACTGATCAAATCTGGATGTCGTCCGTCAGTGAATCGAATCCACTGCCGCCGCTCGGCTTTTGTGGTTGAGAGTGTTTGCGAGTCACGGAGAACCTCCACCTTTTGTCCAATGTGTGGCTTATCTTTAGGTGCTTCAGGCGCACGCCGGCCAAAGCTACCAGGAAAGCATTCGGATGGGGGAGGCAGACGATCAGGATCGATGACTCGTGTCGGACCTTGCTCCTCAGATATGTTCCCATAGGTGACAGTTGCAAATTGTGTGACAATCCCAGCCTGTTCTGTTATAATCTGTGCTATTGAATAACGTCCAGCTTTAATGTCGGTGACGGTAAGGATAGCGGGGACATTGGCGGCAGTCGGACGAAGAAAATAGGCGTTGATGGATATGGGATCTGGTCGGTTGCCAGCAAAGTGAGCACTCGCAGCAGACAAGATAACACTGAACAGCAACCAAAATTTTAGAAAGCTGCATGAGCTAAGATCCTTTTCCGATCCGATGTACCTGAGGATATATCCGCCGTGTGGAACAGATCCTATCATCCATTCGTCAGAGATATCTGCTTTCCATACTGAAGAAGTCGGCGAGCGAGAAACCTCCTTCACAGCGATCACCTTGTCGAAATCAAATGATAAAGCAGACATTTCTTTGTTTACGAGACAAGCAGCAAGTGCCAAATAGCCAGATCAGTCGTTTTATATCAAAGGAAGGTGATACTTTTTGCCGGGACGAGGCGCGTTCAAAAGAAATGGCCGTCACACATTTTGCTTAAGTCAACTTTCATTAGCTTTGATTTAAGTAGATTATTGGATCTTTTGAGTCTGTTAGTTCTTGGTAATATCGGATAGTTAATGGCACGAACTTGAAGAGCTGTAGCGAACATTGGCTTATTATGGCAGGGAGCACTTTTATGAATTGATTCATGGTAGATCGTTATAAAATGGATCACCGCGGTTGGCCGCTAAAGGTGTCTGCTATTAAGGAAGAATAGAATAAAAATGACTGCACACCACACACCCTTTTACGCCTGTGTGTCATTACAGATATTGTAAGCCTCTCAACCTTTGTACGTCAATAGCAGCATTCGACAATCTACATTACATATTCCTCCAGCAATCAAACATGATTGTCTCGCATTATGCAAAACTCATTGCAGTCAGTTGGAAGAAAGCGAGCAAGTCGCCCGTGAGCTGCCCACCCATCTGATATCACTTGTTTTCAATATCAATGCATTTTCAGGTTGTCTACAATAGCACGTCTCTGATTACAGTGGAAAGTAGTCCATCTGCTCCGTGAGAAATTATTCATCCTCGGGACGTCCTGCATGCGAGCAGTTAATAGGCAGGTTGAAGAACTTTAGCGACAAATGACAGTTAGCATTAACAAGATCGCTCAAATGTTTGATGCGTTCTGAAGATAGAACATGATAATCCTCCATGCCAGCTTTTATGTTGATATTCTACATCTCGTTAACAAAGCTTGCCTTTAACTCAGCATGTCTCTTCCCCTTAATTAACAGTGCTTTCCATTCAGCTCATACAAAACGTACTTTTTTCAAAGATGCTATTGTATGTCACGTGACGTCGTTGGTGATGAGTCAAAAAGGTTGAGTTGGTTTCCTCAGCGAGAGATCTGTCACGGTGACAGGAAATGGCATCCTCGGACCGACAACAAGAGTCACCCTCTCGGCCCTCGCGGTGGTGGACATGGGCATGGAGAAGACCTGCGTCTGATGACGCTGTGATTCCTTGGCTCGCCGCCAAAGATGAACAAAACTCACGGTCAATTGCTTCGACTATTGTGGCCTCACCACCAATTTCCGCAACTCCAGCACCTCTCCAACGTCCAGCCGCTGTTCCCTCTTCTCCTTCGATCACTGCCTCAGTAGAATCCGTTTCAAAGAGTACACCCGTTGAACCAACAGTTGTCCCCGAAAGTGGGACGGGCTTCATGCGATACAACAAGTGAGTGACCGACATTTTACAGTGTCCAGTAGTGTCCAACCTTTCATAACCTTGTGATGGCAAGATACATTATAGGAGCTGCTTCAATTGCAGCCTTTTCCTCCATGATGTACACTATCCATCAGCGCACCAAGGGCAAGATGAGGATCCCATTACAGGAACTGATTGATAATCCTGCTGCTGCCGCCGCAAACCCCAAACTCGCAGCGTACATGTTTGCCGGTCGTGCCTTTGGAACCGCTACCATTTTAGTTTTGACCGGTACGGCGGGCGTGGCCATGACCGTTGCCAGCGTTATGGACGTCAATAACGTAAGTATTATTCAATGACAATAATGTGGCAGGAATGGAGAGCTGATATGATTCCTGCTTGTTCCGATGCACAGTTGAAGGAATTCTCAATACGAATGCGCGAGATTATGGCAGCTCGCTTCCCCCGGCTGAAGGGAAGCGATGAAGAACAGGATAAGAAGTTTGATCCTGCTACTTATGAGTTTTTGAAAGAGGTGGCGGATGATGTTGAACGCGAGGAACAAGAAGGAGAGTGGAGGGAAGGTCCTGGACATGCCATCATAGGGTCACGAGTGAGAAGAGAGCTTGGACCGCTTTCGAGACATGGCCTAAATTAGGAGAGTGACTGCATTCAACCGCAATCGTGTGCAAGCATACAATTTATCTATTGTCATCATGAGGCTAGATTTATTTCCAACTGTATACTAAAATCCCACAACTGTAATTCACAGTAGCTGTACAGCGTTGTTATTAACGTAGGATGACAATAGTCAATGTCATGTCACGAGTCGAGGTTACGTACCATTCAATCCGCGCTTTCATCCCTGCCCAGCTGTCCCACCCATATCGCATTGGTCACGCTTTCCAGAAAAAAAGGGATACCCACCAGTTCAGATATCAATGCAGTGTGCTAAAATCTGGACGATTTTGTTTGCGACGACCTCGCATTTTCCATTTGAAAAACTTGTCGATCCGTCAAAAACAGCTGCTAATAATTTGTTAACGAAGAGACTGAGCTCCACCATGCCAGCACCAGACTTTGACCTCATTCCGTTTGTCAGATCAATTCGTTTGAATCATCCAAAAGAGGATTATGAGGAACTTATGGATGCTATTGGTATGTATGGAATGTTATGACAACATACTATCCAAGCAGTATAAGCATCAGCGACTGAGCAGTATGACACCTGTTCTCCAAAAGGTTCTGCGCGAGTGGTCTGTATTGGGGATGGCAGTCATGGCACATTAGAATTCTACGTATGTCCTTGCCATTTGCTTTCTAACGTTATTGGCAACAGCAATGATTTGGCTCGTGTTGCCTAGCGGGAGCGTGCGTACATTACCCAGCGATTGATTGCCGAAAAGGGTGAGCATGACTCTCATTTCGGACAAGAAAGAGAAAGCAAACTGAATAAATATGCAGGGTTCAACGCTGTGGTTGCTGAAGCCGACTGGCCCGACGCCATTACCATCAATCGATATGTGCAGAATACATCTAAAACTCCAATCAAGGGAGCTGTAGACGCCCTAAAGGACTTCAAGCGGGTATGCTGGCAGGCAGCAGGTTATTAAGGTGCACAGACTCTACCGACATGGTTTGATGCTTGACAGTTTCCGCTCTGGATGTGGCGTAACGAAGTTATGGTAAGATTTTTGCATCTCCACATCGTCCGTAACGAGGACAAACCTCCTCACTCATCCGGTGCCCAGGTGCCCTTCATTAAATGGCTTCGCCTTTGGAACGACAAAATTGCCCATCAAGGCGGTGGTCTCTTTGACAAAGCATGCTTTTTCGGCATGGACATGTACAGTCTTCACGCCTCTGCCGCGGCCGTCATTGAATATCTCCAGAAAGTTGATCCGAAAGCCGCCCAAAAAGCTCGGGAACGGTACGGCTGTTTCCACCGTTTCGGCACCGATACCACGAAATATGCATTTGCCGTGCGGTACGGTATAAGCGAGGGTTGCGGTCAAGAAGCTGTCAAAGTTCTACAAGATCTGTTGGAAAAACGTCTGCAATACGTCAAAGAGAACTGCAATTCGGCCGAGGAAGAGCAATTCATTGCTGAGATGAATGCTCTGGTCGTGAAGGATGCCGAAGAATACTACCGTTGTATGCTCGACGAGGACGTCATTACTTGGAACCTGCGGGACCAACACATGGTCGATACTCTCGAAAGAGTAATGGAATGGATTGATCGGCACAAAAGCCAGGACCAGAAATCAAAGGTCGTCGTTTGGGCCCATAATAGCCACTTGGGTGATGCCAGGTACACGGATATGGGTCGGAGGAGAGGGGAAGTCAACGTTGGACAGCTCTGCCGGGAGAAGTTTGGAGAGGACAATGTGTTTAATATTGGGTTTACGACATATAAAGGAACCGTGACCGCTGCTCATGAGTGGGATACACCTGGCCGTAAGTCCCTCGTGAAGACAAAAGATTCTCCTATTCTGTGCTCTAATAATGATTATTACTACAGGTATTATGGATGTCAATCCAGGCCGTCAAGATGCGTATGAAGGCCTGATGGAGCGTTCATTGCCTCATATCAAAAATTGTCTCCTCCTCACCCATCGCATCGATCCAAAAACAGGGAAAAAGATTCCAATTGATGAACAACTCAATAGGTACTTGGATAACCCTCTGAGATTGGAGCGCTTCATAGGAGTAATTTATCGACCCGCCACGGAAAGGTGGAGTCATTATTCATCATGTGCGTTGGCTAGCCAGGTAAGCTCTATCTTTGTCATGATTGATACGATTATTCAAAGTGGTGCTGATCCGGTCGTTGCGGAAACCAGTTTGATGCGCTGGCGCATTTGCGTGTCACGAACGGGATACGGCCTCTGGATAAGACTGCCCACTTCCCGGATGCTTCACCAGATGTACCAGAGACCTTCCCATTTGCCATGTAATGGGTGCAATCCTTCGAGGACTTGTATAGCTTTATTGCTAGACAGCATGATTGCCTTCCTGTATATTCATTTTCAATTTGCATTTGCTGCTCTATCTGATACATTGTTGATGCAGGAAAGTATCAGCAATCTTCTGGCACTGAAAAGGCCGGGTAAACATTCCCATACACTTCGGGTCCAAACCCGGCATTAAATTCCCAAAAAGTAACAGCCCTACACTATATTCACTATCGGAGAACGGGGACAACCACTGCCAAGCTCAATTTATCGACCCGCCACGAAAAAGTGGAGTCATTATTCATCTTGTGCGTTGGCTAGTCAGGTGAGATCTATCTTTGTCATGATTGATACGGTTATTCAAAGTGGTGCTGATCCAGTCGTTGCGGAAACTAGTTTGATGCTCTGGCGCATTTGCGTGTCACGAACGGCATACGGCCTCTGGATAAGCTGGTCAGCAGTCAATTTGACAGTCTGCGGTTGAAAAAAAGGCCGAAAGTAAAGAAGGTATTGAGATCTCTATAGCAAGAATCAGTACTATGCAGGCGAACACTGTGCGAGCCTTGTATGATGGCCCAGATACTTACATGAAGTGCACCAGCGTCTGTGGTAGCCTTATAAATGTAATTTTATGAGCTGTATATACATTTGGGAGGACAACAACAGCTAGACACTTCCGCGAAAGGCTCGAGTTCATTGCGGCGGGATCACCCAAAACCCAAGGTCAGGTTTACTGAATTGAACATAGCGGTCCCTGCGGCTGGATTTGCTCCCTGAGGCCAGATTCTGGCAAGCTGAGCAAGGCCTTCAAGTGTTCACCTCATAATGTATCAGTGGGCAATGGTTGTCCACCAGTTGCCCAGCGGTTTTTGGTGACATGTGTTTTGGGGACTGACGTAAGCACACATTCAAGTTCGGACTTGCAGGCAGTCCGCGTTCATGGTGTCGTGCTACAATGTCCGCCCCACCCGAGCGCGCTTTTCTCCACCATACCTCTCCAAATCCAAATCCACCATGTCAGACTCAGAGGAAAGCACTAATGGTAGATGTCTTGCCGTCAGCTGCTTCCAGCGACATATCATCTCATGCCACTCGTTTTCTCTGCACCAGGCGGACCCAGTTCACCACTCCCGTCAGCCTCGACAGCTGATTCAGAGGATATTGATATCCGCGGTATGTGTGCTCTAACTCCGTGCTTGTGGCCCTTGCTTGGGAGACGCGGCATGCGAAGCGCATCGGATCGCACCTACGTGCGTGATGGCGGGCACTCCCCTGTGTCTTTCCAAGACATAGGACTGCCTGAGGATACGGCTCTTGGTGTGCATACAGCAAGGGAAAAACTGATGGTCTGATATGGCCGTGATTGCCACAGCTTATGCTGTCTCTCTCATGGATCTTGGAATGCGTCTCGTATCGGCTGGCGTTAGCATTCGTTGTCTTTCAAGATGGGGTATCGGATCGCACCTACGTGCGTGATGGCGGGGCACTCCCCTCTGTCTTGTCTAGGCAGAGGACTGCCTGAGGATACGGCTCTTGGTGTGCATACAGCAAGGGAAAAACTGATGGTCCGACATGGCCGTGATTGCCACAGCTTATGCTGTCTCTCTCATGGATCTTGGAATGCGTCTCGTATTGCTGCGCCATGGTCACAAGCACGGTCTTTCTCGCTTTGCACTTTGTAATAGAATCTTGGCTGATCCAATTTTTTTTTCTCTTCCTTTTGACAATCCTCTGCACTGAATGCAATTCACTTTGTGCCTGCCCTGGTGAGAACCGTAACATACATTTACGAAGGAATACCATTAGCTCTGGTAACATATGTAACATATTGGATCCATTGTTGGGCTATTTCCTGTTTTTGGCATGTAGAAATTTAATCAATCCATCGGCTACCCTCGCCATGCATGCATTTGCGATATCATTTTGCATCAGGCATCATCCGTAAATACTTGTTCGAACGGGTGAAAAGGGCAAATTTTTCGATCAACAATTTCCTCAAATTCTCTGCACGTTATGTCGACCTGATGCACACGGATGCGTTGCGGTATCTGGAGGATGCCTTCCAGTATGCAGTCAAGCGAGCGATTCGCCCTTCGATGAAACGTAACCTGAGCGCGAGACAGGATACTATTAACAGTATTCGTAGTCATATACAGATGATTAAGAAAGGTCAACATGTGGCATGGAATGCGTTCTTCATGGACACAACTGCAGAAAGACAACTGGAGGCACAAACAAACCGCCGACATGCGGCAATTGGGGAACGGTTAACCCGGGCGGCGGAGGCAGAAGATGGGGAACCCGGAACACTGCTGCCCGTAAAGCGGAGTCGGCCTGACTCGGAAACATATTCCATGATTGAGACCACGAAGCGGAATAGACAAGCGCCAGTCGAAGAGGTAGAAGTCGAATCTGGCCTTCCCGAAGCTCGTGCTGCCTCGCAACCGATGGGCTCAAAATTCCATTTCATCGTTCCGCCCACTGGTGGCCCTTTCGAAACTCCGTACAAAGGCAAGCTGGCAACACACCAGCTCAAGGCCTTGGCCAACAATGTCCATGTGGTCCTGTGCAATACCATCTCGCGTAGTGAGTTTCCAGACCCCGTCAGAGCTAGATTCAATGCTTATCGGAGTGGAAATAGCCAGCGGGCATCTTTATGCCAATTGCCCAACTCCTACAAAGCACTCAAAGAGTTACTGGCTGGCAATCAGGGTTGGGACGGCTGGGCTAGAAAGGTCTGGGCATATCAGCTACCGGATGATACGGGGGAGTTAGATTGTCTGTTCTGGGATATTTGCTGCTATGGGTTAACAACTGCCCATGAAAAGCTTTGCGCAATGGATAGACACTGGCGCGATAATGATCATGAAAGGACGGCATGGATCGATTATATCATTCCGTGGTTTGCTCCATTGCGGATCACAAAGTTGATTGATTGGCAGTGGTGTGAATTCCATTACACCGCCAGAAACTTAAATGTTCTCTCTGATGAGGAGGAATATTCCTCTCGGTCGAAACGCTATGCAGATGGCGTAGGGTTTGACCCGGACAATAGGGAGGAGAAGATCCTCATGGAGAGCAGTAGCGGAACGGCAAAGGAGGACGTTAGCCATGCCATGGATGATGCCTTGAAGCTCGTGGAGAACTCGGTGCTAGCGCTCAAATGGAGATGGGTCGCAATAAGGACAACGCATTCTCGACCATGCAGAAGAGGAAGATAATGGGGGTCCAATGCGTGGTTGACACCGTCCGATTGACTTACACAACCATAGGTGAAGATCCCTCTTACTGGGAGGTCTACGAAGTGCGCAGTGCCAAGGTGCCCCAAGTGTGGGGCAAGAAAGCCTTGATGATAGGCATGTTGGAACTGATTGCGACCGTCTTCCTCGAGCTGTATGCCCAGCAGGAAGTCACTGCACTCATGGATGATGAGCTGATCAATGGAGTGGACTTGGAGGAGACTGTCAGACATATCCTGAAGATTTGAGGTCTCCGTCAGTTTGTTTGGTGTATAAAGGTGTAATAATATAAATGGAAGGACATAAAAGCACTTCCCGCGTGATAATCATTAGTAAATAGAGCAACTACTATTGCTGTATTCATATGATCAATGGAACTGTAAGCAATAATGCTTTTTTGGTGCACTAGTTGATAGCGTATAGTTAAAGCTGTATATATTACAAGTACTGATTCACTCAGTTCTTTTGCATCTACTTGAGTAACACTACTATAAATATATAGCTAAAGACACATAGTACATACTACTGGTATCAAATAAGTGGAACTATCAGGAAATAGAAAAATTACATAATACCAGAAACCATAACTACCCTATTTCTAAGAATAGCTGCTAAAATTGGAGATGCAGCAGTAGGTGCCTCTACTTGAGCGTCCCAGTACTCAAAATAATTATGATAAACTTAAATTATATTACATTGAAACATGCATATAAGGTCTAACCTAAGGAATTAGTACTTTAAACCCTGCAGTAATATACATAGTAAGATATCTAGCCCCAGTATAATGAAAATTACACTGCAATACTGATGGCCATATGGAACAAATGGTGGAGCTGTGGAGCTTGTTTTGTTAAGCTCCTTAAATGTTGCAGGGCCTTTTACTTTATACAGAAATTCCAAGATGCATGAGGAGCTGTGGAGCAAATGGTGGAGCTGTGGAGCGTAAAACCCCTTAAATAGATGCAGGGCTTACTTTTAAGCCTGCCTTATGAATAGTAGGCGTATACCAAGCCTTTCCACACACAGGGTCGGGAAAGCTGTCAAAGAAAATAGAGGAGCATCAAAAGCATCCTGCTGGCCACATTCCCTCCCTTTCCTTCCTCCCTTGCCATCCACCGGTCCGTTGCCGTCTTTCTTCAACCTCCTGAGCTGCACCCAAATGGTGTGATGTTTTTTGGTTTATTGTTGACGTTCAGATTCTGACATCAATTTTTAGTAGGGGTCAGGCTTCGTTCTGAAGAGATGCTTTTCCGCAGAAAGAAAACATGTTGTCTTCTTCAAATGATGTTACTGACACAAGCTTGTCGAAAGCACGGAGTGTGGTGGCAGGATAGAGTAAAAGCCGGGACTTGCCCACAAATGTTGTTATCTTGCAGCCATTTGTAAAAACATTATAAGCGATGGTGAGAGTCTGTCAAGGAAAGGCAACGACAGCATTTGTAATGAAACCCAGTGGCGGTGAAGACAAAAACCGTGACCTCTTTGTAGTGGAGGAACTCTTCCACATCACGCGCGGGAATCTACAAGCTGGCAGGGATGGCCTCGTAAGAGTCCGATTCAATGATCCCTCTGTCGCCCATACTGAGGATGACCTTCTTCCAGCGGTCAAAAAAGGAGCTGAATGCGCGGTGAATGTTTTGAGAAAACACATGCCTTCCCTGAATGTTGTAGCTCGAGTTGATTTTGCATTGGCCGATGACTACATGGGCTGCCTTCTGAACGAAGTGCAAGGCCTCTCCGAATCAACTTTTTTTATGCAGATGAGCGCGTATCCACTCAAGAACAGCCTAGCGAGAGCTTTGGAGGCATGGGTGCTTGCAACGGTGAAGGGTAACACCAAGTATACTGCTTGATTTGCAGTTTTCCAAGTGCAAGGGCAAGCGGTTGGTTGGGAATGGGAAAGACGTAGGAGAAGCTCAATTCATAAACTGCATTCTTAGGTATAATAGCACCTACATTCAATATTGCAGATGTAAACTTGGAATATATATCGCATTACTACTCCATATCTATTATATCAATCTGTACATCAGCAGGATCCCAAGATTCTTCCATGGACTTCCTATACCGAAACGTTAACTTGTGAGGTATTCCTATAGGGAATGGTACAGTGAAAGTGAGAGAAGGAACGAGTGAGCTGCACCCTAGTATCTATATGCTGTACGTCAAACACCATACAGCAAGGAATACAACAACCATGCTACCGCAAATGGTGCCGCCTATGGTGAAGTAGAATGCTAATTGTCTTTCCTCGTTCCTGAAATTCATTACAAAAACCACAAATCGGAACCCAAACTTTTCCTCGTATTCTCTGTTCAGTTTGCGCAATCTCGCCATGACCTCGGGGACGGCCCACTTCCCGGATGCTTCACCAGATGTACCAGAGACCTTCCCATTTGCCATGTAATGTGTGTGCAATCTTTCGAGGACTTGTATAGCTTTATTGCTAGACAGCATGATTGCCTTCCTGTATATTCATTTTCAATTTCAATTTGCATTTGCTTCTCTATCTGATACATCGTTGATGGAGGAAAGTATCAGCAATCTTCTGGCACTGACAAGGCCGGGTAAACATCCCCATACACTTCGGGTTCAAACCCGGCATTAAATTCCAAAAAGTAACAGCCCTGCACTAGATTCACTACCAGAGAACGGCACAACCACTGCCAGGCTCAATTGAGTGTTCCTCGACATCCAGGCGCACCACAGAGACAAGGAATCTTATCCTCTTCGATGGGGAACTGATAATCATAGGTAATCTCCTCGCCATCTTCAATGTCTCGATTGGCATAAATTACGATGCGTTTCTTGCCAGCAACCGTTATCACTTTGGCGCTACAATTAGGCTGGAAATGGTATGGTTAATGGCGGAAAACGTCGGATACATCTGCGGTCGAGAATGTAAATTCCTACCTCACAGTTGTGATTAATAAATCTTGCCATGTTCCCCCGCTTAGTCGCGTCAATGATGTGATCTCCATCAATGCGAAACAAGTAACTCGACCCAATTCCCTGTCTTTCGTAGATCTTTTCCCTGTGATCCGCAACCTAACAAGAGGATTCAGTCATGTTTATATACTAATTGCGCCAGGATATGATGACGTAACCTACCTTCTGTCGGACAATCTCGCCAATGTACTCAATAACGAACTCGTTTTTATCAATTCGCTCCATTGCAAATAAGCCCCAATCATGAATAGGACTCTTGGCAAACTTTAGACGTTTCCTCCGTCCTTTAAGCTGGTTGAATTTCATGCTATCGCTCAAGTTTTCATTTGCGGCCAGAAGCTGTCGATGATGAATGCGATTGGCTCGAGATCCGGCCTTGGCGGCTGCCTTAGCGGCGGTGAGAGAGTACGGTGCGGTTGTTTCAGCTCCATTAGCAGCCGCAGCCGCCGCATCATTCCGAGCCTTGGCCGCCGAAGCTTTGGCTTCGTCAGAAAGTTTGTAGAAGCCCTCCGTCCGAGCTGCTCCGGTGGTATGAGCCGGCGGCAGATAGCCAACAGGGGACGGCGCTCGCGCTGGTACTGGTGGGCATCTCCAGGTAGCCTTAGCATTTGCTTCGCGAGCCTCGCGGGCAGCTATCTTGGCTGCTCTCTTCTGGCGCCGTTTTTGTTGTTCCTCCTCCAGCGCCTTCTTGAGATAGTGTCTATCATCCTCGCCCATAGCCTCCAGGCGCTCTCGCAAAGAAGCCTCGTCCAGGTCAAGACTCGCATCCATATCCTCCTCTCGAAAGTCATCATCTGGCGGCCAGTCAATAGGTTGTTGCAGCAGTTCATCGAAATCGTCATCGTCGTCGTCACTTTCAAGTTCCAAGGGCGGTGGAGCAGGCGGTACTTGCGGAAGGAAGGAGTTAACCTGTGCAACGCGTTCGCGCTTGGGTTTCTTTCGCCTCGAAGCTGCAGATGCCCCCGCTGCCCACGGAGGGGCAGACGCCTTCCCTCTTCGAGCCTTCCCTTTAATCTTCTTATCCTTCGCCGAAGCGTCCTCCGCTTCAATGTCGACTTTAACGTCATCCTCAAGGCCAAGAGACTCTTCGCGAGCGGGCTCCAGTTCCGGTAATCCAAGTGCTTCTATTGTGCCTTCCGCGCGGACCACCTCGTCTTCATCTGCGCTTTGGACACCTGAGGATGGTTGTACGGAAAACAGGTCGTCGAAGGAACCCCGGGATCGCAGGCCATTAAGGGCGCGTTGCTGAGCTTTAAGATAATCATCAAGTTTTACATCCTTGATCTTTGAATCTCTTTTAGTGGACAACTCTGCCGACGGTGCTGTGAACCCTTTCTTTTGTCTCCCCTTCCGTCGCTCATCCCGGGTGGATTCTTCGTATTTACGTTCGCGTTCGTGCACCTCTTCCTCCGACATCCCTTCGGCGGCATCCTTTTCAGCAACGTTCTCTTCATCGCTACTATACTCCACTCTTTGACGTTTTGGCTGTGGTTCAGGCTCGTCTTCAGAAGAGGTATATTCGACCCGTTTTCGTTCTGAAGCAGCTTTATTGATGGCCTTACGCGGTGACGTCTGCTTTATAGATCCAACGACATCCTCCTCATCACTACTGTCCACGAGGTGTTTACGTTTAGCGGCATCTGTGGATAGTTGCTTCCCGAGTTTGCCCTTTTCGGTTCGCCCGGTTTTGACAAGATTCTCGCGGTCAGAAGCCAGTTCATCATCAATAATCCTTGCACGCTTGGCTTTCACAGTAATGTTCGAATGTTGAACCGCTTCTGTCTCCTTTTTCAAGGGACCTATCGTATTTACCTCCGGCTCCCGGTTAATTGAGGCTGGCAATGGTGAGAATCGTGGAGATATGCTAGGTGATTTTGGTCTACTGGCCGGAATCTTCTTTTTGATATGTAATCCGGCAAGAAGGCTTCTCTTATCCAAAGTGATGTCAATAGCCGCAACCGGGTCGGCTGAATCCGCATTAGTTGCCTGCGAAGCAGCACGGTCACGAATAATGTGGGACTCTTCTAGCGTTTGGGCCGGACCACCGACTTCCATAGCTTTGCTGAGGGCGTTAATTGGAAACACATCGCCTCTTTCATGCAATTTTGCAAGAAATAGTTCCACGGCTTCCGTTCGCTTGAGCTGCCGTACATCTCTTTCCAATGCCGCCGGCAGTTTTGCTTTCAAGGCAGTCAAGAGCACGTCGAGCGTGTTTGTTTCGCTGGGTATAGTGCCATCAGCTATGGCATATTTTGGTATATCAGCGAGAGTACCCTCCTTGACGCTCTCGTGCTCGACCTCCGATTGTACTCGTGCCTCTTCGCGTTCACAGCTTTTCAGTTCGGGAGCTGCGGTGTCACAATTATGTACGTCGGGAGCTGTATTTCCCGTGTGTTCGTCATCTAGTCTCGTACCTTGGACTAAGTCCGCTTCTCTCTTGATCTCATTGTCCAATGAAGATGCAGGTCCTCCCTTAAAATGGACTTCTTCGCGTGATGTTTGATCAATACGTTCCTTGCTTCGGTGACTAGTATCCGAAGGACGACTTGGTCTGTACGAGTCTATTATGACTGCCCGTCGACCAGAGCTGTTGCTCCTATGACGACGATCCCGGCTACAGCTGTCACTACGACTGCGGCTTGGCCGTAGTCTTCTTCGTCGAGGGCTGCTCCGCCGTCGGTCACGGGAAGCGTCTCTGTCGCGGCTCCAAGAACGTTCCCTGCGGGCACGATACCTGTCTCTGTCTCGGAAACGACCATGGCTCCGACTCCTGGAGCTGCTCAGGCTACGGAATCGACTGCGAGATCGGCTACGGGATCTACTACGGGATCTACTACGAGATCTGCTGCGGGATCTGCTGCGGGATCCACTGTGAGATAGGCTGCGCGATCGACCACGGCTGCGGCTGCGGCCCCGGCTTGCACTTCTTTCTCTGATACCCCGAGATTTATCACGAGGCACATAGGTGTCTCGTGCGCTTGAAACTGTGCGTGGGATGTAGGTATCTGTTGAACCCGGACGATAAGAATCAAGCGCTACAGATCGATGACCCTCCGAATGCCGTGACTCGCTGTCACGGCGAGCGCCAGTAGTACTGTCACTAGGACGATAAGTATCAACGATAGAGCGACGTGAGGTTGGAGGATCCATCGTCGCCCCGGGACGGTAAGAGTCGACTAGAGGGATGGAGCTGGTAGTTCGATTGCGATGCGGAGTTCCACCACTTGCCTCTAGTACTTCCCCGGGCTCACGTGAATCGGCCTGTTTGGGAGAAGCTGCGGTGGGTCTTGCGGAGTGTGATGCTGAAGAAGAAAACCGAGAGCTTCCAGAAGTGTCATGCGGAGAGGAATCCCTGGACTTCCTTCGCAATTCCTTCAATTGCTGGCTTTGTGGAGTTTCCGGTGGCCTTACTGGTGAAGCCTTCAGAAGCCCCTCAGTGGAACGAGGAGTAAGGCCACCTTGCTGAGAATCTGTACCCAGCGGGCTACGTACAGATACTCTTTGACGTATGTCGGAGTCTGCTGGAGTACGTGCACGACCACGTTCCCATTGTGAGTTCTGCATGGTGTACGATGAGCGTGCCGGTGGCACATCCCGTACATTTGTTTCGAGATTTGAGTTGGCCGTCGAAGCACTATCTCGATGTTCAATGCGTCTCGCGGCAGTGTCTTGGGCGGGATATTTTGCACTGGCAAGGGTTCCATCATTTGAGGTGGCAGAAAACTGTAATGAGCGGTCGCGATCGGCCAGATCACCATGTGTGCTGACAGGAAGGATATCACCCGATAGTTTTCGTGGACGACCATGAGAATCCGCATACCTTGGGCTATGTCTTTCGTGGTCGTCATATGGACGTCGTGGAGAGTAAGGTCGGGAATCGTGATGCCTATCCTCCGGTGCAGCACCCCAAACGGGGCGTCGAAGACCTGGCATATGTGATGGGGGGCGCGAAAAATATGGTGGTCGCTGGCGATGTGGTGGTGGGGGAGGCGGGGGATGAAACGTAGCGTACGGCAATGGAGGATGTGGTGGAGGTGGAGGATGGGTAGGATGTGAACCCAGCGGGCCAGAGGAAGGGTGTGCTGCTGCGGATGGTGGTCGCAATAGATCATCTATTGCAGCGCGCTTTTTGGAACCTACCACGACATTTAGTCAACCCTTTTGACAACGCAAGAACTGGAAATCAGCAGACTTACCGTCTGGATCCAATTGCACACGAAGAGGCTTGTGTTCTACTATATGCCCATCCATGCTATCCACCGCTCTTCTAGCTGCGGCTGCTGCTTGTTGCGCGTCGCCGGCATAAATGATCGAGGCAAAACCGACATTCTGAGCAGTGTGTGGATGCACCTCATTGATGACACTGGCAATGTCTCCAAATGACTCGAACAAGGTTTTCAGTTCGGTGGCAGTAATCGAGAACGGAAGTCCAGATACGAAGATGCTTCGCACAATGGGGGACCTACTTGATGCATCATCGCTCTAATCAAACCCAATAGAATAATATAACACGATTATGATCAGCTTAGTACATCCGATTCTCCATCGCAGGCGCTTACCTGATACATGACTCGCCGAAGATGAATCATCAATCGCTTTCGACCACGACCTGCTTGAGCATAGTCAAGTATCTCCAACCGCGGATCCTGCAGCTCAATCACAGGATCTCCTTCCTTAAGCGGCTTCCCATCCGATCTAATCACCCTCGTTCCTTTTGGTCGCGTTTTGCTTTCTGGCAACTCTGGTTCATACAACACCTTCCAATCTGACTTGCGGAATGGATCAGAATGTAACGATGATCCATCACGAGATCGTCTTGATGCTGGTCTCGACGGGCCTGCCGAAGAGGTGAACAGACTTTGAGGTTTTGAATGGCTGGAGCTGGTTGTACCGGAACTGTTCACGATAGAGAGGTTTCCTTCACGATCGGCAGAGTCAGATGTCGAGGTAATCCCTGAACCCGATACGCTGAATAGGGACCCCAACGCACTGGACGCTGGAAAGTAGCCTGTGGACTGGGTTTCCGTCCGCGCAGACAGATCTCCCGTTTCGGACCTTTGTTGGGGGCTCGACCCTCTGTCCGAGTTTGTTGCTGCTGTTGTATGAGAGTCCAGATGGTTGCCATTCTGTGACAGACTGTGCGCTTGCGTCGAGCTTCTTGACTCCATTGCGGCGAGCTACTAATGTTTCCAATCAGCAGCACGACCCAAAGAATGTACTTGTATTGATCAGGTGAAATGAACTAGGAGGTAAGGTGAAGTATTACCCCATGTCAAGTACAGTTCCAACACCAGTCCAGTGCAACGCACGCATTGAAAGATGGGTTGGAGGAGGAAACTATAATGTCCGCGATCAGAATGTCAAGCGAGAAGCGAGCAATCCTGGGGATTGGAGCCACATGAGGCTGGGTTGTGGCGCGGTTCCAATTGGACATCCCAAGCGGGTGAGCGCAGGACCCTCTGCGTACAAGCTTCCAATGTACGCTTTTGTAAGCGGAATCAAGAGGATATGGAGACATGATGCACTTGTTCTTGTAGGATAGCTTCTAACGTTACAAGTGAGTACAATTATGGAAACGGTCCCAGTGTTCCAACTGTCGACGGAGACCAACCGTGTCCACCACGATGGTGTTCCTTTGCCACATTTGATGCTGCAGGGTTTTCATCACCTTGCAATCACCGTACTTGAAGATGCGTCAAAACTGAATTATGAAAGCTAAAAGAAGCTGTTGCCAGCAGCTGCCATCAAGAATCAAGCCGTCCTCACGTGGCATTTTGATCTGCTATGGCTTGTTGCTCCAAGGTGACAACGGACGGCGACCTGCTGCGTACCAAGTAGTTTAGGGGGAAACCCGTGGGGTATTTTGGGCAATGGGAGCAGAGGACGATTCTCGTCTGGCTGGTGGCATGTAGCTCTTCGCCCAGTACACGACTTGGCACAAAGAACATATGAAATACAACGCTTAAATAATAAAAAGCTTCCACGGCTGTGGCTCCCCCGGAGAGATCGGTGTGCCCAGCGATCTGGTTTGACTCTGCTGCTGACACGTCATGATGCGATCATTTGCAAAAAGCCGAACATTTCGTTCGAGGCTCCGATGTTAAACTCCATTTTATTTTTTAGGTTTATTTTTGACGCTTTAGCACAAGGAAAAAAAAAATACGACGAAACGATTGACGAAAAACAAGCGCACACAGAAGAAAAGAAAAAAGCAGCGTTGCAACATTTAAACTCGAGGATTGCTGCTTTCCCCCAAAGTTCTTTGTAAACGCGACTTCCTCTACCCAGTTCCCCAAAAGGACTTTCTACTGCCATGGCGGACGTTCCTCCTCCTGACCAGGTGAAGGATGTTTCCTCAGTGTCATCCTTCATCTCGGCCGTAATCTTCAACAGTGCAGTCGCTTTGGCATTCTACACTGCCTTCATCGTGCTGAGAGGGAGATATCCTCTCGTATATGCCCCGAGAACGTTTCTTGTTCCAGAAAAGTGAGCCTCATATATTGCTGCTGCTACAGTGCGCTTTGGCTTTTCATGTTTGCTAACACATTCTAGGAATCGATCACCCCCGTTAGAACGCTGGTACAGCTGGTTAACACTTCACTCAAGAAGCGATGATGATGCTATAATCAACCGAATTGGTCCTGATAATTGGGCCGTTATATTCTATATGCGCCAACTTCTACGAGTGTTTTTTGTCATTGCCCTCGTTGGAGCCATTATCTTGTTCCCGGTATATATAACGGGCAATGCCGGAAACCCGGGTTTGAACAAAATGACAATTGGAAATGTGGGAGACGACCAAACAGCCAGATTATGGGGAACTCTCTTTCTTACGTGGGCATTTATCGGTAAGAAAAATGTCGAAGAGTATGCTGCAAAATCATTTTGGGGCTCATTGTCTTTGGCCATGTCAGCCATTATCCTGTACATCATCTTCAAACTCTTAAATAAAGCTGCCGAACTTCGACACAAATTCTTGCTTAGCCCGGAAAATCGGGCATCCTTGTCCGGTTACACTCTCTTGGTTCGTGACATACCTCGATCGCTTCGCGATCCTGTGGTCCTTCGGAAGCTCTTGGAACGGATTCAACCAAACAAAGTCCTCGATGTCATCCTCACTCGGGATGTAAGGGAGCTGAGCAAGCTACACAACAAGCACGTTGGAGAACGAGACAGTCTAGAAAAAGCCTCGACAACGTACATCAAAACCGTCTGCGTCAATTATGCAAAGCACATTGCCAGTTTGAAGAAAGATGGGCAATCTGTGGACTTGGAGGAAGGTGGCGAGCACGCGATCCCGCCTGAAATTTATAATATGCGCCCTACGCATAAGAAGATGATTGTCTTTGGGGAAAAAGTTGACTCGATTTCAGAGTATATAAGGGAAATGCGTGAGCTGGAAACGCAGCTCAAGGAAAAGCGTTCGGTAGCCTACACAGGATCCGACAAGTTCGAATCTGCTGCCTTTATTGTCTTCTCAGACTTGTTTGCTCCGCACGTCGCAGCATTGGCCAACATCCACGGTACTCCTGGAGTCATGGACGACAAGCAAGCTTGCGTCGATCCCAATGATATCATCTGGGACAATCTGCAGATGCCGTTTTATCAGCGTCAAGTTCGAGGCCTGATAGCTTTACTGGTCTGTGTTGCTCTCGTGATTTTCTGGGGTGTCATCAGTAAGTACCACGACTGTTATCGTGTCGTGTAGCGCGCGTTGGTGACCTGTCGCCTCCTTTACAGCTGCCTTCTTGGCTGGTATTGCCAGTTTGGACCAGTTGACGAAAACATTCCCTTTCCTCGGTTTCTTCAATGACCTTCCTGCTTCCGTCAAGGGTATCATTCAGGGTATACTCCCCACTGTTCTGGTCGCCATTCTCTTCTCCTTTCTACCCATGATTTTGCGCCGTAAGTCTCCAAGCTTTCATATAGAGACAAGACATGAATCCGCGTGCGCTAACCACTGACTGCTTTTTTGCCAGTTTTGTCCAAGTTTGCTGGTGAAATGACCAACACAGCCGTTGAAAAGACATTGATCAACCAATACTATGCTTTTCTCGTTTTCAACGTGCTATTGATCGTCACGATTTCTGGGTCCATTTTCCAGACGATACAAACCATCATCGATAATCCGACAGCAGTCTTTGAGATCCTGGCCCGCAGTATCCCCGGCGTTTCAACCTTCTTCGTCAACTACGTAATTCTCTTGGCCCTTTCTGGTCCAGCTGGTGAATTGCTCCAGATTGCGAACCTGATTTTGAAGCCATTGAAGCTAAGGTTTCTCGCGAGTACTCCTCGGGCCATTTGGAGGCAATCCCAACCACTGGTGTACTTATCGGGCGTCCCCATGGCGAGCCATTCCTTCATTGCGACTGTTGGAGTGACGTACATGACAATCGCGCCGCTCGTTTCCATAATGTGTTTGATGTACTTTGGGTTTTGGTATCTCGCTTACATGTACCAGATGCAGTGAGTAGTTTGTCCGTCTCCGCTGTGTTTATGGCTCAACTAACGGGGCTCTGGATAGATATGTTTACACGACGAAAAATCAAACAGGCGGCCTCTATCTCTACGCTGCTGCGAAGCAACTGTTTGTGGCATTGTATATTCATGAACTTGTCATTGCCGGTCTCTTCTTGCTTAAGACCGCATGGGTTCAGGCGGGTTTAGCCTTTTTGGCCTTGGCAGTCACCGTCGCATTCCACCGGTACGCCGACATGTTTGGAAAGCTAATGGTGTCTGTTCCTGCCAAAGCAGCCGTCGATGAGTCCTCCAACCGTCATCTCACAATAAACACGGATGTTGCAAAAGAACTCGTTAGCAACCAGGCATGGAAGGAGGAAGTCGAAGGCACAAATACTCTCCACGGGAAAGAAAGCCGAGCCAACCTCGTCGATGCCGACAACGAAGCATGGGCGGACCGCAACACTGTTAGCGAGAGAGATCTTGGCAAGGACACGACTGCTGAAAAGAATGCTCAAACAAACTCGTCAGAGGAACCTGAAAAGTATGAGGGTCCTGACGACTACGAGAAGCAGTTCCTGCACCCTGCCTTGCGTCCAGACCCCTTGACGGTATGGATCCCCAGCGATCCTCTTCAAGTTCATCAGAAGGTTAAGGAGGAAGTGGAAAGCGGGTGTGAAGCTAAAGTTATCTGGGAAGGTGCTGTTATTGATCTCACGGGGAAGATAACTGTAACAACGGAAGTCATTGCTAGGGGAACGGAGCCGTGAACTAATGATCTGTAATTAAATATCAGTTTTTGGAGCATGTATAAATAAAGAGGCTCTGCTGGTTGGAAGCAAGGAGTTATCGCCAACACATTTCTGCCAGGAACGGTTTATACAGGGGTACAGTACTTTGTAATGTGTGCGCGGTGACCAATCACGTGAAAAGCTTACGAAAGCAAACACCCATCATACACCGCTTGTGTCTCCACCTGCTATTTTCCTTTACTCCCCAACGAGCATGACTACGAGCCGTTTCCGGAGTGCGTACGTCCTAACCTATGCCATACTCAACCTTTCCAATGCATGGTTGTGGTCGACGTTTGCTGGTGCTAGTGTGACGAGTGCGGAATACTATGAGACCAAAGAATCGGCGGTGACCTGGTTTTCTCTGGTGTTTATGGCTCTTTATGTGCCGGTAACAATTGTGAGGTAAATCGTAAAGCTCAGATTCTTACTTATGCAAGATTCTGCGTCTTACATCTACGTGAACGATCGTTAGCTCGATGGTGCTGGACACACACGGCTTGCGACGGGGAGTATGTAATTTAATGTGCTTGGTCTCGTAGTGGTCAGGTCTCATGTTTTTTTAATGTTTCCAGCTGCTCATCGGAACGGGGCTGAATTTTCTTGGTGCATGGATCAGATATCTTGGTTGTTTTGTTGGACCTCCTGCGGGAAAATATGCCGTGGCCTTCGTAGGACAGTCTATAGCTGCGGTTTCCCAACCCTTTATTCTCAATGGTATTCAGGCTATCATGACTCTAAGGTTGATGGCACGTTACTGATATTATTGCAGCACCTCCCAAGATCGCCAATACATTCTATTCCCCAACGGAGCGGACCCTGGCAGATGCTGTCATGACCCTTGCTAATCCAATCGGCGCTGCCTTGGCCCTTGTTGTGGTCCCGATCGTTGTCAACTCAAATCCAGCATCGCTTCCAACTGCTCTTCTGATTTCTGCATTAGTCGCAACTATCCCAGCCCCTTTGGCTCCCTTCATCTTTCGGGAACCTGTTGGAACATCACCGGACGAAGCTGAGGCGGGAGCAACTGAAACTAACATTCCATTTGCTATCTCCCTACGCAATCTTCTTCGTAACAAAAATTACCTCATTTTAATGACCTCTTTCGGTATTGCCATTGCCGTGTTCAATACGTACGTCAGCGAGCTTTCATTTATTGCAGATGAAGTTGGGTACAGTGAAGATGAAGCGGGGTACATGGGATTTGCCACCATCCTGTGCGGCATTCTTGGATCAGTTGTCGCCGCTCTTATCCTTGACAAAACACCAAATTTTCTTAAAAGCAAGTTTGGGGACAATGCAACCACGCCTCATACGATGGTGTACAAATGCGCATATGGGTTTGCGCTAGTCAGTCTGATAGCTTTTAGCGCCTGCATGCGATCTGGAATGTTGGGTGGATTGTTATTTTTCGCCGCTATATTCGGGTTCGGCGCCTTTGCGGTTCTTCCGACTGGTTTAGAGATGGGGATTGAGATTACGTATGGTGAGGCTGGAGAAGCGATTGGGACGGGTGGGCTCTGGAGCGTGGGACAACTGCTAGGAGTTGTGACCTCGGTTGTGGTGGACGGAATTCGGAATGGCGTGGGCGCAGACACGGTGAAAGGGCGTGAAATTTGGCTTGTTCCTGGTGTAGGCGTCATTGGGTTGATTCTAGCCCTTCACGTACGCCCTGAGGCCAGAAGGGTGCAGGCAGAACAGAGCGCTGCAGCGCTCAGTATGGCCGATTCGAAGGAAACATCTGTAGAAGTAGAAGACAAGACTACATTGGAGCATAGTGGCCAGGAGTAGTCTCTGTGGTAAATAGGACTTTGGTAGCTCTTTCTCTTTGTATCGAAACCTTGTATATGGAGCTTTTTGATTTGTTTTCATTAATAAATCAGGGATATTTTAGTATTAAGTAGACACGTAAGATACAATAAAAATAGATAGTAAAACAGGCATATTCTTTACAATTGCAACTACCACGGTCCGCATTGTTACTTTCGTCGTCGTAATCCTTCCGGTGAGTCTCCCGGATACAGTGGCGGCTGTGAACCGTCCATATACGCAGGTGGAGGTTCAGCAGCATACGATATCAGCCTTTCGGCTGTGCCATCGGTACTTCCACTTCCCAGTGTGCTTGATATTCCGATCGTATCATCTTCACTTGGCGGATTGTACAAAATGATAGGAAGATCGATTTCAGCTTCCTCTTCAGATCGCTCACCGTCATTATCAGAATTTGAACGATAAATGACATGGATATGAACAACGTGCTGAAATTTCATTACGGATGTCTGGTGGTAAATTAAGGACATGAGGTGTGAGTACATTATCAGTAAGGAAAAATATGTGTGGAAATAAACTCACGTCAAGGTCCTCCAAAGCTTCGACTTCTGAGGCGGGTGGATCGTCGAGCAGCGGTATTCGCAGCTCGTGGCGATTCGACGCTGGTTGATTGAGAGGATCCGACGGCTCAGGGCGATATACATAAGTTGTACGAAGGACCTCCTCTTCTTCACGTTGTTTTGGTGGTATGGCGTGGGTGGAGGTATCGATGGGGCCTCTGAGGGCCATGTTGTACCTTAATTTTAAGAAGACAGAGATATAGGGTTAGGTGACAGGTGAGAGAATAAGTTCCAGTTCTCATATATGCGAGGTCACTAGAGTGATGACGGTCAGGAACTCCCTCTTACATGAAGCGATAAAAAGCCTGCTGCCGAAGGGTCCATCTCAATTCGATCAGTTCGGCATCTTCCACCGTATGTACGGTGACCGGAATTACAGGATCCGTCAAAGGAAAACGTGTAGGCAACGTGATATCTATCACCGGAATGGGGGACCAAACCGTCCTTCCGCTATCTAGGGGTCGCCGCAGAGGTCTTGACTCATGACCTTCATCCACATCCCCCGAATACAGGATCCGAACCTTCTTTTCATCGTGGTGAGACATATCTTTCAATCTTCGTATAACGTTTTCAACTTTGCCAGGAATCTTGCGGACTGGCACTTCCTTCTTTGTTATGATTGATCTCCACGACCAGAAAGGTATGGGTATTCCAAAGCATGTTGTCTCCCATTCAATAGCAGCAACGAGCATGTATTGTACTTGACCTTGAGGGAAGCGCAGAGAGGGCGGCATTCGGCCGGGTATTTTCAGAGCGAAGCGAAACTCGTGTTGTTGGGCATCCAAGAATGGAGCAGCGTCAGGATCCGCCTTATCCCAAAGATAAATCGTCCGGTCAAATAGTCTCTCTGGACCGCGAAGGTTTGCATTCAGCTAATAAAAAAGAGTAGAAGTTAGGTTCTGTCCATGCTCAACCGTATGTCAGCCAGTCAACTAACCTCGGGACTGTCCCATTTAGCTACTGCCCCAGCAACGAAGCGGAAGGAAAGCGCCCGCACTCCTTTCAGCGGGGCGTTCAGGTGCAACCGAACAACACCCTCTAATTTCGAATAAGGGCCAGCAGCTTTTTCGTCCTCCCGCAATACAACCTCCCGTCGATCCAAAATGATATCATAGATGTCGATCTCTGGAGGATGCTTTGAGGCATCGCTCATTATCCAGGATGTATACGGAATCATGAGGTAGAAATAAAAGGGAAAATGTGATATACCCTCGAGTGCACCTGCTGTCAGCTGGGGACATGAATGTCATCCAGCAAAGCCTCCGACCGGAGGAAACAAGGTTGGTAAAGTAAGCGGCTTGGAAGTCTCGGTTGGCGTCACACGAGTTGTTGCCATGCTGACATGAATGCTGATCATGGATCCGTTAGGTCGCATTCCCAACTTGCAACTTCGCATAACAGCATGTACCAACAATAACGTTCCAACGAGCGATTCCTATTTTTTAGCTGAAGGACCTGAGGGCCTTCTGATGTAATACTTGTGAATAGTAGGAATGGGTGACGACGGCTTTCGCATTGTCAGGAAGGGGAGGGGAAGTCGCGAGGCAAGCCTCACAAACCTTCTCGAGTCCGTGCTTGCCACCATACCCGTAGAAGCAAGTAACCAGGTAGCGGGCTCTCAAAGTACAGTGCTGCACATCAACAGCACTTTTAGCACTATTCATGCCCCCCCTCAAGTTCCCCCCTACGTCCCTCGTCTCAACGAGTTACACCATAAACCAGTTGGGACAGATACAGTTAATGTTGAAGCAAAACTTTTTGAGTGTACTTGTGGGAAAAAGTTGAAAACTAGATCTGGATTCACTGGGCATCAGCGACGCTGTTCGGTTGTAACATCTGCATTATTCATGGCTCCCAATGTTAAATTGTCGCCATCCATTGAAGAACAATCCGTTAAAGAGGCCTCTCCGGTGGAGCAAATAGCCGCTCAGACTGTGAACGTAGAGTCTTCGGGCCCCGCTCCAAAGAAAAGACGAACTACCAGGTCAGGTCCGCCGTTGTTGTTACCTGACGAACTCCCCTCCCAACTCCGGGAGTTGGAGCGGACATTTCAATGTTTGAATACAGTTCATTCGTTTTGCGCTGTGCAGCGGCAGATGGTTTGCACTTACGATGGGCTGAAGGATTCGGTTAAACAACTAAGTGGAAGGTATCAACAAACACAAATTGAAAGAAGCTCGTCAATTTGGTTGGTGACACTTAGTGGTTTACATATAGCAAGCTCAAATTATCAGATCTTGGTTCTATGCGAGCTGTCGCTCCATCTCTCATTATGCTGTATTGGGCAAGACGAACTGATCTTGAAGATGCTTCTGTTCGCGAACTCTTGAATCCGGACGATAATGGGTATCGGGAGTACTCGCTCGTCATAGAGTTTCGGGATGCTCGACCAGTCAGATTACCTGGCAAAATAAGGCAAGACCCTCACATTTGGTTCGTTGTCTCCTATGGACATTATTTTAGATTGACCAATCGTGCATATTAGGCTTCGAGACGCTGATGGGCAACACCTGGGATGGAGAACGTCAACACTTGCTGAACAGATTGGGTTATCGGAGAAAAGCAGTTCAGTACCGGTCCTCATTGAACGACGGAACCGAAATTTTCGAGAATTTCTGATCAACTACTGGAAAAAATGCCTTGAAGAGGTACGCCAGACCCATTAGAGATGGGGATTTCGAGCAGCTGTTTACTTGGGATTTCAGGGAACAGATCCTATCGAGAAGCTCAGCGATCTGGCGCTGCAAGCGGTACCAGTTCAACCTGGGCAAATGTGGCCAGAGGGATACGAAGGGAAGCCTGAGACAGACGGAGCTCCACTTCGCCCGTCATCATTAACGGGGTTGTTAGATGAACTTAAAACTGAGCAGTTTTATCGACAGCAAATCAGCGATGAGGCCGTGCAGATCGACTCGGCAAGGTCTCCCGAGTATGGAGAGCTGGACCAGCCGCTTTCCGCGGATCTAACAGCTGCTATAAACGCAGCTAGTAATATCACCAGGCTATACACCCACCAAGCAAAACCCATCAACTTCGTGGAACAGGGACATAATGTTGTGGTCAGCACGTCTACATCCAGGTAAGTCACTATTCGTCTGCCCCTTGGAATGCGATTGGCGGATATCTCACCTTCTATTAGTGGCAAATCTCTGATTTATCAGCTACCTGTTCTCCGTGCACTTGAGAACGATCCTACGGTGCGAGCAATATATATATTCCCGACAAAGGTGCGTTGAGCTTTATCAACTTGAGCCGACGCAATCTTACTCCTCATCGTGGCATAGGCATTAGCGCAAGACCAAAAGCGCTCGCTAATATCTATCCTTTCGCACACTACCAATCTGCAATGGGTGGATGTCGACACCTACGATGGGGACACCCCATACCGCGATGGAACTCGAGATGCGATTAGGGCCAAGGCTAGCGTTATCTTTACCAATCCCGATATGTTGCACGTCTCTATTTTGCCGGGACATAAACAGTGGAAGGTGTGGCTAGAGCGATTACGATACGTTATCGTAGACGGTAGGCAGATGGACGACTTGCAGCATGCTTAGACCGCTTCGGGTTTGTAACGCCAACATGTCTGATTGCCAGAGTTGCATTATTATGCTGCAACATTTGGAGCGCACTGTGCCATGGTGATGCGCAGGTTGCGACGGTTGTGTCATATATACGGTAATGATACGGTGCGGTTCATCAGCTGTTCCGCAACGGTTGCAAATCCCGCCGAGGTACGATTTTTTTCCTTTGTTATCCTCGTCAGGTTGTTGTGGTGACATTCTCCGATTTCAGCACATGACTTCATTCTTTGGTCTCCCCGAGTCAGCCGTACGAGTGGTGGACGTCGACGGCGCCCCACGAGGGCGCAAACTACACATCATCTGGAATCCGCCACTTAAGGATCCCCGAAGACCTGGTCAGGGTCGGTGCAGTTCGCTCGAGGAAACTGTCAAACTGATTGCTTATCTGGTGGTTCGAGGTGTACGAACAATCTGCTTTGCAAAGGTTGGTCAACCATTTCATATCGTGTACCATTTCATGTATCCGACTCTAACAGTGGATATCATTAGGTCCGAACTATGTGTGAGCTTCTCTTGAGGGAGGCTCATGCATTGCTGCACGAGGTTGCCCCTGGATTTGTGAATAAAGTCATGTCTTACCGTGGTGGATATACCCCAGAAGATCGACGGAAAATCGAACGACAAATGTTTCAAGGGGAGCTGCTTTGTAAGTGCCGCAAACAAGTTTACATCAGAGTTGGACATTAACTATCTTGTGGCGAGTAGGTATTGTGGCGACCAATGCCCTTGAGCTGGGAGTAGATATTGGATCCTTGGGTGAGTTTCGTACCAAATGAGGCGTGATGCAATTTAACAATATGCATGTTAAACGGCGGGACTTTTTTTCTGAAGATGCCGTGATGCATGTGGGATTTCCTTTCAACCTCGCGTCGTATCGTCAACAATCAGGTCGAGCAGGACGTCGAGAGCGCGACTCCATGTCCATCTTGGTGAGTAGGCAATTGTTATTTCTGAATGATCTTCGCATACTGATGTTAGTTCAGGTGGCGGAAGGCGATAATCCCCTAGATCAATTTTACGCCAACCACCCAAAAGAACTGTATTCGTCGACGCTGGAATCATCAGGCGTTGAAGTGTCGAATGAACTCGTCGTTGAAACACATTTGCAATGTGCGGCATTTGAATGGCCACTGATCCCAAACAGGGATTTTGAATACTTTGGCGATTTCGAGTTCATTGAAGGATTATGTTCAAAGTTTCTCCGATGGGATACGATCCATGAGGTTGGTTCCTCGATAAAGGGAGGGGCGGCGTTACTTTACGGGGTTATTGAACGAGAAGCTCTGCAGGTGTACTTTGCATGTTCCAAGTACGCTTCGCATCCATCACGGCAAATCCAAATTAGGAGCATTGACGAGGATGTTTACCGAGTCATAGATGTCACGATAAATAAGCAAATTGAAGAAGTTGAAGCATCTAGAGTACCGTTCACGTTATACGAAGGTAGCATTATTTCCCTTATCTCGCCTTTTTTTTGGATTGTCAGTTAACTGTCTTCCTGCAGGCTCCATTTTCATACATCAGGGCCAGTCATATTTAGTATTTGAGGTTGACGCCGAGCGTAAATGCGGTAAAGTCCGCCCGACCTCTGTGGACTTCATCACTGCCAACAGGGATTTCACAAATGTGGATCCTATGAAGACGATCGAAAGTCGTCCTGCAACGACTCATAAGACGCCCGTTCAGGCATCTGGGCATACCAAGGCGCTCTTTGCATATTATGGTGAAATGAGAGGTGAGGATGACCATTGTTCTGTACCGGTTAGCATGTACTTATCATGTCTTACAATAAAGTGGTTACAACCGTTTTCGGATACTTCAAAATCAACCCACGTACGAGGCGAGTATTGGAAGCGGTAGAAGGATTAGAGAACCCTCCAATCACAAAGACTCGCTATGGGTTTTGGATCGATGGTACCAGTTGGACGCATATTATCAAATATCCTTTCTATTCTGATCACTCTGTTGTCACTACAGTCCCAGAGGACACAGTGCAAGCTCTACGTAACGCCACCCTGAACGTGGAGTATAGCATACATGGTGCCTCGCATGCCCTAATATCTCTATTACCGACGTACGTTATGATACCCACAACTGGACAGACGGACATTAGAACAGAATGCAAACATCCGGCTGCGACAAGGCCAAGACCGCCGAGGTGGGTTGTACTTTTTGCTTGCGTGGTGTGGGTTCGTGGTCTTCCAGTATTCAATTGACTGACTTTCATTATCTGATTCATAGAATTGTTGTTTACGACTCTGCCTCCGGGAAAGGAGGTGTAACCTATAAAGCATTCAAACACATCTCAGATCTCCTCGTTCGGGCTCGACAAGTCGTGGAGAGCTGCGATTGCTTGGAAGGATGTCCTGGGTGTAAGTTGCCATCTTTGGATGTCTCCGTTTGATCTCTACTAAAGGTGGTGTAATTGTAGGTATCCATCGATCGGCCTGTAGTGAAGCCAATGAGGCACTGAGCAAAACTGGTGCGATAATTGTGTTAAAAGGAATGTGTGGAGACTTAGCTGTGTAGAGGGGGGAACAGGGAGGGTCTGGTGTATTCGGAAATCTTTTCACTTAAAATACTACTCAAAGCTGTGTAGAGGGGGGAACAGGCAGGGTCTGGTGCATTCGGAAATCTTTTGAGGTACTCTTCAAACGTGACAATAGTTTTTCGGGTGTCCCCAAGGGCGACAAATTTAAAAACAGGATTGACTTGAATGGGACGCGATCGCGGGTCGTCAGGTAACCTTTTGATCAAAGCAAGCAATATTTGGTTTTTTTTATTTGCGACTCTGGTTGTCACGAACGTGGCTTCTGGCATTTTCGTCAGTACTTGTTGCATTTTGAATAGTTGGGCTCATGATCTAACATGTGTGCCTCTCCAGAATGTAAGAAATTGCCATGTTTTTTCTGGATGCGACTCATATGCCAATTATAGATGGGATGATCAAGAAATGTCTGTGAGTCATGGACGATTGTACAGAGAGTGACACAAAATCCCCATGGGCTTTGTGCAGCTTGGATTTCGATTTTGCCTACAAGCCATTAATCAAGAAGGGTTATAACATCTGTGGCGCAGCTTACACACCAAACTATTGGTCAACACGTCGTGACCCTGGCTAAGAATAACTAAATTATCCCTAGATAAAACAGAGGGTGTAGTTTGCGTTTGATTCTACATTTAGCCCTTGTTAGATATTTTTTTATTTTGTATGTCGGCAATGGCTGGTTGTTTATCAAACTCAAAATGGCGAGTATGACGAGTCAAGATTTAAATTGTCATTGTTTGTTATGAGGGGTTCACATACCATTGCTAATAAGCGAATTAAACAAACACAAATAAAAGTAGTACTCCATGCCAAGGGAGACGATTTCGGTCAACAAAAAAGAAAGATCCCGAAAGCCATTTCGCCCGATGCTGTTGAAAGACAAAATCAAAGCCTATGCAGTGTCTTTTATCAAAACAATATTAGAAAGCGCCCATACTGTGCTCCGGATTTATCTAGCTGGAGATGGGTCAAAAATCATAAAAAGCTCGCCCTTTTGCATGTTGGAACCTCTCTTTGATTTCCACGTATTTCACATTTTATCCTTTAACGAACCGTGCGAGGATATACCAGAGGAGTTATCGGCAATTTTCCTTACTTTTTCTTTGTTTGTCGGAAGCGAATGTCTTGCTCGAATTTTACAGAGTGCTTTATGGATCCGGTGGTGCAGGGTGCCATTAAGGTAAAGCGACAGATTCAGCGGATCGCTGCGTGTAGGTTTTTGGGCAAAGGTCCTCATGACGGAAGCGTTTTTGTAGAGCATGTTTATCGATCCCGCAGTCAGCCTAACTATCGCAAAGGTGCAAGCGGCGACGCAGGCCAAGGTGACGGACTTGGTAGCAGGTAAGATTTCTTTGTTCCAAAGATACAACAATGTTGACGTGGCGTCATCTGTTCCCCGTTCCTTGGCTGTATCTGACCATATTTCCTCCATTCTTTTTCATTTTCTCCTCTCGTCGTCGCAACGCAAAAACAGTCGCTTATGGCGGTCCAAGTATGTTGGTTGGCAGTTGTTGGCCGATTATGGTCTTTGCCTTTATGATTGCTGTCTGGCGGGTGTCGACGAATCCCAATCCACGGGCGATCCTTCTTTTGATTGCGACCGTGGTGAACCTTGTTGATATCGCCAATCTCACATATGGAAAGTGAGTAGATATTTTGGAATCGAGGTTTTTGTTGTCAATTTGGTCCAAATGAGATTGAACACTTTGCTAAATTCTGCACATTTTCGTGTTATCTATAGGACGGTCGCTCCTTCCGCACTTGCCATGACACCCCATCTCGTCTTGCTGGTCATCTGTGGCCAAGTCAAGCTTGGGCTGCTCATTGCAGCGTCTGGTTGGCGATTTAGCCAAGTTTGCGCCGTAGCCCGACACCGGCAAATGATCAGTTGGGGAATCACTGGTTTAATTGTACGTTAGCTACGTTCCGGTAACATGCGAAACCTCACCTCTTGCTAAAGTGTTCTCACCTCTGGTTTGTTCCCTGCCAGGCCACTTGGACTACCGCAAACACGGCTGTTGGGATATACGATGTGTCAAGGACTGGGTAAGTTCAACAAAAGGTCCTTGCACAGCGTGTTTTACCGTCGATTCTAAAGACAATTTGGGAAACAGACAAGCATCCAGGGTGTTTTGGGGCATGCTTGCCATGTTTCCCGCAGCGTATCTTATTCCAGCAATCTTCACATTCACTCTCACGGTACGTTGGGACATTGAGTTTTCTCATAGGGACGCAGCATCTTCTGATACTTGCGCGTATTTCCAGCTTTCCAGAGTGGAACAAGGAGTAAAAGAGTACACCAGCAGCGCTCACGCATCCAGTGCTCAAAAATTCCGGCACTTACGAATAGCCAATAACATTCTCATTACGATAACGTTCATCTGCTGCACAGCGGTGCTCATTGTCACGCAGACATTTGATTGTAAGTCTTCTGATCCCGGAGTGATTTAATTCTCACCATCTCATACTGTTCCTTTATTCAGCACTGCAAAACCGCTTTGTCGTTCCATCCGTTCTATTCTCTGGGACCGTATGGTTATGTGCTGAGAGCTGCTTTGAAGTATTGACGGTGTGGCAAAAACTAAAGGTCGTTGTCGATACTGGGGAAACGACACCTGTCGGAAGCCGAATGCAACGCAGTCCAACCGGAAAGGGCACACAGGCAAAGCTGACTGGTAGCCAGAGTGCCATGCCTTGATGTTCAAAAGGGAGGATTGGATGAGTAGAGGTTTACCCGTTTACCCTTAGAATACCCTGCGCGCCCTTCCTTTGCTGGATCTGCGCCGTATTTATAAAATAGAATTTAGGGTTCACGCCAAAGTTTATTACGCGTTGTGTGGATACCTTGCAAAATATAAGACGGTCCAAAGTCCAAATATCATCACAGAGGAATATGCAATGCCTTGCATCCTCGCAAATTTTCAGCAAGTACTCGAGCTACCATTTCGTTGCTAGAGGTTGCAGGAAGCATCCGATAACCTAATTGCGTTGGTTACATATGCATAGGTGCACTAATAGTCCCACATCCGTAGTAGGTGATGCGAGAATTGCTTACAGTGTTCTCAAATGGCCAAAAACATGCAAGAATTGACAGTGTCGCCAGCCAGAAACAATTTCATCATTGCCATCTTCAACACCTCGCAGTAATAATCTATTATAAACAATCATATATACAAGTACACATGCGAATTAAGAAGTCATGGATCTATCCCAGAATGGAGAGCAAGGGGCGGCGGTCTGGTATGGGCAGCGTCCACCGTCAAGTCTCGGGTCATGGACCAGCCTTGCCCAAGGACTGCCGGGTAGGGACCGCTGCCCACGCCGCTGGCCAGCATCTTGTCGCCACTTCCTATAACAACGTTAACATCTCGCTGGCTCATTCGCACACTGTGAGATCTAATATGCCCTCGCCCTTTCCGTCCCGTCCAGGTATCTGTCGCAGGCAGTTGAGGACCGAGAGACGGAGACTCTAAGCCACTATTACTGACTTTAGCTGAACTTTGTAAAGTCGGCATTGGTGAGGGGATTTGTCCCGCCCCTGGATAAGTCCAAGACATGTTTGCAAAAGCGAGAGACGGGACCTCCAGTGACGATGACGAAGAGACCGACGATACCACAGAGGATGCGGTTGACGATCCATCGGACGACACACTATCGCAGCTCGACTGGCTTGCACTTCGCGGTCGCGCGGGAATCACGCTGTCCTGGCTCCGAAATCGGACGGCCCGGATTTGACGTGGAACTGTCGACGTATCGTGCTGAATGTTTGGGAAGGTGGGAATCGAATCGGCGTCGCCCGCAATAGAGAGAATCAAAGGATGAGGAAAGATGCGGGAACCAGTTTTGGTAGATCCGAGCACTGGCGCGACAGGGACTCTTTGATGTGATATAACAGAGAGCCGTCGCATTGGGTCATAAGAGGAGGGAGGCGGTGTGGGTTGCAAGGGCGATGTGAAACTGGAGCTTTTTGGGGATATCTGAATGATTGCTGTTGAAAGCTCGGAAGAAGTGGCGGATAACCGGTGTGCGCTTGAAGAATTAAATAGGGATGTCGCGACCAAAGGCACATACTCTGGGTCAACGGTGAGTGAATGAAAAGGCTCAGGATGTCCCCGATCTGGGAGCGGCACACGTAATATGCTTGCATTGGACGGAGGAAACAGGGTCTGTCGCAACCGTTTTGTTCGGTTTGACCAAAACGATCGCAAAGTTGGTCTCACTGCGCTTTTCCCCCGCCTAACGAAAGCGAGCGCTCCAAACCCGACCACGGCGACAGCTACAACTGAACCGGCAATGATGCCCGTTGGGGTTGACCCACCGTTCTTCTCTTCCTTGAAAACCTTTCGCGACGCATCCGCGCTTGCTGTTGGCGCAGCTGTTACCGTCGGAATGATGGGCGGTAGGATGGGCAGTGGTATGCTCGTTGGTCGTCGTGTGGGAACAGTGGCAGTGGGCTGGAGAAGGACAGGAAGGACAGCAGTTTGGGAAATAGGAATAGCGGTATCTGGGGTCATCGAAGTTGGCAGGCGCACAACAGCGGACAGACTAGGATCTACAATCACTACACATGCACTGGAGGTGCATGTTTCGCACGTATGGGAGCCCGTAAAGACGCAGACCTGTTGAAATCATGTAAATATAAATGCTGTGTACCGGTTTTTAAAATTCCCAGGCACTTGCCTCGTTCTGCGCGCAGGCTGTCTCGCAGACTGGTGTGCTGGGACAAACAGAGCACTGCTCCGTCATTCCCACTACGTGAGGAATCCATGTTATGACGAGGAGGAGCAACAAAAGTGTAGCGACCGCCGCCGCCGCTCTGCCCCGCCGTGGTTGTCGTTCAATGTGGACATGTACCATAGGGACCAAAGGGCGACGGCGGCTCTTCCGAGTTATTTCAATCAATGAACAGTCGTCCGCGCGCGGGCGTGGCAAGGGGCCTTTAACTTTCCACCCCCTGTGGGAAAGGGCTGCGCATCCCCTTTCAAAGGTCTTCCCTTCAGCCTCGTTCTAAAAAAGCCAAGGAAAAGAAAAAGTAAAATTCCATACGTCAACCTGTAAAGTGGGTGCAGTGCGACAATCAAAAGCTCTAAAGAAAAAAGCGGCCGCCTAAAAAATCCTTTCGCTGTGAAAATCGCACAAGTTTTTGGGTTTTTTTTCTTTTGTTCCTTTGCGCGAAACGCGACAAGAGAGAAAGTTTTGTTTTGGTTTTCTTTTACTTTCGCCGTGGTGGTCGTTTTTTATTTCAAAAGACAGATGTGTTGGATCCTTCTGGGGATGGGGAAGGCAAGTTGGCCTAACTGGCAACAAAAAGAAACAATGTGTGGGCATTTCTCTAGCGCTTGTTACGTGTCAGTTCTTGTCCCAACATTTTGTTGATTTATCTGTCAAGCTTGCAAGTTTACAAAAGTTGCAGTGAATGGGTACAGCATTGTTTAAAATAATAGAATCGCCGTGGGCCGCTGCGCCCGTCCTCCGTTTAACCAGGTTGTCTCCAGAATCACTACTTGAAATCTTGTGGTGGCAAACCGCCGCCGTCGTTGTAAATCTGCCCATGGCTGAAAGTTGGCAAAAAGTTGTAGGATATAAAGAGTCAACAGCGTCACGCAGGGGCACTCCAGCCATGGCTGTGGTTATTTGAAAGTCTACACTCTTGTTCCATGTAAAAGATGATGCGCTTTTGTTCTTGCAGAGCAGCATCGAGATGATGGAGGGTGGCTGCTGCTGCTGCTGCTGCAAGTCAAGAGCAGATAGCGTCGAGGTTGACTGTCATTGTCCAGTAAATCTTCATGGCATTGCACTTGGATGGACATGTCATACATGTTGGGTTAGAGATGCTACATCCAGAAACTATATTTCCCATTTATGGCATATTGCCACCTATGGTTCTTGGCTCTCTGTATCCCCACAAGCGGAACCCTCTTGGGGATTTGCAATTTCACTACATTGTTAAGGTTCCTATGCAAACGGGCCAAAGAACACAAGTAGCATGTACCTTTTGTTTCACTATTTAGCAGACTGGTGTTTTTGATGTCATGGATGGGGCATTGCAAATTCATGGTTTGGGGCGACAAAGGACCCATTCACAGTGATACTATCCCTCCTGTGCATTGAGCGATAAAGCACTGCGGCTATCACTTGGTGTTAAATGTCACTTTTGTTAATAAACTGGATTGGCCACGATTGACTGACAAGGCGATTGGCATTTCATACACCAAATTGCGATCTGATGAAGCGTGTGTTGGATATCGCACATAGGGATCTCAACGAACCCAGTTTCCGGGTTGCTGTTAATTTACCCTTTCATTGGTCGCATTGCAATCTCTTCCTGGCGCGGCTGCCAGAACCCCGCTGACGCAGGATCAGTGCACAACCACGCCCTTGTGTCCAACATCATTGTGTAATAGCGCTACCTCATAACGTTAGCATTTGGAGTTTCAAGAGAGCTCGGAGTCACCCACCCATGGTCTGTGCATCTTGCGTACCATCATCAGTAAAACGTAGCCGGGGTCATCACACCAAGACAAACACCACAAACGCTTTCACCATCTTCTTATCCTTGACCGGGCCCTCGTATGGCATTGCTGCTGACAAAGTAAATACATCACTTGTTCCCGTTCTACACGCGAAGCCTCCCAAACGCTAATCACCCCTCTTCCTGCCCAACACACTCGCAAAGTTTCAAGCAAAAATAAACCTTGATTGTGCCAAGAGCCCAACGTGTCACACGCAAGTCTGAACCTTCCAAATTGGGATTAATCGATTTGCTGCTTGCGTAACTGTGCCACTATATGATCGGAAAGCTGTTTAGAGTTTTTTGAGTGTTGTTTTTGACTTGACAATTGCCGACGGTTAATTTGCCGTCATGATGATTGTATAAAAGTGCTGTTTTCTTCCCTTCCTCCCCCCCACAGCCGTCGTCGTCGTTGTCTTGTTTTTTTTTTTTAAATCGCTCATTATCCGCTGGTCGGGTTTTAAAGTTTTGCGTCATTCCTCATATTGCCGTCAGTAGTTGTATTTATCCCAGTCGTCTCGGCACGTTTGAGACGTTTGCCTACGACCCCAAACTTCACGGCTTTCAAAGAGAGGCTAAACGCCGCCTTTTTTTTGTCATTCTATAAAACTGTAGTAGCGCGACCCATTGCCTCCGCTGGTCCGGACGCTTAACATTCCTCATATCAGACCAACTTCAGCTTGTTTAAAGCGAGAGTCGTCCGTTTCATCCTCTGGCTGACTCTCTATTCGTAAGCTTTCTATCTATTCGTAAGCTTTCTATCCGGCATTATGCGATATCGTTGGAGCTCGTTCGCTTGCTCCGCATTGACTGTTTTGGCTGGACTGACGCAGTCGACCGCGGTAGCATCACCGCTGGAAAAGCGTGATATTGGTGTCGTTGCCGGACTCGCTCCGCTTGAACCTTCAAATGGTATCCTCTTGTAAGTTGCAACGTTCTTTGTCAGTCAGGAAACAACACCATCTCATTCTCACATTTTTACGTAGTGGTGCTTGGGTTAATGAACTGTCAGGGACAGACACACCGAACCTCGTCAACCAACGTTTTGACCACAAACCACTCTCCTTGTTCCAATCCAATATCAACATTCCCGATGACCTCAATCTCATTCCCAAGATCCTTCAATTGGTGGATGACACACAAACAGACGCAGTTCTCTATCTTACTGTCTACCCAATGACCGGTTTTTCCCGTGTAACGGATAGCAGTATAGATCAGTTGGCGCAAATGATTCAAACAGCGGTTGCCAAGGGGCGAAGGGTTATGATTCGATATGCACCAGAGATGAATGGTATGTTGAGAAAAGGAGCGGTAAAAGGACAAGCGGGCCTGGTGTGACTAATGGTTGCTCAAATGCTTGTAGGTTCATGGTTCCCATATGGCCAACAACCCATTGCATTCATTTCAGAATGGAAGCGATTTTACACACGATTCCGCCAAGGCATTTCAGACAAATCTAAAATCGCGTTCCTCTGGGCACCAAACTCTAGCAATGGCTACCCATTCCTTGGTGGTGCGTATTCGCATGTAGCGAATGCATCCGCCAGCGACCGTGCCGTTCTCGACACCAACAAGGATGGTGCCTTTGATTTCTGGGACGATCCATACAGTCCATACTACCCCGGAGACGACTTTGTGGATTGGGTTGGTCTTTCCCTCTACCACTATGGCAAAGAGTATCCCTGGGTGGACAACGTCGTTCCCAATCCCGGTGTGGTCGAAGCTATGATCGGCGGAAAACCAAACATGTCTTCCTATGATTTCTACAACATGTTCTCCAATGACGGCAAGGGTCCTAATGTGACCAATCCCGTCTCGAAAGGTGGAAAGCCCTTTATGGTTGCCGAGACCGCGGCTACTTTCCACCTCGGATTTTTGAAACCAGGACAACCCGAAACGGCGACCACTGCTCTCAACAAAGGCCCAGGGATGCTTGCTATCAAACAAGCATGGTGGCGCCAAATCTTTAACCAAACCTTCCTCGACACGCACCCAAAGGTCAAAGGTGTGTGTCTCTTTGAATTCAAGAAGCAAGAGGAAGAAACCCTCCGAGAATTCCGAACGATGGGTGACTATCTGGCAGGAAATGGAAAGGACGACACTGAAGAGAACCAAGTTGCCAAAGTGTTCAGGCAGGAACTGATCGCCATGGGCAATTCTATACGATGGGCTTCCAAGACCAGCGGCGCCGTCGGTGGTGGTGCTTACTTGCACCCAGGACTGCTCGGCATTGCGAGCGCCTTGATTGGAGTGATGGTGGCGGTTCTCTGAGCCTATTAATGAGATGTGGATTCCGTATTTTTATTGTACTTTTTTGCCTAGTGGTGATTATTCTATGGTTGGGGTATTGTGATGGGCTGATACATAGTGCTTCAGAAAGCAAAGTCTCGAGCAATAGGTTGCTTGAAATCATGAAACAGTTCAAAAACACCTTTCTGAGCAGTGCCTCTGTGTGCGATTACAGATCTACCACTCCTACATTGCTAATCGCTGATGCAATAGTATCAGGCATTTTATACTCGTTGTGCATGATGTGGCCCCACTGCCTCACCAGTAGTGGGTGCCTCGTGAATTTTGAAAAGTGAGTCAGTTTGAGTCACAGTCGCAACATCGTCCTTCCCCAATTTCATCTTCTTAGGAGTTCTCCTCTGTAAGCTCTGCAAGACCTTTACCGTCGTGTCGGCATCTTGTTCGCCGTACTTGACATGCGTCAGCTATGCTGGGTGACACATGGCTTGCCGCAGTGCGGCTTGCGCAGATGGCACGAAGGAGCGTGGTATGGCTTTAATGCACGAGTGCTTCTCCTGCGAGACCCGTCAAGCGCTGGCAAAGACTCAAAAGACGTCAATCGAAAGACTTTTCAAAAGGTAACAAGAGAAATGTTCCCACCATACACAGAGACTAACCAATATACTCTGTTCCTCAGCAGTAGTTTGGTTTTGACAGCGCTTTTATTTAGCCCGCAATTTAGTCCACCGCAAACACAATGTCTTTCGCCAACACCACGCAATGGTACCTGGATCTCCGGCCAGTTTATGTTGATGTTATTGGAGACTTTGCTGGGACAGAGCTGTTTGTTGTGGATGGGGATACCCTTGTCTGCTTAGCATTGCACAGTGCATCTGGTGAGTTTCCTTGTCAGCCCTGAGGTTGGGCCACGTCACTTGTGCTAGCGACGAAAGAGGAGTTTGACATGCTTTACGCTGATTCGGTTCCTTCTTGGTCAGATATTCGTTCCTCAGAGGCGGACAGTATACAAGCTCTTCATTGCCTCTATGCCGCTGAGTTGTTCTTGAAGAAATTGCTCGATGCGAAATCTAATTTTGAGCTGGCCTTTTTCAATGGTGTGTGCCCATATTGATGCAGTTCATGACATAGCCGCCAGTAAGCAATATTCATTCCCCTCGCGCCCCCAGATAGGAAGAGAGTCTGCACTGCGACCTCCAAAACAGGACAACCCAAAGATGTCCACTGCCGGCAGTTTATTCGCGAGATCATAATACGGCACCTACGGAACAACACGAATGTCGCTGTCAATGTATTTGAGTCGGTTTTCTCGGAAGATTGGGCCAACTATGTGGAAGCGAAAAAGGTACGGGAACAAGTGTTACGTTGAATTGTATTGTACAATGTTCAAATACACATCTCTTTTAGCCGTACTTTATTATGACCGATGACGGCACAGCGGTGTCTGTTGATGCTGACGAACCGAATGAACATGACGATGCACAGCGTCGCATGATGTTAGAGTCAATGTGGATGTTTTTGCATCAAGGCCTAACAGTGACTCTTATGTCCGAAGATATGTTTCGGGACAATAAGGTTCGTACACTCCAGTATCTGCTGAAATGGTGGCGAGTTTTGCTTACTTTTTCTTCTCCATGTACACTAGATTGTCAGCTTCGTGTTTCATACATCACTTCGCTTTATGCAAGCCTCCGATCCTGCCGTTCACAAGAAAGCTTTCCTGCGTGCTAGAAGGAGATTGGAAGCTGCGATCGCTAAGCGTGTTAACCAAGTAGCTTCTAAGGACGCTAATGAAACCAATATGGCCGCTATGACTCCCGATGCTCCAATCGTAGGACAAATTCTCAGCGTAATTCTTCCTGGACTTGACGTCTTTCAGCAAGACTTGGCGAAAATATTCCTAATTCATTCGTTATTATTACCTACTATACCCCTGGAGCTGCGTGCCAGGCGGGAGGCGTCACTGCCATTTGATCTCAAGCATATGGCCTCGCTTGACAATTTTTTGACCGGCTTTTACATGACGGCCACCAATCTGGTGACCAATGCGGATTCGACCAATGATGTGATGGATATTGTCGATGAGCGCCTGTTCAAGTCTCTATTACTTGAGATCATTGCGAAATTTCATGATAGTAGCGCCGCGTCCCCAAAAGACTGGATTGGTGATTTACCACAAGTCGGTAAAGCCGAGGAAACCTACAAAGTCATTACGCCAGATGATGATACATCAACGTTATGGGACTTGATGGCACTTCAAGAAGCAGCCAGAACAAGTCCTGTGGAATATGCTATACATGTATCTACCTCGACTGAATCTAATGAAGCCATCCTTCCTCTGCTTCCCTATAATCAGCCATATCTGATGCACCGTTTACCAGATCTACCAACCGCGGTGATCGATACCAGTATCAATGATTCTGTATTTGATTCCCAAGTGATTCCAAATTACGAAAAGCATCATTGGCATGTACATAAACCTCTGCCGTCTTTGAAAAAGCCTGCATCGGGAGGAAGAGTCTTCAGCGCTCAAAAGAAAACAGGCATTGCGAGGAAATCGGAGCAGGGCCATGCTTACTCCATACAAAAGTATGCCAGTTCGTTGACCGGCGCGAGCGGCAGAATTCTGAAACCAAAGACAATTATCGTTCAACCACATGGACATCAACCAACTACAAGCAAAGGGAATAGTGGAGCGAAAGCGTCTGGTAAAAAGAAAAGCGGTAAGGCGGATGACATCCGAGCTGCCAATGATGCTCGACTCCAAGCTGGTAAAGAAGAGGCGGCCCGCAAGAAGTGGACTATCATACGAGACATGATAGAGCGAATAGAAAACATTGACACGCAACGAATCGAATTGGAGCGCGCAATTGCCAAGGTTGACACGCCGAGTTCATTAGCAGAAGAGCAAAATCTATACTTGGTCATGATCCTATTGAAAAAGTGGGCTACGTTCTGTATCGGGGCAAACGGAGAGGAGACAACCCACGATAGAAAAGAGGAAGGAATGCCTGTTTTGGTGCAGATCTTCAAATTGTGCAGACAGATAATAACGTCTACTGCATCTACAAAAGCGACCGTGGCAGAAGCCTTGAACGTTTTGGAAGTGGTTGGGTTACTGGAGCCAGGGGCCAGATCGATGTCCCCGAAAGTGAAAGCCAAGTCCAGCGACAAAATTAAGAAAGGTTCAAGTACCAAAGAGAGATCTGCAGCTAAGAAGGGCTCGGCCAAATTAGACGGGATACATGGCGCGCTCGCCGAGGATGACCAGCTCTCGTTTAAGTTCATGTATCCCCGTCGTCCGACCAACATATCTTGGCTCAAGAGCCACCACAGTTTAGCAAGGTTTCAGATGTTGCATTACGGATCGCATATGGACCGTACAATGGGATCTGCTCCAGACCCAAGAGTCGATTTCCTTCCGGATGAATGGCAGCGTAAAGTCCTTGACAAAATCGACGCCAACGAATCCGTTTTCGTGGTTGCCCCAACCTCTGCCGGCAAAACATTCATTGCATTTTATGCAATTGAAAAGGTGCTGCGGGAGAGTGATGATGGTGTCGTTGTGTATGTTGCGCCGACGAAAGCGCTTGTGAATCAGATCGCCGCGGAAATTTCGGCGAGATTCTCAAAAGTCTACAAGCATCCGGGGCGAACCGTCTGGGCGGTCCATACCAGAGATTATCGAATCCATGAGCCTCTAAAATGTCAAGTCTTGATTACAGTAAGTTGCATAAATTGCTCTTCGCCGTTGGCATCATGAATTGATGGTAAAGTTTTTACTCGTTCCATAGGTACCGCATATATTACAAATATTGATGCTCCAGCCTGATGTAAGTGCCGAGTGGACCCCACGTCTAAGGCGTATCATCTTCGATGAGATACATAGCATTAGTAGGTGACGCTGGTTTCTGCGGGGCACGCAATTGTGTACACGTTGCTTATTTGGTATTTCGCTAACACAGGTAACCTTGACGGTGGCTTAATTTGGGAGCAAAATCTTATTCTTTCACCTTCTCCAATTGTTGCGCTTTCGGCCACAGTGGGAAATCCTACAGAGTTTAGTCAGGTGAGAAAGGAGAAGTGCTACTTTCGTAACCGAATAATTGCCTAATGGTTGTGCTTTTCGAATACCAAATATAGTGGTTGGAAGCCGTGCAAACTGCAAAAGGGCACAAGTTGGAAATGGTCAGACATGCGCACCGATATTCCGATCTCCGAAAATTCGTTTATCTTCCTTTGAATCTACCCAAGTTCACAAGGTTGGATGAAGATTCGAGCGAGCGGGGTACTAGTCTTTGCCATCTGCATCCAGTCGCCGCTCTCTCCCTTGGTGCTACTACTATTCCTGATGATCTCCATTTGGAACCTTTCGAATGCTTACAGTTATATGAAACTATGGCTAGTGAGCAACGTGGGGAAGGCGCTGAATTACTGTCAAAACTGAAGCCTGAAGAGTACTTTGGCCACAAGTACATCAAAAAGTCTGATATCATACAGTACCAGAACGAATTAAAGGCGATATTGCAGAGCTGGATGGAGATGCCGGGCGCACGAAATTCGAGACCGTACAGCCGCGTCATGGACAGAATGACGGAGAAACTACGTGCTACCTGGGAAACATGTAGAAGTGCCATTGGAGAAGAACCCATTGGGCTCAAGTTTGCATTGAAGAATGTGATCGCATTATGTCATGATCTCCATAGAAATGGGAAACTCCCAGCCATCCTCTTCAACTACTCCCGTGACAACGTGGAGCAATTAGGGCTACGAATATGGGCAGAGTTGAAGAAAGCTGAAAAAAAGTACAAGCGAACGAGTCCGGAATGGAAAGCCAAGATCAAAGCATGGAAGGCCTGGAAAGCTGCCGAGGCTGTCCGACAAGCCGCACAAGAGAAACAAGCACGAGCACAAACGCGGTCTGAAGACGCGGACAATCTTCCGGATTCCGATATGGGCTGGGAGTCCACGTTTGACCCCGACGCCCCGTTAGCCGCCTTTAGTTTCGCTGGGTTAAAGTCCAGTCTGTCGCCATCGGAAATTGATGCAGAAATCAATGGGCTCAGAAAATGGGGAAGGGTTGATCCTGGCTTGTGTTCAGCATTGCGACGTGGTATTGGGATCCATCATGCAGGAATGAACCTGCGGTATCGTCAACTTGTGGAGAGGTGGTTCCGGGCAGGATGGCTACGTGTAGTTGTTGCGACTGGAACACTAGCACTGGGTATCAATATGCCAGCTGCTACCTCAGTCTTCACCGAGGACAGCGTTTATTTGACCGCACTAGAGTACAGACAGGCTGCTGGACGAGCTGGAAGACGTGGATTTGATCTGCTTGGTAACGTTGTCTTCTTTGGATTGCCACTCGAAAAGGTCTATCGTCTCCTTGCTTCTCGGCTACCGGATCTTAGTGGGCATTTCCCGCTCTCCACAACACTCGTTCTCAGGTTGCATCAGCTGCTGAGCGACGCGGACGCAGCCGACATGGGACAGAAAATGTTGGAAGAGGTACTTACATTGGGAAGATTATCGATCGTGAACCCGGCGACAAAACAGGAGGTTTTGCACCATTTGAGGTTCTCTATTGAGTACTTGCGTAGAGCCGAGCTGCTGGATGTGAATGGACACCCCATTAACTTGGCAGGGATTGTTTCCCACTTGTATTGGACGGAGCCGATGGTAGGTTTCCGGTTCACTTGAATCTTGAAGACACTGATTTGGTTTTTTGGACTAACACTTGTGGAAATTGCAGAATTTGTGTTTCGCGGTTCTTTTGAATTCCGGTGTACTAAGCGAGATCGCCCTTGGAAAGGATCCTAATTTGACTATGTTAACATGTCTTGCTCACTTATTTGGCAGGTAAGGTGGTGATATCATTGATCGATGAATCCTCCGATGCTGGGCTTACGGTTCATGATTTATACTGACAGGCGTGAACGGCCATCGACTCTTACGGCCTTTGCAAAAGAATTAATAAGGAGATCGCCTTCAAAGGTTTTCCTTGAGCCTATGCCCGAGGCAATGCGTAAGGTCCTTTCGGAGCACAACATTCTAGTGTTCCGTATCATGGAGTCTTATATCCATCATTATGTGCGGACATTGAAAGAGGAGGAAATAACTTATCTGCCTTTATCTGAGCGGGCTTTTGTGAAAACTCGCCGCGCCGTGCCGAAAGAATCACCCATGTTTGCTCGTCTTGCGGATACATCGCTCAGTTATGTGGCCAGATCTCCGTTCGTTGCCCTCTCTGGCAAGGACGATAAATTCAAATCCGTGAAAGAGATGTCTCGCACTCTCCGTGGCGGTGTGAGACTTCAACATACAGTGGTTCCAACCGTCTATGAACTTCTTGACACAAGTACCGTTCTCGACTCGTACATTGTTGACTTTTACAAGCACGGCCAGTTCCAGGCGCTCATTGATGGAAACGGAATACGACCAGGGGACGTATGGCAGCTGATTAATGACTTTTTGCTCATTGTCGCTGCTTTGAGAACTGGATTGACTGTGCTTTTACGTGCGTGGGAAGAAAAAATGAGGAAACAGGATGAGGAATTGATCTCGGAAGTATATGGGGACGGGCATCCTGAACTGGTCGAAGAGGACAATGATGAAGAGTCTGATGGTGAGGAACTAGAGGGGCCAACCAAGTGGCTCCCGCCCATCAAAATAAAGCCAAGGTGGAGAGATAATAGGATTTGGGATGTCTATCTGGTTCTCTGTGATGTGCAAAGGGGGTTGCATGAAAAATTGGAGGAGATGAATGCGTAGTATATTATGTAGGGATGTGAGGATGCGCTTTCATTTATTGCCAGATACTGTAAAATATCCATGTAAACACTTTTCAGTAAAATATTATATGCTGCATCACGTCGTGTAAACTTGTCCTCTTCACTTACATATTATCGCTTCACCGATCAGCCAGAACATCGTATTTTCGATCGTTCCCGCGTGCGGGTCTAGCTGTTACTGTACGTACATCAAAGTCAGTCAATCAAAAGCCAAATTGCTCCAGATTTATCTAATACTCATGCTGTTTTTATTGCGGGATCTCCCCGGAACATACCGTATTCTATTAGAGGTACAATGCTGTATTTCACATGATAACTCTACTTTACCAAAATATCGCCGTTTCTCGGTATTCGTGGACGCTAATCAATTCGAGCATCGTACACTATTTGAAGGTGTTGGAACGTAGAGCGAAACTGGCTGGTTTAAAAGATATTCAAAGATTTGTGAAAATAAGTATACGATCGAAATACGTCAATTCTAGTCATGTCGTCTGCAGGATTATTCATGTTTGCATGATTTCCAAACTCTTTCAGTGTGAATGATATGCTAATAAGTCTAACCTAGACGGAGAGTCTCGCCAAGTAATCGCTGGAGCGTGGCTTGGATATGGCGCAGCAACTCCGTAAGCGTCAGTTTCCGATCAGATCTGTAACCAGAGGAAAGAAATATCACCTCTAATTGTTTCCTTCCCTTGACTGCAGACGGTCCAGAGCTTCTCGTTTAGCATGTCATCATCAGGTCGCAATGGCCCTACAGCTCTTCCAACAGACATCCTTCTCATCCTCTTTACCCGACTACACACGAATCCACCTTGTCTAGATGATTTAATTTTATCCTGCAAAGGCGTTTGTAGGGCTTGGAGAAATGCAGTGGAGTGGGTACTTCAAAAACCTGAGTGGGGTGTTCAAAAAGGGTTCAGTAAAGGGGATGGACATGGTAGGGTGTTTGATCTCGGCATGGAAGTTGGACCCAATGTGGGCTGGGTTGATTTCCCATTACACTATGGAAGAGGGAGTGTACCGACAGAACCAGAGTCTTGGACGATGCGTGTAATGCTTCACCCGACCCTCCACGGCGGCCCCCTTGTTACGATCCACACACGAACATCGTCGCACCCCACCACGCACACCTTGATCGTTGATGGATCTTCTGGACTAGAATCCCTCCAGCAATGTCTACGAAGAGTTGGTCGAACGACTTGGCGTGATATCCAACTACGCACCTCTGCTGGCTTTGACACTACTGACCCAACTCTGGGCAATCTTGAGGACATAGTTCGCAAAAATACGATAAGTGAAGAGGAAGAGCAGAGAGCATCCGTCGATGATGGGTTTTTCTTTGGCGGTGCAGATACTATTTCTCAGTTTCATGGGATTCGCCATGGAGAGGTGGCGGAGGTTGTACCGTCCTTTGGTTCCCAAGTAGAGGGTACTTGGATTCATGATGGCCATTGTGTGAGAGGCTTGACAAATAAAGATTCTGATCTGCGCGAATGGTGGGACTGCGGTCATACGACATGGAAACATTCGCGTAGGTTGTGGGGTCGACATGGTCGGATGGGTGGCATGGGACCAGATCGAGCTGGGGATGCGGGAGAAAACGATCAGTCAGAGCAAAATGAGATTGCCGATGTACGTGATTGGTTTGCAAAATTTGTCAGCGGGAATGTTGAGCAGATAGCGGACAGAACCGAGGAGGATCCTTATCGGTATGCAGGACTGATGATTGGAAGTAGGGCTGGTTTGGATGTGTTGGACAAGTTTCTGGCAAAAAGAGCCTTGCGAGGAAAGCAGAAAAATGAGTGCAAGACGGTACCTACGTACTTATTCGCAATAGTAAGTGTCTGTTTCTTTGCTCTCATTGCATATTGGACCAAGTTCCCGTCTCACTCGTCTCACTTTGTTTCTCTAGCTTCCATCCATCAACGCGCACGCTCCAGAGGACAGACCTCTTCCGATACCGGTAACAACTGTACTCTCTCCAGAACCGGAACCGAGCACACATAACGAGGGCACTGGCAAGGAAACGCAGACGGATTTTTGTCACCAATGGCAATACCACCAGCATTGTCAGTCTGCACACGCAAGGACTGGAACGTCAGAAGAAACTATGCTATCCAAGGAGGAAAAGGAAAATCCGTACACCAAGTTCAAAGCTACCATTTGTAAGTACTCATTCATCAAAATTGGCATCGCAATTGTGACCCACTTACATGTCCAATTATCAGATTTTGTTTGGCCAGATTACACAACCTGCAGTCATGCAGCCACACCTGATCAACCACAAGGCATTCTTGACCGTCGCTTTTCCGCGCTATCCGATATCGCACAGACCATCACCATTACCCCCGCACCGGACGAAACAGACCCAACGTCAACAAGCACAACAACCACCTCTACGTCGACATATGATTTGTGCGACTCGTTCATGAGTAGCCCAGACGCTTCATCATCTCGAATCCTGCAAACAATCGAAGACATCCTTGATGCGCGTCGGCCGCTTGATCAAACAGGTCGATTGGATATGACAAAATCAGACATGGACCCATTTTATATAGTCCTCTCCCAGCGCAATCTGAAAAACTTTGAGAGCATACTACATGGAGCCGGTTTACGAGCTGGTAGCTCGACAAGGTGGTTAAGGCTTTCACCGCGTTGGCGGCGCTACGGTCTTTTGGGAATGAATGAAGATGAAACAGGCTCTAGCGCTTTTGCCTTTGACTTTGGAAAGCGTAAGGATGTGCGAGCTGACGGCGCCGTTTTCTTTGCGGAAGGCGCTGTTGGATTTGACGCAAACTTTGGTAAACCATCTGTGGCGTTAGGAGTGGATGAGATATGAGAATGCCGCGGTGAACAGCTTGGCGATAGCTTCATGATGTATGAGTGACTTATTCTTAGTGTAGAGGTGACAGAAAATGGCACTAGCTACTACACCAGGGAATAAACCGGCGACAACCGGTTCGGAAAAGCTAACTAACTACTAGGCAATTATGCACGCAATACGTAACGGTTGTTCTAACCGGATAACTGCCCACCACCACACGCGGTCCCTACTAGGCCTTGATCCAGAACTCTTGATGGCATTGAAGCCAGACTCTTGCATCCAGGAGCGAATCGACTGGGCAGCGTCACAAGCTGGGGGATTTTCAGGGACAAGGCTTGGAGACTAGAGAAAAAAACTGCATGTCAGTGACAGAATAACATGAAAAGAGATGATGCCATCAGTACATACCAACCAAGCTCAACTAATGTGGCAGCATAATAACAGCTTTGTTGGTTCCGAAGCTGCGCTGGTTCCAGTTGCTGGTAGTCGGGAGGGCGAGGTCCTCAGCACCAGAGCAGTACTCTCATGATGGACTTGAGAGTTGCTTGAGCGTTTGGCAGATGCTTTGAGAGTCGAGGAACTGGTGAGGAAGGGGAGAGAGGGAAGAGACAGAAGGCCCCCCTTTATAGACCTCGAATGTGGCAAAATGGGGTCCAGCTGAAAGAAAAAACGTTACATTAGCATGTGCCACACCGCAGTTTGGAGAACATTAGCATGCATGCCTCACCGCTTTGAGCGATAGATGGGGGTTCTGATTATGCGATACGATTAACCGGACTAATCCGGATAATAATGGGTCCTAGTGCCATTTTCAACCACGTTCACACTATGAATATGACAGCATAGGACTGCGGTAATGGTTAACGGGATAATATTGCTATCTACAAATTATATACACATATCGATTTCAGGATTGACATCTGAAATATTGTATCCGTTTAAAAAGGACATTTCGATAAGAAGTCCTCAGTTTTGTGGTTGTCTGCGCTACACAAATCTGTATTATGGCCTGCAACGTCCTTTCTGTCGAGCTGTCCTGGATTTTGACGCGTTCCATCTGTTGGAGATGAGCAAGATGCTGTACCAGAATGGGTCTGTTGCTCCGTAATGCTGCACCTACCTCGTTGGATGCAATGGAATTTCTAGATTTGTTGTATGCATTTTTTTACTGTGCGCCACGTACGATCCATTTCCTCGCTGGTTTTCATATTTTATTGCGACCAATCCAAGTGCAACTGTGAATAAAGTCAGGGGAGAAACTTTGCGAGATTTTACCTTGGGAATAGTTTACGGACATTCTTATCTCAAACGTATTATGCGAATGCAGGGTTTCCGCTGGTAATTGGCGCCTATCGCGCATGAAAGAAACTTACGGCGGAAAAGCGATGTGTTGAGGACTGAACCACGGAATATCCAGATTTTCACATATCAGGGTCTTTCATCCTGTTGTCAGATTTCGAACTATTTTCAGAAAACAATGACAACGCAGCTACTTCCGACCAAGGAGGCGTTTATAGTTTGTGAAGAGTGAAACAACTACGGAAGAGCCGGAGGTTCGGTTGTAGTCCAAGTAATACCTGGAAGTTATATTCATTGAAGTTACCCTCGTTTTTTATGCCGGAAAAAAACCGGAGAATGGCATGTCATCATTCAAAATTGGTGGGACCGTAGTTTCCTTTATTTATGGTTATTTATGGGATAATTCTTTATTCGCAAGAAGTTGATGGAAATTGCTAGTTCATATTGACTAGTAGATTAGCTGTTGAGGGACTATGTTACGGCTGGCCTACTTACAGAACTTACAGAAGTTTTATTTCCGCATCATCATTTGAGGACTCGAATGAGGCCAAATATCTCAGTCAATATGTTCTGATTGCATCCACTTCTTCTTGAAGTTTCAATCAGTTCATCAGTTCCGGATGTCAAACAATAACCAGACTGCCCGACCATATTTGTTATTTTCACGCGCTAATGTTTGCGGGCTATTCATTTGCATGATCCTTCAGCCATATTGAAAGTGTGGCCCAAAGTTACCAAAGTCGAATGTGAACATCTTATTAGTACATGGAGCCAGAACTTTAATTACCGACAGAATTTGGAATTTATTCTGTCAAAGTTACTATGTGGGCAACATAGCATGGAGCCACTGAGTTTAGTTTGTTGTTTGCACCTGGCAACCGAGGGAGTCCCTTCCAGAAGCCCTCCGCTCCTTTGATTTGAGGCCTATGTTTGAGTGCCGATATGGTTAGGTCAAAATGAAGGACAAGTGAATCGGCGTTCTTTGCGATTTGCATGTCGGAAGCCAAAAGTTTGAATACATCTATTGTGGCTATACCACATACTAATGGAGACCTTCATATGGTGTCCTAATTCCAAAGATAACAGACATTGCCATATTATAAATAGTTCAGGCCAGTTGCCCGGTGATTTAAGTGTCATTTCACAATCTTTATGACTTGCCTAGAATGTTATCCCGAACGCTAGTTTCTCTATTGCGATGGCTAAGTTTGATCGCCCCCGGTGTAATGGCTGGCACAGGGCCAGCGGAACTGCGGTTTCATGTGATGCTGCCCTTTTCTAATTACACTATAGAGACGGTGAGCATATCAGATTACAAGTACAGTTCTGTCGCCTATAGCTGTAACATGACGGTCTTCTGGTCTGGCAGTCCTCCATTCAAAAGTCCCTTGACCTCGTTGTGAACACAACCAACAGCAACAACGATCTCCTACCGGGAGCCACCATAAGACTATCATATCTTGATACAAAAAAGAGCAAGAGCAACACTGTCAATTTGGGTATCAACGCTGTTGCGGTGAGTGCATTTTAATTGCCTGGGATTAACTTGTATGATTCATAATGTGCTTACCGGCTGCCGCCATCCTTGACATGAAGAATAAAAGCCATGGGGTGCTTGGCGAGTTCAATTCTGGTGCTACGGAAGTGCTTTCTTATGTTTTGCAAAATCACCATATTTTGCAATGCTCCGGCGCATCAACTGCTACAACCTTTGAAGACAAGACGGTGAGTTGCATCGTTAAGATTATAAACGGAATGATTTGCTTTGCATTGCTCACTATTTCGTGTCTGTAACGGCAGGTATTTCCAAATTTTTGGCGAACAATTCCATCAGATGATAAGACTGGAACGGCTATAGTCAATTATGCTGCTGCCATGAATTGGAAGAAGATCGCCATCATTGCGTCGGACACCGTCTATGGTCAGTCAATGGCCGACGCAGCTGTCCGTCGTGCTGCTCAATTAAATGTGGAGGTACTCTCCCGCTTGGGTTTCACTGTCGGTGGTCAGACTTTGGATTTCTCGGTCATTACGGCTACCAATGCTCGAATCATTGTATTTTGCGGAATGTATGACGAGTTCAGCAGTTTATATCGCCATGCATACGAGGCTGGTCTAGTCGGGAAGGACTATGTTTGGATTGGAGGAGAAAATATGAGAAGTATTGTAGAATACATGAGAAGTCAGGTCCCGAATAACAGCCATTTGTTGCGTGGTATGCTTACACGTATTCATACTTTTGGTGTGAATCGACAAACTCACTCTGCTTCCATTGCAGGATTTGTGATGAGTACCCCACGCGATTTCTCAGGAACAAAAGGAGATGATTTCCTGAAAAAGTAGGAGGACGTTACGTCGATATAAAGTTTTGTTTACGTAGCCTTAAGGTCTAACCTTGCAACTGCATCCAGCTTTACCGCTACGTACGGCAGCGAGCCAGCCCAGTACTCAGGGTTCTACGTCGATTGTTTACTCGGACTGATACATTCTTACCACAACATGCTCCAAAATTATACAATCAGCGAAATAGGTACGTAGTCTCGAATCATTGAAACCTAACTATTGCCAATTCTGACTTTGATGATAAATGTAGCTGCTCAAACATTTCCAGCACTTACGCTTCAGACATTCCTACAGAAAAACCTCGTAGGTGTCACTGGAGATATCCTTCTGGATGATAATTATGAGCGTGTCAATGCATACAATGTTTTCAACTGGAACGGAGAAAGTTTTGCCCCGGTTGCGGTATCCGACGAATATTCCGTTGTTACGCATCTCTCGACAAAGCCTATCTTCTTTGACGGTACCACCACAGTACCACGGGACAGTCCACTTTTGGTCCCGGTGTTCATCGACATGAGTTCACCGTTAACTATAGTAGCGTTTCTGCTCTACAGCATCATGCTCGCAGTGGTGGTTGTTTCCTTGGCATTGGTTGTTATTTTCAGGCACGAGAAGACTCTCAAGGCTGTCTCGTCTCTGTTTTGTTTCTTCATTTTGCTGGGACTCGGGCTGGTACTCCTTGGAGTTTTTGTGGACGCTGCTCGGCCGACGGCTTTGGCATGCACAACGTATGCCTGGCTGCTTATTATTGGTATTAGTATGGTCTTGGTAGGAACTTCACGCATTAATGACGTCGTCAACAAGTGTTTCTAACCTTTGCCGCATGTCAACCACCAGGTCAATTTGTTGGTTAAACTTTGGCGGATCTATTGGATATTCGACAACCGAGTGCTCCACAGCAACGCGATGCCCGATGTGGTTCTTCTTAGGGCCAGTGGGACCTTGCTTTTATTTCCAGTGCTGCTCCTCTGCATATGGTCCGGTCTCTCGCCACGACAATCTCGTCGAGTGGAGAACACATCGGCGGGGACGTACACTGATGTTTGCTCGTCTCCTAATACAGCGGTACAGAATGGAGTTACTATTGCATTGGAGGTCTACGCTGGGCTCTTGATGTTGTGTTTGACTTTCTTGGGTGAGTTGTAATGGTAACGTTCGATTTTATAGACACAATTCAGAAGCTGACATAAATCATCGTACAGCAATCAAAACCCGACAAGTTTGGTCAGAGTTTAATGAGAGCAAATTCATTGGATTGACTGTTTACAACATTCTTGTCTGCTGCGGCATCATTATCGCTACCCTCAGCTTGTCGGACCAGAATCCGTTAACTGAATTCCGAATCCGAACGTTCGTGATATTATTAGCTGTCACAGTTACGTACGCATGCTGCATCGGTCGACATCTTCTCCGCGTCCTCCTGTTGCGGGCAAGGGTGGAATTGACGGCAAGCAAAAGTGTCAAACAGCTACAATTGCATGGCAAACTCTCTGTCACTCGTTCAGACGAGAAGAGGTCCTTGTTCAATCACCAGCCAGCGGTAAGTGCGCAAAGTTAAGGTTATTTGATATTGCTTTCTCTGAGCATTCCTCTGCCTTTCAGACGATTCTGCAAGGAACATATCCCGTAAAGAATTACAGTTCCCTTGCTTCTGTATGGAGGAAGCACACCATGACCGCGACTAGTGCACCGGGCCGTATTTTAACTCTGGTTGACTGCTCTGCCGCTGATTCCACGTTTGTCGGCACCAGCATAATGCTCGACAAAGCGTTCTGCGACATACGGATAGTTCCAAAAGAATTGTTAGACATTCGTGGGCTGGAGAATATTCTAGAGATCAAATATTGCAAGCAGACCTTATGGGTTCAAATGGATAGTGCTGAGAAAGCGGAAGAGTGGGAGACCTTCTTGGCGGCAGAAGCTAATATTTCGTCGCCCAGATGTTTGTCCCCGATCCAAGCGAATTCCGGGAGGCAATTGGCCTCCGGCAAGGGGAGTGGAGGAGTTTAATGAGCTCAGGATGTAGATCCTACTAGCATATATTATACTAGCCTAGAAGATAGAAAACTGCAAAGGTCACTATTTGTTTAAAAAGTGTAGTAAAGTAGTCGAATAACTATAGTAGTTAACTAGTGATATTCCTGGCGATCATGTGGCTTGGACCACGTGGTTAATTTGAGGCAATTGCTGTGCTTATTGCTGAGAGCAAGCAAGAAGAGCCAAAAGCAACTTTCGCCCTTGACGGGGGCGGTTTGTTCCCGACATGACACGGCCAGACTCTACCTACACCCTTCCGCCAAGACCTCCCAAGGCTCTTTTGGCAGGAACAAAGCAGCCCTCACTACAAAATCAGCCGCATTCGCAGCATCATACTCAGTTTAACACTGCCACTCTCGACAGCTCAATGCCGCCAAGAACGTTGGACAAGGTCTTGGACCAACTGCACCCATTCGGCTTCCCCTCCTGGATGGACAATGATAAATTACAGCTGCCACTCGCCAATACACAATCACCTCCCCCCAAGCCTCCTCGCAAAACGCTGAATCCTGACGTAGCACCCTCAGCAGAACCAACTCAGCAACCACGAGCAGTCCCACCACCCAAGCCCGCTAGACATAGGACCGTGCAATCCATTGCGGCGGCAGCCGCACATGCACTGAAAGACGGAGTTATGCGACCCACATCCCTTGTTGTGCAGACACAAGCCAAATCACCAGTGCTACCTGTTCCAGATACACGACCGCAGACGTGGTACACCACCAGTAGAGAATCCGCAGCTCGCACCTCGACTCTATGGTCTGCCCTAGGTTTTAACAAGAGTCCTTCTTCATCTTCGCTATCGCTGCAGTGCACTTCTCCAACATTCAAAACACCCACATCCGCCACTCTTCACCCACAGGACATTCAACTACTGATATCGCTCGGGGACTCGCTCATGACAGGGCTGTGCTTGGACGACCCTAGTCACACACCCGTGCTGAACCTATCAAAGCAGACAAACAAACACCTTGCATGGCTCTTGTCCGGCGAGCAGAGACATAAGACATGTATTGCTGGATCTCATCCGAGCGTCATATCTGTAGGAAAATTATTGAAAACATTCTCCCCGAATTTGGTCGGACTGAGCCAGACAAAAACCCGATGTGGAGCTAGACATGATGGAGGATGGAATTTTGCTCGATCTGGAACGACGGCTAGAGATGTAAGAGATCAGGTCGTCGACCTCATATCCAAACTCAATAAGCCTGAAGCCACGTCAATGAAAAACGCGTGGAAAATGGTTTTTGTGTGGGTTGGAGCGAATGATGTACTCTTGGACTGGTCTGGAGATTTGAAGGCTGAAGCGGACCAACGCGTTTGTCAACCACTTGTCGAAGCGTTACAGCTGTTGCGGAGCTGCGTCGACAAGTGTTTTGTATGTCTCTTGACGATTCCGGACGTGTCTGGCATTCTGGGTCCTGAATCATCTAATGCCGATATCCTCCTCTGTCGCCGAAAATGTCAGGCGGTGAACAACAGCATTCGACGAGTCGTACACGACTACGATTGGTCGCCCGTTACGCAATTTAAAGTCACGATACAACCGACCATTGAGGAACCTATTGATCAACATGTCTATAAACGCTTCCTTGCGAGCGCTGCAGACGGTGCGCACCCAAATTGGAGGGCGCATCAAGGATTTGCGAAATGTGTGTGGAATAACTTGTTCAAAAGTGAAGAAGATAAATTAATTGGATTTGAAGATGTCGTTAAGGCAGAATGGGTGTGGCCTGGGGAGGGAGTATACTTTGCTTGATAATTTGCTTGTTAATGTTTTTTATATTTTGGTGGGTAATGTACATGCGTGTGGTGCATGCATTTGTAAATATGAAAAGGGACGTTTTCTCCGTCTGGAGGGGAGTTTTTAATCAATCAACCCATTCTATTTCGGAGGATGACCGTTGCATCTGTACAGAGTTTACAACAGAGTATACCATACTGTCCGTCGAGGAGGGTGAAACTGGGGATAGTATAGGTTTTGTCAACCTTGTATAGTACGGGTGCTACCAGCAAAGCTCTAATTAGCGCTACTAGTCCAGTAATTAAAACAAATAACAGAGGAAACAAACCTGCCGCACGAGATTCGCGTAATATTTTTGTAGCATCTCTACATTGGCAGCCAAATGCCAATCGATCAAAAATAAAAATTCCAATTCGAGAATGTTGAGTTCCTTTGTTGTAATTCCGCCCACTTTGGCATACATTGTATTCGTCTGCCATGCCAGAGATGTAAGTTCAAGAACAATACGAACGATACGTCCGTTTTTCAGGAAGAAACTCATACCAGATATGAATCGCACAGCGCCTTGGAGGCGCATGTAATCCCGGTAATGACAAATCGATGTACCGTCAAGCTTGAAATAGTGAATCCCCGATGACGCTCGCAAACGCGATCAATGTAAATCAACAGTATCAACAGGCACACACGTTCAATCGACGCATATTTCACGATCCGCTTGAGGTACTCTGGTATACTTATTCCTGGTGGTGCGCGCGAGTGGAACCGGGTCAAATTTGAGCTTGTTAGCGGTATTTGGTCGTTGTGGGATGTGAGGCGGATTAACATGTCAGCTGCGGGGAGGGTGCCGATTAATAAAAGAAACACAAAGGATCCGCAAGGAAAATTAAGTTACCTATTAGCTGGGTTAGGTGATTGACGTCAACGAGGTGGAAGTACTCTGGGAGTTGGACCGTTGGAGGCAGGGGTGAAGGCTTTATAGACGACATTGATAGCATGGGCACAAGGAGGGAAACGATGGGGAAGCGAGGTGGAAGAAGAGTCTGCGCACTCTGTGTTTTGTGTGTGGACGTGCGTGTGGGTATGCGTCTTGTGTGTTGCCCGTGCGTGGAGCAGGTGCCTGCTTCACCTAAAACGCTTGTCTGGATATACTTTGGAGACCGACAATATCTGACGCAACAGCGTTAACCGTTCGGATGGTAGTCGTGGGGTTGTAATAATATTATCCTCCACTGGATAGGCGTAGAAGTGAATAACTTAAAACTGCAACAATACATTAGCGGATGCGCAGATGCCCCTTCTCCTCCACTCCAAAACCATGAACGCAAACACTCACCCAAAATGTCCAAAAAAGCCTGTCAGTCTCTATATATCTCTTGTTTTCTTCTAACGAAGGAAATAACTTGACCCCAAGAGTCTTTTATAAAGTCATGTTGCCGGTTGTGCTCAGTGGCCCTGCTTCAGGATGAGTTGGGTTTTTGCTTATTCGTTTAAAGCTTGCATGTTGTATGTCGCAACCACCAGCGAGAGCGCGTGCTGCAATGAGTGGTGTTGAATTGAAATGAATGGTTGGAGGAGAACGTGAGCATGCGTCACGTGTACAGAGTGGTTGGAAATGCTTTTGACAAGAATTGTGTTATTTTTGACGCTCATTTGAAGGCTTTCTTGATAGTTAGCCCTACTTTTTGGCCCTGGAGGTGAGTTGGGCCTTTGATGACGACCAAGAATGTTGCACGCAGTCGCTATAATTACATATCCTACTACAATTCCTACTTTCTGCTAATCTTATCCAATCTTCTATTTACACCCTGAATTCTATCGGTTTGCTCCATCACATTCCCTTCCGTCCTTGAAATGACATGGCTCTGTCGCTCTATCTCTTGTCCCATCGCCTGCGCTTGGTACTTGATTCCCTTGACAATATTACTAATCTGTCCCATATTCTCCTCAATCACTTGTTCATGCATCTCAGATTTTATCTTGTCCTCCTCGTCCGCCCAGTCTCCCAGCATTCCGCCAGGCTTGACTGTGCTCTTGGGTTCGGCTCCTTTTGCGATAGCGCCAGGGAATTCCTCAGGTAAACTGCTAACACGTCGTCCCCACAGAGGTTTGCCGTCCGGTCCCTGCGGTGCTTTCCACTCAAATGGTTGGGAATCTTTTTGTTTAACTTGCTTTTCACCGCCAAATATTGGCCGGAGGAAGGAATCAGAGAGTTTGTCGAGGTACGAGGTTTTCGCTTCGGCAATTTTGATTTTGTGTCCAGTCTCTTCGGTTTTTTCATGTATTGAGTCAAGTTGTTCTAACAAAGCGAATGGACTTTTAGTCATGTTCGTCAAAGCTACATGGACTAATGCAAACCACATAGATCATCTCTACTTACCACCCTGTGCATTGAGCTTCACCAAGTTCTCCATTCCCAGCTGTTCCGTTTGCTTGGCGGTTGCCAATGCCCTAGCAGTAGCATTCGCAGACTCCTCCTGTACTTCTAGTGTTCTTTTAGAGAGGGCCACGAGCTGAGCAACCTCGTCGCCAACACTTTGGTCGTCATCTGGGCTTGGTGGTGCCCATGAGCGTCTGACTCCGGCACCAAATGGATTGCCTGTCTTGGTGGGTCTTGGTATCGCTTCCATTATTGTCTTGTCTCAAAATGTCGCTATGGAGAATTATCTGGAGCTCCAGTTGGGTATATTATGTGAACATTGAAAAGGGCTTGGCTATCTCCTGCGTGGCTAAGCATTTGGCTCTGCACAGCCATCACCGCTCGTGGCCGCGCGCCCCATTTACGGTCAACAGAGCCAGTTCCGAGAAGCTATGTGCCAGCCTATTCTTTCATCCATCCGCACTGGGTCGTAAGATAAGAAAACAGAGCTTACGAAAAAGACGATGAAAGAAGCACAACACATTGTCGGTCAATCGAACGAAATCAAAACATCAATAGTCTAGCATGAAGGCATATGCTGTAGAAACTAGCACATTCATAGTGTGGAGCCGGTGGACTTTGGCACTAGTACATAGATTCCAACCAATTTAATCATAATTTTACTCGATTTAGACTCATGAACTATGGTTTGATTCAAAAAATCCTATATAAGTCGTCGCCCATTTTCCCAGGCTTTCATCTTTTTCCACAGATATCATCATGCCACCAAAGAAAAAGCAAAAGCTTGAAAAGCTACCTACCTGCTTACATACTTGCAACAAGACTTCCTTTGCAAAAGCTTTCCTGCCTAATGAGACCTACCGACAGCGTCTTCTTGATTACATTGCCATTATCCATCAACTTGCTGACCATGCTTCCCATGCTCTCAAATTCTACATCCTCTCTGCGCCATCCGTTCCCATGGTAGATCAAGATACAATCGAAGCAATTCTCTATCTTCTCAACAAGGGGGAGGCTTGGCAACCAAGAACAGATGCAAAGAAGGTGCTATGCGGATGCTTGTTGCCATACATTTGTCAGTACTGCTGCATTGTCAGCTTTGTTCATCCAAATCTATGAGGTGAGCAGCAGTCAATTAATTACCTGACAGCAAGTATGATGATGAACCTGAAAGTCAATGTTCAAGAGCATTTTATGCAGATGCTCCTTTGATATATCAATCTGCGGCTCGATGTGAAGGGACAGAAGCAGCAACTGCCACCTAAAAGTGATGTGCAAAAGGCTTTCTTTGCTCATCTTCACTACTTGAAGTCAATTTTCCTTTTTGATACTGTGCCCGAGTCACTCGATGACTTGACTGCTGAAGAGAGTGAGCTTCTAGAAGAGATGTGGTCCTTCATTCCCCTTTCCGACCAGCCGCTCACATATTCAGTTGCTGTAGACCCTCTCGCCTTCTTCCCTGCCTACTGTTGGTTGTCAAGCCTATATGAAAAGCATGGATTTCGACGGTTCAGTGCAATCCCACTTCGCCACTCCCTCATCCAAAGCCATGTGCGGATCGACACCATCATTCTCTACTCTCATATTCTTTGCATCATGCAGCGAGAAGCAGAAGCATTAGAGAAGGATGATCTGTGGATGCGCGTCTGCAATCTACATACCAAGGCTTTTCGGTCTCGCTGCCATATGCAGTTTGAAGGCTCGATCACAATGGACAGTACCTCGGTTTCTGTGTATTTGAAACACCCCAATGCTGACAAGTACAGAAAGCATGGAGCGAGAAAGTCAGCAAAGACCCTAGAAGCTGAGGTGAAGGCAGTATATGTGGAGAACAACTTACCTGCTTGTTGAGCAGAGAATGTTGTTGCTATCGACCCAAACAAGCGTGACATTCTCTACTGCCAAGACAGCATTGGTACAACATTTCATTACACTGCAAACCAGTGAGCCATGGAGACAGGTAGCCATTGACAGCAAAGGCAAAGGCAGCAGATGAAGAAGGGGGATATTGACCTCATAGAATCATGAATTCCTAGCCACAAAACAATGAACCTCATGGATTTTACTCGCTACCTTCTTGTTCGCCATGCTGATTGGGATTGTCGCAAGGAGTTCTACTCACATCCTGCCCACACGTGGTGGAAATGGCACACATTCATAAACCATCAGAAGAGTGAATCAGACCTCATATCCAACATGTGCAACAAGTATGGTGAAAACTTTACTGTCATGATGGGTGATTGGAGCGATGCCAGTCGAACTGCAAGATTTCAGACCTCATCAAAGACAAAAGGTTGGCGCACCCTCTTTAAGCGGAGCAGGATCGGTACGACCGAATAAGGTTTTCAGCTGAATTTGAGAGGGGAAGGCGGTTCGTCGCGCTTCTCCACCATGTAACGGATTTTTTGTTGGTAGACTACAGTAAAGACAACTTGGGTCTCCTAGCAGGTTGTGTGGGTGTCCGTACTAGGAATCGTAGTCTCCAAATCCTTTCTTTGGGCGTCGGTAGCGACTTGGGGGCGAGAGGCAAGGAGAGTCGGTTAGTTGTGAACCGAGCAGGATTTAGAGGCTTCGGTACGGGTGATCAGGCCGTTGAAGCGCTCTGTTAGGTTCCTGTTAACCTAAGATTGGAGTTGAGAAGCGAGTTATGGGGATTTTGTGTCGCTACGGCTTCTGCCCCCGACTTATTTTATTGAATACATCCTTTTTATACAAGATTCTTGGATAAACTGTTAAACTAAACTAAACTAATGGGTGTCGCTGCACCGCAACTGATTTATTGGTGGCGGTACCGATCTCTTCCTTTTCCGCACTGGCTCGGGCCTCCACAGGTTGTACGAGGCACGCTGAAATCTAATGCGCCAATTGCCATTCTCCGAACCGGTTTTTTCGGTCGCGGTAACCCAATCGGTGGAGTTGGTCACGCGATTCGTGCTTCCCGCGTCCGATTTGGGCTTACTCGCGATCTCTCGAAGACGTCCTCGTCGTTACACTTCCTTGAAAAGGACTTCAAAACATGACCTCATTCAAGACCTTGGTGATGACAAGAAGGCAAGGTTGAAAAAGTCCATGGATTGCTGGGTTGTACCAACCCTAACTGTTTGCAGCAAGCCTGGACAATGCGCTACTGGAATCGAGATACACTGTCAACCTGCAACATGCTGGCAATCATGCAATCAATGTTGGATGGACACGGTAGACCAGAGGTGTTCAGGAGGGGTGTTCCAGTGGTAGCGTAGCGTAGACTAGTTAGATTAAGGTTTCCGAACCGGTTGTCGCGCGGTTCAATCCCTGGTGCGGGTGCTAGTGCCAATACCCACCGGCTCCGCACTACTAACCCCAATTGTAGAGCCAGT